AGGTAAGTTGAGTAGCATGAGAGATCAAATGATTGCAAAGATGGTATGTGTTGGATTATGTGTATTAGCAATGATAGTTGAGATGGCTATGATAATAATAAGTATAATGAATGGGAATGGGAATGATACGAGTACTGATGATATTAACAAGATGATTACTACAGCAGTAAGTATAGCAATAATACTGAATATGATGAGATATGTGATGAGTAAGAATCAAGCAGGTTGGTATCATGGAGTGATGATAGGAGGAAGTCTGATTATAGGATCTATGAGAGCTGTAATGCTTGCAAGTGCAATGATAAGAGAGTATATGAGTGTGATGAACATAGTGATGATGTGATAGGTCGGTCTGTTAATGACAATAGCAAGTGTAGTTGTATACATTAATAGAAAGAGTGATAAAGAAGTGAAGAAGTGAGTGATAAAGAAGTGAAGAAGTGAGTGGTAAATGAGAAGAATAAGATGAATGATGAGATACTAGGTAAGTCTGTGAGTAGTATTATTGCGAATCTGTTTGGAGTAGTTTTGCTACTATTTCAGTAACAATATGTGATGTCTGATGCATTTTATGGATTGGAATAAGGTTGTTGATGAATTGAAGGGTGAAATATTACAACAATAGAGTGATAGATGAGAAAGTAAGAAATGAAGTAGTAGATGATAATAGTAAAATAATATTAAGGCAATAAGATAATGAAGTTGTAGATCAGAAAGTAATATAACAAATGATGGAATAAACGAATAATTATTGTTAGTTTGATATATATTTATCTAGTAATATAATATATTGTGTGGTATAATAGCAACAATACTATGCTGTGGACGGAAAAAAGTTATGGATGGAAAACATTAAATTTTAAGGAACTTAAGAACAGACTTGATAAAATAGACGAATAAATTCAGTGTTTACAACCAAAAGCTAATGAAAAAATGAATAGTCTTAAGCAAAGATTGCCTGGTTATTTAGATAAACAAATTACACCTGAAAATACAGAAATAATCAAAGATATACTCAATGAGATGGATGAAATAGATAAAGAAGTATCTTTTAAAAAATTAATTATACGATCTTAAAAAAGAAAGAATGTTTTATTGGTTATGTGTAGAAAGTTTATAAAATATGATGATCAACAGCAAATATCAGAAAAATACAAGGAAGATGCATCAAAGAAAAAGATCTATCAGCCGAAGAAATGTTTAGTGATGTTAATATTGAAAGGATTGATCTTCTAACTGGTAGATCATATGAGAATTATACATATGATGATTATAAAAAAATAATCAGGTTTTATAAAGAACTATTTTATCAAAGAGACATGACGTTTTAGTCAGGTATTTTGTAATTCAAAGCACACTTTTTGATGAATATATAAAATATAATGATGGACGTGCACTATATGAAAAAATGAAGAAAAATTGATTCAGAAATGTAGTAGAAAGTATGGAAAAGGATATCGAAAAAATCATGAATGGAGAAATTCCTGACGATAAAAATATTAAATTCAAATATTATTCCATTTTAAAGAAATATAAGGATGGTAATTCGACGATAAAATTCGTAATAAAGAATGATAATGAAAATGGTGTATCAGATTAGAAGTAGGCTTTGATTTAGCAACTAAATTAAAGTTCAAAGTAGATTTTCTACGCATTATTCGAGTTAGATGCCTGATGCATAAAAATCAAAAGGAAGAAAGTGAAGACGTTAAGAATGTTAAGATATTTCAATAAAAATATCTGGAAGATTCAAATGATATTAAAAGAATATTTGATATACAATCAGCCAAATTACGGTATGCAATCGACAATATATTAAAAAATGCAAAAGAATGTCAAGTGCAAGAGATTAAAAAATTGGGATAAGATAATGCTATTAATGATTGTAAAATGAATATGCTAATAGTTATGCTATTGGAATACATAAAGTTGAATAAAAGATCTATAGAATGGCGAAATGCTGCTGATGAAAATAATTTAGAAGATTTGTATCAATGGTATAGTATGGATTTCAAACAACAAGAAGATGAACCATCAACATGTTATATAGATATACCAGTACAAGTGTGTGACACTCAATAACTACTAATCCAGTTCAAAAAACAGTGGAACTTATTACATCCACATTAGCCGCTCCAGAGATAATACGTGCAGGCCTAAATTCATCTAGTAATGATTTGAACACAAAGATTATAACTGCTCAGCATGAGCAATAACGGTATTTATGAACTATGAAATATGTTTCACAATAACTTTGACAGATATTTATATGAGCTGATGAGTGATATAATTAATGAAAGCATCAGAAATGAAATCAATGGCAGATATAATTGAAGTAAGACACACGAATGAGCAAGTTATAGTATATCAAAAGGATGGATGAAGTATATTAAATTGATTAATTGTGTGTGTTTATAAAGAAAGGAAATGCAACGGAATCTCAATGTGTAATTAAGAGCATGATTGATTAACGAATTGGCATATCAATAAGAATGATATTTGAGATAAACTATAGCTAATGGTAAATAATAATGAAGGTTTTGACTTGAACTTAACGAAAGTTTATTTATATAAATGCTATAAGAATATTAAAGTATTGTATGTTTTTATAAGTTTGTAAAATAGAAGATGTTTGCATTATATATTCATGTGGATGTGAGGTATCGTAAACACCATGGTTAGAGTTTTTAATCGATTTGTAAGCTATATTTGTGTTTTAAATGCTTGGATAGAGTGCCCTTAGCAGAAATGTTTTTTGTAAAAGATTTTTTGCAAAAGATTCACTTAAGTCCGAGTTACCTTGGACCGAATATACAGGTATTGATAAAAGAATATCTGCTGTCAAAAGTAGAAGGATCATGTGGATCGGATGGATATATAGTTATGGTTCTTGGAATAGATGAGATAGGAGACAGCAGGGTGTTGTTAAGTGGAGAAACGATATTTACTGTGAAGTACAAAGCGCTTACGCTTAAGCCGTTGAAAGGTGAAATAATTGATGCAAGTGTGGTTGAGACAAATAAAATGGGAGTGTTTGCATCTGTAGGACCGCTCACAGTGTTTATATCAAATCATCAGATTCCTAATTTTCTACTGGAGAACGAAATATCAAAGAACACTATGATTAGACTGAAAATAATTGGGACAAAGATAGATTCTACGAAGATATATGCGGTGGGTACATTGAATGATGATTCATTGGGAATTATTTGCTGATTTTTGTAGGTTAGAGTAATAAATGTGTTGTTTGTAAAAGTTGATTGTAGGGAGTATGACTTCGGTGATTTATTGAAAGGGAGTGGATGTGTTTTATTGTTATGTAAATGCTATTTATTGATTGTATTATAGAACTAAATGTTAACGTAAAGGAGAATGTGTGGTTAATTGGAGGATGCTCTTTAGAAATATGAAAATTGACCCTTTAAGGAGATGGAAGAGGATAGAAAGCGTGGGAAGAAAGAAGAACAAGAAGGATCGCAAGTAGGTGCAGAAATCGATTATGGGATCCCACTTTTTGGAATGAATGAGAATATCCCTGAAGGATTTCCATATCCTAACTGGGGAGCCCAAGGCATGAGTTATGCATTCGATCAACAGTACAACTACTATAATCATCATCCTATTTCTTCATCACAATTCCAAAGCAATGGAATGTCTCCATCACCTCAAAGTTTTGAACAGAACAACATGCATCCATCAATTACCTTTGAAAAGCCTCGAGCAAGAAGCCATGGAAAGAAGAAGATAAAGCTTGAGTACATAGCAGGTAAGAACAAGAGAAGCGTCTGTTTTAGCAAAAGGAAAAGAGGGATAATGAAAAAAGCGTATGAGTTGAATATTCTTACAGGGACAGAGATTCTTCTCTTGATAGCAAGTGAGAGTGGACATGTTTTTACTTTTGCAACAGATAAGCTGAAACCGATCATACTAGAGCATGAGAATATTATTCAAAGTTGTCTTAACAAATCTGAAGGTTCTGGATTCAACAGCTCTGCACGCAGCGAAAGGAACAAGAAGTACTCCAAGAAAGACATTGGATATGATGACATTGGGATTTATGATGAATCATCCGAGAGCTAAACGGATATTCCCAATGATGACTTCTGAGGATGTTGATAGTATTATGTCAAATAAAATGCTTTCTAAATGCTTTCTTGGACTGTTATTGTAGTTTGAAACATGGATGGGCCAGAGGATAAAAAAAGAGAATATTTTGAGCCTATATGCTGCCTCAAGATGAAAGAAAGAAGATGGTTTTGAAGCTGTTTACTGCATTGAAGGATTCAAATATATTCCCTGGGTATGATATGGGACAAATTAAGGAAGCTGCGATTAGAGCTGAACAAAGGATATTTGAAGAGAGCAAAACTAGAGAAGAGTATGTGAATGGAATGGACGAAAGATTCAAAAGAATAGAAAAGGCAGCAGGTGAAAGTAGAAGAGACCGTAGGTCTGAGCAAAAACAAGAAATACCGTTCTCAGCATCAGATTCTTGGACAGGGAGAGCAGAAGGGTTTAATCTTCAGGATTTGAGTACGCATAATAATTATGAGAGAGACAGAATGTTTTCAGGTAACTTAAGTAGATTTGAAAGAAGTGGAACGTCAGAATCTGGTGTTATAGACAATATGCAGAATGGAAGTCAGGATTGGTTTACATCGATTAGGAATGCAAGTGCGCAAATGGACGAGGGACACTCAATCACAAAAAATGGCATGCCACAGAAGTATGGTTCACAGGAGATGGGAAGTAAAAGAGATAGATCTAACTCTTGTACGATTCAGAACTCAATGCACAAACAATATAGCGTAGGATCTCAAGAGTTTAAGGCTGGATTTATGCATGGAATGAACTTTTTGGGTGATTTGTCAAGTAATGATAAATATAGGAATGACAATGAGAGCATGCATCATATAAATGAAGAAAGAGGAATAAATGCAATGTTTGAGCAACCTCTATATAATGGATATTTTAAAGAAGCAGCTTATATGTCTATGCGTAATGAAGTAGATGGTAATCAGGAATATTTGAAGTATAATATGAAATCAAATGAATGCAGGTCTAAGAGCGAAGTTTTTACTAAGGCACCAATTATGAGAAATGATGAAAAGGTGATTGCTCCAAACCCGAATTATTTGCATGCAGGAAAGTATTTTATGCCACAAAAGCATTCCGAACAACGCATCCATTTGCAAAACAACATGTACACTTCACAAGCAAGAGCTAACAATCAAAGAATCAGTGATCCGAGAAGTTACTCATTATCGGGGTATGTTGGAAACAATCACATGGCTTCCAATATGATGCATGGAAGCCAAAGTATGTTTCAAGAATCAGCTATGGGACCTGAATATCAGAATCGTGGAGGAAGAGGGACAAACACATTTTTAGCAAACTCTTCGAATGGCTCTAATATAATGGCCGATGGATGGCTGGGATTTTCATCTGTATTTGATAGCAAAGGAACTGGAAATTCTAGAAAATCTATAGAGAAGGGAATGAAATCATCACCAATATTTTTTAATCAGCAGGTGCAGCATCAGCAATACTATAACAGTCCACAAAAACATGGAGAAATAGGGCATATCCACACAAAGCCAAGAGCCGCAATGACTCTAGACTTATCACAGAGATTTGAAAAGCAGCTGGGTCAAATAGATATGTTTGATAATGATCATACAAAACTTGGTGAAAGCATGAATAAAACAGATTACTACTTTAATAGCGGATCTCAAGGCATGGAACCAGGTTTTAAATCAGAAAGCTTTGCAGATTACATCAACATGCAGAATGGGATTCACACAGATACCTCATACGCCAATGCAGACCTGAATAGTTCATTCAGGTTTGATTACTTGCAATCAAATATGAACGATTCGCATACTACAAGCAAAGAGCTAAGCTACGATGCAGATCCAATAGACTGCTCTACCCTGGGTTTTGCTAACTATGGAAACCAGTATGCAAATATTAATGATTCAAATTCAGGATATAAAAATGATTCGTTTGATTATAATGCATCATCAAAGCCACAGGCCAATGAAAACATGTCTGGTTATGCCATAAATAAAGAGCATAAGAAAGAATTGTCTCCGGATGCTTTAGCTGATATCGATGAGTTTATTATATCTAATGGATTAAATAAGGTGCTTCTCAACAGTTTAGAGATATTAAATATGAAATCAAAACTTGAAGAAGGTGTAAATGCGATTAGCAAGTCTCTTAAGGTATATAATAGTTTTGATGATGCTTTTCCTAAATCCAAATTAAAAGTAAAGTATAAACATGCCAGAATGTTTATTGAAAAGCAAATTGAATGCATGAAACACAACATTTATTTCTTAAAAGTCCGGAATGTGGGTGGATTGATTGACCAAATCAATTCATTGATAGTTGACATGAGCCATGAATTGAAATCTGCAAATGAAAGCAACACCATAATTAACTATGGTGATTGTCTTAGAGATGCATTGAAGGCTTATTCAGAAAAGAAAAAAAGACTAAGTATATTTGGATTGAACTTGATTGGAAAGAACAAAAATTGAATAAAGTTCGATTTACTTGTGTACTTAATCTTTCATAATTGATTATTTCGTATGCTCTACAATAACATTTGAGTTTCCCACTGCCTGTCCATTTCCAATACTCACTGCTCTTGATGCATGCTCTTTTTTTCTATATGTAATTAATGCAGTTCTTTGATCTGTTATTTCTACATAGCATGATCCAAATTTGCTGAACACATTCCAGAGAAGAACATCATCGACTTCACTTCCAATATTTTTTACTATAACGCGTGATTGTTGCTCCGCCATTCCAAAATATATTCTTTTTCCATAAAGCTTCACGCCCTTAAGAACATTACAAGTGTATTCTAGTTCAGAATGTGTTTTGTATGTTGCAAAGCAATATCCTTTCGTTTGATTATAATACAAAGATTCCACCTTTGATACTTGTATAAGCAGTTCGTATATCAAATGCTTTCCAACTTTACTTGGGATGTTTGTAACGAAAAGCTTATGCGCATCTGGAGAGTTTATGCCTTGGTATGGTGTGCATGAATATGATCCAGAATCATTCATTCCAGGGATCATTCAGAATATTCTGTAATAATGCTAGAAATCCTTTACTAACTTTATTGCTTCCATTATATTTCTGTGAAATTCAGATTCATTGATTTTCAAATCATAATACTCCATTCTTCTAATGAAATCTATTGCTGCCTGAAATGATGTCAGATAATATGTAATCTCCTTCTCGCCATACATTCTTGGTGCAGGACAGTTGCAATGTATACTGATTCCTATCCCATGCAAGCATTCAGGCATGCAAATATCAACAATACGTCTTCTGTACTTAACCATAAATTGCACTTCTAAGTAGATGTTAGGAACAGAAGATTTTACGATACAGTATATTATTGCAGAAAGCATTTCTCCTTGATTTTCATGCTGGCCTATTGTACCATACAGCTTTTCTATGATTTGCATTAAATGTATAATCTTTTCTGTAGGTGTTGAAAGAGAAGCAATGGCTTCGAATAATGGAAACAAATGTTCCAGACTTTCATTGTTTATCCCAAGTTCAAGATGTTCTGGCTTAATCCATTTGTACAGAATAAGCTTTTTATTAATAAGTTGATTTGTCGAATCATTGATGTCCATAAGTCTAAAATTACAAATGATGAAACACTTACTCATTAAATCTATTTGTGATTGTCATTTTTTCAACCAATGCAATACCTGCCTCGCATTTAATTCTGTACTTTTCAGAAATATAATCGTAAAATGTCTGTAGAAGTTCGGGATTGTTTTTAACAAGCTTCATGTCTTGAGTAAAGCTGTCTATTATCTTCCCAGCTGGTGTCAATGAAAGAGATAGAAGCGCCTTGACACATGCATCTTTGCACATTTTTTCTGTTTTGAATAAAGTGATTAAATGTTTCAGTGCATCCGACAACATACATTGGCCTAAAACAGATGTATATTTTGAATGTGACTGCATATAAGCTTTGATGTTGTTAATGTATTGTGACAGACTTGACAAAAAAAATCTTATAATGAAACCCTCAAAATGGAAGGTACTGAAAGAAAAAGCACTGGAAAGCCGTTTGTTAAACGAGAGGAGGAATGGATTCCAAAGACTGCACTTGGAAAGCTGGTGAAGATGCGTAAGATCACTTCGTTGGACCAGATATTTAAATTTTCCCATGTGATCAGGGAAGCAGAGATTGTTGATTTTTTGTGTGGTTCGTCTCTGAAGGAAGAGCTGCTGTCTGTTAAGTCTGTTCAGAAGCAAACCAGAGCAGGGCAGAAGACCAAGATAAAGGTAGTGGTGGTTGTTGGAGATGAGAAGGGACATATTGGAATAGGAACCAAATCATCAAAAGAAGCAGCTTCGGCAATCAGAGGTGCAATAATAAGGGCGAAATGTGCAATCAGGCCAGTGAGACTTGGGCTGTGGGATGGCACCAAAGGAACTCCGCACACTGTGTCATGCAGGGCATCAGGTAAGTGCGGAACATCGATTGTTAGGGTTATTCCAGCCCCCAGAGGAGCAGGGATTATTTCTTCAAGTGTGAACAAGAAGATATTTGAACTGGCAGGTATCAAGGACGTGTATACGTCATGCAGTGGAGCAACACCAACAACCGAAAATTTTGCCAAAGCATCGATTGCAGCACTTGAAGCCACGTCTTCAATCCTCCTCCCAGATCAGTGGGTTGAAGAGCCGAAGACCTTAAATCCTCTGCTTGAGTTTGCAGATATTTTGAACCAACTCGACAAGAATCGTGTTTGAAGCAATAAAAGAGGTTATTCTTTATATATCCATGTTTTGTGATCCTTGAGAACTATAAACAACTTCCTTGAATATCAGGGAGGGATGTTGTTGTTAAAGATGATTTTTATAAAGACCTTGAAATGAATGATTCTAGCGATGAAGAGATCAATATTAACAGGAAGCGAAAGCAACAAGTTAAGAAACAGGCACTCGTGGATCTTTTTGAGGAGGAAAATGTAGATGAAGATAGTGTGTCTTCTGCTGATTATGGTGAAAGGGATTCTTTGTTTTTAGAGATTTTTGGAACGGGGGAAGAATACAATTATGTGCTTGAAGGACAGAAATCTGAATCGAGTAAGCATAAAGAGAATGTTTCTATGACAAATGAAGTTGTTGATGCAGAAGATGTATATGTTTATGCACAAAATAATCTCAAGGTTGATCAAGTGTCTCTAAAGAAAGTTATTAACCTTTTATCCTGTGGTTATTCGATACACTTTGCATTATTGCACACTGGAATTGAAGGAATTGGAATTGAAGATGGATACACAATTGTGGATGTTTTTTATGAGTATAAAGAGTTTGTAAAGCTAAAAGGAGACATGAAAAAGAAATATGGAGATGATGTGCTTCTGCACAATATTAATAGTATCCGAGAGCTTAGGTGGTATTCTTCATACAAACAACAAAGTGGAAAAGATATTGTGATGCCAAATGAATTACTTTCTGTGGAAGATTTTTGCGAAAACATAAGAATGGCAAAGAGAGTATATGAGCCTGGATATTCATCAGTAGAACCATCTTTAGGAGAAGTAGACAGAATTGCCACGGCTATTTCTTGCCATCCAACATTTAGAAATGTTCTATATAGCATACATAAACAATACGGCATAGAAGATGAAGATAATGGGATTGGAGTTGACAATGAGATTATAGAACGAGTGCTAATAGAGATGTATCAAAGTGACATGGCCTCTGATGACCAGTGGAATAATCATCGAAGAAGAATTGTTCTTGTGGCAATGGAAAAAGCCTGTGAGGTTATTGTTCCATTGGTGCTTGAGGAGAAAAGAAATAAAGATGCAAAAAGGAAAATATTTTTAAACACTATTGACCGTATAGTGAATGGCTCTATCGGTATTAAAAGAGAAGGAATGCATATATGTGGAATAACTGAAGAAAAGAGATACTTTAAAGCAGTTATTTTGGATTTTGAAGGAGAATTTGTTGAATCGATTGTTGTAAAGGATAGTGAAGAGTTCAAACTATTGGAGTTTTTTAACCAGTTTAATCCATGTAGTACCGCAGTGAGCGGATCTACAACATTGATAAAACGACTGATGAAAATCATCATGCCTTGGAACCCAGTGTATGTAGAGAATCGAGTAGCCATGATGTCAAGCAACGATACATATGCATTCTGCTGCAGTATTGCCAGACTTATTATATGCCCTGAAATTGAATATGCAGAGCTGATAAGTAAAGGTATTGTATATTTGCCACAAGAATCATTGTCAAGAAAGGATGCAATAGAGACTATTAGAAGAGGTATACTTACTGCTATATCTGCGGTTGGTGTTGATGCGAACTATTTGCTCAAAAACAGTAGAAATGGCGGACTCCTGTCTCTTATTTCAAATAATCTTTGTTTGAAAGAAAGATTCAAAGAACTCAGGAATGTACAGAGGTTGGAGGACCTTGCATCAATATGTGATAATGATGTTGAATACACAAACCTTGTGGTGTATCTTCGAGTAAATTCTGGAATATTTGCAAAAGTTTCACAAGTAGAGCCATTTGATTCTACATGTATACATCCAAGGAATTACGAAATATGCAGAGATATGTGCAAGTCATTATATGATCAGTTAGAGTTTGCAAAAAAACCTACATTTGATTATGTGCGTGAATTATTGAATAACCATAAAAATGTGTTTATGAATCCAAATTCATTGGACTTTGCAGGTACTTCCAACAATAAGGCACTTCTTGATGATATGTGTGGAATGCTTGCACTTAGAGATAGAGCCTTGTATTCAGGTCTCCCTGATCATTTTGTGTTTAAAGAATTGACGGGGAGCGATGAGTCTCTGATTGGAAAGACTTTTGAAGCAAGTGTTGTTAAGTGTGGAGATACATATTACCTCTTGAGTTCAGCATGCACATCTGCTGCCATTTATGTCAAGAAATCTAAACAAACAGAAGAACTTTTTCTCAACCAACTTGTTATGGTAAAGATAGAATGTATGAATTGCTTTATGCTGTCTTACACAGGATCAATAGTTGTCCAAGAGCATAGAAGATCGCAGCATTACCGGTTTATGACACATCCATTATTCAGAAATCTAAATAGTGAAGAATCAGAATGCTATCTTAGAGACAAATGCTTGCCATTGGTTCTGAGAGCAAGCAAAAATGATGGATCTCCAATAGTGGTTTTGAAGATTCTAGATGATGTTTATGTGCATATGAAGGTGGTGGAAGATGAAAAATATTGCTACAAAGAATGCATATACGATAGTTTGGATGAATTCATATCGAAGGTTACAAAGAAAATACTTATGAATGTCAAAAGCATAAAAGATCACAAATACTACTTTGAAAACGAAGGTAGTCTATTAGAGTATCTAGGCCAAGGGGGAAGTTACATAAGGTACGGGTTTTACTTCAGCAGAAAATATCCAGGAAAGATTTGCATGATGTATAGCAATGGGCGCTGTTTCAAGGAATATATAACTGTGAATGAACATCTAGTATATGAAGGAATGAACTTTGCTACATTGGATGAGTTTATGAGATATAGAAAATCTATTTGAGCCAAGCCATTAAGCAATTACTCAGACATTGCTTATGCTATTAAACAGCCATAGCATAGAAGATTCGAGATTAAATAATGCTTTGAGTGCCATTTATTGACTTTCTACAAGGTTCAGGTTCGCATGCACAAATAAACCTTCAATAAGAAGTGTAGATTAACACATGCGTAGAACAACTTAATCTTCAGGCATACCAAATATAATCCTGGTACAATCAATTCAATTTTGAGGCATGTATGTCCGAGCCCTTTTGCATAAATTTGTTTTCAGGATCAAGTTTTAGAGACTTTCTCATGTCTAACGCATCCTCATAACCATTTGTATCATGATAGTAATCAAGCACTCGTCTGTAAACAGTATATCCTAATTTCTTATAGAAATCGATTGCACATGCATTGGTACATCTAACATACAGGTCCATAAAATATGCCTTGTATATATTTGCATTGTTTTCTAGTATATCCATGCAGAGCCTTGCAAATCCATTCCTTCTTTTTCGAAATTGCACACTCAATACAGAAATATGCGCACATATAACATTGTCCTTCTCTTCCAGCCTTCCCATCAAAATTCCATAGACATCTCTAAGACAATAAAACGAACGCTTTCTTTCTACAGGAGAAACAACTGCCATGCAATCTTCCGTATGGTTTATGATGTAATACAAGTAATAACTTAATGGAAAACTCTCTGTACTATAGTCCAGATTTATTACATCCAATGAAAATGCATCACTCGGAAGCAGTGGCTCTATCTTATACATGATAGGGTTTGATCCAAGTCTGCAGTTATTCAAACTAGAATCTACTAATTACATCAAAAGCTCGTTCTACATCAAACTCTCTGTTCTTGTAAATATCACACATTCCCTTATCATTCATATCATAAACCTGCTTCAGATAGTCTGCATCAACAAATCTTGTTTTATTAAATGCTTCAAAAAAAGATTTTTCAGAAAGCACCGAAATTTGATCTTCTACCTTCTGCAAAAAGCCAAACAACTCCTTGTCTACTTCCTGTATCTCAATCACCTTTCCACTCAGACACACTGCAAGTACATACTCTCCAGGTATAAACATGATCGGTATGTCATTCACAAATATCGATGCAACCACTAATGCATGATTTTCGAATAACTTCATAATCATCATTTCACCAGTCATTTCACCAACAATCAGTTTGTCTTTATCAAACTTTGCCAGCGACACTATGAATCGAGAAACATCATCTTTATACTCTATATTTCCATTCTTCAAGACAAACACCGAATCCTTCTCCGTACCAACAAAAACCCTTGAATCATCCGTGCATAAACAGTTAATCTTCGATGGAAACTCAATTCGGAACTTTTTCAGAAGTGTCCTAATTCCAACCTCATAGCAATGTATCACATTAGATGATGTACAGTATACTCTACATTTATCTATTCTCAGAACACTTGGTGCATAATCAATTCTAAATCCATATATCAATGAATCCTGTTTATATACATTCAAAAGGTATCCTTCTTCAGATTCATTAATACATTTTTCAGAATCATTTACTGCAACAACACAGTATTCTCCACATAACGCTGCATCAATGACTGCTCCAGCTCCTTCAAGTATCTTGCTTCCATCAAACTTCTTAATACTGAACCTGAAATTCACATTTTCTGCATATCCAATCCCATCCATCAGTATCTTGCATTCTCCATCTACATGAGTTATGCAATCAATCATAATCCTTCGATTCTCATTGTAATCATAAACACTCAGCCATACTCCTTCTCCTACTATCACTTTTCCATCCACAAACACACTCTTTCTCCCATCAACTCCGATCACTCTTTGACATCTAACATCTATGCAACCATTCTCAAGTATCATAATTCTACCCTTTCTTCCAATCGCCTTTCCATTATGCTTCATTCTGCTAGGAAATCCAAGAGATCCATCCGTATTAATTTTGAACTTGTGCATTGAATATCCAACTACATACAAATAGCCTTCAAATGCCATCACATACTCAATATCCTCAAAAAGCAGTTGAATAAACACAAACCTTCTCTCTGAAATATTATACACACGTATAACATGTCGTCCAGTTACAACAAATAAATAATTCTCATGCATCTCCAATCCTTTAACAACCACTCCAATCTCAATGCACTCCATAACAGATCCTTCAAACAGCAATATCTTACTATTGCTTCCAAAAATAACATATTCAGACGATCCACAGAAATACTCATAATTTACTTCCTTCACATATATTTCAGGTTCTTTTGCATATTTATCATCTATTATCAAATCACGTAGTATCATCGATTCTTTCATTAGATAAACATCATGGCTCCTGGTTCTGAAATATCCAACTACTTCATTATCACAATCAAGTTCATATTGCTTCTCAAATTGTGTTTTGTTCATCTTGATGTTGCAAATCTTATTGTTATAACATACGCAAATCACATCTCCAGATGAAAATACATCTTTAACTACATTATTCTCACAATCTTCCTTTACATTAACTTCATGGCTAGAGTCTTCAATAATTCTAGCTTTACAAACAAAATCAATCGATAATGCCTCAACAATCTCTCCTACGTTTGTTCTGTTACACACATAAACATGATGTAATCCATCATGCATAATATACGCACTTCTACAGATCATACTGCTACTAATATCATCTGCATGCATAATGCTTATGCTTCCTTCTTCTCTCTTAACAAAATATACTTGATTGATAAAATCATGTGCTAAACAAACAAGATGACCGTAATGATCAATCGCTATATCTTTACACACACATATTTTGGTTGCATAATGCAGCTCTATACACTCTGTAACTCTGACCTCAAAAACATGGCCATATTCATTCACAACCACAGCCAATCCATCAATTCCATCAGGATCAATTGCATTACATGTAAAAACACTACCCACCAATAAATTTAGATCAGGAATTCCAGATAGTCTAAGTAATTCCAAAATATCGTACCTTTCCACTTTATAAATGCTCCTGAAAATAAAAACACTTGTACTTGAAAACACTGCAAATATCATGCCATGCAACGGGACAATCATATATCCAGCATCATCCACTATATGCTCAGTCAACACCTTGATTGTTCTTGAAAAACAATCATACTCATATACTTTAACTATCGTTCCATTACAACTTTTTTCAAGAGAGGCATATCTGTCATTACTATCAATTGCCTTAAAGTCTAGGACTACAGCTGCACATTGCCCCATTCTATACTTCATCGGTTCAGCAAGCAATCCTTCCTTAATCCCATAAAGCACCATATGCCCAAAAAACGATACAATGCAAATACTTTGTTTTGCACATGCCACATATGAACCTGGATTCCTATAATCAATATCACTTCTTCCAAACACATGCACGCTCCTCTCATCAAGATTCCCATCCAGTTGTCGTATATATCCGTTAAAAACAACCACAATGCTATTCTCAAAAGCCACTGCAGATTTAACAACATCAAAAAAATCAATCCTCTTGGCATAAACTGTTCTTCCATCTATAATAATATACTTAACAACTGATGATGCTTGTATCAGATAAACTCCAAACCGATTGCACAAAATCTTTACACAAAAATCTCCAGGCACCACAGTCTTGCTGATATAAAACATTAGGGATAAATCATATTCAGAACATCCTTTAATCAAAAAAACATATTTCGCTTCTTCTAGAAAACTCGATATCAACCTTATGTCCAACAAGATCGCGGATATTCTTCAATCCATACTTAATCATTGCCGGTCTTTCAAGAGAGAGTCCCCATGCAATCACACTCACATCTGCATCAAATCCCATCGGGCGTAACATCTCAGGTCTGAAAACCCCTGAATTTCCTATCTCTATCCACCTACCAAGCTCCTTATGATACCCAAACACCTCCATAGATGGCTCAGTATATGGATTAAATGCAGGCTTGAACTTGATGTCTTCCATACCAAGTCTACCAAAAAACTCCTGTAAAACACCCATAAGATGTCCTATGGTCAGTCCCTTGTCAACAATTAATCCTTCAACCTGATGAAATTCTGCAAGGTGCGTTGCATCTACACTTTCATTTCGAAACACCTTGTCAATAGAAAACAGCTTTGTGGGCACAAATCCGCTCTTTCCTAACTCATACAACTTTCTAGCACTCACAGATGTTGTATGTGTTCTTAGGATATTCTTTTGTGCCTCTGAAATGCTCCATGCATTTCTATGTCCCAGTGAATCATACTTTCCTCCACAGTGTGTTTCAGATACTTCCTTCAGGTATTCTGCAGGGAATTCCGTGCTTATCTCAGGATTTTTAACAAAAAAAGTATCATGCGCATCTCTTGATGGATGATCCTGAGGTTGGAATAATGCATCAAAGTTCCAGAATGATGACTCAACATATTGACTGGTACACATCTCGCTAAATCCCATTCCTACGAATATTCTCTTGAATTCATCCCTCATCTTCATCAGAGGATGCAGCGATCCAGACTGCGGGATATTTCCTCGAGTATCAAAGTTGTAGTTTTTGAAGATTGCGTCTTTGTAAGAACCACTCTGCACCATCGCAGCGGTTAGTTCCGTTACATAGCTACTTGCTTCAAACATCGGCCCTTTGATTGCTATTAACACAACGCTCTTTCTTTTGTAAATAAGTTTTCTCCTTCTCAAGGTTTCCAGATCTTCTTCAGAAGCATTTCCACTCTTCAAACTAATAATCATCCTTCTTATTCCATCTTCAATATCACCAACATTCCTGAACACTCTGTCTCCCTCCTTCCTAATCCATTTGTTTTTAAATGCATTCATCTTCCCCAGTTTGTACCTTTCGAGATCCTCAAGACTTATTCCATCCTGTCCAATCGACTTAAACAGCAAATACTCCTCACTTCCATTCTTCTCAACTTCCTCGCCCTCATTAGTTAGCACCTCCTCAAAACTCTCATTCATCTGAACATTACACACTCCCTTACTTTCAAGACTGATAAATGCACCATGTATACTGGTATATGGCGCATCAATGTCAGATGACCTTACCTCATCACTAATTCTAAGCCTCTCAATCACAGTCTCCACCACTCTTTCAATCATAGGGCTTAAAATCATCTTGAAAATATGTCTTCATCACATTGAGAGTTTCCTAGGCTTCACTCCATCTTGTGCATTCAACTTGTCCTCAAGAACTTCTAAGGCATCCTTCCTCAAGATCATTGCCTTTATCTCTCTCAGGTTCTCTGCAACATCATTTACCACGCCAATACTGTCTTCTAAGAGACCAATAGCTTTCTTACGAATTCTGAACTCTGTATATTCGCGCTTAATGTTCGTCTTGAGCAATTCAGAATACATTACAGTCATCTTCGATATCTTCTCCTTGAGCTCTGTGTTTTTTTTCGCAAGATCCCTGTTCTTCTTTTCCATAGTTGCATTGCATTAATATCGAAAATTCAAAGTAGGGCATAAATGTTCAACATAGAGCGCCACTACGGCGCACACTTGAAAAAAGAAACCATTCGCTCAGAATCGTTCCCTTTTGTCCTGGCAGACAGAGAATTCTCAAAGGCATGTAAGCAATCATTTCCAGCAATAAAAGGCATTGAAAGATCAAAAATCAAATATACAGACTTCTTAAGGATAAACAAGATGTTCACAGAGTATCTGTCAAGGCTTAAAGGCACAATAAATCCTGCAATGTTTGCAAACAAGATATACACATCCGAGCTGACCGGTGCAAAGGTAAAAATCTCGGATGGGAGAACTGGAATAGTTGTTGAGGAAAGAGTAAATTCACTTGTGATCGTCTTTAAAAACAACCTGGTAAAAACATTCATAAAACGAACAAACAACTTTTCGGTAGAGCATGATGGAACATATTATATCTTTATTGGATCAGGTATGAAATCAAATAGATTCACAAAGAAATAACTCATAATACTATAAAATACCATCTAACTTAATCATATCACATCAATTCAAACTTCAATTCTCTTAATCTATTCAAATCCTTAATAATAGTCACAAAACGAAAATGCCTTTATTTAAGAGTAAAGCCCTGCAGATGTTGCCTTTTGCTTGGATGAAAACACCTTCTCCCTTGCTGTAATAAAATCTTTCATCGTCACCATCTTTCTTCTCTCCCTTAGCGCGATCATTCCTGCTTCTGTACAAATAGCCTTTATATCCGCCCCGCTTAGATCCTCCTTGCTGGTTATCAAAGACTCAATACTCACATTCTCATCCAGAGTCATCCTAGAGGTGTGTATGCCAAATATCTTCTTCTTAGTTGCTGCATCTGGCATTCCAAATTCAATCTTTCTATCAATTCTCCCTGGTCTGATCAAGGCAGGATCAAGCGCATCTATCTTGTTCGTGGCCATAATCACCTTGATGTCGTTTCTCGTGTCAAACCCATCTAGTTGATTCAGCAGCTCTAACATTGTCCTTTGCACTTCTCTTCTTCCTCCAGATGATGTGTTGTACCGCCTTCCTCCAATTGCATCTATTTCATCAATAAAAATAATCGATGGCGCATGCATATCAGCAACCCTGAACAACTCCCTCACAAGCTTTGGTCCTTCTCCTAGATACTCTTGAATCAGCTCTGTGCCTACAACCCTAAGAAACGTTGCTGAAGTCTGGTTTGCAACAGCCTTTGCCAAAAGTGTCTTTCCAGTGCCTGGGAGTCCATATAGTATCACTCCCTTCGGTGGCCGTATCCCCATTTCCTGATAAAGCTCGGGATTCGTCAGTGGAAGCTCCACACTTTCCTTTATCTCCTGTATCTGCTCCTCAAGCCCACCAATGTCTGCATATGTCTCAGAAGGTGCCTTCTCCAGTTTCATAACATTCACCATCGGATCCATCTCTCTCTCAAGTACCCCCACAACACTGTTGTCCTTATGGTTCAGCAAAATCGTGCATCCCGGCTCAAGAAGATCCTTATCCACAAAAGACATTATGTTAACATAATACTCTAGTCCAACACCTGTAGTGATAATTGCATGATGATCATCAACAAACTCTTCTAGCGTCCCAACAGACAATGGACTTCCTCTCAATTGCTCAACCATCTGCTTCTGGCCGCTTACTCCCTCAGACGACTTGTCCATCTCGCACAAGCTCAGTATGTTGTCTTCAAGTGACAACAAATGTGCCATCTTACTTAACTTCATGTACCTCAGTTTACATTTTGTCAGTGGATACACTTGTGGTGGTTTAGATGCTGCCTTACTCTCCTTCACCCTTCTACGCCTCTTCAGGTTTATAGTGGCCGAATCCTGATTATTCTGCCCTTGATCTTCCTCACTCATTGAGGGCTTGTTTTTGTTGTCATAAATCAACCTCAATCTTCATGCATCAGGTATTTTCTATCTAATCGTTTATTCATGCATGAAACAACACAAGTTCATGCATACCCTTATTGATTGCCAATGATCAAGAATAATATCCTGAATAGTGTGGCTTCAAGATTTCTGATGTGCCTGCAAAGTGACGAAATAAACTCTGCAGAGCGTCTCTTCTTCATTCTGGAAGAGGCGCATTGGTTTATAATAGACGTATACAACATCACAAGCATTTCGTTTGTAGAGTTCAGCAAGCAGCTTCTTGCGCATGTTGGAATTGAGACAAATGTCGATGAGTCTCTAAAGGCATTCATAAAATACAGACAGTCAGTGAAAGTGTTTGGAGCAATATTACTCGATCCTAGCATGACGCATGTCCTTGTCGTTAAGGAAAAGAAAAAGCTGAAAAACTATTCGTTTCCAAAAGGCAAGAAATGCATGAATGAGAATGGCATTGACTGTGCCACCAGAGAGGTTTATGAGGAGATAGGATACGATGCAGGTAGTAAAATATGCAACTTGCCAATCTTCATCTTCGAAAAGATTACCTTCTACTTCGTATTCAATGTAAAAACAAGCTATCCATTTAAAACACAGACAAAGAAAGAAATTGATGAAATAAGGTGGATACCGATCAAAACAATTATGCAAGGTGAATGCAAGAAAAGATATTCTATTGTCAATACTGCATTAAAAAAGGCAAAAAACTTGATATTTACACTGAAGAAGTCCAGATTCAGACTCAATGTAAAGAAAATAATGCAAAGCATAGATAAAAAAATGGAATCATATATTTAAAAATAAATGTATATGTAATTTCACTGATCCAATACATTAATTGCATAATTAAACAATAAACAAGTTAGTTCTAGATTCAAATTAAAATTCATAAACGCTAATCGATTTATTTGATAAACCACAAATGCTAATCTCTCTATCACAAAAACATTCTCAGCAAAAAGAAAAGTATCACACAAAGCACAATGCCTCCCATGAATAGAAACTTGTCTGACAGGTATCTCCTGTCAATCTCATCAATCATCTGTTTACTGAGACCTAAGCGGCTTAACCCTGTCTTGATCCTGTCATTTGTTCTGTTTATGTATACATTCTGTCTCTTGACTGTCTCAAACGCATCCATCGCATTCATCAACACATCATTTATCCTTTTTGTGCTTGATGAAAAAAAGTCGCTGTCAGAGACCATTTCTTGCGCAAGTCCCTCGCTACTTTCCATATATTGCTTTTCTGGCTTGATGTTTGCATGCATTAATTCCTCGTTTGCTTCATCTTTTTGCTTTGTACGCAAACTGCCTAACTTAACTAGCCTTTTATTAAACGCATCAGCCTGTTTGTAAAGATATCGAGTTTCAGAAGTTTCATGGTTCAAGCCATGGACCGTTCTAGAAAACGACTGCACACGTATTGCAAGTCCGCCTATGTTTTCAAAATTGCTCTCGCAATTCTTCAAGTCTTTCTCAATCACACTAGCTTCTTCAATCAACTTCGATATATCATGCTCTGTCATACCAAAACAGGGTTTGCATTGCTATGTGTTTTTGTTATAAACTCCGGCTTTCATTCATAATGCTACATATCAGATCCACAGGCTCCGGCCTCATCTCGTATATACCATATCCATTGTCTTTATTCTCTGAAAGCACTGCTTCACTCGCAAGTCTTAAGTAGAACTCTTTTATCTTCTCGATATTATCGCATCCATCAAGAACCGGCCTCATCTCGGGCCTTTCTTTAAAGTATACAGACAAAAGCTTGAATAAATGAGACTTCATATGCCTGATGCCTGCACTATTTGGATGCTTACTACATATTTCAATATATTCTCTGATCATGTCCAGGCATGAGCCTCTTAATTTGCAAAACACAAGCGGATTGTGCAGATGAGCCTCTCCAACCATCACTCCATCACATTCAGTGTATTCAAGACATCTCAAGACATCTTCATGACTCATTATGTTGCCATTCGAAAGTACAGGAATCCTCAAGTTCTGTTTCACTGCTTTGATATGATCCCAGCTTGCAAGCCCCATCATAACACCTTTCTGATCTCTTGTTCGTCCATGAACCGCCAGCATTGAGCATCCTGCACTCTCAATCATTTTTGCATATTCAACAGTCTTGGAAATACACTCAAATACCCGGATTTTACATGTAACAGGAATCTTTAGATTAATTGACAGCATCCTTATAATCTCTGCAGTCAACTCCCAGTTGTCCTGGAGATATGCACCATATCCTCCCTTCTTTGCAACCTTCTGTGGGCATCCAAAGTTAACATCAATTGCATCACACTGGTCTTGGATGATCAATGCAGCCTCTAGCATCTTCTGTGGAGAGCTTCCAGAAATTTGGACAATCAACGGTCGATCACTCTCCGAGGTCGTATACCATTGATTGTTGCAAGGATTACAGCTTCCCTTCAAAAAGGACTCGCAGTGAACCATTTCTGTGTATAATATGTTTGCACCGTATCTCCTGGAAAGCATGCGCCATGCTTCCTCTGAATTTCCAACCATCGGTGCAACTGCAAAGTACGGCTTGCTCAACTTTTCCCAGAATAGCTGCATAGGGATTTTGTTTGATTACATTCTAATCATAGGCATGAATATCTCACAAATTTGCATATCATTACTAAGCTAATATAAATGGCATGTGCAACTAATTCATAGGATAAAAACAATCATAAACAGCTCCAAGCTTTTCTAAAGTTCATGTATAGTCTTTATTGCATTCAAATAGCCTTCTGCCTGATTCTCAGTGCATTGTACTCCTTGACCGCTGCAAATACAAATCCTGCCATTGCTATTCCAAGAATCACATAAACCAGAAAGTTTGAACTCTTGTTGTGGTTGTCACTTAACTTGTTTACAATATGATCAAGATCCGCAAATGCTTTCTGAATCTTCTGGATTCGAATGTCAATGCTGTTCATATTCTCAGATAATGACATCAGTTTTGTGTCCACTGTGCCTGATTTACCTGATGATGCTGTAATTTCATCCATCTTTTTCATAACCTGCTTTTGCTGCTCATGAAGAGTATGCAATATCTTGTCAAATGATGTGTCGTTTATGTCTCCAATAATCAGCTGAAGATAGTTATGCAGATATTCGGTCTTGGATACAAGATGTCTTATCTCCTCTTCTTCATGCATAACACTGTCTGGTGATCGTGGACCTTCATTTACATACGGTGCATGAATCGCATGGATCGTATATTCATCGGTTTCTATCCTTTCAAAGAGCTCTGCATTTCGTAGCTTGTACACACTATTTGAAGGTGCTCGGTCATAAAATGATGTGATGTTGAAATACTTTCCAGAGCCTATCTTTATTGAGTTGCCATTTCCATGATATCTGAAGCTGTCGTAAAGTAGCCTATCTCCGTCATACAATTCCACCTTGAAGTTCTTTTTTGTGGATATCACCTTCACTGTTATATCATTTACTCCTCTAAGCCTTGCTGGATTTATTACATCTCTGTGTAGATTCATATCCTCAGATCCTTTCAGGCTTTCTTCGCCATTATTGAATGCCATCACTATCTCTGGTTGTGCACCTCTAAATTCAAGCCCCGCCATTATGCCATCAAACTTGTCGTTTCCACCCTTGTACTCGCCTTGGTCTGGAATCTCAGATGTATACCATAGATAAACACCTCCAATATGTGGAAACCTTAGTGCTGCGTTTGTAAATGTATATGAAAAACTCCATTCTTCATGTGGATTTGGCTCAAGAAATGCCACAAGCCCACCCTCATCGGTGTGTCTTCTAAGAGATAAGCCATCTGCTTCTACATGCGTTCCTTTCACTCCAACCTTTTCATTAGCTCCATTCGGATGATATGCTACCTGGGGATATGGCTTTTCAATAACACCCTTATTGTGTTCATGCTCCGCCACAATACTTGAGAATGCATATCCGAGGACTAAAACAACCAAACAACATCTTACCATGACTGTTTATGAGCCAATTGTTTTTATGCTGTTTATGAAACAATGTTTTACTTTTATTTACTGTGTGCAATTTTTCAATACTATCACAGCAGGCTTCAAGGTTTAATTCATGTATTCATGTAAACAAATCAAGCAAGATGAATGCCGTTTTGATTATCGAATTACTTATGGCTACTTGTATTGCCACCCAAGGCATGGTTGTGCCTGGCACTTCGCCACTTAACAGAACTTTATCATGTAAATGCATTGAAGATGATCTGAAATGCAAGGATGCATGTTCAAAGTCAGGCATTGCTGCTTCGGACAATGCTCTTAGGATTATGCAAATTCAAAGTCCATCAGGCACTGTTATTACGAAAACTATTCATGCAGATGAAAAGCCATTTGTCAAGTTTGTCGAGAAAAAAATCAGCAAAAACATATATGGTAGCGGATATACTCCAAATGCTGATGGTGGAAACGGTTCTGCACAAGCGATGGCTACGTTTCTAACAGATGCTCTACCCACAAAAACTTCTGAAAATATTGTCTACAAAGGCGACATTGCTTCGTATAATGGCACATCATACAGAGCTTGTGACTTGTATGACTGGGCAGCAAAAATCCGTGCAAATGGGCAATATATGTCTATGAGCGACGAATTAAAAACTCTGTACAATAGCATCACTGAGAATTCAAATCTAGGTGGCATGTGTGCAAGGAAATCTTCTGTAATAGAGCTTCCTAAAGTCATTCAGAACATCGATAACAAACGTTCAGTGCCTGATACCTCTACAGAAGAGATGCCTTCTCATTCCCTCACAAACCTTAATGAACCTGTTATAATAGAAAGAAATAACGTGATTCCTGTATTTATCAGGGACTCAGATGTGTTCCATAATATATATCCTGAAAGATATACACAAAAAGATGATCCAAGGATGCTTCTTAATCAAGACACTGGAGTATCTGTGTCAACAATTACATTGAGAACAACAACCACAACAACAACAACCAAGGCACGGTTGATTGAGCAAGCAGAAGACATGGCATCAAAGAAGATGAAAACACAAACAATAATAACAACCAGAACAATTACAAGGCATCCAAGAGTGTCTCGAGGCATGCGTGATCTCACTACAACAATTCTTAAGACAATGTATGTTGATAGAGATGGCATGGATAGCAAAATAGAAACAGATGATCGTGCTGAATCTGAATCAAGTGCTTTCTCAGCAGCTGCTCTTGAAAATAAGACAAAGAATGGCTTTAAAAATAAAAAGTATAAGCCAAGTACACAAAAACTGATGGAGTTTGATTTGCTTGAACAAATCAAGAGTCTGCTCGACTCGGAGACACACAATGCCAACAAGAAGATTGTTACAACCATAGTACCTGATAAGCCATCAATAGCTGAACTTCTGCATCATCAATCACCAGAAAGTGCATTATATACAGTTCCTCACACAACCACGCTCACGATTAGCAAAGAACACACAACAACAGTCTACAAAAGCGTACCTGAACCTTCTAATAAGGGATATTTGGAATCTATGCATAAGGACCGTATGCCCATGGAGTATGAAGATGCATTTAAAGAGTTGTTAAAGGGAGTTTCTGAATTTATGAAGATCAACAAGGCATTACCATCTACAAAAGAGAGCATATTGAATGGAAAGAATGTGGCTACGAAGAAATTAACAACCACAGTAGTGGAGACAGTTACAAAGACAAAGAATGTTCATGATTCCATCTTATCACAGAGCCAATCAATAGCACTGCCTTCTGTGGCTACTGTTCTGAATATACCTCATGCTTCACAGACTAAAGAAGATGAAGAGCATTCTATCATAATGAGCAAGTATGAAAAGAAGGTTGAAGAGCTTATGAAGAGGATTTCAATGAATGAAGAGAGAGAACAGAAACTAATTGACATGATACTAACGATGGAAAGAAACAAGAATATGAAGAATGAACAGAATGAATTTGAGATGATACGAGTACATGACAAAGATACCATGGATGAAGAGCATATAGAATCTAGTGTTTATTTACCACGTTATCTAAAGCATATGGAAGGCTTGAATGATATTAAGAAGTATGGAGCGAAAGTGCCTGGATTGCATGATGACCGAGCGAATGATATAGGTATGTATAATGGAATATCGAGTAGTAAGGATATAGATAGTGTTAGTGAGAATGAAGATAAAGAAGCTGAGAAAGACTCTATAAAATCAATAATGAGTGTGCTATCGATTGAGAGATTATCTACGCATGAATTTGATACTAAAAGACAGAAACTGCCAAAAGAGAATGAGCATCATGCATCTGCCATGAAGAATAAATACAATCTAAAATCAGTTTATGCTGATGAACCTGAGATACTGCGATACGGCAAGAAAAATGGCAAGAAGAAGATTGCTAGAGATATTTCTAAGAATGATGAAGATAGAGTTATGATAGAAAGTGTGGTTGATGTGTTAAAGGGATTGAAGGAGACGCTTACGGAGCATGAGGTGGTAACTAAGACTGTTATCAGTACGGTTGCCAAAGAGTTGGACAAGGATATGCATATTAGTGTGGTGAGTTCAGTTGTTGAAGATCAGGTACGAAGGCTTGAAAGGGAATTAGATGGGTTTGAGGAGAAGGTTGAAGCAGTGGTTGGAAAGAAGCTAAAAGAATTCAAAATGCATCGTAATGCCGATCGTAGTCATAATGATGAGATTGTTTCTGTTGTATTACCTGTTATATCTAGATCTGTGATAGGAACAAGCGATGAAGATACAACTGAAAAAGAAAGTAAATCGAAAAGAATGAGAACTAGAATGGTTACAGTGATTGAGTCAAAAGAGAGTATTAGTAAAGATGCAAGCATCAGTACGGTGTATAATGAGATACCAAAAGTCGCATACTCAAGAATTGAGTCTTATGTAAAACAACCGGAATCGGTATGCTTGGAAAGTATTGATGCAAAAAGCTTAGATGGAAAAAGCATGGACGATGTTGTATTGGATATAAAACAAAAGAAGATTCCAAATGACAGTTTGCTGATTTCTGATGAGATTGTCATAGATGAGATAGTGGAAAAGCTAACGCCGTTTGTAAACGGAATAAATATGTCTTCTATCAGTGCAGATCAAACACAAAATGAAGGTGAAAGCACTGTGGCATCGATATCTGTTGGCTAGTGAATGTTATTTAGATAGAGAGCAATAAAGAATAAATATAATAATAAATAAGTTTGACATATGATATATATCCCTTATAAAATGCTTAGAGACGAGGTATTAAAAGCAGAAGACCAGCCATGGATAGTTAATCAAATTTTACATAACTGTTCTGATGCGATTGGATTCATTGACTTGTATCTAAAAAGGAATCCTGAGTGTGTTCAAGAATGTTTTCTGAAGTACTACAGCAAAGTTTCAGTTGATTCTCAAGCAATACTTTACGAAAAATGCAGGGTGTCTGTAGACAATGAGGAATTTGAGAAGAGATGTATGCAAATGTATTGTATAGAGAGACAATCTGATGTTTGTCTTGATGTCATAAGATGCTCGAGGAGTCCTCGGATGATGTTTAAGATAGTTGGGAAATGCTTCCTAGAGGGCATTAATAGATTGCCTGATCAGGATTTATTTTTTACAAGATGTGTGGTTATGGCATTAAGAAGCCATACAATAGAAGCTGATGACATGAGCCTTTTAATAAAAGGAGTTAATAAGCATTTTATTGATGGACGTAGGAAGTATTATGAACATGGAGCTATTGTTGCAAGTGTTTTGATGGACAGTGCGGATTTTAAGATAGCAGCAATGGAAGAAGCACAAAAAATGCTTGATGATCTTCCAGAGCATATTCTATGCAAGTATAAATGTGATTTTATGAATCCAAATGATGTATTTTGTAATTATACGAGAGTGGAGAACGATGTAAATGAAATTAGGTTGTTATGGAAGCCAAGATATCTCCAAGATGCAATTAGGATAATTTCTGAAGAAAAATACAGAGACAAGATAGAAGCAAGCTTCCGATGCTTTCGTGATCTTGTGCAAAGTGCAACTGAAAGAGTGATACAGAATAGATGCAAAGAAGCGCTTGATGTTCTTATCTGTTATGACGGATGCGAGGAGTACAAGATTGATGCCATTTCATCATTATTTGAAAGATCATTTGACTATTTGGTACAAGATGGATTGAATAGTTTATTTGAAGCAAAGACTTGTTTAAGGCATAAACTATTACTAGCGTTTACTTTCAAAAGGCTTGTGGAGACAGGAACGTATGTGAATGCCAAATATCTGCATGAAAATATTAAGTTTATGCTAAGCAGGGCAGATAATGTTCCTAATGTGCTTGCAAATGTAATGTGGGATGCAGTTTTCCAAGGGATGAGAAGAATTGGCAAATCGCCTGAAAATCACAATGGAAGTGCAAGGATGTGCTTAAACCCAATTTGATATGTAAATGAATATAATATTTGTGCATGAAGTTTAAATAAAGATTATTTGAGATGCAATGCCCTCAAATGAATGAAATATGTTTGAAAGTAAGGCTTGGAGAAGAAGAGATCAAGATTGTAAAGGGTAAGAGTGCATATGATGTATACAATGAAACCAGAAAAGGTGATAATGATGTCGTGGTGTGCAAGATCGATGGTGTTTTGAGCGATATGTGCACAGAAATACAGAATGATTGTGTGCTAGAGTTTGTGAGGTTTGATGATGCTGAAGGAAGGGAGGTATTCTGGCACTCGTCAGCACATGTTCTAGGAAATGCACTGTTGAACCTGTATCCTGGAGCAAGGCTATCTCATGGGCCTGCGACAGAAGAAGGGTTTTTCTACGATGTGCATGTTTCTGAGGCGATTTCGTCTGATGATTATAAGAAGATTGAGGATGAGATGTATAGAATTATAAAGAGAAATGCAAGGTTTGAAAAAAGTGCAAAGAGTAGAAATGAGTTGTTGGAGATGTATAAGGACAATCCATTTAAGACACATTTTCTGAATAAAATTGAAGGAGGAAGTACTGTCTATAAATCAGGAGAGTTTGTGGACATGTGTCTTGGGCCTCATGTAAGATCGACTGGGATGATAAAGGCAGTTAAGGTGCTGAAGAATGGTAGCGCATACTTTTTGAATGATCCGAATCGGGAGTCGTTACAAAGGGTGTACGGAATTGCATTTCCATCGAAAGAGCTACTGCAAGAATATTTAAGGAAGAAGCAAGAAGCAAAAGAAAGAGACCATAGGAGAATAGGCACTGAGCTTGAGTTGTTTTTTTTCTCAAAGTATTCACCAGGATCGTGCTTCTTTCTTCCTAATGGAGCGATTATTTACAACACGTTGATTGAGTTTTTGAGAGGAGAGTATAGGAAAAGAGGATTTAAAGAAGTTATAACGCCAAACATTTTTTGCACACAGCTATGGGAAGAAAGTGGACACTTTACAAATTATAAGGAGAATATGTTTATTATCGAGGGAAATGAGTTTGCAATGAAGCCTATGAACTGCCCTGGTCATTGTGTCATGTTCAAGCACCAGGACCACAGTTTTAGAGAGCTTCCATTGAGATATGCGGATTTTGGAGTACTGCACAGAAACGAACTGACTGGCGCACTTACAGGATTAACCAGGGTACGAAGATTTCAACAGGATGATGCACATATATTCTGCACTAAGGAGCAAGTGAAGGATGAGATTAAGGGATGCATTGAGTTTCTAAGGTTTGTTTATCGAATATTCAAGTTTAGGTTTGAATTGGGATTGAGCACAAGACCTACCCAGTATCTTGGGTCTATTAATGAATGGGATGATGCAGAAAAGGCGCTTTCTGATGCCATGGATGAGTGTGGAATTCCATTTAAAATCAATGAGGGCGATGGAGCATTCTATGGACCTAAGATTGATATTATCCTCCATGATGCATTAGGAAGGGCAATACAGTGTGCAACTATTCAGCTTGACTTTCAGCTTCCACAGAGGTTTGGATTGGAATACCGTGACAGCGATGGACAGCAAAAAACGCCTGTTATAATACACAGGGCGATTCTTGGAAGCATAGAAAGAATGATTGCAATTATTCTTGAGAGCTTTGGGAAGAGGCTGCCATTCTGGTTGTCACCGAGACAGATTGCTATTGTTAGCATGGGAAATGCAGAATATGTTAATGGAGTGAAGGTTTTGCTCTCTAGATTTAGGGTTGATGTGATTGATGACAATAACACTCTGAACAAGAGGATAAGGACAGCAGAAACACAAGGATATGCATTTGTGTGTGTTATTGGGAAGAAGGAGGCTGAGAACCAGGAGATAAATGTTAGGTTTGGCAAAGAAAACAAGAATTTCGATATCAATGCATTCAAAGACATTCTGGATCAAATGGCCGATGAGAAGCTTGAGTTTGAAGACATTCTGGACATTACGAAAGCCACAATAAGCAATTAAAAAGTATTATGTTTATTTCTACTCGATTAGTTATGAATATGGATTGCCAGGTCTTGATTTATTCTTTTAGGAGTAAGAGCTGATGCAAATGTAATTGATAATCAACTAGCCATTTCTGTTTACTATGTCCTTTTTCTTCATTAGAATGACTTCTTTGCATGGCTCTTTACAGAATGAGTCTGAACATATGCACACATATGCACTTTCTTCATTATTTATTGAAGGATGCATTGCATAGAACACCACTTCTTCTACTGTTGATAATGTGCAGCTTTCATTGATCAGGTTGTGAAGTGGAATCTTTTTTTCATTTGCAACCTCATTAAGCAGCAGCTTTATAGTATTGAGTGTATCTAAAGCTTCCATACTAGAAATATCACGTTTTTGAATCAGTCCAGACACTGTCATCTTACCATCCTTTAGTACATCTTCAAACTTACTAACTTTGATTCCCTCAAAATACCCAGTTTCATCAATAAGCCTGCCTGCCTGCTCTTTGAATACTAATCTACTCCAGTAATCGATCAGTTGATTACCATTGTCATATACAATGACATTACGAACAACTCCTATTCCAGGTTTATTCTTGAGCTTGTCTCGGATGAAGCCGATATTCTGAAAAAATGTACAGAGTAAATTGTAGTTCATGGGAATGTGCTCGATGCTCTTAAGCATCTCTATTCTTGTCTTAGCGTCATTTGATGATACTTCTTTATCATGTTGTGTGATATCTTTGTTATTTGCAATGATTTGTGTATCTTTATTGGTTTGTATAGAGTTGAGATGCGGTTCATCAGCTGACTTGCTTCCTGTCACACTTGCTTTTTCTGTAAGGATGCGTCCAAGAAGGATTGTTAGAAGATCTCTCAATGCTTTGTCTTTGGATGCTTTGTCTGTGTTTTTCTTTGGATTGCGAATCGTATTTGCTTGTGAGTGTCTTTGCTGTGTGTTAATTGATTCATCATTCAACAAGACTATTTCAACCGTGCTTTCATCATCTCTGTTGAATTCATGAACTGCACTGGCATGTGCTATGATAATCCACATAATCGAAATGATCCCTGACACATGCAATCCTCTCATGCCTGCAAACACCAATCAATTCTGCTAAAACAATGTTCAAAACAAATGTTTCATAATCAATACATCATCTGCAATACTTTATAATAGAGTTTGCCTAATTATTTATTTGATTATGTGCTTGCTGCCTGGATATATCCAGAGAAGGTAAACTTCTTATCTTTCAGCTTTTCTTCCTTGACAGCTGCAAAGTTTCCTTCGACAAACAATTTTCCACCAGGCTTGTTGGGATTAGTTCTCTCAGGCATGTTTTTCAGAACATAAAACAAATCGTTCATTTCAGGACTTCTTTCTTCCTTATCTTCCTTCTTTCCTTCTCGCTTGTTATTCTTATCATCATTCTTATCGCTGTTATTTTCATCCTTTTCCTTCTTATCTTCCTTCTTATCTTCCTTCTTATCTTCCTTCTTATCTTCCTTCTTATCTTTGTTTTCTTGGTCTTTCTTTTCCTTCCTATCTTCCTTCTTATCTTTGTTTTCTTTCTTTTCCTCTTTATCCTTCCTATCCTTGTCGTCTCGGCCACCATTCTTTTCTTTCCTATTCTTGCCTTCTTTTTCTTCCTTATTGCTACTATCATTTTCGTTTATATCCTCTTTCTTAGACTCTGTGTCTTTGCCTTTATCTGAAAATCCAAAGATACTTTTTATAGAGGATGCATCTGAAGATTCATCATCATCTTTTTTGTCCTTCTCATTTTTTCTCTTATCTTCCTTCTGTTTTAGCTTCTCTTTTTTATCTTTATCTTTATCACTGTCTTCCTTGTTTTTCTTGTCTTTATCATTACCTTCTTTCTCCTTCTTTTCTTTCTTTTCCTTTTCCTTTTCCTTTTCCTTTTCTTTTTTCTCTTTTTCTTCTTTCTTTTCCTTTTCTTCTTTCTTTTCCTTTTCTTCTTTCTCTTTCTCTTTCTTTTCCTTTTCTTTCTCTTTCTTTTCCTTTTCTTTCTCTTTCTTTTCCTTTTCTTTCTTTTCCTTTTCTTCTTTTTCTTTCTTTTCCTTTTCTTTCTCTTTCTTTTCCTTTTCCTTTTCTTCTTTCTCTTTCTCTTTCTCTTTCTCCTTATCTTTTTCCTTCCTATCATTCACTCCAATTGTAGATACCTTGGTAGAAACATCTGCATTCCCCTGAGTCGCTTCTTGCTTCTCCTCTGATCCATTCACACCATTTAGATTCTTATCATCCTTGCCTTGCCCTTTTGGCTCTTCAATATCCTGCACAATCGTCATAACCTTGACATTCACTTTAACCTTCTTGACCTTTCCGTCATCGTCAATTATGCTAGTCCAATATGATTCATTGCTACTTCCCCCTGCAATATTTGCTACTGATGGCGTGTACACCACTCCAGGAATTCTAGCACTCTCATCACTCTCTCTGAATCTTCCAGAATCATTAATCTCATTTGCATTCCCATCAGATAGAGACTGAAGATCCGCCTTGATGTTCTGATCAGATAGAACACCTTTCACAATTGAAATAACCTGCTGCTCACGCTCTTGCCCTGTCTTGCCTTTCATGCTCTCTTCAGAAGATATAATAATAATCGGAACATCGCTTGGCTTTTCCACGCTAGCGTCTTTCTCTTGTCCCATGAGCATCGATGGCATCTTCGAGCCTTCGCTTAAAGATGAGCTACCTATTACGTCAGACTGTGTGTCCTTAGAATCACTGCTCAAAAGACGCTCCAAATTAACCTCCTTGAACACATCTGCTCGTACAAAGTATCTGAACATCACCAACACCAATGCTGTTTTCATTTATGTTTCGCAAAAACATTGCTTATATCTCATTTGTTTCAAGTTATCACATCAAAACATGTTTTACTGTTGATATCCGTCAAATCTTTCAGTTATGTGATTTACTTCCTAGATGGAAATTCTTTGATTCTAACCATGCATAAACCATTGACTTTTTAAAAAACTCAGGTATTATATCATAAATCATTAGACTTTTCAAGAACTCAGATATTATATCAATTTAATTCAACTCAGATCCAGTATCTATTCAGAAGACACACACCGTATCTTGCCACATGGATTCATGCATTTATCTCCCTGGCATTCGCATTCCTCCTCACATTCTATCTCTTCAGGCATCTCCTCAGGATCTTCAAGTATTATAGTGGTGTTGATCGTTTTCACATATCCCTCATCAGGTATCTTTGTCTTCCTTAATGCCTCCACGTAAACAGTCGATATAGGAACTTCTGCTTCCTTTGTTTGTGTAACTGTTGTTGTCTCATGCATGATCTCTGTTGCCGTGGTTGTGATTTCGATTGTCTTGTATTCAACAATTGTTGTTGGCTTAATTACAGTCTTCTGCTCTACGATTATTTCTGGTTCTTGTGTAATCTCTTGTGTGATTATCACTTCTTTTTCAATGGTGCATGGTGGCTTGACGATCGTCAGTTCCTTTATAATTGTAGTTGGAGGAAGCTCAATCTTTTCGGTTTTTGTTATTGTCTCTGGTGGTGCTGTTATTGTTACTTCATTTATTCTTTCAGGTTCAATCGTCTTCTTACAATCATCGACATCAGATTCATCCTTGCAACTGTCATTGTACTTAACCTTTATGGCCTTAATGGATATGCTTGGTGATACACTGCATGGCTTATTTTGTGTATGCGAGCCTTTGTTTGTATCCTGCAATTCAATCGCTTGTGCATTTATATTACTGGGTTGTGATAAAATAGTTGCCACTGGAGCTTGCTGAACTGTTTCAGGCAGCATTGCAACACTAGGTGATGGCGCCTGTGGACTGTTTGAAATTACTGAATTGGTATTTGCGACAGGTTGTGTTGATTGTTGATTGTTCGTACTTGCCTGTGCAATGTTAGATGTTTGTGTAGCATTAGATGTGGAGGATGCACTTGTTGCTGGTGAAGACTGCATAACACTTGTAGTTTGTGAAATACTTGAAGGAGATGTACCGCTTGAACCTGAACTACTTGATGATGTATTACTGGACACACTGCTTGGAATACTAACGGAAGATGAAACAGACCCAGATAATGCACTTCCTGTTGTATTCGATATTGGCATCACACTTGAGTAAGTGGACTCTGAATGGATAGACATTGCCATGCTTTGACTCTGGATGACATCCACTGAAGAGTATATCTTTTCAATGGCATTTGCTTGTTTCTGGCAGCTCTGGCTGCTAACCTGTTTATCCTGATACAATCCTGTCTCAGATAGTTTGCCCATTTCTGGAATCTCTTCTTTTGGGCATCCACAGTCTTTGCCAATGAACAATCCTGATGCATCGACTAGCTTTCCATCTCGTTCTTCAAATTTTATATTTCCGGAGTAGTCCGTGAAAGAATCACCATTTCTGTATACCAACACCTGATCGACTCTTTCGCAGTCTTCACAACTTTCCAAGATTTTATTAATGTCTGACGGGCTGAGCTCCTTAACTTTTTCTATTTCAGGCATCTTTTTCATCAGAGAAGATATCGTTGATTGAGGAGCAGCAGAAATGCTGTGTGACATAATAGAAGCTGATGCCATTGAAGACATAATTGCTGAAGATATTGATGAGGTCATAGAATTCATAGATGCAGAAGAAAGTGACATTGATGAGATCAAAGGTGCAGATACTGTTGATGGCACTGATTCTGACATAATTGACGATGGTATAGACTCAATGCTTCCAATGCTAGTAACTAATGTGTGAATCTTATTTGATGTGTTCATACTTGATGTAGTAATTGATGAACCATCTGAAATTGATTTTTCAAGGACTGAATTTATGCTTTCATCGTTCTTTTTGGTTTGTGGAGCTTTATTACTTGCTTGTGTTTTGTTCTTTGAATCTGCAGATGTAACAGTACTTGGCTCTTTACTAGCATCTTTTTTAATGTCACGTGTTACACTTTGCTTATCTTGTTTTTTGTTATCTGCTTGTTCAGATTGATTGTTTTTGTCTGCTTCGCTTTTATTACTTTCTTGTGTTTGTTTCTTGGATTTCTGTTGCTCTTTTTCTTTAGCTTTCTGTTCATCTTTGTCCTTTTTTTCTTGCTTCTTTTTTTCTGCTTCTTCCTTATCTTTTTTTTTCTGCTCCTCTTTTTCTTTAGCTTTCTGTTCGTCCTTGGCTTGCTTTTCTTGTTCGGTCTTTTCTTGTTTTTGTTTATCTTTTACTTTCTGTTCTTCCTTGTCTTTTGCTTTCTGTTCGTCCTTGGCTTGCTTTTCTTGTTTTTTCTTTTCAGCTTCAGCTTCTTCTTCTTCTTTATCTTTTACTTTCTGTGCTTCTTTTTCTTTAACCTTTTGTTCATCAGTAGCTTGTGTTTCTTGATCAGTCTTTTGTTTGCTCTGCTCTGCTGATGTATCTTTTTTGTTTGAGAGTGTCTTTTCTGATGCTTGTTGCTCATCTTGTTTGGCTTTGCCTGATTTTGGTTCATCAGCTTGATCTGCAGGTTTTTGATCAAGTGGTTGTTGTTCTGCTTGATCATCCTGTCCTGTAGGTACAGCAGCATCTGGTGACTCACCAAGACTGCTTTTTGTACTTGATATGGTATTGAGGATGCCTGACTTTTCAAACAATTGACTCAGGAAGTCACTTCCAGACTTGACATCCTTCAGGTTGATATAGAACACCCTTTTGTTGATTGAGAATGCAAACAGCATCATCAGTAACATTGGCTTCATGAAGATTGTTTATTTACTTGCATCTGGCCTCAAATAAACCCGTTTCATCAGATTGTTTGCTGTTTCAGATTGTGAGCATAGAACAACATACAAGGCACACACATAAACATGAAGAAATAATACAAAGAAACATGCATAAACACAAAAATAATCAAAAGGCTGGAGAATGCGGGAGTTGAACCCGCGACCTCTTACATGCTAAGCAAGCGCTCTACCACTGAGCTAACCCCCCTTCAAAAAATATTAAACCGTACCGCGCTTTTCATACTACATTTCATACATCATCAACACAACTATTCTCAACATCTAACTCCAACACACATACAACATGCAAATATTTATTGGTTTTGACAACACATCCAACCGTGTTGCTCAAGCCTCTATTATCTTATTCTCGCTCTTTCTAATAACCACAGCCATCCTTCGTCTCCATTTCTTCATTGCAATAAACAGCCCTTTCATCCTCATCTGGAATCCTACTCCAATCCCCATCAACGCAATAAATGGATATGCCTGTGGTATTCTGAAAATCCTAATCGGCGACTTCCATATCACCTGATTTACTGCATCCACACCCAGGTCACGCTTCAAAATAATCTCAAGAACAATCCACATCAGCATTACACCAATAGAACTAAAGAAAACTGCATAAAATGCGTTCTTAATCTGCTCAAATCTCCCTACAATCAAAACAAGTGCATAGAAGCATATGAAATGCGAGACAATCTCTCCGGATCCAGTCTCAACTAAAGCGCTCGTGAAGATCTTATTTGCAAGCGATGATCCAACAATTGCAGAAATCAACCATAGAATCGGAACTACACATGTGTTTGTGACAAATGCTATGCAGATGCATAATGCACAGAAAAACAACTCTCTCAACAACGCCCTGTTGAAAACTTCGATAATGCTTGAAAGAATTCCAACTTCATCGGCTTGCACGATTCTAGTGCATATTGTTGGATCGATCGCAATCATTGATAATCTAATTACTATTGAAAGTGCAATGTTCTTGTACGCTTGACCCTGGAACACCATAAGCAAAGCGCCTGAGAACACAAGAAGCAATGATGTTCTGCTCGCATCAACTAGTAAGCTTCTTCTTTCAAATATGTCCTTTGCAGCAAGCACCAGTTCATATGAGCTTCCCAAACAAAACAAAGGCATTTGCAATTCACACCATCATGCATTGCTTTATTTATCACTCTGCAGTGGCACATAAAATTTGATTGGACAATGTAGAATGGCATGTATGGTGCACTTATGGCTCAATAACACACCTTGATTAATGAATGTACACTGTGAAACACATAATACGATTTGTTGCTTGATCAGGTGTTGTGTATGCTCTGTTTTGGATCCGGATATTTGAAACCATGCCTAAGAGATTAGTTTATGAGGAGTACAAGTGACAATTCGTAGATGTAGTGATTCTACACAGTGCATGTTATCTCCTTATTTTCCAGATCAATAAGAATGCAAAATCCGTTGATCTTGATCGCCCTTGGAATGTTCGTAGCAATCAAACAGGAAAGGCCTTTTGTAAATGTTGAAGGGCGCAAAAGACGCTTGCCTGTATTTCTCTACAATGTGTTGTGTGTAGCAACATTTGGGATGCTGTACATGATCTGTAAGTATGTGCGGAGTGCCAAGAAAGTCATACTCAGCTCTCGATGTAACATTTCAGATGCAGATTGTGTGATAGTCACACATCACAATGGGCAAGAAGAGTTTATTGATGTAAGATTGTATGAGACGATGGGTGTGTGTGCTCTTCAAAGATATTCACAGGAAGGCAAAGCACGTGTAATTGAGTCACAGTTTTACAGATTAATATATGATGTGTCTGCAAAGAGATTTATTGTCCCACCAGAGCAAAAGACACTTGAAAAGAGCTTTGAGGAGTTTTACAGTGGAGAAGTTTCAAAGTCACCAGAGAAGGAAATGGCGGAGTATATACTGAGGAATGTGTTTTACGGGAAGAATATAACGAATATGCCTATTCCTGGGATTATTGACATTCTTTTGAAGAATACATTGAGTGTTACTTTTATGTCCAATGTTGCATGTGTGCTTGTGTGGAGTGAGATTGATTATGCAAGGTATGCAATGGCGATGGGCATTATTGTTATGTATTCGTTTGTATTTACGAACTGGGAGGACATCCGTCATTCAATGAGCATGCGACGACTTTTAAAGAAAAAGAGTGTCCGAGTACTTCGTACAGGACAATTTGTGCAGGTAGACAGCCAGGAAGTGTATCCTGGGGATGTGATATATATTGAGCCATGCGATGAGTTTTTGTGTGATGCATTGGTGATACGAGGAGATGCAATAACAAACGAATGCCTTCTTACAGGGGAGACTGTACCGATATATAAGAATGCAGATCAAGAGTCGATAATATATTCAGGGACTGGCGTTCTAAAGAGTATTAACACCATGCCTATGTCTGCATGCATGGGAGGAGGGAATTTATGCAGGGTTAGGAATCTGACGAATAAGAACAAGCCTAGGACGGTTGGGATTACGGGGTCGATTGATGCATTTGAGAACTTTGCGATTGGACTTGTTCTACGAACGGGGTTCCATACAGCACGTGGACAGATTTTGAAGAATATGTTAAATGCAAGGCCTGTAGTTAATAGATTTGTTAAGGAGGCTGAGCTTGTAATATTCGGTATTTTATGCGTTGCTATTGTATTGACTGCAACCATGGCCTTTGTGTTTGATGCGATGGGATTTTCCAATAGGATGAATGTTGCATACAGCATTGATTTGTTTTTTACACTTGCCAATCCAGCACTTCCGATATATCTTAGGCTTGGGACACAGTTATGCTACAAGAAGCTGTTGAGGAGGAATATACATTGCAGCAGTCTTGATAGGATTAACTTGGCTGGAAGGGTTGATACTGTGGTATTTGACAAGACAGGAACGTTGACGTGTGAAGGACTTGATATACTGTGTATTGATGATTTACAGAAGCCTACGAGCGAGATTGAGAAGGTGGACATTAAGGCCAGGATTGGACTGAGCACGTGCCATCTTGTTTATGAGCTGGACGGGAAGTATTCTGGTGACTCTCTGGATCTAAAGATGTTTATTTTTTCGTCATCTAGGCTTGTGCAGCATGAAAACCTGCGAAGTGTAGTTGTTGGTGGGCACAGCAAGGTATATGGTCCGATTCTTAAGGAGTACAATGATACTAATGGCACAGTGTATTATCAGAAAGGCAGAAAAGGAACACACGTAATGAGCGACGAGGAGATTCAGGATGCGTATCCGACAAGTCTTGGACTTGAAAGAGTATGGGAGCGTGAGACTTCTGATGAGATGAGTTTAAGGGATGAAGGATCGCATGAACAGGAGATTAATGAGGAGATTAATGTGACAATAGTAAAGAGTTATGAATTTGACTCTGTTATACGAAGGATGAGTGTGGTAGTGGAGTATACAAATAAGAAGAGTATTTTTTCGAAAGGATCTCCTGAGTCTATACGCTCAGTTCTGAAAAGTGTGCCGAATGGATATGAAGAGAAGGTTAGAGAGTACTCATTGGGTGGGTATAGAGTGATTTCATTGGCATATAAGGATGTATCTGAAAGTATAGACAGAAGCACGGATGAATCTGAACTAAATTTCCTTGCTCTTGTGGTGTTTTCTAATAAGCTTAAAGCTGATTCAAGGAGGACGATTGACGAGCTGAATGAGGCAAAGATTAGAAATTTAATGTGTACTGGAGATAATATTCTGACTGCGATATCTGTTGGTAGGGAATGTGGAATTATTGAAGAGTTTATGCCAGTCATATTTCCTGTGATTGAGGAGAATGCAGATTCTATTTTTGATGTGGAATGGCTGTGTGTTGGAGATGAGGAAGAATTTACTTTTGACAAGGTGAGGCTGAGCCTGTATAGAGAGAATGATCGGGGATCGAGTACGGACTTTGTAGTTGCTTGTGAAGGAAGGGAATTTGATTTTTTCAGAAACACTCATTACTTCCAGTTTATTCTAGAACGTGGGGCTGTGTTTGCAAGGTTCAACCCTGGACAGAAGAAAGCTCTTGTGGAGAATCTACAAGCAAGAGGACGTGTGGTTATGTTCTGTGGAGATGGGGCGAATGATAGTGGAGCACTTAGTAGTGCGGATGTGGGTCTTGCGCTTGCGCATAATGAGGCGAGTCTTGCAGCAAATTTTATGTCTTCTGAGATAGGATCTGTGATTGATCTTATCCGGGAGGGACGGTCTGCATTTGTGACGTCGGTTGCTACTTTTAAGTATGTTATTTCATCATGTGTGGTTGCATATATGGCGTTGGTATTTCTGATTATTAGAAGGAAGTTCCTGAGTGATTTGCAGACGATGCATGGGGATTTGTTTGTTTCTGTACCTATTGCATATGTGCTTACGCGATCGAAGGCCTCCAAGAAGATATTTCCGACACGGCCGAATGTTTTTCTTACGACGAAGTCGAGCTCAATACCTTTGTGCATTACTGTTGCTGTCGAGGGTGTTATATTGTTGTTGCTGTCAATATATGAGAAGCCCAGTGCATTTCTGAGTGTTGAGACTGTATCTGGAGAGCTTGTTTTTTTTGGAACAGTGTTTATGTATATTCTGAATGGAATGTACCTGAACAACAATAAGCCTCATTGTCAAGACTCAGCAAGTAATATGATTTTCAAGGTGTTTGCGATTGGAATGATTTCTGTGAATTTTCTTTTGCTTGTTGGTGTTTATAAGTATCCGGATGTTGCTATGGAGTGGCTTCCTGAGTATAAGTTTGTAAAGATCGGAATGAGTGAGTTTGTGATGGTTGTTTTATCCATAGCGGTTATTGCGATTGCGGTGTTTGTTGTACAGCCGTTGATTTCAAAGATGTTGAAAGGCAAAAGGCAGTGTGGAGATGATAGTGAGGGAAGTGATTGAGAATAAATGTTTGATGATATTAATGTGTTGGAGTGTATATGAAAGAGAATGGTGGTGAGTAGGAAATATTGAAGTGTATGTATTGAAGATAATATTAACGTATTTATGTAAGGTAATGATGAAGTAAGGTAATATGTGCTGGAATGAATGAGTATTGAGTAAATGATGATTTGGGTTATATGTTTATATAAGGATAGTATTAAAGTGTACATGAATATAATGATGATTTAAGTGAATTATTTTATGTGTATATTATGAGCAGTATATGTATCGCATGTGTAAAAGTGACAGTTGCGGCCATATCTACGGAAAAGCACTGGAACTCGTCAGATCTCCGAAGTTAAGCCTGTACGAGCCTGGTTAGTACTGAGTTGGGAGACCACTCGGGAATCCTGGGTGCTGCAACTTTTTGCATATTTATTAGTGAGTTTGATTTCTGTTCATTAGCTCGGTGTATATATGTGTATGATAGAATCCGTTGGATTGCTCTTAAATTGTTTAATACTGGTGTATGATATACTTACTTATGTTAAATCACGCAGAAGTAGATATCCTTGTATGAACGGATCGCAAGGAATCACAAAATACATCTCTGATTCAATTGCTAATCTGAGCTCATTAGTGCAGATTTCAGATCATGGACCACAGTTACAGCAACACACACATAGCGAGAATGACGATGTCATGAGTTTTTCTGAAGAGGCAATTCCTTCAATTGCAATCAGGTATAGTAGTAGTACTGAAGAGCTACATGGGCCCACAAGCACTAATGAACGGTGTAATTGCAATGCATATGAAGAGATTAACAGACTCAAGTCTAATGAGCAACGACTGAGAACGTATATCCAGGCACTTCGAAGAGATCTGATAAACAATGAGGAAAGCACAAGTGAACTAAAGAGAGAAGTACAGCAGTTAAGAAATACACATGAGCAGGAGAAAATAAATATAAGACGGATGCTAAAACAAGTAGAATCTCTTGAAAAGGCGTTTGACGAGAGGTTGTATGAGATTGTAGAGGTTGTTGAGTATTGCAAGTATCTGCTAACCGATGAATAGTTTTATTGTAGCATACATAGAACAAAATAAAGATGTGAATAACAGATGTTGTTTTATTGATGTATATGAATATGTTTCGTATGATGGTACCTAAAAAAGCGCCCCGTGGGGGTATCGAACCCACGACCCTTAGGTTAAAAGCCTAATGCTCTACCACTGAGCTAACGGGGCTCCACTAATTTTGTGGAGTGTATTATGTTGCGATTGTACAAGTACATTGCTTACAAGTAAATCTGATTTCAAAATGTAGCACCCATGCATTCTCATATGCTGTATGAATTGTTGTTTGTTGCTGTGGTGCTCATCTTGTGCTTTTCAATAATTAACAACAAAAGAAAGGAATTGAATGGAAAGGTTGTGCTGTTGCGCCCTTTCATACCTCATTTCACCAGAACCATCAGTGATCCTGTTTCTGTGCATCAGCATGGCTTAAAGTTCATAGGACATGATGTTCTTGTGTATTTATGTTCGATAATCACATTGAAAAGAGACTTTTGCCCAACATACATTCTAGGTACTGTTCCAAATGAAAGCTTGACTTTGATAGGATGTCTGAAAACAAAAGCGCCATGCATGTATGCCTTCAAAAAGACAATAACGCCAAAACACTATGGACTGAAGTATGTCAAAAAGTATCTTGTTGAAAGTACACCTCAGTATAAGGTATTTGGAAGTCCTGAAAAGAAGCATATTGATTTTCTGAAAAAATACAATGATATAAGTAGTTTATGGATAAGTTATGTGCCTGAAAGCATAGATAATGGTTACATCGACTCTGAAAGCCAGGTTTATCTCAAAGGTAAGCTTAGACTGCTTGAAGACAAGGAGTTTATTGATGATTTCATGAGCCTATTTGATAACACAAGGAATGAGTTAGAAAAAAAGATTACTGATGTAAGGCGAGGATGCAACAATGATGTTCAAAAAGTAAATACAAAGAAAAATATGAGCATCAGTGATAAAATCATGCAATCAGTCAAAAACAGAGAATCTATCAGAAAATAAAACAATTATCATGATAATCCAACATTTTATATATTCTTATTCACAAATTCATGGAAAAGTCATTGACAAAATGCATTTTAATCAGCTTTTGTAGCATAACTCTTATTGGGGTTTAATATAAAAAGCACGGGCCCCCCGGGACTCGAACCCAGACTGATTGGTCCGAAGCCAACTGTTCTAGCCATTATACTAGAGGCCCACAACATTTAATTTTGTCATTCCCGGACAACTGCTGCTCATCACATTTCACTTACACTCCTCGTTATAAATTCATTCATCATCCTTATGCTTTATATCCTTTTCATTGAGACCTGTATTATCAAATTTCTCAAACACTTTTATCTCCTGCTCGACAATTTCTTTATTACTTCCATCCATAGATTCATATCCCAAGCAATCCATCCAATACTTTTCATTTCCTTCTTCATTAACATTCAAAGCAGAAATCTGCATCATCCTTATCTCTTGTTTGAGATTCAGTTTGGGTGTCAGAACCCGTAATATGCACAGTTCAGATCTTCCACTATACACCCTTTCCACTCTATTATCTCCAGAATATGGTGTAAACATAACCTTAATACTACTGTACATCTCCACATTTCCTTCCCACTTTTGCATAAGATACTTCACTATTACCTCATCATTTGTTACACTTTCAATTCCATAAAAAATGCCAAATATCAATCTGCCATCGCTAGAATCTATCCGGATCGACTTAAACGGCTTGATCACATAAACACTTCCTCCCCTCTCTATCACAAACTCATCTAAATTGCTAAGCTGCTGAATCAGTAGTGGAAATGGTATATTCCTTATCTCTCTTTCTGTATTCATCAGGTATACGGTGGTGTTCCATCCTTGCACAATCTCTTTTGCATATGGTTTCACTCCCTCCATTCCATCTCTTATCCTTTCTATTCCATAAAACAACGCGCCTATTGCACAACCAGCATAAACTAAAAGTTTCATCAGGGCTTGGCAAAAGATCCTTATTCATCATATTGCCCATCATAACATACACAAAATCTACACATTCATATTCATACAAAACAATAACCAAAATAAATTATTTCAAGAACATCTCTTTAATTCTTGGCCCACAACGCCCTCAATATGGGGTTTCCCCTATGCCCATTCTTCGCTGCAATCCTCTCTTTCTTCATATGTCTCATCCTTCCCGTTCCAATATTGCGTCTACGCCTTGCCTTTATTGATGCAGGCGTCCTCATCTTTGGATTAGGATACGCACACGAGGAACACGAGTTTTTCTGCTTGTGATAAGATTGCCTTCCGCATCTTCTACACATCTCCATGTTTCTCTTGTTCTTCTTTCCAAAGCTTGCTGTTCCTTTACTCTACAAATTAATCTGCTTGCACCGACTTACCATTTCTTTGGGCATCCATTATCAAAAAAATTTATTTTCCCAGCTGTGTTAGGCCAGCCAAAATTTATTATGATGCTATAACATGCTTTCGAAGCAAGCATATCCATCTTCAATCAAAATACCGTCCCACAAGAATGTCCATCAATCCAAAATTCTCATATGCTTTACATACTCCATAGACTCGATACAAAAATTCCATCTGGTGCTCACAATCATTCTTGCTTACACAAATAACCATCACATTCTTGGGTTTCCTCAATACCCTAATTCTATTGTCATCAAGCTCAACACTGAGAAACTCATCCTTGTAAACATTGCTTGCTATATCACTCAGGCCTTGAACTAAATCAAGAACAAGAGGCTCAAAAGGTCCAGTTGCATACTTTTTCTCTTCATCCTTAAATACCGCATACACCTCTCTCATCAAAAAACACAGGGCATTCCTCCAATCACAAGCAAACAATTTATTCAGGAACCTCCTTTAACTCATCCAGAATCATACTAAACAAATGCTCATAATCTATCTCACAGCAGTTTACGTTCAACCAGTTGTAGTACATGGCTGCTGAGCCCATGTATCTCAAGACATTCTCTCTGCAAACTTTCCCAGGCATCATCAAAGGCACCCGCTTCTCTGGCATTGGGTGCTCTTCAATATCTATATCAATCTTCCAGGCTTGCCTTAACACCTCTTCAGTCTTGCTAAACACTCCCTTTCTCATTCCATCTGCTTTCCTGTAAAAATCAAGAAAAACTACACTAATCTCAGAAAGTTGAGACGTGTTCAGCAAAAAAACAACATCTAACAACTTAAGCGCTTCTCCAAGTAACGCCAAATCTTCATTCTCAGCCTCCTCAACAGTCACCCCAACATCATAAAATAATATTGGATAAAGACTAATAAGCTTATCATGCGACATCTTCAGGAGCAGAACTTTCGATAGAAATAATACCTCCTTCTTAACTTTAGCAGACGTATGACTTATAAGCATTGCTATCTTCTCAACTATCTTCAATGATACACCTAAGAAGTGGTTGTAAGGCGCACAGAATATAATGTAAGATATCCGCTTGAGTACAAGCACCTTGTTATTCACATCAGATGCTTGAGATACAAAAAACCCTCCATCAAGTCTTAAAATAAGCTCACTTATCACATTCGGGTCATCAACCACTATTTTCCTCATCAATGCAGTTTTCTTATGCAATTCATGCGAAAAAAAATCAAGCATGTGGAAAATCTCCAGAAACTCCCGTTTCCAATACTTCACCTCGGCCTTTTCAGAACTCACCCTCATAAGCAAATCTATTCCCTTCTCTCTCAGGTAAGCATCATTCGAGTTTATCAATGTAAATATCACACCTATCATCCCAGGCATCACACCTAAAACACCATCTTCAAATCCAACAATCGCATCAAGTAGCTCAAACTCGTCTTTAAAACAATCTTCTCCGCCTTTGCACTTAATATCAAGTCGTTTCTGTAGGAAATACACAGAATTCTGCAGAAACATCAGCACAAGAGGCTCACTGTTATTTTTCATATTCAGCCTAGAAAGAGTATCTAATCCAAAAAGCAGAGACGTGTAGTATGGCCCTATCCTATAAGACGAAACCCTCTCAAACATCCCTCTTGATTTTTCAAACAAATCCATCAGCTCCTGCTTATCTATCAGCCCATTCAAATGCATTAACAGTCTAAACATTTGTGCATTACTCGATGGCGCATTCAGAACCGATGCATAAAGCTGTTCCTTAAAGTCAAGCACTTCTATAAGCTGGGCACACGGCTGTTCAACAAGCCTTTCAATAAACTTTATCGGTACCTTCTTAAAAAACAGCTCAGACAACTGTTTGGCTGCTTTAAGCTTCAATATGTTCATCCTGGCATTCACACACTTCTTATTCACAGGCACTCCATCATCAATCATACCCTCGCCAATATTATACTTACCTTTCACACAACATTTGGCGCATGCATCCTCGCAATCAGGTTCATATTGACTTTCAAAAAAATCAAACATAAAACCCATGCTTCTATCAATAACACCAGGAAGATCGGCTTCAACTCCTCTCTTCAGCAACATACTTTCTAAAATTTCACGTGCTATCATCAATCCGAATCCCTCATTCTTAAGCATGGACATCACATTCGCAATAATTTTCCTCTGCAGTCTATCAGGCAGTGAAAAAATATATTCAAGCATCTCATGATAGTAGAAACACCAACTATCAAGAATCACACAAACTTCACAAATCACAGAAGCATTGCCACTATGTCTAAGTATTGATCCAATCCCAAGAACAATCACCGAATCTTCTCTATTTTCCTTTGCAACCTCAGCAATCCTCAAAACATCAATTACATTCAATGTAGCACCATCCAGGATCCCTTTCCTCACAAGCACTTCAAGCATCTGCACTACTTCAATGTTCATTTGTCTACATCCATGTTTATGTACAAGTAAATGCACAAGCATCCTGTAAACCATTTCCTTCGCATTCACATTCGCACCTGGAAGAAATACCTTAGACTCTATTAAATTTTCTGATTCCCGAAGCAAATTCCTGAATCTTCTCGAGTGCCTCAATAGATTCCTTATACATCTAAGAACCCCAAAAATCCGATTAGTATCAGATACACCATTAATCATTCTCTCACTCACATTCATGCATGATCTCTCGATGCTCCTAATAAGATACAAAAATATATCATCAAAATATGTTAAAGAGCATAAGAGCATGTCCAACACAGAATCCTCGGCATCAAGCTTGCAATTGATTACATAGTATACCTCCATAAAGTCAAACTCTCCCTTGAACTCCTCAATCTTTGCAATTAGAAAACATCCCACTTCTTTAACCTGCCCTTCTCCTATCTTTTCCAGAAGAAACCTTTCAAACTCCCCGTTGAAAACATCATTGTATAGCCATATAAGCTCTGCAAACAGCCAATGATCACAATCCCAATGCAACATCAGGCCTTCTTTCATTAGGTCCGCATTTGCATTACTTCTCGCTGTGCTTGCCACACATACATCACTGACTTCAACATCCAGTTCATATCTCCATTCATTCAACCCTTCATCCACCTGCTTAACCTTCTTCTTCAAACATGCTCCCTTCCCACTCATACAAAATCTTTCCCACAGAGTCTCAAACATTATCAAGCAATCAAGCTTATTTATGTCAATCATCTCATAAACCTGTAAATGCTTCTTAATAACGCCCGCAGGCATATTCAACACAATCTCATGGTATCGTTGCATAAACTCATTCGAAAACACGCCAACTCCATATTTCTTCATAAACTCAATCATTAGCGGTAATAGACGTTCTGCATCAAACTCAATAACACGTTCAAGATGTACGGAAATCTCACTGAGCAGCCAAGGTTGTATAAACTTCAGAAGTTCGGTATTCTCTTCAATATAAAATCTGTAAACCATCTCCTGCATACATTCTTGCCTTCCTGGATTCCCTTCCTCAAGCTTCATCACTTCAATGCTCAGCCTCAAAAATCTAAGCAGCACTCCAAAATCAAACTGTTGGGAATTCTGCAGCACAAGGCCAGTCAAAAACGGAAGATGATACTTACAGACCTCCACATCAACCATCACATGTTCCTCAACAACATATCTTACAATATCAAGCATCTCGTCACAACCAAGACGCATTCCCGTATCAAACTGCATCTTCATTATTTCTCTTGCATCATATCTATCATCACATTTTATTTTCTGCTCTTGACTCACATCTGTAAAAATACATTCATTTGTATTCCAAGATTCAATATAACGGTCTTGTACAGAACCCAATCTCATGCCATCAACACTAATACACTCATCATTCATGCTAACCATCTCGCATTCATTCTCTTCAATAAGCTCCTTTCTTAACTTCATATAGAATATCCTCCACATCCCATCAAGATCACTTGTCAAAAACACCTTTGCTATCTTCAGAACGTCTATCTTCTCATTATGTCCCTCTAAAAACTCTCCACTGATCACACTTACAAAATCTCCATTACTATGCTGTCTAAGACTCTCAAGAACTTCAAACACAAGATTATACATAATAACCTCGCACAGGTTCCCTTTGTCCTGTAGTGTTATCAGAATCCTGAAAAAAAACTGCATGTCCTCAGCACTGCTTCTTGCAATAAACCTCCTCATCACATTCGTAAGAAGCGCCAAATCCGATCTGCAAGCTCTCTCATTCAACTTCATCCATGCATAAATCCTCTTGTTGAGCGAAAGATCCCTCTTTACAAAAAGCTTCACAACTGCCTCAACAAGGTCACAAGTAATCATTCCATCCTCAATACTACCTGTGTCTGCAAACACATATATCAATAAATCAAGACATCGTCTCACAACCAACGCAGATTCGCTTGCTAGACCTGCACACAACGCCTTAGATACAAGCTTCATGCTGTCATGTATCACATCCTCCTTTTCTGCATCAAATATGTAGTTTGATATAGACATTCTCAATCTCTCATCATTCAAAAAAATACTCCAGAGTGAGTGATAAAACATATCCGTCGATACAAACTTCCTAAAGTCCATCATTATCAATCTTGCTCGGTTGTAGTACTCTCCAGACTCAAACTCCATCGGTGGAAACAGTCCAATCAAAACACTCTTGCAATACTTCTCAATACACTTTCCAAGTGGAATAATATACTTCTCAAGCACATCCAAAAACGATCCAGTCACAAGAATCCGACTATGCGCAGAAAACGTAAAAAGACCAAGCGTCAGAAAGTCAAACTCTTTCACAAAGTCCTCTCTTGAAAGCTTCCCAAACACCAAAGAGTACGTTTCCAACGCCTTGTTGTGCACACCAGCTGGCAATCCTGGATTCAGGCACTGATTCAATCGTTTGAACAAAAGCTTCTTCTTGGGAACATCCGCAATCGCATATCTTTTGATAGTGCTGTCAAGTGAATTCAGCAAAGAAATAAAATCAGACCATTCCTTCGCATTCTTAAATGCATCAAGCTTCTTCGTAATCTCTGCCTCATACTTCGCTTTGCTATTGTCCATCAACAAGGGCTCATTTTTCTATGCTATAACCACATTCCCATTCCTTCCTTCTCGATTACCTCCTCCATCATAAGCTATTCCATATTTCAATTAAGAGCTCATCACAAACATAAAATCATCAAAACCATAAATACAATAAAACAATCGTCTTTAATAAATTCCATTCACTTTATAACTCTCATCTCCTATAACTCTTGTTCTTACCTTTCATTGATTATAACTCTTTTGCCTTATATCTCTCATTGATTATAACTCTTGTTTTTCTTCATCCGAGACTCCTTCCTTTCCACTACAATTACTTCCTCCATCGCTCTTATTTTCTCCTACTCCATGCTCATCTTTATTTCTTTCATCATCTCCACTTGTGGTTCCCTTTTCTTCATCAATATTATCCCTCACATCCCCTTCTTTGACTTCCTTAGCACTCTTCTGTTGTGCTTCTTTGGCTTCTTTCTCCTTTCTGATCTTTTCGTCATATTCACCAGTCGCCATCTTCACCTTGACTACTAGCTCAAGCTCTGCATCCTCAATATCTACACTCCTCGACTTCATGTCTTTACTCATCTGTTTATACGCCAAATCTGCTTTCTCAACATATCCTCTAATCTGTTCCTTCCATGGCTCACTCACCTCCTTTTGCTTCTTCTTTCCTTCCTGTATTGCCTTCCTCAAACTCTCCAAATTACTAATCCTGCTTACAAGTTCCCTCTGCCTTTCACTCTCCATTCTCTTCAGCTCATTCCATCTACTCCTCACCCTCTCCAGCTCCTCACAGCTATTCATTTCGCCAATCCTCATAAAAAACTTATCCTCTTCATTAATCTCGGCTCCTCCAAACATCTTCTCAATTCCATCGTTCTCCACTTCTGCTCTTATTGCATCTACATCCTTGCGTAGCTTCACCTCATCCAAGTATCTCTTTCCTTGACTCTCTTTTCTCAAAACACGCAGATACTTCTCATCCTCAACCTCGCATTGGCTCCTTAACACCCTTGCCGCTCCCTGCTCAATATCTTCCGCTTTTACATGCTCTCTCTTTCCAAACATCTTGAACACTTCGTCAAAAACAGGATTCTCGCTAAACTCAGATCGCATTATCACAGAAATCTGCTTTCCATCTTTTCTCTCTGCATCAATCATCGCATAAACTTTCTCAACCGTATTTTCTATTTTCTTCCGATCTTCTTCAACTGCTTTCATTATCATCTTCTGTATGTTCCCAGTGTTAAACACAGGCGCCTCAACCACATACCTTACATTCTCCTCCTCATCAACTATCGGTACTCCTTCAATTATCTTAATGTTTTCAACTATCTCCTTGTACCTCAATCCTTTACTGACCTCCTTGTACACAGGTTTCATATCAACCTTCAAATCATACAATTGCCCTTCTCCAGTTCGCGGGTAAAACGTCACATCCTTCTTCTCATCGCTCACATCTTCCTTGCTTTGTATATCCCTCCTAAGCTCAGCTTCTATCTCTTCATAAATCATCCGTTGTATCGTCCTGTCACTTACCATCGGGCATTCAACATGAGCTCGGTTCTTAAATTTCCTTTTCCTCTCTCTTATCTCAACATCATACAACGAAAGCATTCCCTTGCTTCCACTCATAGATATCACCAAACACAAAAATTCAGCTTCTCCATCTATGTGTCCAACTTTGGATACAAGTCCACAAAGAGCTTCAGGCACCACATACACCTCTTCCATATCCACCACATCAGCCAAACTCTCTCCAAGCTCCATGGCCTGCTCCGCTCCAAAATATGTCCTGTATGCAATCCCAACCTTGTCCACACTCTCTAACTTGACGTGCCTAAAAGCATCAATCCCTGTCTTCAGGCACAGATAATTCATTCCCTTCACATCAATCTCCGTTTCATATCCTTTGACCCTGTATCTTCCTTCAGAAGCATTCTCAATATTCCCCCCGCTGGGTATCCCTTCAAATCCATCTTCAAACATCTCAACTGCACTAGAAATAGCATTCCTACCCATTACTAATGCAGTACACGGCATTCCATCCTCAATCACAAACATCGCCTGCACTGGATCAAATGTCTTGTCTGCCATCCTCCTCCTTTCATAAGTTACCCACTTACTGATAATATCATCATATCTGATTCCAAGACTCTCAGAATACACAAACAGCATAAACATAAAAATCAAAAAACTCATTAATTGGGGATTCACTTATCATTACTTATGTTTCAAATAAATTCATGCATCCCAATCCATAAAAAACAATCCATCCGCATAAACCAAACAGAATTTAATCTCTTCTCAACGCAATCATCCTTCTTTCAACACTCCCATCCCTCAAAACATACACTTCCAATCCGTCCTTCGTCTTCACATCCCTCTCGGCTGCTGCATTAAATGCCTTTGCAACAAGCCTTACACAATCCTCCTCACTCACATTCGTGCTGCTTGCACCGTACCAGTTCTTCTTGTCAATAAACGAATCAAGAAGCGGCTGTATCATAGGCTTTCCACTTCCATTGCAAATACAAGTCACAGATCCAAACGATCCCAATGGATCATATCCATATACATATGGCTTTCTACCTTCAAATCCACTCAGCGTACAAAACGCATAGTATGGGAAAAACCTCTTTGAGTACAGAATCTTCGAGAGCATATTCGCTGCACTGTGTATACTCATTCGACCATCCCCCTCGTACTTCTTGATCTCATACATCATCTTCACATACACTTCATGCCCATCTGCATAAAATCCAGTTGCTGTCAGAAAAAAATCACCAAGCCGGTATATCTTCGACATCTCACGTGAGTTTATGCCCATGCTTGAAGAGTGCCTTGTGTCTGCCGAAATAACAATAAATCCTTCTTGCTTCAAACATACTGTTGTTCCTGAATTATCGTCATACGGATTAAATCTTTCTTCATCCTCCTTCTTCATCCTCATATTGGTATCTTCACTCATGTCCATCACTTGTTTCTGTCTAATACGCATATCTCCATCTTCTCCATCAACAAACAATCCTTCGTTCCAGGTCTTCTTCATCATCTCTCCACATAATTGCATCTCAGAATCTACTCCGTCAAAACAACTTTCACTCTCTTGTCCACCATACATCTTGATCAACTCACAATCCACTTCCTTGTTCAATCTTCTGTTCATTCGCAATTCATTCAACCTCATTCTCATATTACAAGGGCCTTTCCAAAACAATATCATTCACAAAATAAAAAGAATGCTTTAATCTCAGGCTTCAATGCTCACATCATTATTTCCTATCACCTCCGCAACCATCTGGATATGGCACGGACTCTTGTTGAACGGATTCACTCTTCCATGTGCTCTGAAAGTCCTTCCATAGATCTTAGGCGCCTTATTCACCTGCACATGCGTTATCACAAGCTCCTCAACTTCCAGTCCTTTCGATACTGCATTCTCCTTCAGATTCTCAAGAAGATTGATCAGAAACTCCGCTGACTTTTTCGGCCATCTGCCTTTCACCTGCACATATCCTCTTTTAATTGCCTTCTCCCCATTGGGCTTGGTAACTTCTCTGTCAGGCACACTAAACTTCCTTGCCTGTGCAGTCCTCCCACATCCTCGGCTATACCTACAGAATGGAACACACTCCGTCTTTGCAATCACATTCTTCAGATACTGAATCGCATCGACCACCTTGCGCTTACGTAGCGTCCCAGACGCTTCCCGTGTGTTCTTGAAACTCACCTTTGCATTGTCAATCCTTGCCTTCACTGCCTTCGACGGATCGTTTATCTCATAACTATACTTCATCACCATTCCAGGGATACTTTTTTCTCCCATATGTGTGAATTGCAAAATTTTATTCAGTCCATACAAATTTACAGCCTGCATCACATTTCATTCAAAATAGCTGGATTCACAATCTAACAGCCCAAGCCCATCCTGTGCAATGAGCACAATCGACATCAAGATTAAGAAGGTTTATCCCGTATACACATGGAAATGGAACATCGATGATGATATCTGCGGAATATGCCAACAAGGATTCGATCAGGTGTGTTCCAAGTGTAAACACCCAATAGACTGCAAACCATGCATAGGAAAGTGTAATCACACGTTCCATACACATTGTCTTTCACTTTGGCTACAGCAGAGAAAGGTTTGTCCTATGTGTAGGATGCTATGGGAATATCACAAGATATTTCAATAAATCTTGTTAGCATAATCGCATCATCAATAAGATACATTATCAAACAAAGTATCAATACATGCTTACTGCTATTCATGCAAATATGCTTGCTTTCAAACCAATTGTGTTCATAGATATACATCCTAAAATTTTTACCCTTTAACAATGCAGATCGGATTGAGGTTCGGTGGAGAAACATCATTTCTCCAGGTAGAGGCACTTTCGTCCATATCGTTGCTGAGGAAATCAGTGTGTAGTATATTTGGAATAAACTCAGATGCGATTACACTGCTACACAACACAAATGTACTTGAAGGCTTCAAAACAATCGCTGCGTGTGGAATACAGAATCTTGACATTGTTCAAGCATCTCCGAAAGTACTTGGTGGAGGAGGAAACATGTCTGAAAACGACAAGGCTCTTGCACTACATCAAAGAGTAACAAGCAAAATGATCTGTCGTGGATGTTATGCAAGGTGCGCAATCAAAGCATCGATATGCAGAAAATGCCAATGTTCAGATCTTAGGTGCAAAAAGGATGCAAAAAACACCACCTCTAAGAAATAAGAACTAATAATTAAATCTTCATTTCATAAAATTACCACTGAGCTATTCACAAACTATCCTTGTGTAGACATGGATATTCTGTTTATACTAAGACATACAACAACAGCAAACTTACTTACTGGGCATAGATAGCAAACCAGTTTATATAACATATAATATAACTTAGGTTTAATTATTAATGTACTCCTCATTAATCTCGTCAATGTGAGATAGTAGAAACATGTCGAATCTATGAAGAAAGATGTTTCTTTGGCGCCCTTCGGGCACTCTTCTCTTCTTTACATCGTCCCGTATCTCTTCTACATCTCGTTTTGGTGGTGCTTTCATCTCTAGTTTGCACTCCTTCAAAATACTATCTGTTAGCCTAATCAACTCCCATCTTGTCTTTGTCGAGAGGTCCCACACCCACTTTGCCTGTATAACTCCATCCATAAAGCTCAGCTCGTTCATCCCGTGAAATGCTGCACTAGCACTCCTCGAGTCATAGAATTCAACACATCGTTGGTGAGTCTTGACATATCTGATCTCCTTCACTTCACCAAACTTCTCAATCTGCTCAGAAAACTCTTTGTCATCCACAGATGCATTCGAATTTTTAAATGTAAAAACTAACGTGCTCTGATTCTTAGACTCGTCACACTTGTCTATCTCCCTTGGAATCTCATATTTGCTTATGATATGGCTTGCTGACAGTCTTTCGTGTTCTTTCACATGCTCAAACGCTTCTCTGGCCTTCCTCTCATCATAAAACAGAACACAAAGCACCCGATAATCATTTTGGATCGTATAGCACTCCTTCACATCAAACATCTCTTCAAGTCTGTCTCTGACCTCTTCATGTTGAGCCTCATCCGTAAACCCTGTAACTATGATTGTCTTCGTCAAATGCTCCTGTTCACCCGTTTTGCTGCTCATCAGGGGCATGCATTGAAATATCCAAATCACTCATACAGCCTTTGACCACAACACTGGCATTCATCAGCAATCCGTAAAGCCTACTTCTTTAACTTTAATGGTGTTTTCATATCTAAACACTCCATCTTCGTCACCTTCAAAAACGTAAATTGAGACTCAGATAGCACACAAAATCCAAGGCTTTCTTTGCTCAATATTCCTCCAATACATCCAATAGCATCTCTTGCTGCATCATCACTGCCAACAAATTTCATAGAACACATAGGTTTGTCCTTTTTTCGGTTGAAGTTCTTGTGCTTTTTATACAGCATAAAGTCGCCGTTCAAATCAAGAAGAAGATTGCAACAATTGCTCTTAATGAAGAAGTAAGCCTTCGTCATAATACAACAATTAGATTCATTATTGCCATTCAAGTACTCCACTTCATGCGCATTCAGAACAAGTCTTCCTTTAGTCTTTGTTCCAAAGTGGCGACACCAATTATCTGACTGGTTTTCAGGCTCCATCTGTCCATCAACTGCCTTCACAAGAGATACCTTCGAAGGCATTCCTTTGTTCATAGGGCATCCCCATGTAATGATCTAGAGCATTGTAAAAACATATTGTGTTTCATTCAGAAACTTGTTTACAAAAATATTTATCAAAATAAAACAGGGACGCCATGGAGCTAGACGAAAAAACACTAAGCCTAATTATCTCAAAGATAGGGCCAGGACTGATGGTGTCTATCTCTGCAATAGGAAGCGGATTGGGATTTATCTCCGGAACGGAGGGTATATGTAAGGCTGCAGAGCATTCTGTTAACACCACATATTCACTGATCCCAATCATCTTCATCACTGCGCCAACAATGTACTCGGTAATCCTTTATTTCATGGTCTATGATAAACACGTAGAAACACTTAGCGACGGATTGCTTGTTTTGAGTGCCTGTATAATCAATGGAGTATCCTCGGGCGCAGCTGCTTACTCAATAGGACACTCTGCAAAGTACGCATGTGTTGTTAGAGCGTTGCAGCCAAAGTTCCTTACGACATTCTTCCTTGTCTTTATTTTTGGCGAGTTGACAGGCCTTCTTGGGTTGGTATGCGCAATGGCAATGTCATCAAACATAGGCAAGGCATAATGTTTCAGAAATAAACAAGAATTCTTAAATGGCTTTATTCAGCTATTATTCAATTGCTATTATGTAAAGAGATCGAATAAGTCATCTAACTATCAATATAATTATTTTGCATTATGTAAAGAGATTGAATAATTTTACTTACTATTGCAATTCATTATCCAATCAATTTTTCAAGCATATAATAGCGCATACCTATCGATGTATATTATAGCTGTATGCTTTCCCATGGACTCCTAACAGTCATTCACAAAAGTCTCTTATGCCTTCTTGACTCGTTTGTCCTTCTTCATTCGCTTGTCTAGCATCACAAGCCTTCCCTTTCCTCTCGGTATTCCGCATCCCTTCTTCTTCGAAAATACAATCCTCGGCTTCGCTTTGGTCTTCTTGAATGACGATCGATATACCTTCTTTGCTATCTTTCCCTCCTCCTCTGAATCATCAACAATAAGATCCTTCATGAATATCTCTGCTCGCCTTTCAGCACGTGTTCTTCGCCTCATCAGTGCCTCTTTCTCCTTCTTCGTCATTCGAGTTTCATCTGCTTTAGACCGTCTTGAATAGAACATCGCCTGATCCTCGCGTAAATAATTTGGCAACTTTTCATTTGGGTCACGGATGTTTCTGTCAATCGTGTCCTCAATAAATGCATCCGGATTCTCCTTTAGTCTTGCAACACACATCATCTCCTCCTCATCAAGATCAAGACTATCTGAACAGCTGCTAACTTCTATATCTCTGCTTTGCCCAACATCATTCTCTTCTTCCTTCATCTCCGTATTTTCCTTTATCATCCTAAGCTTCTCAAAAACATTATCGTTCAAAAAACACATCTTGTCTTCTATATAAACCTGCTTTCTTTTCCTATCTTCAGCCCTTGCCCTCTTATCCATCTCTGCACGGATCTCCTCGATCTTCTCTTCAACACTCTTCTGCTTCTCTTCAAACTCCTCCTCAGACTCTTCTTCATTCTCTACTTTTAAAAAGTTTAGTTCCTCAATTTCAATATTTCCCTCTCTTACCATCTTCAATATGTTCTTTCTTTTCTTCATTATTGTTCGTACATCTCCCCTGCCAAGCACCTTCAGATCCTTAAATAATTCAATCATCTCAGGCTCTAGGATCTTATCCGCAGTTTCCTTGCTCACATCAATCACAATCTCAGAATACTTCAGAAACATCCCAGATAGTATCTGCGGATCGTCTTCCATCAGAAAATCCGTAAGCTTCAGCTTCTTATAGAAGTTAAAATCTTCATATCCTCCAGCTTCCTTCTCTTCCTTGAACACTGCAGACGGCTCAAGCATTCCAGATTCAACTCCTTCTTCTCCAACAAACCCCATACATACCAGAAATATCTCTGCACTCTGCAATCTTGAACTCAGAGGCTTCGATGTCTCAACAACATTGAACAGTCGAGACATCACATCTAATAAAGAAAAGTAGTCTTGAGAACGGAAGATCTTAGTTACAAACACACCGTCCTTCTTCAAAAACTCGCTTGCTAGCTTTATAGAATGCAATACAAGCAGATTCTGATTGAATGCATCGTTCTCCCACGACGTGCCCACATTTGGCGCCCCATCGTTCAGAATCACGTCTGCCTTGTGATTCCCAAGAATCCTCTTTAATTCAGACCTGCAATGCTCACCTGTTATGTCTGCAACCACAGTCTCAACATCTCCAATAAACTTTATTGGCTCAATATCTATTGCAACAATCTTCTTGCGCAGCGGCATCTCCTGCGCAGCTACTTGCGACCACGACCCCGGCGCTGCACACAGATCAATCAAGATGTGCGCATTCTCCAAAAACCCATACTTCCTGTTCATCTGTATCAGCTTGAATGCAGACCGTGCCCTGTATCCCTTTTCCTTTGCAAGATTGTAATACTTGTCGAGTCTTGCCTTTCCAATCTGATTGCTCTTCCCCATCAATAAAAAATTGCATTGAAATTTATGAACAAATTGCAGTTTCCAAACTTGCTCTGCAAACCCCATTTATGCTATGATTGACATAATCAGAACAGCAAATGACACGTACTACCGATACAAGATGCCCAGGGCAATCGTGAAGTATGAGGGAAAGCCAGGAAACACAAAGACATTCGTGACTAACCTTGATGAGATTGCTGCATCACTCAATAGGATGCCAATGCATATCTTGAAGTTTGTGAGTTATGAACTGGCAACAAGAACAGATGTTACTGCAGGAAGATATGCAATAACCGGCAAATATGACGCATCAAGAGTTCAAGAGCTTATATATGCATACATAGATGCGTTTGTTGTGTGTCTACTTTGCAACAATCCAGAGACCTTTTATGTTGAAAACAGTGGCTTAATGATGGAGTGCTTTGCATGTGGAAGACAATCAGTATTAAAAACATCAAAGCTGAGTGGGATGATTCTAAAGGACATTGACAAAAGCTGCAGTGTGAATGACGATATATATTCAGGAGCAACTGAGGATAAACAGGATAGTTATGAGGAGCAGGTTAGAACCATGATTGGTTCAGGAGACGACAGATCATCCGATGCAATTGAACTGCTTAGAATAAACGGATTTGATGATTGCCAGGCAGTTAAAGAGCTTCTAAAGATGGATAAATACATTCTCAAGAGCTTTCAATCGCTATGCTCATGCGTTGCACCAAAGACCATTCTTCAATCAATTGAGGAGTTTGTTGAGGAGCTGAGTGGGGAGAAGATGATAATCCAAGAGTATTTAAGGATTCTTGAGACGCAAGGGATGTTCAAGCGCACTGAACTTTCAAAATATTTCACAAGGCCACAAGGTACAAGAAAACGGTCGCCAGCGTTCAAGAAGGAGGTGAACGAGTATTTTTCTAGCCAATAGTTAATAAACCGAATAATCCATTTGTTTTATGCATAAGGGGCTTCATGTGAAGACCCATTTTTTAACCCTGTAGTTATGAGTGATTATAGCAAGCAAAAGGTGTATCTCACAGATATAAATAGGGAGCCAAACACCGGAGGTAGGAAGCAAGCCAGGATAGAACTACGTTTACTGAAGGAAGCATGTTCTCTCAAGATTGAGCCAGACGTACTGCCAAAAGAGGAAAACGTAGCACCAGACACCAATCTGTTTTGTGTGACTGCATATTGCACTGCAGATAACTATGATCTCAAGAACTTGTACAAGTATCTGAAAAAGAACTCACTTTGCAGTAAGGTTTCGATGTATTTTGGAGAATGCCTGTACACAAGAATGAGCTTTGGGGGAGAGGGAGATGAAGGGTTAGATTGCTTTTTCTATGAGTATGGGGTGGTGGTCTGCTGGGGAATGGATGCAAATCAGGAGTCGATGATAGTTAAGCTTGTGTCCAAGCATGAGGAGAATCCATATGAGGCATCAGACATTGAGGTTGAGTCATTCAAGTATGGAATAACTGAAAATCCATTTATTATGAACGACATAATATACCTGAACTCTGAGAATCATTTTAGTAAGATGGTGGTTTCTATTGCAATTGCACAGAGTGTGAAGCTTGATTACTTTGAGAATCTTGTTGACAACACAATTGAAGATGTCAAAGAGTTTCCTGAAGAGATGGAGCGTGAAGGTAAGGTCAGTAAGAACAGAAGAGAGATACTAAAGATGATTGGTAAACTACATCGACTGAGGTTTAATCTGAATCTTGGATCAAACATTCTTGATGAGCCTGAGTTTGTGTGGGACTATCCGGCTTTTTCTCCGTTGTATGAGACATGTAAGAGGTATCTTGACATCAAGCATAGAGCAGATCTATTAAACAGAAGATGCGATGTGATAAATGGAATTCTGGAGATTCTGAGTGAAAACACAAACAGAAGCAATGTAGAGAAGTTTGAGGTTGTTCTCATCATGATAGTTCTTGGCAATGTGCTGTTGATTATATTGCTAATGGCATTGATGTATTATATCAGATTGAAATGGTGAATAATGCATATTTATTAAACGCATCAGGGTTGCATAAAACAGTTCCTAGGCTGATCAGTGTCAGATCTCCAGATAACTATTCAATGTATTTGCATACAGCTCTTGTATGCTGTAATAAATTAGGTTGGTTCCAACATTTTAATCATCTTATTTTGATTTCATGATCGTAATCGGTGCTAAAGTGTTGCAGCTCATGTGCCTGAATCATATATCCTGGCTTTCTAGCCGAAGGCTTTACAGAGCTCGTATCAAATATCCATCTACGGCCACTACAGATGCCTGCTGTGCATTCAATGCATGGCCTGACAATGTAATATCCAAGCACCATGCGGCAGCATTTGCAACTGATATCAATCACAATGCACTTACACATGTATGCCATATATACATCTCTAATACATTGCACACACTCTGTAGAGCTGCTTGCTGAGTAAACCTTGATCTTGGTATTCAACAAAAGCATTGATCTCATTGCCCTGCGGCACACAATGCTTGAGCATCCAAAGCACCTGATCACATATTCTGTATCTCCACAATCCATTTCTTAATTCAATCATGCATCCAACCCTTTTATTCATTATTGTAACACCATATTTTATTGCATTTGTGCATATCCTCATTCATCTTCAACTGGCATAATCGAAAATCCAAAATTCAATGCAATCCGTGAAAATGCCGCTTCTCGCCACCACGTCTCAACATTCTTGACTGCTGTGATTGGAACCTGCTCCTGCTTGACCCTTACCTTGCTAATCCCATCTTTCGATTCAATATGAACTGAGACATCAGAGAACATGCTCCATCCATCAAACTTCCAATACATTGTAACACACATTGCTCCATCATGCTGCTTCTCAACTTTAAGATTCTGTATAGTCACATTCCCAATTACTACCTTATTATCATCAACTCTAACATCGACACCCCATACACAAATGTATTGCTTGTCTAATAGAAACGCACAAATTTCATCTGCTTCGCAATTTATCCTTGTAGTATGAATCATCTTTTTGGTCTTCGCCTCTGGTGTATTTATACTTTGACATACCTTATTTTCACTTTGTCTTTCAATACATTCATCAACAACATTACTTCCATATCTCAGTACAGCTTCTGCTTCCATTTCTGCAAAGAACTCTGCAAACCAATCAAAGTCCTCTATTCCTTCTGCTCCATCATATATACTGTGGAATCCTTTCACTCCACAGCTTACTCCATCTTTAACACATTCAAAACTCACTATATACACTATTCTGATCGTTGTGCCTTGTCTGTGCATCTTGACATTTACACTCATCTCATTAACACAATATCCTTTTGCCTCAAGCGCATCTTTTATCTTCTGTGCTGCCCATTCAGATATATCAACTTCTGCAATATTGCATTCTCCAGTATTTGTGTCCATTAGGGTATTTGGCTGCCATCTTTAACGTGCTATAAAATTATTGCTGATCCCATTTTACGTGCTTACATTATTTGATCAACAATCAATCTAGGAACTTGAATTTCCAAATACCCTTCTGTGTGATTCTTGAGTAAAAACTGAACTGATAGCAGGCTTGAGCTGAATGTCAGCATTACACTCTCAGAATGCTCCTCAAAAGCATCAAGAAAATCTGTCCAGTCATTATTGCATTTGAACTTCAGGTCTCCATTCATTAGAAACTCAGTATTACAAATCTCAATCTCATCAACACCGTCACATGTACTCTTCTTGACAAGTAACTTGCTATTTATTGCTTCATAAACAACTATGCCTCTTAGCATACCAAGTGTGCTTGCAATCTTTGGTGTAAGCACACACTTCGTAACAGGCAATCCCATATCCTCATATTCATTTACTACTGTCGAAATAAATGGAATCATTATGGTACTTTTCAAGTCTGTTAGTTTCATACTGTCATCAATCACTATGTCATACTCATCAAGCAGTAAAATGCCTTCAAATAGATGAAAAGGATTCACAGTAAACACAAGATGATCCAAGTCAGATGGAATGTCAGATCCAAGTGTATCAATTGACAGGTAAAACCTACACTGTGCATGTGAAAATCCATGTGAAGATAAAATCATTCTGTTATGCATCGCATCAATTGTGATTTCCTTCCTGCACGACAAAGACTTCAGTGCAGCCTTGAACAGCTTCTTATCATTCACTACAATTCTCATTCAATGGCTTGGTAATAAAAAAGAGTCAAATCAAGTATGATGGGTTTGTTAAATACCTGGTCTGATGCACTAAGGCACATGTATGTCAATCAAAACATTTGTATAAATAAAAATATTTGTGACGCATAGAACAATGTGTGGGATATTTGGATACGCAGGTTTTGCCACAGAAATGAGCAAGAAACGAATTATCGATGTTTTAGTGAATGGATTAAGGCGCATAGAGTATCGCGGATACGATTCGGCTGGTATCTGCATCACTGACGACTCTGACATTCAACTCGTAAGGATCAGGGCAGTTGGGAAGGTTGAATGCCTTGCTCAAGCAGTGCAGACACAATGCAATATTAATCTAAGCAGAAAGGTGCAAGGATATGCAGGAATTGCACACACAAGGTGGGCAACACACGGACAACCGTCCGTTGAAAATAGCCACCCACTGAGCAGTGATAAAGACAATCACTTTCTTGTTGTCCACAATGGAATTATAACAAACTATAAGGAAATTAGAGTGGATCTTGAGAAGAAAGGATTTATTTTTGAGTCGAATACAGATACAGAATGTGCAGCAAAACTTGCAATGGACACTTACATACAGATGAGCAAAGATAATAAGTGTGTTTCATTCGTTGATGTAATTAAGAATGTTGCGAAGCAATGCGATGGTGCATTTGCGTTTGTGTTTGTATCTTCATACTTTCCAAATGAAATGGTTATTGTTAGGAAGTCATCACCTGTTTTAATTGGATTGAAACTAGCGCAAGGCTCGATCCCAAAATCTATAAGAGTTGTTTATGATCCTTATGATAATTCAGGTTTAGGAGAAGCAACGCCTTCGGAAGTATTTGTTTCATCTGATGCATCTGCATTGATAGAGCACACAAGAAACATTGTTTATCTGGAAGATAATGACATTGCACACGTATCAAATGGGAATGTGCTGATACACAGATTGATTGCCAAGGAGCACGATACAACAGTAAAGGAACGAGAAGTAAAGACAATAAATATGGAATTAAGCTCTATAATGAAAGGAGAGTATGATCACTACATGATAAAAGAAATTAACGAACAAAAGGATTCGGTTATAAGGACAATGGCAGGTAGAATTGATTTTGACAGGTATAGTGTTTTTTTGGATGGACTGAAGGATTACATCGATGCCATACGAAGCGCACAGAGAATTGTTTTTATAGCATGCGGAACTAGTTATTATGCATGTCTTTCCTGCAGAGCACTTTTTGAGGAATTGGTTGGTGTGCCTGTTACTGTTGAAATGGCAACTGACTTTCTTGACAGAAAGCCGCCTGTAACAAGCAATGATGCGGTATTTATTATGTCACAGAGTGGAGAGACTGCAGATAGTGCTATGGCAATGAGATATTGTTTAAAAAATGATGCATTATGTATAGGCATAACAAATACAATTGGAAGCACAATCTCAAGGGAAACTGCATGTGGAGTGCATATCAATGCCGGTCCTGAGATTGGTGTTGCTAGTACAAAGGCTTACACCTCCCAGTACATTACATTGGTTCTAATCACACTAAAACTCAGTGAATGCAATCCTTTGCATACAAACAGAAGAAAGGAGATTATTGAAGGCCTTAAGAGCATTAGTTCACAAATAGACAAAACATTGATGCTGAATGAATCAGTAAGATCTATTGCGAACGGAAAGATGAAAGACTGCACAAGTATGCTAGTACTTGGCAGAGGGTATCAGTATCCAACATGCCTGGAGGGCGCACTCAAAATCAAAGAAATCACATATATTCACTCAGAAGGTTTGGCGGCAGGTGAGCTTAAGCACGGTCCAATTGCACTTGTTGATGACAAACTTGAGTTAATATTCATTGCAGCAAATGATTTGAACTATGATAAGGCCAGAAATGCAATGGAGCAGATTTGTGCAAGAAATGGGAATCCAATGGTGATATGCACTGAGGATGTTGCTGATGACTATTCTGTGCATCAAGTGCTCAAAATACCCAAAACAGTTGACTGTCTTCAAGGTGTGCTGGCTGTCATTCCACTTCAGCTTCTGTCGTACCATCTTGCTGTAGCAAAGGGATATGATCCAGACTTTCCTAGAAGCCTGGCAAAGTCAGTAACAGTTGAATAGTCCAAAGTATGTCATGCATCGAATGGATTCGCAAATAAACTGATTTGTGATATCTTCGCAATCCTGTTTTCTATAGTTGTTTTTATGGATATTGTAATGAGACTACTATTACATATGCTTTTATTCATGATCACCGTCATTCGTGATTGATTGATTGCCTGGAATCATCAGGCATATAATGTGAATGGAAAATACAACGCCTTGCTTGAGCTAAACTGCTTCAAAAAACTTTCTTTTGAGAAGCTCGTCTGCAGAGGATCTTCTGTGTGGAGAAAACACAAATGTGCGCTCAAAAACATCCAGAATCCCTGGATCATCAAAATAATCTTCTAGGTATCTTTTGATCCCGATGCATCCCTTGGGATTTAACATAATATCCTGGCATCCAAGCTCAATTAGTTCTTCCTCGTTGGCCTTGACTATCTCAAGGATCTTCTTGAGTGTTGATCTGCTTGTATCTCCTTTGAATATTGGCTCTGGGTGCCTAAACTCGGCCATTACACATCCAACAGACCACACATCCATCTTGAAATCGTATTCTTTGTAATCAAGCAGGTTTTCAGGTGCTCTATAGAATCTAGAGCATATATATGTCACGTTATTTTCTCCGCTCTTGATCATCTTAGCACTTCCAAGATCACATATCTTGACAAGTCCGTCATGGCCAATAAGAATATTTGATGGTTTGATATCTCTGTGGCAGATGCTTTTTCCATGCAGGTATCGCAGTCCCTCTAAAATCTGCTTATATATTGATCCTATGCTCTTTATATCTAAACACTTTGCACTCGAGATGTATTCCTCAAGATTCATGTCAACAAAGTCCGTGATAATGTTCAGATACATTCCTGAAGGAGACTTGTCCGTGTAGAAATACGACACAAGGCTTATGATGTTTGGATGTTCCATATCCATTAGAATGCTGAGCTCTCTGTTGTGATATCTTCTGTCCTGATAGACTCTCTTCAGTGCAAAAAAGTTGTTGTTATCATCGGCTATCTTGACAACAACACCAAATGATCCTTTACCCGTGACATCAACATATCTGTATGACATTTCCTTTTTCTCTCCGCATCTCAATTGGATGGATGTCCTGTGCATTTTTATCCATTCTCTTTCCAATAGCTTTATTGATTCTGCAAGCTTTCTCTGTGACAATGTTGCCATGTGGGGAGATGCAAACTAGCCCTTGAATAGCATGTGTAGAGATCTCTAAGAAAATGACAGCATTGTGCTACTCATGTATTTGGTAATGCATCAATCCTACATTCAAATAAATTAATTCAGATTCATGCACTCTACTAGGCATTATGTGTCGAACATAAAACAAAACACAGATTTCTCTGATTGCATTGCAAAACAAACGATGCATGTAAGTGTGCTTGTATGTGTGTTATACACTAGTGTTGTGTTGGCCATCTCATCTTCTATACAGTCTGCTCCATCAACAGGAATGACATACACCGCAGTGATAGATGCAGGCTCAACAGGAACAAGGCTCGAAGTATATGGATTTGTAGGACAAGAAATCAGGCATCAAGGATTATTTACAAACACACCTGGAATCGCAAGCATGGAAGAGGACAGTAAAATAAAATCATCGCTGGAAGAATTGCTCATGCATGCTCAGCCATTCTACAATAATATTAAGACAATTCCTATGGGGTTTTATGGAACGGCTGGACTTCGAGCATTGGATACTACGCGTACAGATCACATTCTTGAGCTCATAAGGAACGAATTGAATGAATACAACCTTAAAGAAGCAAAAATTGTTAGCGGAGACGAGGAGGGCAGGCTTGCACTGATGTCATTGTTAATATCAAGTAAGGAAATGGGAAACAACAACAACAAAACTGTTGGCGTCGTAGATATGGGCGGTGCAAGCACACAGGTTTCAGTACTGAAAAATAACGGGGAAATCCTTTCAGACTCAATCAATCTTGGCATAACAGCAATCAACAATGCTGATGATATGGAGGATTGTGCAGTCAATAGCCAGGAACAACAAGAGTCCTGTGCACAGAAGATCATTGCAAAGCTCTTGAATGTACAAAGCAGACCAATTCTTAATAACATTGACAGTCTGTATCTGCTCTCATACTTCCATGATGAATTCACAAAGATTGTACGAGGCACAGAAACAAACATGAGGGAAATAAAAGACCAGTTCTACAAGAAATGCAGTCTTTTGGATTCATCCGACTGCAGAAACATCTTCTATCTGATTTCATTCATCAATGCCCTTGGCATCAACGACCTCAAGGATATCAAGAAAATAGATACAAATAACGGAATCAATATTTCCTGGGCATCTGCAAAAGGCTATGAACTCAACAAAATATACAATAAATAAAACCATATAGCAGCAACATAGCCTTTTTAGAACATTGGTTCAACACAATTTGATATTAAATTTGCTTTATTCTCCAATAAATGAGCTCAAAGTGCTCACTGCAGTAAATACTAAACCAATCTGCAGCGCATACATCAGAATCTCAAATATAAAACTATCTCTACCGCTTTCAAACTGATGATCCTTCAGCATTGATGTCTTTAGTGAAAACTGAGATATCGATGCCAAAATGATCAGGCAGATGAATCTTAGTATGCTTTTCGGATTTACAAGTGTATACACGAGTAATATATATGGAATGTGTACAACAGAAAGACCAACCATATAGACATAGCCTGCGTATGATGCATCGCCCATCATCCTTCCCAACGCCTTCTTATACACAAATCCTGCAACAAAGCAAAAACCCATCAGTATCATAAACGCCCACATTCCAATTTCAAAGGCTATAGACCCAGCGTTATCCGAGGATCTTGCGATCATCAGAGCCCACATAAACAAGCCCGTCTTCACAGAAGTAACTAACGAACAAAAAATACTCGGCAGCATATAATCAATTGGCTCATTAATACTCACCGGATACAATCTTAACGCATTTAAATAATCCCTAATAAAGCTATACGATGACTCGCTTCCATTGAGTGCATCAAATATCTTCTGAGTGCTAGAGCTTCTTGTTGAAGATCTAACTACCATTGTAGGGATGTTTCTGATTTTTATTTATAGCATCCCCTGAAACAAACATAAAGCAATCACTCATCATGCAGTTATCTCCTGATTTCCTTGAGCACAGACCATCTTTTAAACTTCTCTAGTTCACTCACAATCTCTCTATCCATAAATCCCTCCAAATCATCAATTGACATAGGCTCAAATGCTCGTATTCTTCCAACAACCCTGTGCTTGTTTGGAATCATATTCTTACCTCTTGCAAGTGATGCTCTGAACAAACTGCACAAATCCTTTTCCATTATGATCTCCTCAATGCTAGGCATTCCAGGGGTTTTGCCTTCAAGTCCATCATAGTACTCTTCCATTGCATACACACATATTAGTCAATTACACACACAATCAAACATTTATTCAATCAGAGGCATACAAAAACTCTACAAGCTCATCAATAGTGGCCTCATCGTTCCTATCAAACGAAAAAACTTTCAAAAACTCTCGCATCTCTTCTTCACTGAGTCTGTCTCCCATTCCAAGATACTTCATCATGTCTTGTTTGGTAAAGTGTGTTCTGTGATTAAACTGTGATATCATCCTCCTCATCTGCTCCCTCTGCATAGACGGCCTTACACTTGATGCAACCTCCTCAAACTCCTCAAAGCTTCTTGGAATAGGCACACTCATCTCTTGTGGTGCATACCCACACAGTCTCAGTAAATCAAGTGTCGCCTCATTCGTGAGATCCTTGCCTCCAAACATCTTCCATTGATCAAGCATCTTTTCTCTGTTCATTCTCTAAGGGCTTACAACAAACACAAACTACTTCATACTCTTCACATCCCATTGGACATCCTCTGATTAAACAAGAATCACTAGATATCTCATGTCTTCTGACCGTACATTTCACATTCTATATGCCATACACATTAAACATAATCAATTCTAGATAGATTCATTCATGAGCATCATACAGACTTATTCATGCAAGTCATGCGAAAGCCTGTCCAAAAAAAGAATCATTCGGCTGTTAAACTCATCATCTATAGACTCTCCAAAATACTCTCCACACTCTCTGTGCAGTCTCACTACATCTTCATACATCAGGCATACTGTGTCATACCTTGGCTGTATCTCATCCATCTTCTCTTGTATCCTTGCAAACGATGACCCATTAGCATTGATATAGTTCTTCTTCAACTCATCAATCTCTACACACAACGCTTCAAAATTCATCCTACTTGCCTCATGCACAATAAATAGTTCGTTCACCAGCGTTCGGGCATTAATCCTCCTCTCAATAAACCTAAACAGACTTGCATCATTATTCTTTGCTTCAAGAATCGTTGGAATCGAGTCCATCGTAAACCCTTCTGCATTTCCCAGAAAACTTCCCATATTCAGGTAGTTTCCTACTGCAAGTGCAACCCCTAGAAACTTTCGCAGCTCATTACTTCTCAATAGCACCTCATAATACTCCCTAAGAATACTCAACGTATTCATCAGGCACTGATCCTTAAATGAAGTTGCAAAGTATAAATAATACAGGCATCTCTTAATCATCTCAATCTCATCAATGCACTCCTTGAAAAACTCTTCTCCACGTCCAAACAGATCTTCAGTCACCTGCAAATGCTCAATCTCTTCATCCGTCGGAAAGTAGAACAAAAGTTGCTTCACAAGATTCTCATCAAAATCATCTCGCATCTCAACAATCGTCTGCTTAAGCTCATAATTACTTACCTTGACTCTTCCAAGAGCAATATTTATTGCATAACTCTTCTTTTCAGAAAATACACTTGGTCTCTTATTATCCAATCTTACACTGCTTGTTTTGGGTTTCTCCTCTTTGACTTCAAATGCCTCAAAATCATCCACACTAAAAAGCCCTTCAATCTCCTTAATGTTGATCTTACTCCACAGACTACTTCCTTTCCCTATCTTCTTCCATTTCACAGGCATGTACTTCTTGCTAGGCATTGCATTCTTCACTACCTTCTTGATTATCTTCTTTGGTTTTGGTTTTCCAGTATCCATAGTTACACATTCTTTCTCATTCACAGATTGCTCTTCAGCTTTCTCTTCAATCATACACTTCGCTGGCTCTCGGCTCCTTACTTCAACATTCTTAAAGATCTCTCTATCTCCAAATACAAACGCCTCTGCAACACAACACACAATATCCAAATGGCCTTGGCTCTCGGCTATCCTCAATATCTCCTCAATCCTGTCCTTTCGAAAGTCACCTGTCATACTACATCTAATCTCCTTCGCAATCACATCGTAAATCTCCCGGCATACAACCCTTTGCTCTAACTGATGGAATCCGGAAACAAAAAGAATGTACTTCACATGCACGGACCTGGCAGACTTTAGCAATGTAATGAGAAAGTTCAGCTCATCAACAACTCGTGGGATTCTCATAACATGCTCAATTATCCTGGATAAATACGTATTGCATACACATCTGTTGAAATCTATGCTGTAGAACAGTTCCTCCGCTTTTCCTTCATTAACTAAAAATTCAATTATCTTGAAAAACGCTTTTGTATCCTGAATCTTGCCACAGATAAATCTATCAAGCAATGGCCTTAGAAACGGTGGGAAATGATTTCCATACTTCGACAATATCATGCTCAGAGTATCACAAATCGCATCACTGAACTCATCATCCATTCTTCTCATGCATCTCACAAGCACATCGTGCCCTCCCTCTATTGTGAATATCTCATACAACACGTCAGGCCCGCTTTCAAGAGAACATGACAAACTCAATAGATTCAATACGCTGTTCCTGTCGCTAAGCTTAACAACATATTCTCTGATCTTCTTCTTCCTCTCATCCATCGTCTGCATAGAGGTGATTGTCTTGATCTTTTTCGAAAGATTCAGCTTTGCTGCTAGCTTATGCTGCTTCTCCTCATCTATCCCCATGTCCTCCATTATGCTTCTAAACTGTATGTTGATATGCTCCAGCGACTTCGACTTCCACGACTCCATGGGCAATCTATTTTACCGAGTGTTATCGATTCATAATATATCAATTGTTTGGCATAGTGTTTAATGCATGTTTAATGATGCTCGCCTTCTGCATTTCTACACTAGATCAAAACATACAAGCATTTGTTGTCATGCAAATGAACAGGTTTGCATCTGTACCCTTAACAACTGATGGGAAAGCACAGAGATCGAGGTATGCACGAGAGGAAAAAGGCTCATATTGAGTTTGGAAACGAAGACACTTCCAAATGTCAACAAGAAATTGTTGTCGATCCAAACACAACTCCATTGAATGATTCTACTCATGAATGCACTAATCAATACGATTTGCCATTTCATGAAGATCCATTTCCATACATATCAGAAATGCCTCCAGAAATAGAAAAGAAAACAAGCATTATGAAGCAGTTCGTCTCAGGTATCGAAAGGCTGTTTTCAGTAATTAGGTCCGCATTTAGAAGCACATTCACATGGATCTCAAATCAAATTACTTCATCTATTGGCGAACAAGTTTAGTCTTAAGCATAATTACTGAATTAAACTCCATAAATCTATCACTTAAATAACTTTTATTCTATTCAATATCACGAAAATTCCAATCACATATCCATTTGCAATGGCATTATTAACAAGAATACACAGGTTGCTACACATCAACCCAATGAAATGTCTTATATTCATAAACACAGTCTACATAAAGCAAACGTCATAAAGACACATACTCCAATAGATACGCAATAAGCAGACATTCCTACTTTCCATGGCGTATATTTGCAAGTATGCCCTATTTCTCTTCTTAGATCATCTAATAGTCCAACACAGATCTCTAAATCTTGTACATTCATACATACATTGTATTGCCTAGCAGTAGCAATTGTCTTCTTGCATTTCTTAATTCCACTCTTAATTCTTGATGCAAGCTCATGAGCCGAAAGATACCGTTCCTCAAATACATCTATGTCAGACAATATGCTCGAGTCTGAAAAATTATCTGTTCTTAACGAATATCTTTGTAACATCTCCCTAACCTTCGCTACAGAATCTTCTTCTGCCATCTCAGGGGAGTCACAAGGTTCAGCCATTATTCAATCAAATTAGGCTATCAACATCAAAGCTCACTGTAAGTAAGTCTCCCCATTCAACCCTCAGAGCATACAATGATATAAATATGTTCATGTACATTCATAATATATCAAAAAGCCATACAATAACCTATTCCACTCACTATTTCATGGATCAATAAATTTAATACTCATCAGTAGGCTCTGCATTAGATGATATCCTTTGATAGTCATCCTCAAGCATTGCAAGGTCTTCCCTGGCTTCACTGAACTCTCCTTCTTCCATTCCCTCTCCAACATACCAGTGCACAAACGCCCTCTTCGAAAACATAAGGTCAAACTTATTGTTCAATCTCTTCCATGCCTCAGAAATAGCAGTTGTATTAGACAACGCACACACAGCCCTAGACACTTCTGCCATGGCTTCACCTTCAAGAACAGTTGGCTTCCTGCTGTTTATTCCTACCTTAAACCCAGTAGGGCACCACTCCACAAACTGGTTCGTCCTCTTCGCCTTCACATTAGCAGTTGCACTGTTCGCCTCCTTCGGATTCACTTCTCCTCGGAATAGTAGGCAACATGCCATGTACTTTCCTTTCTTTGTGTCGCATCGCACCATCTGGTTCTGCGGCTCAAAGCATGCATTCGTAATTTCATGCACGCTCAGCTTCTCATGCGCTGCCTTCTCCCGTGACAGCATAGGCGAATATGCAACAAGCGGGAAGTGTATTCGTGGATATGGCACCAGATTCGTCTGGAACTCAGTCAAATCAACATTCAATGATCCAGGGAATCTCAGCGATGCAGTTATCGACGATACCACTTGCGCAATAATCCTATTTATGTCCGTGTAATACGGCCTCTGTATCCCTAGGTTCCTGCACATATCATATATTGCCTCATTATCAACAAGAAATGAACAATCAGAGTAGTCGAGTGTTGTATGCGTCGTCAGTATGCTGTTGTAAGGCTCAACTACTGCTGTTGCTATCTTAGGCGCCGGATACACACTAAATTCAAGCTTACTCTTCTTTCCATACTCTGATGCTAGCCTGTCCATCATCAAAGATGCAAATCCTGATCCTGTTCCTCCTCCAAAGCTGTGATATATCAAAAATCCTTGCAATCCATCGCAGTTGTCTGCCATCCTTCTTATCTGCTCCATTGCAGGCTCAATAATCTCCTTTCCAACCGTATAATGTCCTCGTGCATAATTGTTTGCTGCATCTTCCTTCCCAGATATCAACTGTCCTGGATGATAAAGATCGCGGTATCTTCCACTCTTGATACTTTCAAGCACTCCAGGCTCAAGATCAACCATCAGCGTCCTGGGAACATACGTTCCAACACTCGTCTGCGAAAAAAAAGATTCTGCGCTCTCATCATCCATCCGGTTCTCACCAAGTCGTCCATCAGGCATTATCCCATGCTCCATACAGAATAACTCCCAGCATGCATTTCCAATCTGGACTCCTGCTTGCCCAACATGCAATGATATTATTTCTCTCATCTTCTTGGGGCATTCCGAAACAAAATTTTATATTAACCTTCTCCACAGGTTTTTGCCTTACTCACTCCTCCCTTATATTTACCTATTCAAGCATTCCTTACCACATCAAACACAGCTTAACACATTCATTCAACAAATAATAACACACTAATACATATTCAATTCATCACTTTTATTCCACTTATTTCATTTATTTCCATCGATTTTTAAATCCTTCCTTTCATTTTCACATTTTCCCATTGATTGTAACATATTTCATTTCCTTCAATTGCATCCATTTCTACTTACTTCCACGTCCTTAACAATTACATAATTACTTTCACACATTTTCACTTCCTCCTTTTCATTTCAATTATTTTCACACATCCTTTTCATTTCAATTACTTTATTTCAACCATTATTATTTATCACATCCTCCTTTCCTTCGTAATACTTTCAAGCTTGTTTCGGAGCATCAGGTATGTTACCAATATTTCATCTGCAAACTCTGTGCTTCCCTCATTCTTCTTATACAGCATCACATCCTCCTTCAGCTCCTCAAACATCCTCTTCAGGTTCTCTCCAATGTATTTAAAATCAACATCATCCTTTCCTCCAGCGTACATCCTCTTCAGTCTCTCTGCACTCTCAACAACCATGCTAAAATTTTTCTTCAAATTCAGTGTTTGCAGGTCCTGTGTCTGTGAATACAGGCTTCCAAACTTCATTGGCTTCAACATCTCCGTTGACGTGTGTTGTTGATGAGAGCTTCTATGTATGTTAATCAGTTTCTGCTTTATATGCACAGGAAGTTCATTAAATCGCGTTTCCTTAGTCACCGGCACCATCAATATACAAGGGCTCTTTCACTCTTCCACAACCATCGCTCATATTCAGGAAATTCATAATCCTTTTATATGCCTTCTCCGCATTTTCCCTCCGCCTTACAATCTCTCCAAGCATTTGTCTATATGCTTTGCATCCTTTCTTCCCAACTAGTAGATTCATCATTGGTTGTATATCCCAAATCCTCATCTCCTTCTCTTTTCCATACCATTCAAAGTATCTTCTTATTACTTCATGAACCATAACCTTCTTTTCATTATCATCTATCAATTTATTCTCTTTACAATCACTATCAAATCCAGTATTCGCTCTAACATTATCATTACTACATCCTTCTTCTCCTTCTCCAAATCTTTCCTTTCCAATCTTCCTGTCAATCTCCCAAAATACAAAAATATTCTTCATGCTCTCCCTGCCAATCATTAATCCATCAAGGCTACATAGCTTTTCTAACCCATCAGCATCAATGCATCCATTCAGCATTATCTTCAAATCAGGATGCAGCTGCTTAATTGCATATACACTTTCATAGTCAAGAGGTGGCACCTGTCTGTTTTGCTTTGGAGACAGTCCTGAAAGCCAGCATTTCCTGGCATGCACATAAAAGCTCCTACATGCTGTGTTCATCTTCAAATAAGTGATAAAATCATCTAAAAACTCAACTCCATCATGATCATCAACACCCGTTCGGATCTTCAGACTTAGAACCACCCCAGTATCACAGTGAACCTTGTTCACAATCTCAGCCACTAACTGCTTCTTGAGCATGAGGATCGCCCCAAAGCATCCTTTCTTGACCCTTGCACTTGGGCATCCACAGTTCAGATTGAACTCCTTATATCCAAGACTTTGAAGAATCTTGACCGCCTCGACAATCTCGGACGCATCGCTCCCACCAATCTGCACAACAGTATTCGCATCATACTTGCCAACCATCTCCAGCAGCTTTTCACATGTTACATGAACAACCGTGCTACACACAATCATCTCAGTAAACAAAACGGTGCTTTTGGACGTCAGTCTAATCAGCCTCCTGAATTGTGGAGTCGTCACATCCATCATCGGCGCAAGACTAATCTCAATGTCTTCGTTCATGGGCTTGCAAACAGCCCTTCTCATCAACATCCACACCGATTATCTGCATATAACAACAAAGCACACAATCTCAACCGCAAGTATGCAAATTCCCTCCAAAACACCAAAATAACACATAAATAATCAATACTTCAAATCCCAATGGAAAGACACAACACCACTAATTCAAAAAAATCCATTAGGAAGCTCAGGTCTGTAGACGTCCTCATCAAGAGAAAGGCATACTGCCCATCAACCCTAAAAACACAAGCAAAGAAACTTAAAAACACAATCACCACCACAAAACAAATAGAAACACCAAAAAGAATCATCAGGATCCTGTCGCCTGCCAGCAGAGTAGAAATCTCAAGTAATTCAGAATCAAAAAAGTACGAATCCGTTAGAAAAATAGACTTCAGCTAAATCTACACCAATCGATTGTAACATAATAAACAGTAATGCATTTAAAATATACTCTTTAATGCTCTAACTTTCTTCAACACATTTATATTAATTATATACTAGCAACTAGATCTGCATACCAAACAGGCTTTTCCTGTAGAGTAAGCATGAAAAGCGATATCCCAACCGAATTCAACCTTCGAAACATCTTGTAAACATCGTTTGTGATAGCCAGAGTAGATGGACTCAGCAACAGTATGTCTCTCTTCTCATACATGAGCCCTTTTAGAATCTGTAGTAGATCAGTCTCATTAGTGCATATAATGCTTCCATCGAGCTTCTTCCCATATGTCTGTATCACTACTGTGTCTCGAAACATATCTAGCGCTGCCCTGTTGCTGTACCTTATCTGATAAATCTTTCCATACACCGGCTGCTTTTCAAGTCTGATCATGGGCTCTACACTTCAATACACTCTAAACAAGTCCATTCCTCTTCAGATCCTCATATGTTCTTTTATCAAACACATTTCCTTCGCAATCCTCAAATTCCTCCTGGTACTCTAATGCTTCTTTCTGCTCTTCAGATGCTACTCTAGCTTTCATACGCATTAATGTATCCACTCGTGTTATTCCCCAATACAGCTTACTATATAATCCAACTCCATATCTTTTCATCCCTTTCAAATGGCATTCAGATTCAAAATGCAGATCAAAGTCTTGCCATCCATGACACACATATCCACACACTTCACACTCAAATTCAACATCGAGATCTTTCTTCTTGTACAGCCATCTAGGCACTTCGCGTTTCTTATGTTTTTCCTTCTTTACTGCAGCAAATGTAATGATATAATTTAGCTCCTTGCTTACTTCCAAAAGCATCTTCTTCAATTCATCTTTTATTGAAACTATCGGTCTTGAACAATATAAAACTGTTGTTTGTGCTCGGCTCATATGCTTACTTCCATTCACATGGTATCTGAACACATTCGTACATACTTCCTTACTGCACCCAACACAATACACTCTTGAGTACAGTTCACTACCTTCTTTCTCATAAATCCTTTCATCTAGTCTCTTAATAAAATCTTCAATGCAGCATTCATTCAGAACGTTCAATTTACATTTCTTCCTAATCCTTTTAAACCTTCTATAGTACCTTGCCTTCATAACTTTCAAAATATACCTCTGTAGTTCATCCAGGTACATCAGTCCACACATCCCTGCTTCTTTAATCTCAAGCTCATGAATCCTTCCAATAAAGTCTTCATATTTATCGCATTCATGCACATGCATGTATTTCTTGAAAATTCCTTCAAGCTCAAGAATCTCTCCATACATTTTAAATCCTTTAAAAACACATTCAATCATCCTAGATGACTTTCTTTCATAATACTCATGACTCTTCAGTGCCTTTATATCTCTGCAAAGCTTTCCTTCGATATTTAACTTTGCAAGTTTTTTGTAGTGCATATACTTCGCCACAAAAACACTCCTCATGTGTCTTTTTATTGCTCTTTCTTTCCTCCCTACTCCAGCATCCATCCCAACGATCCATCTACTGATCATTTCCATTTGCTCAAGTATCTTAATATGTCGCCGTAGTCTGTCCTCCATCCACTCAAAAACAGGGATCACTCTTCCACATACACACATAACACATTCATCTTTTAATCTTCTTGATTGGCTTCTTCCGATCTGTCTTCTTCAATGTCACAGGCTCCTCTTCCTCAACAATCTCAAGCTTCTCTATCCTCGTCTTCTTTGCAATAAGATATGCCCACGAAAACCTACGGTCTGCAGCCTCAACCTTCTCCTGAATATATCCCTGGCTTATCAGGTTCCTCAATATCCTCTCTATAGTCGTTCGGCTCATCTTCACCCCTTTTCCATAATACTCACTCCCAAAAAACTCTTTACTCTTCTTTGTGGACACTCCCTTGTACACATCAACCGTCTGACATAGCGTAATCTTGTTACTTGTATAAACAAGCAGAATAAGGTCCTTCGCCTCCTTTACATAATCTTTCTTAACCACAGATTCGCGTCTACAATTGTCACACGTCTTTCCACATTGATTTGCATCAAAAACTTCTCCAAAATGTGCCAACACCTGCATCCTGCGGCAATCAGTCTTGTTCTCACAGAACTGAATCACTGCTTCCAAATCATCCCTTTGGCGTTGCTTCTGCTCATATCCTCCGTCTCCCTTCTCAATCATAAACGTAATCTTCTTCTTATCTCCATACGTATAGAACAGCACACATACACTCTCAAGTCCATCCCTTCCTGCTCGTCCTGTCTCCTGATAATACCCTTCCAGAGACTTCGGTATACAATAATGAATCACAAACCTCACATCCTTCTTGTCAATCCCCATTCCAAATGCTATCGTTGCAACAATCACCTTCACATCACCATTGTTCCATCTCTCTTGTACACTATTCCTTTCGTTTTTGCTCAGCCCTGCATGATAGAAAGCAGTCTTCACATACTTCCTGAGTCGTTCACTGATCATCTCACATTCCTTCTTAGATGTGCAATAAACTATTCCGCAGCAATCTGGAAAGTGTGTTTGCACAAAACTAACCATGTCTATCTCAACTGTGCTTGTCTTTGCACGCACTTCATACCTCAGATTAGCCCTGTTGAAACTCATCCGGAATCTTTCGCATCCTCGGATTCTTAGGTTCTCCAGAATATCCATTTCTACCCTCTGTGTTGCAGTGGCCGTTAATGCAATAATCGGAACATTTGGATAGCGCTGCCTTATGCTTCCAAGCTCTTTGTAATCAGGTCGAAAGTCATGTCCCCATTGACTCACACAATGCGCCTCGTCTATCACAAACCTCTTCAGCTTGTTCCTACGGACAAGATTACTCAAAACATCATGGAAATGCCCACTCTTTGCAACAAGCTCTGGCGTTACATAAAATATCTTGCATAAAGTCTCCTCCCCTCCAAGAACATCAAAAACAAGACTTCGTTCAGATTGACTTAGATTTGAGTTAATTGGAAGCGCAAGAATCCCTTTCTGTAGAAGATTGTATATCTGGTCTTGTACAAGAGAAAGCAAAGGACTGATCACTATCGTAATCCCATCATCTATCAATGCTGGCAGTTGGTAGCATATGCTCTTTCCTCCTCCTGTCGGCATCAATACAAACACATCCCTCCCTGCCATGCATGAACATATCACCTCTCTCTGGTTAGTCCGAAACTCTTTCATTCCAAAAACCTTTTGTAAGTAGAATTCCTCAATACATCTAGGATTCGCTTCATGGCTTGTCATAAATCCTTCTTCATTACTATCTCCTCTCTCTAGAGACGATCTCAGAAACGTCGTCCTAATCATGTCGTTGCTAAAACTGCAAGATTCGTTCTGCTCATCTCTTCGCTCATCCCACGGATCAATTGCTTCAACACTCTCTATCTGATTCTCCGCTACACTTAGGCTTATATCAGAAATGTCATCTCCAAGTGATGAATAATATTCATAATCAACTTCTTTTTTAACATACAAATCATCTGTACCTCCTTTATATAGCTCATCCGTCTCCAATATTATAGCCTTCTTAGTTAATTCTCTATTCTCATTTGCATAAAACCTTAGTCTCTCGACTCCTGTTCTTATTTTACTGCCAGATGATGTGTCATCTCCTTTCATACCAAAATGCTTGTCTCCAGATACATTGGACACGCCCACAAGCTCAATGTCGCTATCTGATTCTTCATCATGTATACTGTCGCATATTCCATCCGAACTGCTTGTCATCCCATCAAAATTCCAGTCACTCTCACTAAACATCTCCTTTTCGTTCAAAACTGCATTAACAAAAAATTCTTCGTCCTCCAACTCATAATGCTTGCTTTTCATCCTTTCCTTCTCTGTATGCTACTTCAGGGCTAACTTTTGCTTTATTCAAACCCAAACATTTCTCAATCCATCTATTCCTCTGTGCTTGGATGTTGTACTTCTCCACCAGTGTAAAGTCTCCAAACATCGTGCTGTACTCAGGTCTACACATGCAAAAGTGATAAAGGCAGTTTTTTTCGAGTAGAATACTTGCAAGCACGTCCATCATGTCACTTCCCCTATAATGCTCAATTAGATCATTAATCTCGTACTCTCTATGCTCATCAATACACATCTGGATGTATCTTTCAATTTCCATAGGAAAATATATTACAATCAGCTTCAATGCATCAAGCGCATGCACATCTCGAACCCATTGCTCAAGCATTTGCTTTCCACTATCATCAACCTTTCTATACAACCTACATAGAATAATCTCCATCCCATGCTTACCATACTTTCTAACCATTCCCGCCACCATTCTATCTCCCATGCTTCCAAGTACAAACTCCTCAAAAAGATACTTCTCAATCTTCGCCTGTAAGTGGATATTCATAGCATTATTTTCATCATTCAAGCACTCATTTGGATCGACACATGCTTCAATGTCGTATTGCATAAAAATCGCTATGTACAGATCAAATAAGTCCATATTATTATCAAGTGTAAGTAGTTCATATGCATCAATATCTATATCATAAACTGTATCGTCATATGCTTTCGAACTTATCCTCCCTGAATACTCCATGTAAACAACATCTGCTGTCAAAACCATCATCAGTACCTGTTTTGCAACAATCTTACTGCGTACCATTATAGGCATGCATATACTCGACTTGCTTCGAACACAAACGTCTCTAATCATCACAAAATCATTCGAGCAGCTGCAATATATCTTCACTTCACATTCTTGTAGAAGGTTTCTATCAATAATGTAATGGTGTTGTACTAAACATCTCTTTCCATTATACTCTTCATTTGTCCAGATCCATGCATTTTGATCATCAACGAGTACATCCATAACTTCAGAGAATATTCCAGGTGGAAGCATGTATCTCCTGCCATCTTCAGAACAAACAATCTCTGAACCATTCACATATACCTTAAAATTATTTACTAATCCATGTAAAGGTAGTTCATAAACCTTTAGTGTCTCTTGTATCACGAACATCTTAGATTCATGCACTGCAACTGAACTTTCATCCACTTTCAGAATCTTATTAGATGTATACCAAAGAAATCCTTGGCGGATATAGAACATGCATGAATACTCGGCTGGCAACATAATATACCGATTCTCAACAAGCACATTCAACAATGGTTGATTAATAAGCATATCTGCACTTACTGCATATTCTGCTATGCATCTCATTCTAACCCTAAAGTACACAAAACAAACTAAAATTGTACCTGAGCAATCCCCATGGGCAAAGCAAAAAGGCAAAGACTGACAGAAATAACAAACAAGCTACATCATCAGTACAATAAGCTAGAGCCAGCTGAACAGTGCATAATTGTTTCTGATGATGAACTACACAGCATTGATGTCATAGACATACCTATTACTGATGGGATATTTAATGAATACCAAATCACAAGCAAGATCCTTGAGGAATACTGGATATAAATGTGCATAAATTTATTTTTCATTCGCATCTTCTACATATCCATCCAGGTCATTATTAAACTCCCCTTCTGCTTCAAATCTATCGAGCGCATTTGATATCTGGCAGAGTTCATCTTCAAGCGCCATCAAGCATTGATCATCCTCAGGAAACGGCGTTATGCATATTCTGATTGCATTTATGCTTCTCATAAAATCCCACACGCCCAATCCATGATGGAAAACATCCTTTTCTACTTTCTTCTCTATGCTATGCAAATGCTGGTTGATTGCTTCAATCCACTCCAACTGCATTTCTATGTCAATCATCCTATCCTGACTGTCATAAATCTCATACAAAATGCATATGTTTATCACTGCCTCAATATTACGTCCTTCAAACAGAAACTTCAGAACTTCCTGAATAATCTGATTGTGCATCTTTCTAATAAAAATCACCTGTTGCTGAGGATTCTTGTATATCCAGGCCAGCTTCCTAAAGTCGCACTCATCCAGTCTAGATATGTCATCTGCTTCAAGCACCATTGCCCGGATGTTTAGGAGATCCAGTTTGATGTCATCCACAAGTGTCTCTTTCTCCTTAACCGGCATCTCGTAGGGTCATTCAACAACTTAATCAAATGCTATCCAATTGTTTATCTGTTATTCATGTATATCTTTATTTTATTGCAATTGCTTTACAGTTCTGCCTGCAATCTTTGAAATGTGCTCAGGCACCTTGTGCCTATTTTCCTCAAGAAAGTCTACTACAATACCCATCCTCTCAAAATCTTCACGTGAATAAATACTATATATCTTCTGTCCAGTGCAGTTTCTGTTAACTCTGCCAGCTCTATGCACAAACTGTGTCTTTGTGTCTGGAATGTCATAGTTAATAACACTTCTAACATTGCAAAAGTCAACGCCTCTGCTCAGGGAGTCTGTTGCAAACAAATACCAAATCTTCTTCATGCGGAAGTCATCAATAATGCTCATATCTGGTAAACAATGCTCTGTGCAACCAATATCTCCTTTGCACTTACTTTCTTTTTGTTGGCATTTGCATTCTGTATATACTGCACTTTTTTCAAGCATATTGCTGAGCATCTGTCCTGTTGCTTCATCTCTGACAAAAATTAATGCTGGTGATTCAACACCGTCAGCGATCAACTGCATCAAAGCAAGATGTTTTATGCTTCTGTTGGTTCCAAACACAAATTCATGATCAAAATATCTTTTTGACCATATGTGTATCTTAGTAACATTCGAAATCATATCCATCACTTCGGTAACATATTCGTTGATAGTTGCACTGAAGCAGCTGACATGTATTCTTCGAAGATCCACTGCCTTGAGAATCTGTCCAAACTGTTCAATCGAGTCTTTGCAGATTAGATAATCTGCTTCATCTATTACAAAATGCGTAACATCACTTATCTTTACATTATCAAGCATCTTCAATAATCCATCAGGTGTTATTACCAAAACCTTTGCATTTGTATGAACAAATTCATCTTCAATAATTTTGTGCACAGCAAGTATTTCCTCATCAATTATCCTGTTGCTCTTACACTGCAATACTTTTATTCCATTTGCATGTGTATAAACACCCTTTATGCGCATATCCTTGCATTTGATTTCATCCAGGCACATTAGCACCTGCTTCACAAGCACGGCACTAGGCACAATCACAATACCAAAGATACTCTTTTGCATCCCAAGCTCTACAAGTGGCAGGCAATAACTCAGTGTTTTACCACTACCTGTAAATGCTCTAACAATCACATTGATATCATTAAGAAAGTATGGAATTACAATCTTTTGAACCAAGAGAGGTGATTCAAATGGTAGTTTTGCTCTTAACGTTTCGAATCCATCAAGATGCGCAAGCTTCTCTCCATCAACTTCATAATCAACACATTCCTTTGGTGCTTTTTTCTGCCTCTTCTGTTGTATTCCTTTCAAGAGGATATCTTCTATCTGCATGGGGACTTAGCATCAGCATTTTTTGTGTAGTCTATGTGCATGAGATTCTTAGCGATACCCTTATGGGATTGTTCTTGCTAGTTGTTAGAGATAGTGAAAATACTGAGGTGGTGGAGCATGTTAGAAGCGCGCTTGATTGCGATGTAGTTGACAAAAGAATAGGCTACGATGGTATTATTGTTATTGGAGGTGATGGGAGTGTTCTGAGGGCAGTTTCATGTTATGATGATCCTCCTATTATTTATGCAGTCAACCGTGGAAAGGTTGGGTTTCTATGCCCAATCCCATATGACAAGCTGGATGTACTGTTATACAAGCTTGTGAGTGGAGAACAGATCAGCATGAAACAATCCATAAGGTTGTGTTTTGTAGGGAAAAGACACTTTCTGAATGAGGCAATAATAAGATCACAGGTGCCACGACTGAATACATTTCGGATTTGCATAAACAGCGTGTCGTTTATACTAAGAGGAGATGCTGTGATTGTATCTACACGCACAGGAAGTAGTGGATACAATGCATCTGCAGATGGACCGTTACTTCTTATGGATGGGATTGTGATTAATGTTGTTGCACCAAATAGATGTGCATTCAGACCGATTGTGTGTAGTATTGAAAGCAAGATTAGTATTGAGATTGATTCGGATCCTCAGGTCATCCTTGATGGAATAGTGTATGAAGAGGCAGGAAGTCATGAGAGAATGTTTGACATATTTTATAATGGGTCTATGGTGAGGTTTGGGTATCTGAATGATTATGATGAGTCTAGGCAGATTGAAGGGTTGTTTATGCTAAATGCAGGACCTGTGTTAAGCTTGGAATAGGCCAGGTACACAGAGGTTTGAAAATGAAACAATTGCAGTAGCCCTTGATGGGATTTGAAGAGCAGCTAGCGGTGTTTTCCCCGGATGGAAGGCTGATACAGGTTGAGTATGCACAACAGGCAAGCGAGCAAGGATCTCTTGTTGTGTTTGCAGTGGGGTCTGAAGAGATTGTGGTAAGTCTTGAAAGGAAGACAGGGAATCGGCTGCTTATTGAGGAGCCAAAGATGTTTATGATCAACGAGGCACAGGGGATATGGATGAGCTATTCTGGATTCAAGCCTGATGCGTATCTGGTGATGAATGTTGCTCGAATGATTTGTACTTCATACAAGAGTAGCACCGGAGAGGATATTACAATTGACCAGCTTGCAAGAAGAGTTGGAGAGTATAAACAGAGATATACTGTTGTGTATCATCAGAGGCCGTTTGGAGTAAGGACTGTGTTGTTTGGATTGAGTGCCAAGCCAATTGCGTATGTGATTGAACCTGATGGTAACTTTTCTGAGTTTTACTGTGGAGCGATTGGACAGAAGAGCCAGAAGGTATGTGAGTATCTTGAGAAGGAAGAACGAAGTGATCTTGTCAGACTCACCATTCTTGGATTAATGGAGGTAGTGCAGTCTGATCCAAACAAGATATCCACATTTGTAATAAGCAAGGAAGAATGTAAGCGAGTTGAATGTTCTGTGATTATGAGTGTGATTGATTCGTCTGTAGACCAATAAATGATGTTTTCTGTGACTTGATGTTGGAGATGAAACAATGTGTAACAGTGAAGATTGGATGAATGTTTGTTTCTCTTTGTGATGTGTGCCAGGCGCTGTGCAATGATGTATGTACTCTTGCTGATGGAGTATGGAGTGTTTTGTCGAGAGAGGGTTGCTATAAGGTCTGTGAGCAGTGGTAAGTATTTGAGCCCTTTGACCTTAGAATTAGAGAATGAAGGTATAGGCTCAGTGATAGAGGACTATGCATTTGAGTGGAGATTGAATAATCGAACAAATGGATTTAATCTTGGGACAGATAAAGGAGATATTGGAATTGATTTAAGTAGTGGAAATTTAGTGTATGATGAGTCAGTAGATAAAGTACCTGATCATGGATTTTACTTTAAGAATCCCCCGAGATGTAAAAACATGATAGGATACAACTCATTGTGTATGCAGGAAATAAACGGGGAAGTAAAGTTTTCAGAATGCCCATCACCTGATAGTACGCCTGATAACTCACCTGATAGCTTCCTGTTCGTTGTAAAGACATTCAAGAACTTTCCAGGGCGTACTGATGCAGAATATGTATCAGATCAAGTAAGCACACAGGATATGGAAGCAGATTCAATAGCTAGGAATGCAAACAATACAAATGTTTATAGAGAAAGTATTATGGACAGTGACATACAAAGCGGTGTAGATACAGACTTATACGACCGTAGGCAAGTAGATAATATGATTGATTATAAGGATGATGGTGCATACATGGACAGTAAACCATCAGTCACAGCCACAAATCGGAAGATACAAGACAAGTGTAATAGTCAATATGTGTTTTTAATGAGTATTTTTCAAGAGATAATACGAAATATTGCTATTGCTATTGAATCACAAAATAATGTATGACAATCAGGAAGTGGTTTATGAAAGTCTTTCAGTACTGAGCATGATATAGAAAATGCCAAATACTATTTATTCCCATATCTGTACATTTCCAAGTAGGTTTCCTGATGCAAGATTCGATATGCTCCCGTCTATCCAATCTATTGAAGTGCATGGATCTCCTCGAACTCCAATGGATGTGATTTGATGCGAAGTGCATTCAACAAAGTTTATAAAGCCGTCTTCACTACCATAACATATAAAGGTACCATCTTCTGAAGCTTTTGGTACTGTTGAGCATCTATTTGTAATCGGAATCCGCATTTGCTGAGCTTCCTGTACATCTGTACTTATGCAATCCTGTTTGCTTGTTTTTTCAACACAGCTTAAACCTGATTGTGCATTGAATATATCTATATAATTACTGCAAGCCACCAAAAACATGCCTCTACTTGAGTCAAACTCAATAAATGAATATTCTCCAGAATGAATTCTGAAATACTTATAATTACGGAGATCAATCTGATGCAGTTGTCCATTTCTTGTTATGGCCAGCAGTGTGTTTCTCTGCTCATCGAGCGCAAGATCAGATATAGAAAATTGATTGAATCTGTCATTTTGAATGTTTTCATCATGCACATTGATTTGATTCTCAACTGTTTTACTGCGCATATCCAAAGTTCGGACTCCTCCATCTAGCCCTGCTGCAAGTAAAAGATTGCCTGATGATTGATTGGCCTGGCATGTGAGGGGAACACTTAAATCTATTACTGAGTCACACCGGCCATTTTCGACTTGCCATCGTTTGAGAAATCCATCAAATGACACTGTGGTGAATCTCGATTCATCAGTGTCCAGCACTACTGATGATACAGCCTTGCTATGTCCCATGTATGTCTTCACGAGCTCGTTGTTTCTTAAGTTGTACAGATGTACCTTTCCATCCAAACTTGACGAGACAAGCAGCTTGTGCTTCTTTAAAAGAACGCATGATGTTACTGTATCTTTGTGCTCGTTGAACAATGCAGTATTGCGGTTTGGAATGACAAACTTAGACATTGGTGTTCTTATCAATGCAGGATCGTTGATTGATAATGCATACATGCTTCTTGAGCGCTCCATTCCTTGTACAAGGCAGTGTTTGTTGACTATTTTCTTGAGACATTGTTCTTCACGTGCATATCTTGGCGTATTTCTGCTTTCATGCATGCCTACAAACCCACGCCAAGGCCCATTGAATGCACCTATCTCTGATGCATCACCGAATGGGTTTCTTTGCGCCTTTGCCTGTTTATGCGAATCTTTTTTTACCTTCTTTGTGATTTTGTCTGTTTCTAGGCCATCCATGAAGGTGTTGAATGCATTAGTTTTAGCAATCCCTTGGATGGAGGTTCTGACACTCAGTAACTGCGTGCTAAAGTCTGATGCATCTGCAGACACCATGGTCAAGATATCTAAGGACGGTATTGCAATAAAGACCAAGGATAAGACGCATGTGATGACAGGGGACGAGATAAGGGATGCAGAGCTGTTTTATGGTGCAAGGAAGATGACAATGAGGATTTTTGGGAATTGTGTGTATGAGATTGGTGGAGTGGACCAGAACTATACTGAAGAGCTGAAAAGGGCATTTTCACAACACTTTAAGATAAACCTGTATATCAAAGAGCTTGAGATTGCAAATGTTCTGAGTGGAGAGCTTGGGATCAACAGTCGCAATGCATTGGAGTTTAGGAGTAAGAAGACAATATTTGATGTGCCAGTAGATGATATTGAGGGTGTGGTAGATGTTAGGAACGAACTGTGTATTTCGTTGAAGGGCATGGAGATTCGGTTTGCCTGTGACAACAGGACAGTGGAGGAGATAAAGAGAAGTTGCAGTTCTATGATTGATGATGAAATATTGAAGATTGAAGGGCTGTCTCTGTGCTATCCACGAGGAAAGTTTGGATTTGTATTTTTCCATGAGTATTTCAGGATGGTTGGAAGTAGCTATGAGCACAAGATAGCATATAAAGGGATCAAGTCATTGCATGTACTTGAGAAGGGACATGTAAACGACGGAGAGAAGTATGTTGTGATTGGAGTTGATCCATGTATCAGGCAGGGACAGACTATGTATGAGTATGTGGCGCTGTCATTTGATGAGAGTGAAGAAGAAGTAAATGCGAATGACACTAGACTAAAGAAGGAGTATTCTGGAATGCTTTCTGATATTTTTGTTGAAATAATGCAAGCGTTATGTGTGATAAGACCAATAAGAAGTGTATTTGAAGCTAAGGATGGTAGTAGGAGCTTGAGATGTGCGACGAAGGCATATGAGGGCCAGCTTTATCCGCTTGATGATTGTGTGATTTTTCTCCCTAAGGTGTTTAGACTAGACCTGAATGTGATGACGATGGTTGAGTTTAGTAGAATCAACCTTAGCACAATGCAGGCGAAGACATTTGATATGACGATTTTTTGTGACAAGGCATACATATTCAACGGATTGGCGAAGGATGAGTTTGGAGGGCTTGAGCAGTATTTCCATGAGAAAGGAATAAAGGCAAGAAGCGAGGTGATTGATGATGCGATAAGTTCTGAACATGAGTCTGAGGAGTACGAAGATGACAGTATTATTGTTGATTCTGATGAATGAAGTATATTGAGTATATGGTGTTTGGTATTCTTTGTTAAGTAGGTATGGTTAGTGTATGAATGTAGCAGCTTGAAGTAAATAGCAAGATGAAACAATATGTATGTATTGAATATAATGCAATGGTGAGCGATAAACAATGCGCTTTTTAGAGTTTATAGTGTGTTTTGTTACGATTTGTAGAGGAGAGGGAAGTGAGGTGCGAACATCTACTAAGAGTAGTATTGAGATAGAGCAGGGTGACGCCTTGCTTAACAGCATTTCTGCAAGTAATCGATTGTTTAGCAACCTGATGAAATCGAAATTTAGTTTTAGCATATCCTGATATGATTGAACAGTAGTTGAGTATCATTTGATTATATCATGAACAGTAGTTGAATATCACCTGGGAATCATTTGATTATGATTGAACAGTAGTTGAGTTTATATCTTGAATATATTTGAATATCATCTGAGAATCATTTGAATATCACTTGGGAATGATTTGAATATGTTTCCAAACATTCTTTAAATTATTTAGAGACGAACTAGTTATGCTGATGTATTAATGACTTGTAAACGCAGGTTTAAGATGAATTTTTTACTGCCCATGGAAATGGTAAGTGATAAAGGCAATCTGAAGAATTGTGGAGCAAGCTAACTTTTAGGGAAAAGGAACAAAGAAGGTTGGGATATCTGGATGTTTTGGAGCAAGATACGGGTCTACGCTGCGTAAGAGGATGAAAAGCGTGCTTGAGATACAGAAGGCGAAGCATAAGTGTAATGCATGTGGAAAGAGCACTCTGAAGAGGATGGCAGTTGGAATATGGGAGTGCAAGTTTTGCAAGCGCAAGTTTGCAGGAGGGGCATATGCTACAACTACACCGGCAGGAAAGATTTTTGGCAGCATGAATAAGCAACATGCAAAATAAAATGATTTTCGGATATGAATTTTTGGTTTGTGAAAGTGAGGATTTTTAATATTGAGCCATGGTGAATGACTTGTGTACAATAACTGTATGTGAATGCCTCGCAGTTAGAATGTGTTTGATTATGTTTGTGGTAGTAATTGTCTGATGCACTCTGATACAGTTGCAGATTGTTTGAGAATATAAATACTGTTTAGAAGGATGAGAACATGTTTTTCAAGCTGCTTTGGATAAGTTTTTTTATCGGGAAATACTTAGCTGCAGTATGTGATAAAGGCAGCAAGCGTGCTTTCAATATCAAGGATGATGGAGTGATGTTGCTGAATATAATGCACAGGAAGCATCCACTTATGATTCTTGGAACACATCATGAGGATGACCGGAAACATTTTGTGGCAATGCTTACAGAGATATCTGATTCCACTATAGAAAACCAGGTTTTCAATCTTGCATATCAGGCCACATCAAAAAACATATGGTTGAGGCTGAAAAAGGATCCGTGCATTACTGTTACAAAATCCGGTTCATCTCTGGAAGGAGTGAAACAAGACGACGAAGCATCGTCTTCGCTGTTCCTATATAACACAACAAACGATCACACGCAGTTCCAAATCGTATCAGATGATTTGTGCCTTACAGTAGTAGACAACCCGGATGAACCATATACTTATGATGGCATAAATGGAATGAAGCTTTATTTTAATCCATGTGATGTCGATAACAAGAAACAGATATTCACAATCGTATCTTCATTGAGAGGCTCTATCTACTTGCATCCAGAATTGGAGAAAGATACACGTTTGGTTAAGAAAGCAGCCAACGGAGAAGACATGACGAAACGAATAGTGAAGTATGTTGAAATAAACAAACTAAAAGCAGGCTTTGAGTATACAAATGGCTATAGCATGATTTATATGAAATAGAATGTGATATGTTATCACAATGTTTTCTACTTGAATTATATTCAGAAATCAGTTTATTTGTTAAGCAATGCATAGAAGTATTTATCTGCTACAGCTCAGTGCCAATCTTACTAGAACCTTCACAATAAAAACATATTACTTTTTATTCATATAAAAATCTCTCAGGAACAATTACATTAGATCTTTTAATATCTGTGTTATCATATAATCAACCAAGTAAACATTTTGATGCAATTACTCATATCTATGTATTGAGTGCAAAATGTATGCTGCTAATTAAAGCACCATTTAGTGGTTGATACATGCCAGCTCATCTATACAACGGTTGTTATTGATAATGGATAAGAATTAGTGATTGTGCTTTGTATCTGGGTATTGCTATCAGTTTCATACAGAGAAATAAATTTTTTAAGCACAGGAAACTCATTTAAGCTAAATGTTTTCATATCATTAAGGCTCTTGATGTCTTGAATTCTCATGTCTGCCAAGTTATTGTAGTGCTTCAAATCATTTTGATAGTAATTCGACTCGTTCAATGACTCACTGCTGCTGTTGCTTTCATTTTCATTGCAGACATCCGATGCCGAGATAATCGACGGAAGAACATTTTTGTTCACACATCTGTGAGGTTTTGCATTTTTTATTGGTTCGTTGATGATTGTTATCGCCTGCTCATCAATTGTCTTTGTCACCTGGACCAAAACAGTCGATATAGAAGTCGATGTCAAAACAGAGGTCGATATTAAAACAGAGGTCGATACAGTTACAGGGATAGGAGATGACATGCTATCGCTATATGTGTTTATACTGCTGGTTGTTGTGCTATTAACAGACTTTGGCATATCAGAAGCCATTATTACAATACTAGGCTCCAACAACTCTTTAATGTCATCTGAATCTGAGGAATCTGGCAACGACTTCATCTTTTTAAACATTGTTGGCTCATGTGAACTATCATCCTCAGCGTATTTAGAATAGTAGTTGTCGTTTCGGTCATATGCTAAGTCCGATGAACTATCTGAATAATAACGACTGCTCATCTTATTTGCACGTCTGGTATACTTTTCATAGCGACGACGATCTGAATAAGGTTCATCCTCAAAAACAAAAATCTGCCTGCTGTATTCAATCCTACATTCAGAGATGCTTAGAATACTATTGTCAAATAGTGTTAGGCACTCATCATCAACATCATCAGGCATAATATTGTATCCATTGACGCCTTCCACTCTTTTTAGATTCCATTCAAATGCCTGGTTTTGTACAACTAACCTCTTCCTCTTCCCACCTAAATATCCTAGAAACAGTGGCTCTTTGGAATCCGAGGATGTGATCACAATGATGTTTTCGTTTCCATACTGCTGCTTGTCAATACTTTTGATGTAAAATATTACTTTCTTATGGGTCTTCTTAGAATCTAGCTCGATCATATTACCAATAACTTTGAGGATGTCATCATCTCCAAGCGGCCGCATCATTTCGGTGTACTCTTCATACATTGCATTACATAAACCATGTCCAAGCAACAAATGCATTACCCAGACAAGGAGTCTCATGCTCCACTTCCACCCACTACATTTATCAACGGTGATGAAACATGGTCTTGAATTGAAACACTAATCGTGCTGTTTATGCAACCAAATACAAAACCATTCTTCCCCAATCTGATCACTCGTCAGTCGTTACGTTTTCGCTTATAAAATTCTTCACATCACAATAGAATCCCTGCTGTATATCAGGTGGTAGATTATCAACAACAAACTTATGCAGCATTTCAAATACTTCGTTTATGTTTATCGCATCATGCATCTTTGCATAAACTGCATTGTCAAGAAACTCATTAATCTGCTTATCAAACCCGTGATTTTTGATATGCAACTCAAGTGCCTCAACAAGCACTTCTTTGCATTCATCGCTCCGTAGTGATTTATTTGCGCCCATTCAAAGTAAGGGAGTTGTGCTATTCAAATCAATTCGGTGCATTGGCCTTATGGTCGTTCTTAAGCAAGAAGAAGTGGCTCCTGAGTGCTTGAAGTACTTGCCCAGCAATTACAACTTTGAGGTTGGCAAGACTCTCAGAACAATCAAAAGACTAAATGCAAAGAAAATAACGCTGCAATTTCCTGATGGTCTGCTCAAGTATGCACTGGTAATAATTGACATAATAGAAAGATACACGGGTGCTGAGTGTGTTATTCTGAACGATGTTGTGTATGGCGGATGCTGCATAGACGATAAGAATGTCAAGTCAGATCTTCTGATTCACTATGGGCATTCATGCTTGGTTCCCATAAGCGAGATGGACACCAAGGTGCTGTATGTGTTTGTAGACATCAAAATAGATGTTGAGCATGCTGCAGAGATTATCAGAACAAATATTCCTGGCAGAATTGCAATAATAGGAACGATACAGTTCAATTCAAGCATTCATAGGTTGCAGAAGGCTCTTGAGAAGGAGAGCAAACCAGGTGCATTGCCACAGGTCAAGCCATTGAGTGGAGGAGAAGTTCTTGGATGCACATCTCCCAGAATAAATGGTGTGTCTGCTGTGGTATCTATTGGAGATGGTAGATTCCACTTAGAAAGCGCAATGATTCAGAATCCACACCTCGACTTCTACAAATACTGCCCTTTCAGTAGGATAATGACAAGAGAGTTCTATGATTATGAAGCCATGAAAAGAATCAGGAAGGAGGAGATTAGAAAGGCATTCCAAGGAAAGTCGTTTGGTGTGATTCTTGGAACCTTAGGAAGACAAGGCAGCAGGAAAATACTCAAGAATATGATTGAAAGGCTAAAACAATACGATATTTATTTGATTATGCTCCAGGAAATCAAACAGAAGCACTTGGATAGATACAACTTCATAGACAGCTTTGTGCAAATATCATGCCCAAGACTTAGCATAGATTGGGGAACGACATTTAAGAAACCGCTTCTGAATCCATTCGAAGTATTTTACACTGGCGGTGAATATCTTATGGACTACTATTCGCAAGACAACAAAGCAGAGTGGAATAACTACAGCTGATGATTTCCATGGAAATTGCAACAAAATTGTATGAAGCATTATACAGATATTATTCCTAATTTATTACATCGTTCTATGGCTTCATAAGTGAATATGCTTCTTGCTTCAGAGTTACAAACTCAGACCTCAAAGACTCGATACTTTGATTGTTATCATGCAAATTAATGACCGTTTCAATTTTTTGCATAATTCTTGAGATAATCTCGTTTACTTGCTTCTTCTTGTAGCTACATTGCATTACTTTTGCAAGGATCTTTGTGATTTCAAGATCATGTGCTTCATCAAGCTTTTTCATTCAGGGTTGATCTGAATGTCTGTTTTGTGCATTCATTCTTTTATGTTCTATATGAGTTTGCACTTACACTTCGCTTCTTCACAATGCCTGATCGACCGCATTCATCATCATTATCATAGTTTGCATTGACATTATGCATAGAGCTGCTGCTAAGTGATGTGTAACGTGCCAACTCTTCGTTCTTCCTCTTTGATTTGATGAATGTTTGTATCACTGACCTATCGAGTTTCTGGTACTTCATTGCATATCCAAGTCCTACTCTTCGTTGTAGAAACTCTTTTGAAATGTCATTTGTGGCAAATCTTGTGTTAAGTTGCAACAGTCTCAATAAACTTTCCATTGCAGGCAGGGTGCTACATATTGCATATAATCGCATAATTTCCTAAGCAAACGCGTGAAGTAATCAACTGCTGCATCAATAAACTAAAGTCAAACATTTTATTTCTGCTTGTCCACAACAACCCTATAGTAAACAGACTCCCCTGCAGTCTTTGACCTTCTTATGATCTCCATGATGTCTCCCTGCTTTGCTCCAAAATATCTAGCAATCACATCACTCTTCTGGATCCTAGGAAGATCTTGTGGGCCAAGCTTCAGACTCTTCAGGACAGCTTCTTGCTCCTCTCTCGACAGGATCCTGTGTGGAGGAACCCATGCATGCTTTGTCTTATTGAACACAAGCTCCTCAACCAAAAAAACCTCAATCACAAGCCGAGGTATCAGCAATATCATAGACATCACTGTTGGACTTGGCATTTGTGCAACCACAAGAATCAGATGGAGTATCCCATCTTTTTCATATTGTGACACCAGCACCTCAAAAGCCTTCTTACCCATCTTTTCATCTTCTCCAAAGTGAATTGCAACTGGCTTATTTCCATCAACGGCCGTGAAGTTCATTGTGGATCGCTTTGTAAGAGCAAACGGATACTTCTCATAAAACTCAGCAACCTCCATTATCTCCTGTGTAGTGCTGTACCCTCTGTCTCTTGCCATTTCTATTGTTGTGTTTCTACTTAAGCACAGAGCTCGTATATCGCATGCCATGAAATGCCTGGGGATTCATTTTGTACATTTCATACTGCTGTATTTGCCTCCCATGTACTTTGAGGATGTTGCAGGGCATGAGGGCGAAGCTGCTTCTGTGATTGGCAAATTTGAACGTCTTGAAGATGGAGCGATTGTGTTGAAATTCAAGGACAAAGAGGTTTATGTCAAGCATTCTAATGTGGACTCATATAGGTCAGGATTTGTACTTGTGTGTGGAACTATAGAAAACGGAATGTTAAAGGAAAGCAGTGTACATCCAATAGGAAGTGAATTTGATGCCGATATGTACCATCGGTTTATCAATGTTGCATCAAAGTATCCAGGAATGTTCTAATAAAATATTTGAATCTGTTTGAGTTAGTTTCCCAAAGTATTCTTGAGGTTCTCATAGCATTCAATTAGTAAGAGATCAAATAAATGAACTGCAAAGCCTTCCATTGTGCATGATCCAAAACTATTAAATGCTATATCAATAAAAATATATTGAAATATTAAGCATGCATTATTTGATCAACTCGATTATATATAATACCATGATGCTTCATATAGAGGATCAATAAACTTCAGACTCAAGTTATACAAGATACATTCTAATACACATCGCAACACATCTTTAGAAACTTAGCAAACGAATACTCATGCACAAATAAAAAATTCAAAGTAGACCAATTTATTTCTCAGATGGCTTACCACCTGCCATAAACTTCTGCATCAAGCTTGCGCCAATGTTCTTGAACCCACGAACAATCTTGGTCTTCTGCACATTCATCTTCTCGACTACATACTGAGCCTCTTTTCCAAGGAACTCCCTGCTAGGGATGGTCCACTTGACATCTCTTGGATTGATGCATCTTTTGATCAGTCTCCTCTCCTTGTTAGAAGCCGTCAAGATCACCTTTCCATCATTCATAATCTTGAACATGCCAGATCCTTTAGGTATGCTTCGTCCAGAATACGTTGATACGCCTTGGTTCATATTTAAGGGAGTGTTTTTTGAAAAAATATCATGCAGCAGGATGCTCGTGTTTATACATCCATCAAGCACAAAATGAAACAAACAGCCACTGATGTTTCAAAAGCAGCCCCTTTGCAATCTATCCACACATCAACAATACACAATTTAAAACGCAATATTTATTAATACTCAGGCTCATTAATATCCATCCACTCGGGACTCATTCTGTCCGATGCTTCCAAGAACATCTACAGCGAAACTATCGTATGTATCGGATAGTTAAGTCCTGGAATACCTAATCTTAATATCCTTGCATAGTGGATTGTCTTTACATTATGGATTGCATTTGGATCATTTTGTTTCTTCTCACTAATAAGTATGTAATCTCTCTGATGGTCTGTTTGTATGTCGGAGGGATTTATCATTGTGAATCGCTCCTCGTTCTTGGAATTTATGTCCTTGTCAAGCGGGTTGATGTAGTTATTCTCGATAACTTGCTTGAGTCTATCAGAGGCAACATTGATCCTTCCCATGTAAAACACCGGTCTTGCGCTAATTGTGGGATCTACGTGAATGTCACGCAGGATGTTTGCCATTTTGACGTCGATCTTTTCTTCGTAGGCATTATACAGGTCGAGATTGATCACCGTGAACCACTGTTTGGTGGCGAGTGTCTCAAACACTGCCCAACTTGCATAGATAATCTTGCTCTGTTCCGGGTTTCTGTAGTATCCATTCGAGATTTTCCTAACATGCTGTGTATCATAGATTATCGGAAGATATAATTTTGGACTCTCCAGAACATTTATCGATCCCTGATCATCATTCAGGATTCCATAGTGCCCAAGCAACTTTGTGCTCAGCGCATCAATCTCTTTCTTCCTGATTGATTGCAGTGTCATGACTGATGGATGCGATGAATCCAGAAGGCCTAATACAAAATCCTGAAGTCCATCACGACTTGAATCGGTCGCACTCTCCATGTTGAAACTAATTATACTAAGATTTCCGAATCCTTTGTGATCTCTTTTGTGGTTGTGATCATTTGCGTATCCTTTCAGGTCCGACATTGGGATGCTTGGACTCAGCAGACTATCGAATTTACTAGGTCCGAATCCCTCGATATTACTACTCAGGTCATTTGGCATACCTGCTTCCTTTGCTACAACTGCTGCAATTGAAATAATAACAGATAGCATCAGCATCTACTCACGGATGCCTGTTTTGTTTTTATCTGTTCACAGACACGAAACATGTTTGATCCACAAAGAAACAACTCAGCGTTTCAGACTCATAAATCAGTGTTTAAATCCATGTGTGCATTGAATGTTACACTTGAACATGAAGAGATGCATTGCAACCGCCAATCAATGCGCTTGAATTATTGCAGAATAATAATACATTCAATGCATATACAGCAGCTTTTAAAGTATACATCAAGCAGCGCAAAGCACCCTTGATATGCCTGTTATTATCCTAATAGGAGATGCACATAGATATCTTGAAAAGCTGAAGTCATGCATATCTGAGTACTTCAACGTTGTTCACTTGAACAATGAGTTCAGGGCAATCCGAAGCGAGCTGAGCAACATGGATCCGCATACAGTCTATATCGTACAGAATTGCACCATGAAACCACAGAGATACGAAATATATTGCTTGGCCAAACGAAATGAAACATCTTATTGTATACTCACAGATACCGAGCTTTCAACTTCAAAACACGACATGCCATCGTTCGTCATAACTGAAGAATTACCTATTGAAGACATTCTCAATAAGCTTAGAGAAAACCTGCACTGCAACGCTGCACACAAGAAAAAAATAACCGGCTCAAATTATCTAATGTATTTCAAACAAATAATAAACAAAGTTAATCAAGGTATGCAGAATTCTTCAGGTACAGTATCTGTGCTTAAGGAGTGCGAGGACATGCTTTTGAGAACCATAAAACTCAATCCAATCAGTCTAGAAGATCTTGAAGATGCATACCGCGATCTTGTCACTAGTGAAATGAAAAGTAGAGGACTTGCTTGATAACATAACTGCTATTATATAGTAAAATCAAATTGGTCAACAGCACCCAATATCTGATGTAATAAATGAAATTATTCTTAAAGCATATTTATTGTAGATATATTTACAGAACATATGCTTTGCAAATCATATGGATTTACTTGTATCCTGGATCAATTGTTGGCATTGATATTATCATGTTTGTATAAGCATGTGCAACATCAATTACCTATTCTGCTCCTATGTGCCTATTTCATCAAGTACATTAGAAATGCCTCATAAAATCAATTAGAATGTCCTCAGCTAATGTTCGACTTGGCGTATTAGACAAGAATCCAAGATGCCCTCCTTTGTGCGTCACCACAAGTAATATGTTTTCATTCTTTATACACACATCCTTATCAATTGAAAATGCAGGAACAACAGGATCATCATATGTATTCAGAATGATAAATGGAACCGATATCCCGTGAATGTATTTTCCACCTGACTCATTCTCGTAGTAATGGTCCACATCATCTATTCCAAAGATCTTCTTTGTCACCAGCATGTCTATCTGCTGTAAACTTCTACACTTCTTGACTGTTTCGAAGTCGTATCCTGCATTCTTAAATGCATCTCTGTTTCTTTTCATATATCTAATAAAGTTCCTGGCAAGCATCCAGTTAAAAAACCTGGTATATGGATTCTTCAGAAAATGTCTTCCGATCTTGAAAAAGTCAAAAGGAAGACAAACTGCCCCTCCCTTGATAACTCTCGGGTCCAGCTCACCCTCTCCAAACAACTTAGTCACCCAATTTGCACCCATGCTGAATCCAAACACCTCAAGTGTTCCGCTGTAGTTATCTAGTACAAACTTGACTGCCTCCTTCAGGTCCTCCGTCCATCCAATGTGAAAAAATACTGCATTTTTCAATCCTGATTTTGTACCTCGTGCATTAAAACAAAACACTCGATATCCTTCCTTTACCAGGTGTGCAGACATCCATTGCATATATGTAGAGTCTCCAGATCCATTGAACCCATGGACCAGCAACACATTCTTCTGTGTCTCCTTGTTCTTCTCAGCTATATCAAGCACAATTGATCCATTATTTTTTGCCTCTATCACAACCATTGCTCTTGGATGGATTGCTGGCCTTCTGAATAGCTGTAGAACAGTTTGAACAACTCCAAATGGCGCAAAAATCAATGGATAATAGCTCTTATGCAGACTATTCATCTTGTATACACTTTCCATTCTTTTTCCTCCATAAAATACATCAGGTTTGCGCACACACCTTCCAAAGTAGAACATCAGGTACAGAACAACCAAGCGCACCGCATTGTTCCTTGCAAGCACTTCAAAAACTCTACACATAATTTCGTACATCACAATACTCATAGGGATCCCTCTGTATAATCAAAAACAAATAATATTATATCCAATCACTGCTTGTCAAATAAAGCAAATATCTACAAATCAATCTTCCTAGGTATTAGACTATTATTGATCATAATCATGTCTTAGTTCTAATTCACAGGGCCGCCCTTGCTTGTCATAAACATCCTTTCAATCTCATTTTCACACTCATCCATGACTCTATAATCACACATTATGTATTTCCCATAGTTTACTCCCTTCAATGAATAAACACATTCAGCTATCCAGCCAGGTTGTATAACAAGACACTCAAATCGCTTTGCCAGATCTTCAACATCATCCCTGGATTGCGAGACAATACAATCCAAACCATTTCCAGAAACACCCACAATGCCTCCATGCATTTCAATCATCTTTGTCAGCCATTGCTTGTTTGTAGTCTCAGCAACAAAGATTCTCTTTCCATCAAAAACCTTTTTCCTGTATTTCCTTAGTATTTTCTTTACATTACCACGCATACTAGAGAAGTATCTTTTATGTATTCGTTTCAATATTTGAGTGATCTTCAGAAGCTCGTCGTCAAGAGATCTTGAATTCTCGTTGCGTTTATATCCACTTGGTTCGGGTGCTATATCTTGTTTATCCTCTCCTGTTTGTAAAGCGCTGCTCGTTGTTATTCCCAATGCGATTTCCTCCAGCTTCTCAATAACTTGATTATCTGCTATTTTATCCACTCTTTTCCTCTTACACTCAATCACATCAAGCCCTGTCTCTCTCTGTATCTTCTTCCTCAGTCTTAGTGGATCGTTGATGTCTACACAATTGAAATACCAAAACGGCCTTACAAGAAGTAGGTTTTCACAAAAGTCCCAAACATCAGCCCTGTCATCAAGAATCACAATGTTCTTGTGCTTCGATGGAAACATCCTACCCAGGCTCTTGACCAGCATCCCTTGATTTTCATCCCTTGTGATGATTCTGTCGTGGAAGTAAAGACCTTTTGGATCAATAATCGCAACAATCCTTTGCGCATATGCTCGTGTGCCCATTGTATACACATGAATCTCATATATCGTCGATATCTCCTCGAGCATATCCTGTAGATTAGGCCTCAGCTTTACAAAGTATGTGCATCTGTCCATCACAAAGCTCTCTAGTCCAGACTGTGGTGGAGCACTACATGCATCATGTATCACTGTGTGTAATATTGTCTGATCAAGATCCAGAACAAGAATTAGCTTTCTTGTGCGCTTCAGTTCCTTCATTCGTGCTCTGTATGCAGAAACAGCATGCTTGTGTGTAATCTGAACGTCGCATGTGGTGTATAACGCACAGAACAAGCTTTCTTCCTCAGAAATCTCTGCGCCGCACACACCACACAAATTGCCCAGTCTAACAGAATGGTTACACACAACCATTCCGAAACAAAAGGACGGTCAAACAATAAATATATAAGCAAATATTAGAGTATGACATGAACATCTATAGATACGCACTCGTCTGAGTGGAGCAAGGCCCATACTGTAACGTAGTCAGGATGGCCGAGTGGTCTAAGGCGATACGTTCAGGTCGTATTCTCGCGAGAGGCACGGGTTCGAATCCCGTTTCTGACATTTTGGAACATAGCAAACTCTTGCTTTTTATTGCAGATTCATAACTAATCTACACCAATACGATTATGTTCTATAGTATATTTATACAAACCCGATTTTATAGGATCTGCTACATCTTTGATAACACATTGTCGATCCATGTCCCCAATGATTCTTTTTCTTCTCATAGATCTCCACAAGGACGACTGGGAAATGACAACACGCGACCTGTTTGCTGATGTGATGATCTTCCTGAATGCATACCAGAAATCATCTAGAGAAAATAGAATAATTGTCGTTAGTTCAAGACGCGTAATCTTTGACACACTCAAGGATGACATTTCTGATATATACTCCATAACCACTCTTGGGACAAGATACAGTGTGAACGACCTTGGATATGCACTGTGCTTGCATAGAAGCAAAGAATCACAAATAGTCATTTTTACACTTAGAGAAGAGCACAAGGACGAATATCTGAGATACATCAAATGCATGTTTGCTGCACAGCGGTTCAGAGTCAAGATAAATGCATTCTCACTGGTGGAGAATAAAACAATCCTTCAATGCTGTGCATCCACAGGTGGTGAATATTTCTCTAATGAAGCGCAATGCCTGAGATCTTTACTGTCTCTGTTAGGAACAAAAAAATCTCTGCAACCTCTTGAATTCACAGCCACTTGCTATTGTCATGGAAAACAGATTCTTCTTGGTCTTGTGTGCCCAATCTGCCTTTCTGTGTTCTGCAAGTTCATTCCTGTATGCAAGAAGTGCAAGAGCAAATTCAGTTTCATAAAAATCGAGGAGTAGATGTATTCATTCATGCTATTTATTTAATCATTGAGTATAATGCTGCTCTGTTTTTCTTTGCAACCTCCTTACTCTTTGCATACTTCATAACTATATCCTTTCTGAACTTTAGTGATTTAGTGGAAAAAAGCAGTGCAGGTGCACACTTCGAAACAAACATTGCCAGAAACTCCTCCACTTCCTCATCAAGGCACTTTCCTGTATCGTTCAATCTTTCAATAATGCATCTAACTATATATGCCTTCAGGCTTACGTTGGGCGTGACATCAAATAACTCCTTGATAGTTTCTTTGTTCAATGGATAATACTCCAAAAGCCTCTTCAATAGGAAGTAGAACTTATCCATCCGCACGAGCTGTATCTCTTCCCATTTATCAAGAACGTATTTGAAAACAAGCTTCCTCATTCTATGGTCTGTGTGTTGCAGAAGATCCATCACAAATCGCTTCTGCTCTGTAAACTTGGGAAGCTTCCATAGATAGTAGATGATCGATGGTACTATCTGTTCAATGACATCGTATTCAAGCAATCCATAATGCTCATAAATGCTCTTAATCATCATCGTATTTTCTTCTGCATCGTTAGATCTTATCCCTTCAATGATACGTTGGATGTCCATCAAGGGAGCTTCATTTCGTTCAATATTCATTTGCTATGAAAAAATTGTCCTGCTGAGCAATGCATCTGCTTCAAAGGTTCACATCTAGCGTCAAAAGACTTATGAACTATCCAAGGGGATTCAAACACACAATGGATACCGAAGAGGCAAAACTTATCCTCGACATCGAACACTCTGGACAGACAGTCATGCAGCGGTACCGCACACTTATCAAAATCAATCATCCAGATAGAGGTGGAAGCTCATATATAGCATCAAAAATCAACCAAGCAAAAGACTTGCTAATTGAGCAAACATTAAGACATCCATGACATAAAAATTACTTCAAATATATCGCTTTTATTATTATTGATTGCATTTCTTCTTCATCTCCGCTATCTTCCTTTCTTCTTCTTCTACCTGCTTCTCCAGCTCTTCTATTTCTTTCAAGTATGCACACCTTGCCTCGTCATTCATACTTTTGTATAATTAGCGCTATACTTATACAAGTAATTTTATTCACTCATCGGATTATACTTACACAAGTATTTTGGTCATTGACATATGCCAATGATCTTTGTTATTCATTCAACATTCACAAGTATTTTACTAATTGAATTTGCTGGAAACCTTTTCTATTAATTCAATTACGTAATAATCTTCTCACTTATTGGCTTATACTGCAAACCTTTTGTATTCATTCAAGGAAGGTATATACACACTTCACCATTTCGTTCTAATATGCCCTTCTCATCAAGTGTCCTTATCCCTTCCTCAAAAACTGCTCCATCATACTCAATGCACTCCGTATGTATTTTCTTTGCCTCTTCAACAAGACTTGCTATGGTCATTTGCTTACTCATCTTCAGAATCTTCGATATTAGCGACTGGTAATACACATTTCTATCAACCTCATGGTCAGGTTCATCCACTTCACTGGAATAAAGCTCACATATACTTCTTATTCGTATATCCTCACTATTTCCAAGTACATACTCCCCATTCATATTCAACACTAATCCTCCCTTAATCAACGACACCATCACATTCTTAATTATCTTGCTGCTCAATCTTGTCTCCTTCCTTACTAACTCTGCTTCTATCCTCTCGTATCGGTTAAACATATCAATCACTGCATACTGCAAAATATTCATCTCCAAATCTCTGTCTATCACCTCAACAACAACTTTTCCAAGATGCCATGCCCACTGCAGGCGCTTCCTCTCAAACTTGCCGTTATACACTCTCTTAATCATCTCAAGTTCATGAGGAATTGCTACTTCAACATCCTCACTACTTGGCCAGTATGCCTGCGTAAGTACCCACACAAACCTCTCCGCATCCTTATTATAACTCATAGATATCGCCACGTCCCCAATCATCGCTTCTGCCTTCCTCACAAAATCATGATTGCCCTTCCTCTTCATCAGTTGCACTAACTTTCTTTCCTCCTCAGGATTCGGCCTTCCACGCAACAATCGCTTACTAAGTCTATCAAGATACATCTCATAGAATCCCTGTTTGCTATCAATCATCTTAAAAAGTGTCCCAAACACCCGCCTTACAAACACTATCTTGCTATCTGTATCCATTCTTGGTCCAATCATAGCTTTGCTATCACTTACGCCTTCTTCTGCATTTCTGTGCATCACCAAAGGCTTCGTATTCAGAAAAACAAACACATTTTGCGGATCCTCAACCACAGAGTCACAGAAATCAAGCAACCTGCATTCTATACTTGGCCTCAACTTAGAACAAGCTACAGAGAGCTCACGCTTAAGCACCTGCAAGCATTCTTTATCCTCAAGATATCCAACATCAACCACATGTCTCAACATGCAGTAAAAAGTATACAGCGGCTCAACTCCTGTTCCATATCCATTAGCATTCTCTTCACACTTCTCATGTACATACTTTACAAGAACTTCCTTCAAAACTACATATGAAGACTTCAACCCACTCAGGTTCTCATACACCACAGACATCCTCTCCAAAAATACATCCCTGGCAAATCTCACACATCTATCACCAGCAGAAGACGGCGCTCCATGCAGCTCGTAGAAGTCATTCTCACACGATCCAATCACTCCTGATCCATTCATATCTGTCTCATCATTCACCATTCTTGCAATCTTGTCAACAGGAAGTTTGTACTGGCACAATATCCCATACACTTCCTCAAATATCCTTTCTTTATTGTTCATCACAAACACTTCCTCAAGTACACTCTCAACCTTAGGCCATGATTCCTCCAAAAACACTTTTTCTTGCATGCTCCTCTCATGGCATATCTTCTCATTTACATAGAAAGAATATTTTTCTACATCCATGCCCTGCTGCTTTGCCTCTTCTTCATACTTGCTTCTGATCTTCTGTATTGCATATTGCTCATATCTCTGGGTGTAGTAAAGAAGTGGCTGCTTCTGATCAGGTATTATCAATCTCATAGATTCAATTGCTTCCCTCACTTCTTCAGCTTTGCTGCGATTAACAAGCTCTGCCCCAAGCGTTGTGTGCTTGTATTTCATCGTCTGCTGCAAAATACATCTCTCCCATAACAAAAATCCAAGATCTCGAATCGTCCTTCCTCTCACACACTCATTCAGAAAGTCACTCATCTCATCAATTGCATAAACAATCTCCTTGAATTTCCGGAACATCTGGTTATATTCATGTACCCAATTATCTCTCCCAAAAATCTCTGTTCTCATCTCCCGTGCCTTCATGTAAATAAAGTCTCCTATCTTCCAATACAACTTGCTCTCAAACCTCATCGTGCATGAAGTGCACACTACATAAATCCAGTTATAAACCTCAATTGCATTACAATACATTCCTGTCCCAAGCTTTTCCATCTCTTTCTCAATCAATCCCCAAATCCTTGCAAACTCTTCATCATCCACAGGTTCCCTTCCAACATCCATCCCTCTTTGTTTGTTTACTGTCATCCTCAATTATCCAAGCAAATCTACATGTACCTCTGCACAACTCCATTAACAATCAACACATGAATTCACTACAACTTATCAACCGCCTCATGTAAAAGTGTTCTTAGCATCTCATTCTCCTGCTCTATCCTCTTCTCCTTATCTAACATCTTACAAACCTCATTCTCCAATTCAAGGTTCCTTTCTTCAAGTTCACTGAGCATTCTCATAAACCTTGTGGTGCATTCGGACTGCCTTCTATCGACACACTTCTCTCCATTTATAAACGCACTACTCCATGCATCTGCTCCTCGGTCATCTCGCATCCGTAGATTCATGTAAAACTCAATTGGTAGCAGCCCTTCATTCTCTTCACCAACATATACAGACTCCTTATCAACCACATCTGCAATTCCTGAATTGCAATTCTCCATATACATCCAGGGATCTTAACCACTCTTTTTTTACCCTTATGCAGATCTTAGTAGATACATTCAGGCTGTCAGCAATAGATAAAGATGGTAAGCTGTACTCAAATGTCTCAAGAGCACATATGGAATCAACAGACTCCTCACTCGTTCTAGACTACAACTCTGTTCTATGTAAACTCGAATCAGGTCACACCGTTGAAATCAGAATACTGAAAGGATTCAATGACAACATCGAATGCCATTACTTGATGCATGGAAAAGTATACTGTGTAGATAATAAAGGCAGCAGAACAATACTAAAGGCGTCATTTGGAGGGCTCTTACTCATCATCGACTCACCTAGGGAAAAAATCAACAGCATCAGAGATAAAGATGAGATAACCTTGGCATTGACATTCATGTAGAGCAATGGCTCATGCATGTCTTTTGCTGCACCACAATGCATCTTAATTCAATAAAAGCATTTATTAATCATATGAATATATTTTATAATGCATATCTGATTTGCACAATTTCTTTTCTTTTCTTTCTTTCTTTATTTCTTACAATCAATCTTCTACTAGCACACACAAATTCAAATACTCAATGTAGTTGCGTCTTTCATAAACATATGCTTCACTTCCATTACAAATCCTCAGCACTTCATACACAGGAAAGTATCCATGCATTCCACTGCATCCCTTCAGAACAACAACCGGACTCCCATTGATACTTTCTGCTTCACTAAATGTAGTAACATACACACCAGGCTGCTTAGATCTCGGAATACCTCGTTTCACTCGGTCACTGCCTTCAAATCGCATGTCGTTCAGCACCATACTTGTATTAAGGTCCCGCACCGTATCTCTTGCATCACTCTCATCAGGTGCAATAATCACAACTTGCCTTTCTTCAAGATTAAACATTGAGAAAATACTCGAACTGACTAACTTCAGTCTCTCTCTGAACACTTCACAATCTACTTGAATAAACTTTATGTTTATCTCAAAATCAAAGAATACACATCTATGCATTCCATGCGGCACATCAGGCCTCAAGTAAGACAACGACACTCCTGGAACATGGTCCAGCTTTCCATTGTAGCACATCCTGCAGTTTTCAACCATCCATTCATCTCCATTTCTCATTACAATCTTTTTATCTGTAAAAACAACACAGCTCTGTGCTTCACCAATCTGCCTATCTTGAAACTCTCCATTTCCATTACTCATCCTGTCAATACTTCCATACATCCTTCTACAAACATATTCTTTAAACTCAACAAGATTTTCTAATACATCAAAGTGTTGGCAACTCTGCTTCCTTTGTATTACAGACCATGAGGTCTCACATTCATGCACTCCTGTTTCATACAGCACCTTAACACTGCTTTCTACCCCCACTACACAATATTTCTCATACATCATCCACTCGTCTCTACAAATCACCTCAATCCTGACATTCTTGGTATTTGATTTTATATAAGACTCTGTTATCTGCTCAAACATCTCAGAATAGATTGCTTGCTTATCACTCCATACAAAAACCCAGAACCATGCTTTCATATCAATGTCAATCTTCATCTTCAACATATCCTTAACTTTGGTTATCTCTACATTTACCTCACTACCATTCCAAGGCACCTCTTTCTGCTTTCCTATCCTTTTCTGTAACATGCAGCATTCTACTGCCATCTCATGCATCCTCTCAAACACAAGCATATGTCCAAGCGCCATCAAAACCCTCTTCAGGTTCTTAATCACATACTCCGTATCACATACCAATGAAAATCTGCTTACACTTCGTCCTTTCATATATGCTCTTACAAGTACATTCAGCTTGCATTCAATACACATCTCATACTTTATACCCATCTCCTCACACAACTCCTGTATACACTCCTCATCCTCTTCTCTGCATCTCAACGTGCAAAATTCTTTGGACATAAAGCACACTTGAAGCATCGAGTCTACATCACTCACATCTGCAATCACCTCTTGCCATCTCTCCATTGTTTCATGACTCAGGTAATAAACACTTGCAATTCTTCCATACTCAGATCCACAGAGTCGCCATTCCATGTAATCATCAGATTGCTTGAATATCCTTATCAATCCCGCACTCTCTAATCTGTTGCATGTCAATACCATGTAACGAACAAGTACTTCATCCCCATTCACAAGATCTTCCATACTCAAATCATACAACATTGGATTCTTAAACATCCTCACATACATAAATGTATTTTTCAACCACTCAACGGCTGCTGAAATGCTACATATTGCGCCAAGATGTATCTCTGCATTGATTGTGTCAGCTGCATGTCTAAGAAGTCTGCTCTCAATGTCCGTGTTGTTCTTCATCAGTGACACATAATGGTCAAGCATCCTTGCTGTAGTTATTAGGCACGCCTCTCCTTTGCTTCCAAATTGAGGTCGCCCTGCCCTTCCAAATATCTGCAGAATATCCAGAATCCCAAGGTCAGAAAACCTTCGCATCACTCCATCATAAAACCTTGTTCCCTTGATAATCACCGCATATGCAGGCAAATTCACTCCCCATGCAAGTGTCGACGTCGTCACCAACACCCCAATCTGCTTGCTTCGGAATGTCTCCTCCATGTACAACCTGATCCGTCTAGGAAGTCCAGCATGATGAATCCCAACTCCTCCTCTTATCAGGCTAAGCATAATTCCTGACAAAATATTATCTTTAGCATAAACTCCAGCGCATAAATCTATCAGGAGTTTTGCAGTTTTAACTGTGTCCCCTCTTGAATTCACAAATACTAATACCTGCTTGCCTTCATTCAAGTATCCCTGCACCTTCTTCTTCAGAAACTCTTGCTCTTCACTTTCTTTACTGCCCTTCTTCATCCCAACAATCGACATGCTCAATGGAACAGGCCTGTACTCCTGTCCAAATGCAAACACATGCTCAGCCTTCAGAAAAACAGCCACGTCCATGTAGTTTGGGAGCGTTGCTGACAGCCCAACAATTCGTATATGTCGCTGCATCGACTCAATGTATCTCATTATCCTGCACACAATAGCCTCTATTACAGGTCCTCGATCATCCTGAAGAATATGCACCTCATCAATCACAAGAAGACCAATTGTTTCACAAAACACATTATGTAACTTTCTTGTTGCAACATCCAGCTTCTCAGGTGTACACACTATCACATCGCTCTTCAACACATCCTTTGTATCTGCATCTGTGTCTCCGGTGTACTCAAGAACCTTAGATCCTCCAACCATCCTCTTGTATTTGCAAACAACTTCTGTTGCAAGCGCTCTCATAGGAACAACATATGCAACCTTTTGACCCTTTGCCAACGCTCTTAGCACAGCCATCAGCGCAATATCCGTTTTTCCAGAGCTTGTTGGTGCACATACAAGCAAATTCCCATCTGTTTGATATGCAGCATGAAATACTTTTGATTGCACAGCATTAAACATCGCATATTCAAAATACTTCCGATCATCACCAGCAGCATCCACAGCAACAAGATCTGAATTACAAGCACTCATAGCCGCAGGCTCTGGAAACACATGCTCAATATAATAAGGAGTTTCTGATACGCTTTCCTGAGGGATGAAGTATTGCCTGTTTGCACATATTGCTATGATTTCATCAATCATTTCATATCCTAGCAGCTCAAGGAGTTGCTCTTGATCCATGCAGCTACTTAGTGCCTGCGCAATCAGAGATGATGTTTCCTCCATAGATGTTCCAAGGCGAGCAGATACTTTCTTGACCAACTCGTCCATCTCAATGGGTGCATTTGTGCTGTACTACACATTTATGCACTAAGCTTACAAGGGAGTCCCAAAGCATAAGACCTCAGGTTTGAAAGAAAGCAATTTTTTCACCCCAGCATGGCAGGAGAAAATAGCCGCAGAAGAAAGGAACATACATATGAGAAGGCAAAGAGACTGTTTAGCACATACAGCAAATTTGCAATTATCGGTGTTGAGAATGTTGTATCCACACAACTTAAGAACATCAAAGTGCAGTGGGGCAAGGATGCCGAGTTTCTGATGGGCAAGAACTCGTCAATGAGGCGTGCACTGCAGGATCTTGGGAAGAGCGAGCTGGATGTGATTCTTGAGAAGATTAAGGGAGATGTATGCTTTGTGTTTTTCAAGAATAATGTCAAGGTAATCAAGAAAGTTATTGATAATAATGCTAGAGAGGCATGTGCGAAGATTGGGGATATTTCGCAGAAGGATGTGTGGGTTGAGAAATGTGTCACAAGTATGCCTCCAGATAAGACTTCATACTTCCAGGTACTTGGGATTGCAACAAAGATTACGAAGGGAAAGATTGAGATAATATCTGACTACAAGGTGCTGTCTCCTGGGGATCATGTTGGACCATCACAAGCGAACCTGTTGAGCATGATGAACATCAAGCCATTTATGTATAAGATAAGTATGTGGTGGGTGTATGAGGATGGATGTCTCTATGAGTCAGCACTTGTGGACATTGAGGAGGACGATATCATGATGAGCATGAAGAATGCTATCCAGAGCGTTGCTGCAATGAGCTTGGGCGCAAGATTTGTCACACAAGCAAGCGTGCCGTATGCAATGAGAAATGCATTCAAGGACATCCTGCATGTTTCATTTGGTGCCGAATTTGCTATCAAGGAGCAATCTATGGTTGCGTAATTAAAGATATAATTCTTTATTCTGCTGTTATTCTGTAATGTTGATAATTCGTGCGAATTTTGTCTTATTAGACAATCGTTATTTATATTAAATGTATAACCTACTTGAGGGGTTTCAACATGTTAACGCTTTTGAGATGTCTAAATCCCAGTGTGTATACATCATGCACCATCCTGGTATAGCACACAAGTGCATAAATCATGCCGATCTTTGGATTGAGCACCATGAATATTGCACAAAGGCACATTGATTCGTTTCTTCGGACGAATAGAACTAGGAACATAGGCGAAATGTAGTACAAAACCGATCCAAGAAGGATCCTTGTGCAAGACACTTCATATGCCATGCATGTCCAATCCAACACAAAGTACACAATTATTGGCATTACAAGCGAAATAAACGCCGTTCCGTTGATATACGACCCGCCAATCGGCACATAGAAGTAGCTGCCGTACGGATGAGTCCTTACAAATGATATGGACCTGACAAAGTTCATGAACTGTCGCATGTCTCTGCGTGTTGTTCGTATGTGAATCTCTAAGCGATTTGCCGGTGTATTTGGAAAAAGCACATCTTTCATGCTGAATACAATCGAGGATGGAAAAAACACCTCTGCAACAAGAAGTAGATCAGAATTTGGTTGGTGATTCCTCAGTGGATACACTGCCATGTGCATTATCTTTGAAAACCTAAGATCAATATCAAATAGATATTCGCATCTTTCATCAGGCATGTTGAAGTCAACTACCACATTTATGTTGCTGATGTTCATCATCTTCAATGCAGAAACAATCTGGCAGTAGTTTTTTTCATACTCTGCATATGCTTGGATCCTCAGCGTCTGTCTCGGTGGAAGATTGTTAAGTATAAAACGCTTTGATGCATCGAACGATTTAAAATCACATGACTCTGGAATCTCAGCACTGTTTTTTCCATTCAGATACTCTTGGACCATCTCTTTCGATGAAATTGAGTTTGACTTGTTTGTGCTGAGCAGTAGCAGCAGAGGTATGCAAGTCAATACCGTTCTGAGTACACTGTTGTGCTTCTTAATTGTATTAACATATTGTGTTATGTTATCGAGGAATGCCATGCGTTTGTAATGGCAGGGCAATGCACTTTGAATAAGCGTAGATGAACTATATCTACAGTTCATGTGTAATTGAAAATTAATCAGGAAGGTCTGATTTGTTGTCAAATTGATTTAATGCTGGATGTAGACCTGGGTATGAAGGTTGGGATAAATGGATTCGGAAGAATCGGGAAGCTAGTTTATAGGATTCTGAACGAGAGAGGAATGCATGTGGAGGTGGTCAATGATCCGTTTGTTACGCCTGAGTATGCAGAGTATCTTTTAAAGTACGACACTGTGTTTGGGAGGAGGAGTGAGTATAAGCTTAAGGATGGCAGGATGTGGAGTGGCGAAAAAGCAACAGTTCTAACAAGCTTTAAAAGGCCTGATGAGATACCATGGAGCAAGTATGGAGTGGATGTGGTTGTGGAAGCAAGCGGTGTGTTTACAACAGTCAGTGAGTGTGAGGGGCATAGAGATGTTGCAGCAGTGCTGATAACTGCGCCAAGCAAGGATGCGCCTATGTTTGTGTATGGAGTTAACCATCATGATTATAGCATGCAAAGGATTATCAGCAATGCAAGCTGCACAACAAATTGCCTGGCGCCATTGGCCAAGGTACTGGATGACAACTTTGGAATTGTTGAAGGACTGATGACTACTGTGCATGCAGTCACAGCAACACAGAACATAGTTGATGGAATGGGCAAGTGCCGTAGAAGCGGGAGGTCTGGAATGAGCAACATCATTCCTTCAAGCACAGGGGCTGCAACGTCTGTTGGAAAGGTTATTCCATCACTGGCAAGCAAGCTGAATGGAATGGCAATGAGAGTCCCGGTATCGAATGTAAGTGTGGTTGATTTAGTGTGCAGAACACAGAGAGAGGCAACAATTGAGCAGATAGCTGATGCCGTGGGCAGGTACTCTATGGAAAACAACGGAATCATGGGAACAACAAGAGACTGTGTTGTAAGCAGTGACTTCATTGAGGACTCAAGAAGCTCTGTATTTGATGTTGGCGCAAGCATGGCAATGGGAACCAACTTTTTCAAGCTTATATGCTGGTATGACAATGAATATGGATATTCATGCAGAGTGTGCGACCTGTTGCAATATGTCTATATGAGACAAACACAGAAATAAGCACAAGGCACAGTTATGGTACTGTAGTATTCGTACATTAAGTAAAGTGTGTATTTGTGTTTAATTTTAGTTGGAATACAAATAGGTGGCGTATCTATATGTTCTTCCTATCTGCAGTTGATCTTGGTAATGTGGTTGACTCCTTGAAGAACTCAGTGTCAAAGTTAGACTCGAGGTCGCCAGGAACAAACAAAGGCTTGATCTTCTTGCTAGCCACGCTTTCCCAATCTACTCCATGAAAATATTCATGGGTTTTTATATCGTTGGCATCGGCCTCCCCATGTCCTATTCTCTTCGTTGGGTCCTTCTCAAGCAGACGGTCTATCAATGCCTTCACAGTATCATCTTCGATTCTATCGTAGCTGTGATTTGCATTTATAATTGAACTGCATATCTCTCCATTTGTAGATCCATGGAATGGTGGATCCCTCTCATACAGCTCATACAGAACCACACCGTACGACCACCAATCTGAGTCTTTTGTGTATCCATCGCCAGCAATTACTTCAGGCGCAAGAGTGTCAAGAGTGCCGCAGTATGTGAATGTCGTGCCAAATGGGCCTATGTTTTCCTTACACAGTCCAAAGTCAACAAGTTTGATGTGCCCATCTCCACAAAGCATGATGTTGTCAAGCTTCAGGTCTCTGAATATTATTCCCTCCTTGTGTAAAAACTCAATTGCAAGCAACATTTCTGATGCATATTGCTTGATCTGCTCTTTGCAGAACGATTTGTTCATCACATGGTGCAGCAGGTCGCCGCCAGAAAGATACTCCATCACAAGGAATATGCTCTCAGAATCTTGGAACCAGAACTTCATGCTTATCAGAAAAGGATTGCTGGACAGCGAGACTTTTCTAAGTACATTTCTTTCAACCTCAAGGAACATCAAATCCTTAGAGTTCACAAACTTTTCCTTCTTCAAGATCTTGATTGCTAGAGGTTCTTCATAATCGCTGTGCTTTGCTAGCACAACCTTCCCAAAACTTCCTCTCCCCAGCACTCTTATGATCTCAAAATTATCTATCGATATCTTTGGACTGTCGTCCTGTTGAATCGGTAATGGCGCACACCACATCATCTGCTTTCTAATTGCGATATCAACACTACATTCATCACATATCATGTACTTACAGTGCTCATGAAATCTTTGTGTGCAAAAAACACATCTCCAACATTCTTGATCTGTCAATGTTATTCTTTTTGCACACTTCCCACAGTACTTAAATCCAGAAGGTTCATCTGCATCTACACACTCCACAGGCTTGTATTCGTCTGCTTTTTCGTCTTCATGCATATGAGCGCCTGAAAACATAAACACATAAGTCTTATAGTGTGCTATTTTATCTGAAACATCGTTTGCATATGCATAAACTTGTAAATTATTTGCATTACATATGGTATTGTAGGCTATTTATGCATTGCTCAGGTATTCAATAACCTCAGCAGGTTCTCTAAGCCCTCCTTCTGCATTTCTGGAAGACATCATTTCCTGCATCATCTTTACCATCTTTGCTTTAAACACTTTGTCTTCGCCTACTGCAGCCACAACCTTTTTTGTATTACTCACTGCATTCCCTTCTCCAAGTATAAAGTCCATGCAATACCTCTCAAACTCTGTCCTTACTTTCTGCTCTGCTTTGTTTATCTCACTCACATCAACTCCGCATGCCACCTGCACCTTGGTAACAATCTTCCACTTCCTGATTGCTTCGTCAAGTCCCTTAGAGCTGCTCTTTTCCAATATCCTGCTCATTCCCAATACTGCAGCCTTAATCCTCAGTTCTGTATTACTTGAGCTACGCAGAATCCTTTCAAGTTTCTCAACTCGTAGATCTCCTCTCTGCACCTCCTTGCACAGATACTCTTCCTCCATTCTCTCATACATCTTTCTAAGATCCTTCTGGAAGCAAAAATATACGCTTTCCTCCACTTCATCCACTTCTCTCCAGCATAGTCCTAGTCCATTCAGTGTCTCAATACTCAGAAGCTCATACACATTCTCAACAAACTCTTCCACAATCACCCATACATCATTGAATATTGCAGAGGCATCTCCCTCAAGTCCCATGCTCTCAATGAAGCGCATCTCACATTGGATGATACTTCTATATGAGTCTACAAACGTCTGAAGCGTATCGCTGACCTTCTCCTGAGTTGGACTGTCCTTGATCAATCGGAACACAGTCTTCATGTGTGCATCCACTTCTCGCTCATACAGTTTTCTCGAATGTGCCATATACATCGAGCATACTACTACATAGTAATCTTTTTGATCACGTGAATATTCAATTATCTTCTTGAACCTTTTTATTATGCCGTACAAGCCCTTGTGAACCTTCAGCTGGTGAGCATGTTCGTTGCCCGCCATGAACTTTCCCATGTATGCTACAAACCGCTTGTAAAACTTTCGAAGTGCATCATTTATCCGCTCTTTCTTTTCGCGTACTATCCTAATGGTGTATTTTTCAACATCAAGCTCATTCAATGCATCCAATGCTCGCTCAATTTTACAGATTCCATCGATGCTGTCAAAAGACTCCGCTTCAAGTGCTATGAAATGCTCTTCCTTTATCTCTACGCTGTATAGCAATTCTTTTAGATGCTCGTATATCTGTGTTTGGTATAGAATTTCGTTTTCTAGCTTCATATTTTCGTCCTCGATCTCCTTCAACTCGTTTGAAAGCGACTCTAGCTTGATTGTGTACAGCTCAAGACTTGAATATATCATCTTGCACTTCTCATCAACATGCCTGAGATTTGGATACAGCATTGGCATTTCGTTCATGCATGCATCCAGGTTCGTGATTTTATCTTTGTCGATTGCATCATTCTTAGAGCCAAGAAACAGTTCGTCGATTTCATTCTCCATTACAGGGCTGTTGTTGCTTGGCATTATGGTAACAAATGCTATTTACATGTTCAATTGACTCAAGTACTGAGTTGATGCCTCATTCAATCATGTTTAAGATGTGCATAAACCATGCATATATTAATACATAAAATCAAACATGTGCCCTGAATGATTCTGATTGTCCGTGGCCCACATGGTCAAAGACGAGTGCAGGTTGAGGATGCGCAGGCAATAGGGCCGCAGCTCAAGAAAACATTTGAAGTTGTGTCTCTGCGCATTTTTATGCAGCCTGATGCAGTAGAAGAGGTTGACATAGAACAGTCTCCAGATGCATTGGAATTGAAGAACGGAAGTGTGATGTATGTGCAGTACGATGTGCATGTAAGTATTCCGAATGACAATCGATCGGAGCCTGTGCCACAAGATCTGCTTGTGAGTGAGGGATCAACAAGGAAGCGTACCACTGAACGAGGAATACACAGAGGGCGTGACGAAATGATGTGTCAACATGACTCAAGAGCAATGTGCAGTCACTGTGCACCATTAGATCCATGGGACGAGAGATATCATAAAGAAAACATGATCAAATATCTTAGCTTTGGGTCTTATAAGGAGATGATGAAGAGCAACAAGAAGGAGATGTGTGCAGAGAGCTATATAGTGGTTGTATGCAGCGATCATGGTCAAAACACACGATGTACTCGATGCCAGGAAAGAAGCATAATACTGATGCCGCAAACGTTCCGGATGATTGATCATGTTGAGTTTGATGGTCAGCATCATGTGGAGAACTTTATCAAGGGATGGAAAGACAGCAGAAGACAAAGATTTGGATTTCTTGTTGGAAAATACATAGGATATGATTTAGTGCCTTTAGGCATGAAAGCTGTGGTATCTGGAATATGGGAACCTGAACAAGAAAATTATCCGGATGGATTTGTTTTACTAGATGAGAGTAACGATTTTCTGCATGGAAGCGGACTGGAGGTTATTGGAATGATATACACGGATATACACATGGAAGGAGGTGAGATGATGAGCGACAAGCTTGCAAGGGACTATTTTTTGTCATCTCTTGAGATACAATTTATTGCGACGATGCAACAGAAGCATCCATATGTAATAGCTGATGGCAATAAAAAGGATGAGTTTGGATCCAGGTTTGTGACGATAGTTGCCACTGCAGATACTGAAGGAAATGTTGTGCTTATGGAATATCAGGTGAGTACGCAGTGCATGGCCCTGGTGAAGGAGAATGCAATACTTGCAACTGAAGAGCCAAGGATGTTTATGGCAGCAAAGGATATTGTTTATCGAACAAAAAGCAATGCAGAGATGGTGAAAGCAAATCCTTATTTTCCTGGCGACTTTTTCATAGTGAGGCTGACGCATGGATGTTTGCATACACCTATGTTTAGTAATGAGGAGTATGTTCCTGGTAAGATGAGCAGAAAGCGAATGGCAGAGTTCTTTGAAGGGGATTTTTCGATGTATAAGCTATCTAGCTTCAGTTTATTGATGAAGCTCCGAGGAGTGTTTGGTAAGTGGAAGGAGCTATTCAAGAGTATTGTTGAGAACGATAGCCGCATGTTTGAGGAAGTTTTGAGCAGTAAGGAGTTCAAAGGGTTTGCTACTGAGCTTGATAAGTATGCTTGCAAGAGCTGGGCATGCTCAAGATGTACATTTATCAATGAAGGCGGTCCAAATGAATGCAATATATGTGGGACAGAGAAGATGTGATAATAAAGTCTAGTGTGATAATAAAGTCTAGTGTGATAATATGTGGTGTAGTGTGATAATATGTGGTGTAGTGTGATAATATGATGTGGTGTAGTGTGATAGAGCGTGAGTGATTTATGTTATGTTAATGATTTATGCTTTGCGAGTGAATGCGATGTTATGAAGTTTATGATATTTAATGAGTGAATGTAATATGATGTTGTGAATACTATGCGTGATTTATGAATAACGATGTTGTGATATGAATCAGATATGCAATAAAATCATTTATGAATAACTGGGATGTGGAAATTCAGAGCGGTGTTTTCCAGAAATTTCCGGAAGTTTCGAAACGAAAAAAATGATATAATAATAATTGAATTAGAAGACTAATGTCTGGAAAAGATCCAAAGGGATATTACAAGGTGCTAGGGCTAAGTCCTGGGGCATCTGTGGCGGATGTGAGGAGGGCGTATTCGACGCAGCAAGCGAAGTTCCATATGGATTCGCCTATTGTGCGTGAAAAGCTGCGTAATGCAAAGAGTGAAGATGAGAAAGAAAAGATTATATCCGAATGCAAGGAGATGTCTACAAAGTTGAATATGGCGAAGGATGCACTGTTTGATGAGAAGAAGAAGAAGAATTACGACAGCGGAATGGGAGAATTTGGAGCACAGTTTTCTGGAGGTAATTACTCTGACATCTTTGACATATTCAGTCAGTTTGCAGGAGGTGGCCGAGGAGGGCAGAAATCAAACAAGGCGAGCTCAACGAAGTATGTTATCAATATTTCACTGAAGGAGGCATTTTGCGGAAAGACATCTAAATTCAATGTGAAGAGGGAGAAGATATGCCCGAGCTGCGACGGAAAGGGTGCAGAGAACACGACTGTATGCAAGAAATGCAATGGAAATGGAGTATATACTAGCCGTAGGAATCTTGGCGGATTTGTAACACTTGCTGAGACACAATGCGATGGATGCTCAGGTAAAGGATACTTTGCGAAAGGAAATGCATGTGGAGAGTGCAAGGGAGGAGAATATGTGCAGGATAAGATAATCCTTGAGGTCACGATTAAACCTGGGGTTGTGAAGGGAGAAAAGATTGTGTTTGAGGGGATGGGAGACCAGCGAAAGGGACAAGTATCTGGAGATGTGATTTTTATTATTGATGTGCAGGATGACAGTAGGTTTGAAAGACGCGGTAGTGATCTTATTGGAAAGATGGATATTCCTCTGTACACAGCGATTGGGGGAGGCGTAGTGTATTTTACGCATATTGATGGAAGACAACTTGAGATCAATGTGGAGCCATTCAAGACATTTGATGTAGCAGTGAAGATACGAGGAGAGGGATTCAAGACACAAAGGTCAGGACTCGGTTCGCTTATTCTGAAGCCAAATATCATTATTGGAGGTGATTCTGATAGAGCAAAAATTCTGGAGGTGTTGAGTATGCCAAACAACAAACCTTACGGAGCCACGACGAAAGTAAAGGGAGAGTTTGGAAGTATTCCTGAGCCTGAGAGGGAGCATGATGAGGCTTCTGATGATGGAGCACAAAGCGCCAGGAGTTTTTTCAATAGCTTCAGTTTCTTTTAGTGATGAATAAAAACGTTAACTTATATGAAATTTACTTGACTTTATTTAACCTGAGTAGAGAAGATAAGCTGATTTTAAAGTCAGAAGTGGTAACCCTGAGAGATGGATGACCGTGATCTTGAGCAAAAGATTGTGAATGAAGAGTACAAGGTATGGAAGAAGAATGTGCCATATCTATATGATCTATTGTTTAGTCACACGTTGCAATGGCCGTCTCTCTCTGTGCAGTGGTTTCCAGATGTGAGCAGAGATGAGGAACGTGTAAGAACTACGCAGCGATTGCTACTGAGTACTCACACGAGTGGTAGTGACGAGGAGTGCGTCATGATAGCAAAGCTTGATTTTCCTGATGAATTTGATGAGAACATTGATGGAGATGAGGAAGGGAATGGAGATGGAGATATGAAGCTTAAGGTTTTACAGAGGATTCCAGTACAGGCCGAGGCTAACAGAGTCCGATACTGTCCATTAGCATGTAATGTACTGGCTGTTCGATCTGACCTTCCGGATGTGCATGTATATGATTACACAAAGCATTTGTCGCATGAAAAAACTGCAAAGCCGGATATGATACTGAAGGGACATAAATCTGGAGGATTTGGAATTTCATGGAACAACATAGTTTCTGGAGAGCTTGCAAGCTGTGGAGAAGATATGTGTGTATGTGTGTATGATATAATGGAAGAAAGTACAGTGATTAATCCGAAGATTGTATTAAAAGGACATGGAGCAGTTGTGAACGACTGTGGATTTAGTTTTTTTGATGGAAAGATGCTTGCATCTGTTGGAGATGACAGGAGGCTAATTGTGTGGGATACTGGGAGTGGAGAGATGGTGCATTCAGTGGAAGCACACACAAGTGATGTTTTTTGTGTGAATTATTCACCTGTTGATGCGAATGTGATTGCAACATGTTCTGGAGACAAGTCAGTGAAGGTATGGGACATAAGGAAGTTGGATACAGCGGTGCATGTTCTCTTGGGGCATTCTAAAGACGTGTTGAGTGTTGAGTGGTCTCCACATTGTTCTACAATGTTGTGCTCTGGAAGCATGGATAGGAGAGTTATTGTTTGGGACCTTATACGTGTTGGAATGGATGTGACTGAGGAGTACAGAGCACAAGGACCACCTGAGCTAAGATTTATGCATGGAGGGCACACAGGCACAGTATGTGATGTATCGTGGAATCCAGCAGAGCCATTCGAGATTGCAAGTGTTTCTGAAGACAATACCTTACAGGTATGGCAGATGACCAAAGATGTATATGATTAAAGTGCATTTGAGATTGTTTATTGATGCTACAGCTATTCAATGACAAACTAATAGCTGATTTTATACAGGAGAAAGACTTGCAGAAGTCCTCCTATGAGTCCTCCAGCATATTCTGCAGTGCAATAGATCCAGAACTTTGTCCATGTATTTGACATGATTACTGGAGCGAATAGCAATGCAGGGTTGAAGACACCACCTGATGTCGCAAGCCCAAGGAATGCTAGGAAACCAAGAGTCAGACCTATACACAGCGGTGCAGTGACTCTACGATCTACAGGCTCGTCCTCTTCAGGATTCACAAAGTTGCCATTCACATCAACCTTTGGCTTGTATGGATTTACTCCCACTGCGAATGCAATGTGCACAAGAATTGCAGTGAAGAAAAACTCAGACCAGAAGACATTAAGGTTATCTCCGCCAAAGTCTGCAGGCTTTGGTCTGATCACATCGAGAGTTGCCTTATACTCCAGTGGAGAGCATGGAAGAAGTGCGCAAACAGCAAGGATGAATCCGATGTACTGTGCCAAGATGTATCCAAGGCCCCGTAGTATTGTAAGTTTTCCAGTAAGAATGGCAGTAAGCGTGATTGCTGGGTTAAAGTGTGCAACAGTCACGTCACAGAACGAGTATATCACACCCACTCCTGAAAATCCAACTGTTAATGCAATTACTACGCTTGCTGCGCTCTGCAAGCTAAGAGCAGATCCCAACAGTGCAGAATACACTGCAAATCCAAACACAAACGATGCAAACATCTCTCCAAGTGCAGATTGAAATCCTTTAAGTACCTCTCCAGCCATTTGTTTATATGCTTTTTGCCTTTAAATACTTTTATTTCTCCTATAAACACCTAGACTTTGATATAGCAAAATATTCATCTCTGATAAATTAAATCATATTGGTGCTGGTCAGCGCACCTGCAATGCATGTAGTTCATGTAAATACTTATAATGAATCTATTTCATGCAAACACTTATAATGCATGTGGTTCATCTAAACATTTATAATGTATCTCTTCATGTAGACACTTATAATGCATCTCTTCATATAAATACTTACAGTTCATGCACAACCACTTATAATGCATATATTTATGCTCATTCATTGTAAATCACATATTCTCCTACAAACCTTATTCCCATAAATGATTAATCATTTTCAAAAAAAGACTTTCTCTGCATGGTGTTACAGATATCTCAGATCTGTATGCAACCGTCGTGTACACAACAAATATCGAAAAAACAATCAGTGTGTATATATGCACGTCTCTCAATGCTTCCTCCATCATATTCTTTTGCCACACTCCTTGCAGTATCCCTGAGCAAAACATCAGCGAAAGCAGTACAAAAATTCCACAGCACAACGGATATGCCTTGGAAACATCGACCTGTTTATTCCGTCTCAAATTAAATGCAACAACTCCAAGTATCACTGCCATTACACAAAAAGGTAATGCCATGCCACTAACCTTGCTCATCTCTTCTTGAAATGCAGGTTTGTCAACCAACGCTTTCATGACAACAATCGCAAACATTATCATTGATCCAAAGAAACTTGCAGCCTCCGCATTCTCAATCCTGTCGAGTCTATCCACAATTATCGTCCGTATCGGTATTGCATTTCCAAAGTGCATTATATTGACGGCTCCCTTAACAAAGTACTTCCTTGCAAAAAACGGAATCGCCTCCATGGAAAACCCATACTCTTCCACAAACCAGAGCTTGTAAAGCATGAATGAGAATGTGTAGAACATCATGATCACATACGTAGACTTCGGATATTGCACATGGCATGTAAACACATACAAGGTGATGTGATGCATCAGAACAAGCAGACATACAAACAAAGAGCTTGCGTACTGAAGCCTTGAATACATAAACACAATCCAGATATCCATCACTGCATTAATCACTCCTGCATAAACAGATTTGAATGTTATTTTTGACTTTGACTGGATCAAATTCACCAGGTTGAGAACTGTAAGAATACTTGAAATGCACAGCCCAAATGTTATGAAAAACGCACAATTCTTACTCTTGCACACATAATTACTAATACAAACGCCCGCAAACAGTCCTAAACAAATTCCCGTGTTGACTATGGTACTGCAGTATCCCTTTATCATATATGGGTTATCCTTATTGCTCTTCTATGCTCCAGGAGATCCTTCATGCTCATTGTTCAAAGGAGTAAAAGGAGTAGAACATCACAAATTCTCAACATTCGATCTATTATGAGATGCTTAAACAGCAGTATATCATCCTGGACGTAGACTCTTTATACTCAGATTAACATATCTACTTCAAATTCGGTCTCAGAAGTTGAACCTGACTTTCTAACTCCTCAACCATTTTACTCAAAATCCTTTCTCCATCATTTGCATTTTCTGTGGTCACAGAAACCTTCACAAGATGTAATCTGTCTACGTTTGAATATTCGCTTTTCCATTTAGAAATCTCAACTTCCACTGGATGCCTGCGGAAACTTGTCACTGATACCTTATTTTCCTTCACAAACACAAATCCGAGTGCAGATAAAAACCCTTCAAGTCCTCTGGATGTAATAACCCGTGTCTTCTGAACCACCGAGCAAAATGACACTCTACTCTTGTTCATATCAGGTAAACTCCGACTCACCAAATACACATCTTCGTCTTCTACGGCAACAGTCAACGATCTTAATCCATTTGAATATATTCGTTCTCTAACCACCGTATCAGTTCTGTTATAAAATCTTAGATATGAGCACAATCCATCAATCATCTCCAAGTACCCAAACATCGAGCATTCAATCATTTACTAGGGATGCAGAACAGAATAGTTCATTTGGTTTTATTCATGCAGGGCATCATGCATTGTGAATGGCATGAAAGTACAAAATCTTCTTGCGCTATCCTTTGTAGCGGTGTATCAAAGCCAGGCATTATTGCATATTCTGCACATATATCACATGGTAAGCTTTCATAATCTATGTACATCGCCATTAGATCAGCCACTACCCGTACCTGCTGTTCAATTGGAACTTTTCTTGTCATACATAGCACATGCCTGTCAACACTACAATCTCCCATCGACACAGAAATAACACCAAATACCTCACTACATAGAAACTCAAATCTTCCGATTGAATATCTTGTTATTCCATTGATGCAGTCCACAACTTGTTGTTCATGCATTTTCTCTTTTTCCAATGCATTTGTCTTTGTGGCAAGAACCATAAATCTTACATATGATTTATGCAAATCTGCCAACGCATGTCTAAACGCCTCTTCGTTCTTGATCTCTGCTTTCAGCTTCGTCAGTGATGCCATAAACTCACATGCTCTGAACCTTATTTGCTGCTTTAAACTCATCGATCGGGGTTGAAATGCACATCATCAGTAGTGTTGTCAACAACAAAAACTTGTCTGAGCTTACCCAGGCATGAACGTCGACCTGAAGAAGTACGAGGGCATGCTAAGAAAAGTAAGTGCAGAGGAAAAAACATTAAGATACAGGAAAAGAATCTTGGTGTTTACTGGAGTAGATGCACTTGCTCTTCTTATGAAGAATGGAATAGATGCAGAACAAGCCAAATGCATCATGCAAGATCTTCTTGACGAGAGCATTCTGTTCAAGATAGCTTTAAATAGGAAAAACACACGGGACTGCGACGTAATGCTTGATCAGAAGTTCCACGAAGAGCATAAATATGTATTTGCTGATGAAAAGACATCCAATACGTCACTTCTGATATGCGGAGCATTTGTATTGATTATACTTTCTATTGTACTGTTCAAAATGTGGCCAAGACACATCCAGCAGCGCGCATTCTCGCTTATGATGTATCCACTTGGGGGTTTTGTTGCATTCATCATTGTGATTGCAATAATACGCTTCGTATTATTTGTTGCAACATACTTTGTGTATCCTCCAGGAATATGGCTGTTTCCAAGACTGTTTGAGGATGTGGGCTTCTTTGAAAGCTTTGTTCCTGTATGGGAGTACCACGGGAAACGAACAAAATGCAAAGTCGAATAAACCAGCCTGATGTATTTGAATTTGTATAACGCTTTTATTCAGTGTTCTTCTGCATATAGATGAAATGTGCAAGGTGAAACTCTTGTGTGCATCGCTGCACAAATATCGAGAGTCCACAGCGATTGATTGCAAACATGCTTTTGTTCTTGATTGGAATGCCATAAACGCATCTTCCTTCACTGTCCAGGTACTTTATTGGATTACTTGGATTACTAAAATCCAGATCACATTCATCATTTGATTGACTATTGTTAAGTCCATTACAGTCATCATTCGATATATTTTTGTTAAATTCATTACATTCATAATTACTAAGCTTACAGCTAAACTGATCATTCCTAATCTCCATGAAATATACATCGCATACACCATCGCTGATTGAGTTGCATCTGTCATTCAGCAGAATGTAATCTCCCACTCTGAAATGGTATATGCCTGCATCAAATAACACCCATCCATCAACCTCAGGCACCACCATCTGCTGTACCACAAGGCGTTCAACTCTGCGCGAATAGAACGGCCCTTCAACATGCTTATCCACACTTCCAAAGTCATACTCCATCCCTGGATAGAACACAATCGTGCTTGATTCAAAATCAATATCAAGTGAAAACACATCTTGATTCCTAGGAACATTCATATTTATCACAGGTAATTCTTCATGCATGCTCACATCTTCAAAGCTCAACCATCCAGTAAACGTCCTTCTGCCATTTTCCTCACAATACTCCACTTCATGAAATGAAATCTCAGATACCTCAAACACTATCAGTCGATTTGCTCTTACATCTATCTTCTTAGAAACACTCATTGCATCATTTTCATACAAAATAAGACTTCCAGATGCATGATCTTCTAAATAGTACACAAATGCATACTTTCTATGCTCAGTTCTGTCATCATGGCACAGTAGATAATCTCCTGCTCTGTAGTACGATCCAAAAAGATCTATCCATCCACCTTTGGTATCTACCACTTCACTAAGTGCGTCCATCACACAGCTTCTAAACTCTTCAAGATCATCCCGACTCTTCAGATCATCTGTCTGCAGAAACCTAAAGAGATCAGTGTGCTTCTCATTAAACATACAGTTTACATGAATCTTCTTCACTTTTTCAAACACATTAGTATTCAGAAACTCATCCTGTACAAAATGCAAAAACGGTTGCGTGTGCTTTTCCATCAAGCAGCCCATGAATAAGGACTTGTAACTAAAGAACATTCAATTTAACACATTTAATGATTAACAGTTGAGTTAATACCAAGTTAATGTTGAATTAATGATTAACTTTCAGTAGTGATGAACTAACAATTAAATGTTGAGCTAATGATTAACAATTGAGTTAATATTTAAGTACCACTCAGCTAATAATCAACTATCCAGTTACTATCCAACTAATATTCAGTAGTGAAGAGTTAACAATCAACTGTTGAGTTAATTCTGAGCTATTATTCAGATAATCCTGAACGAACTACACTACTCAGCTATTATTCAACTATCCAACTAATAATCTAATAATCAACTAATGCTGAGCTTCCCAACATCAACAACCAAAAACTTAGACACATTCTCTGTCTTATACACACCCACTAGCGTATTGCTAAGCTCAAACATATCACTCCTCAGGCTTATCACTACAAACTGTGCAGTCGCAGACATCTCCTTTATGTAGTTCGAAACCACACTCACATTCCTATAATCAAGTGCTGCATCAATCTCATCCATCACATAGAACGGGGATGGCTTGTATCTGTGCAACGCAAAAATCAGTGCAAGACTACTAAGCGTCTTCTCTCCTCCACTAAGCTTGCTAACGCTCTTCCAACTCTTCTTCGGTGGCATGACACTCAGCACAACTCCTTCACTAAACGGATCAAGATGATCAACCAACTCTAGCTCCGCATTTCCTCCATACGTTATTTCCTTATATATCTCCTTCAAGCTCTTAGATATCTGTCTCAACCCATCAAGAAACTCATCTAGTCTCCTCTTCTTCATCCCTTCAATCCTACTTCTTATTCCTTCCATCTTCTTCTTCATTCCTTCACACTCATCTCTTGCTTTCACATACTCATTCCTAACACTCTCATACTCCTTAAGCACCTCGCAATCTATCTCGCTCATTACAACTCCATTCATCTTCGCAACCACTCCTCCCAGCTTCTTCCTCATCCTTTCTACACTCTCATCATCTATCATATCTAAACCACTCAATGGCTCTGCAATGCTGCCAATCACATCTCCATAAACCTTCATTTCAGAACAGATCTTAATTGCATGCTTTTCTCCTTCATTCACCTGCTTTAAACTATCTTCAATTCCATCTGCTATATCCTCCATCCTATTCTTCAGCTTAATCTCACTGTCATATCCATTCTTCATCTCCATACGCAATGCATTCATCTGTTCTTCTAGTCTTCTCTGCTCTGCAACATTGCGATTGTACTCATTTTGGCTCCTCTGCATCTCACTTTTGATCTCAGATACATCCTTCAGCCTTATCTCGCTCATCCGCTTGTTAATCTTTCTCATCTCTTCTTCCTTATCTATAACATTTCCTTGTTCTATCTCAGACATCCACATCTTCAGTTCAACATTCCTTCTTTCATACCCCTCAATCTTTGCATTCAACTGAGTCAACCGTTCTTTATTCTTCACTACATAGTCAGGTATTAACCCTTCAACCTCTTTCCTCAACACACAGATCTTTTTCTTAATGTCTTCTAATTCAGAATTAACAAGCTCCACTTCCTTTTTTTCATCAACTCCACCAACACTCCTCATTTCTCTACACACAATCTCATTCTCTGTAACATACTTCTTACGCTGTCTTTCAAGCATTTCCCGTTCCTTGGCATTCTTAATCGCGCATAACTCTTTAATCAATTTGTTCCTCAATTCATTCATCTTCTCATATGCCTGCTCAATATCTCCGGTCTCTTTTGCTTTTCCTCCTCGCTTTCCTCCACTCATCACTCCACTCTTCTCAATCAACTTCCCATCAAGTGTAACAACCCTTCGCCGTTGTCTTCCAAATGCAATACGCTCTGCTGCCTCAAGATCATCACAAACAACAGTATCCTTCAACACAAAGTAAAAACATTTCTTAAACTCTTCCTTACATTCAACAAGTGAACACATGTATAAAACTCCTTCATCTCTAAGCACTGGCATCTCTCCCATCCTATCAACAATCATAAACATCCCTCTTCCAACACCTAATCTCTTTATCTCCGCTACACATCTCTCTGCAGTGCTTGTGTTGTCGACAACAATCCCTCCAAGCCCCTTGCCTGCTGCAAATAGCGCCTTAGCATACTTTGCATCAACCCCTCCAATATCACGAAGCCTCCCATGCACCCCAGGAATATTCTTGACCTTTTCAAAAATCTCCTTTTCTTTGCTTTCACTTTCCATATTCTCCTTATATTCAGATGCTCTCTGCATCCTCTTTCCAATCTCTCTTCGTGTCTTCTCAATATCCCTTTCCACTTCTTCTATCTCTGTCTTCACTTGTGATTCATCTTTGTTTCCACTCACTTTGCATCCCTCAATCTTCTCCATCTTTACATCAATGTCGTTGATTTTCTTCTCAAAGTCACGCTTGCGATATCCTAACTGTTCCATTCGTTCCTCATATCTTCTAAAAACTTTACATACTTCCTCTTTTTTCTTCAGTGCCTGCATTAGGCTTGCTTCTGCTTCTTTTATTTTTTCAATCTTTTCTTTGGACTTCATCTCTGCATTGCGTTGCTCTTCTTGAATCTCCTTCCTAATCAAACTCGCTTCTTTTCCACTACTCTTGATCTCCATTTCGTTGTTCTTCATCTCTACTTTGTACTCTGCTTCTTTTATTTGTCTAATCGCATCCATCTTCTTCGCTTCCTCAATCTGGTTGTTCAACTCAACAATCCGCTTCTGTAGCATCTTCATTTCATCTTCAATCATTCTATTCTCTCTTTCCTCCTTCCGATATACCCTTCGTATCTCTACATATTTGCACTCTACATCACGTGTCTTTCTGCTTGCATTTACTGTATCCTTATCCATATTGCTCAACACATGTTTATTTTCTTCAATTCTGGCTATCAGTTGCTCAATTGCACTCTGTACTTCTTCTCTCTCTATCTGTAGCCTATGGATTCTTCTTCGTCCTACCTCTGCATTTAGCATGTGCAAATCTCTGCTGTGACTTAGATATTTCAGTCTCTCCTCAACAGCTCTCATCCCCTCCTGTTTTCTTCTCTCAACATGCTCATATTCCTTCATATAAAAACTTAACATCGCCGCTTTTCCTTCGTACTCATTTATACACTTCTTCATTTCTTCCTCGCCTTCCTTAATATCAGCCTTGTATTTACTTGTTCCAATTACATCCTCCATGTACTCAAGCAGTCCTTCATTAACTGGCTTCATCATTGCAATACTTTCAATCTCCCCCTGCAGTATCAGAAACCTATTATGCTCCATGTCCACACCCTCGCTGCTCAACAGCCCTGCAACTTCCGCAGTGCTCCTTTCGTCGCCATCAACAAGGTATCTCGACTTCCGCGACTGGTAAGCTTCTCTTCTGATCGTAAACTTGTTGAACTTCAGCTCCACATAGCACATATCCTCCCTGTGCTCTCCATTGTATATCAGCTCCCTTAAAGACGAATGTCGCATCTTCTTTGCACGAAATCCAAGCACAAACAGGATTCCATCAATGATGTTACTCTTACCTGATCCATTTGGCCCAATTATCGCTGTAAATCCAGGGTCTAACCCATCCACTACGTGCGTTCCTCTGTAACTCTTGAAGTTGTGAACAGTCACAGACTCTAATCTCAGATCCATGGCTTAGGCATCCCTGTGTGTTTTGACATAAATTTTTACAGTGTACAGCCCTTGCTGGCGGCTGGAAGCTTTCGATTAGGGGCAGATGCCCTTGGGAAGGTCTGAGATGAGACATGTGCCGAGAGGGTGCCTGGTTAATGCCAGGAGCCGTTCCTAACAGAAAAATACACTTGCTATGTGACCGGAAGGAATGAGCATGGCGAGTTTGGAAAGTGGACGGTGTCTTAGTGCGAATAGTCAAACTCGAAAGGCAGCGATGTGCTGTAACCCAATTCAGACTACTCTCCAGCAGCCGGTATTTTCATATAATGTATGTTCTGTTTCTGTTAATTTCCCCATAAATGTTCATATAATTTTGAATCTATTGTTAATTCTACTCAAAATTATACTTATGCATTGTTAAAGTATACAGAGTATTATGCATGAATTGTTACATTCTACTGAATATTATGCATTAATATTGCTGTAACAAGCGCTTTTATTTGCTTGAATTAAATCTGTATATTTGTAAGTGATATTTTATGCAAGATTGTTTGCAAATTGGGTTTTATCACATAAACTGTACAAAAGCTCATGATAGGATGGCCTTTGATGGAGCCGGCAGAAATTGAAAGAATGCTTGAGCAGGAGGTGTGCTGGGCAAATGCACCGCCAGCACCAATTCCTGGGATGTGCTACATTGATCCAGAGATAAAGCGAGACTTTACATCATTTGACGCAAGCCTTGATCATATAGTTCCAAAGCAGCTGCACACAGATCTTCTTGATGCACTTGACATTGACTTTATGGAGTTGGTAATGAAAGACATGGATGAAGTACATGAAAAGACAGAAGAATGCATAGGGACTAATGAAAATAAAAATGAGATATTTGAAAGAGAAAGACTGAAGATAAGGATGAGCAAGATATTTGATTACCAGAAGTACATACAGGAGTCTTTTGAGGATGTCAACACAATAGTGCATCCTACAAACAAGAGCATCAAGGTTGAGGCAGTTTATGATCTGTTTCCAGATACAAATGCAAAAAGCGTGATTGTTCAGTCTGCATGCACGGAACTCACAGAATGCACATTCAGCATTGAGCAGGATGAATCATCCAGTCTTTTTGCAAAGGCATTGATGACTAATGGCAAAATTCTTACATGTATTCCTCAAAGAACCGATGAGTACATTGCTTTGCATGTGGACAATGATGCAGCCTATTATACAAGTATGACAACGCTTTACCAACTACAAGAGCAAAGAAAGCAAACAAAAGGATAACAGAGCTTGATGTGTAAAGATGAATATTGGGGAGGATTGGAGAGACATATTGATAGCATTCGAGAAGTGGATGTTTTTGGCAAAAGATGCACGAAGCAGAAGCCCATGGTATCCTATGATTTTGGAAAGGATGCAAGTAAATGCAAAAGTGGAGGCGATTCGAAGAAGATTGTCCTGAGATTGACGGATCCTGACGGAACGGCACTTGTTTTCAAGGTCAAGAGGAATGTAACGTTCAGGAAAGTACTGGAGGCGTTTTCAAAGAATGTTGGAAAGAGCAGTGAGGAGTTCAGAATGGTGCACAATGGAAAGAACCTCCGAGATCTTGGAATGACGCCTGATGACCTCGGGTTTTCTGGAAATGAAGAGATTGAAGTGTTTACGTCACAAGAAGGAGGCAGCTACATATAAGATAAATAAGCAATTATAATGAAAACAGAGTAATTTATGATGTAGTAGACGTGATAAGTGACATAATAGGTTATGATAAATGGCCCACTGATTTGGAAATCAGAAAGATACTGACATAGCCCTGCAAAATGCGAGGAAGCAAAGCACAGATTCGGATACTTGAGGAAAATGCAATCACTAGGAAGCTTCTGTTCAGGAGTGTCGCATTGTACAATGTGTGTATGGTTATAATGTATTTGTTAAAAGGCGAGATAAGACCAGTGATGTATTTGCTTAGATCTGTTCCAGAGGGAGCTGCAATTTATTATCTGTACAGAATCTCTACGCCGGTGATCTGCTCAGAAGGAAAAACACAAACACTCGTCAATTCTGGAACTGCACTGAGCGGAAAGGGACATGTAAGTGTTGCATTTGACTTTCTGTTTGTATCTATGCTTGTAAAGTTTCTTCTTCTTTACACAAACAAGGCATGGGGATTGTATGCAATCACATTAGTGTCGTGCTGCTATGAGTTTGTTTATAAGTCATTCAAGACATTGAAGTCACATAAGCAAAAGAGCACCGAATGATTACAAACATGATTCTTAATAAACAGTGTTGATGAATTGTGCTTCAAATATATTTTTATTAAATTAGATGAACAGGCATTTACGGGAATAACTGTTCAGCTGATGATTCAAGATGTATCTGCATGAGTAGAGTTGAGTGTGCCGAATTGATTTAGGAACATTTGCTTTGTCTCTTCAAAGTCCCTAATACAATCTTCTTCAAACTGCTTCTTTATTTTTGCATTTGTAAGTTGTGCACGCAGCTTTTCAAGGAATTCTCTTCCATGTGAGCGTGCATATCTTACATACAGAGATATTTTAGAAAGAATAACACCACCAAAGTCGTTTCCTTCCTTAATCTGTTCAGCAAGGTTATGCAACACCAAACACTCAAATTCTTCCATATCAATTACTTTTGTATTCATTATGGAAATAAAGTTGTCCAGAGTGCAATTTTGTACCAGATGCTCGAGCTCTGATGAATAGTCCCTTTCTTCCTGAGGTTCTGGAATTGTGAATGATCCAGAATCTACACACACATAGCGTGGCTTTAGTATGTCCTGCAACTCTTTCTTCTCTGCTTCAATCTCCTCGTCATGTGTATCTATTGCGTTTATTTCATCGAGTCTTTTCTGAAGTTCTGCTCGTTTCTGTTGTCTCTGTTGTCTCCTCCACTCTCTAAAGCTCTTTTCGTCTATGTTAGGATGTACTTCTTCATCATCATCGCTTTCTAAACAAACGCCTGCATATTTCATGTTTGTTTCTGGATATTTCATGTTTGTTTCTGGATATTTCATGCACTGGGGTACATGTGATTTTGGATGTTTGGTGCCTGAGCCCATGCCACTCAAGTACACGCCAAGGATGTGCATGGTGCCGAAGATTGAGCAGATCACCACGCCGAATAAGAATGTGCAAAGCTATTTTATGAGAACCGATGCATCGTATTATGTTAATGAGAAATATAGGATGGCTGGATACAGAACGGATGAACCAATTATACATGTACTAGTGTATGGACGACGACTTATTGTGGATAATATGGCTGAGACAGTTGATATCGAAGGTTTTTTTGATATTGTGAATATTAGCATAGACAGGTTTGGAAGCCTTGAGGAGGGGTTAGGATGGCTTGGGAACCGTATTGTAGCAGTAACCGAAAGACTTAGGATTGATAGAAAAAGATCTTTTGTGTCTGTTGTGTTCCATGACTTGTTGAGCAGGACTGAGCTCTTAGGTCTTTGTAATCTGTTTATTAATCTTCTGTCGTTCAAAGGAGTGTTGGTAACGCCTTACAGCTTGTCGCAGGCGGTATGTGTGGTTTCACCGAGTTGTGTGGTGATAAACATGTATGAGAGATACAGTACGGTGAGTTTTGTTGAAGACTTCTGGGTTGTTGATGCGATGTGTGTGAGTGGGGAAAGCAGCAAAGGGTTTGTTTTGCATGATTCCGTTGACTTTGTAGATGAGTTCAACAAGGTGCGAATATTTGAGGAGAAGAATGTTTATTGGTGTGATTTGTGTGATTATAAAGGAGAGTGTCTGGACATAATGAGACAGCATTTTAATGAGGCACATGCAGGGAATGTAGAATGCCATGAAGGATGTGATGACCATTTTAAGATGCACATACTGATGTATGACGAGAGTGGAGATTTATGCAGTCGTATTTATGCAAGACTGGGCTATGTGCTAACGAAGGAGAAGATCAAGAAGATAGGCAGCAAGGTGATGGTGATTAAGCATAATGAATGTGAGGTACCTGAAGATGAGTTGAGTGCATGTTTTGAAAGATTTGGAGTGCATGCTGAGATTACTGTGTATGAAGAACCAATGGATGAAGCGATTCTTGGAGTCATGGAAAGATTTTCGAATCTTGACTGTATGAAGGAGGTGTGGATGACAGACAAGGAATGGAACAGTGTTGGACTACGTGTATTGAAGGAGAAGGTTTTGTTTGTGATATGAGTGATTATAGGAGAATGGTAAGAATATGATGGATAATGTGTTGAATGAGAATGTGCAGAAGGATTATGCAATCTATCTGATAAATGATATGCTGGATGAGAATATTTAGAAGAATCTTGTAGGTTAAAACATGATATTGGTGATAGAAAAGCCCCTGCGATGGAAGAGGAGACAGAGTTTTTTGGATTTGTACCTGCATCGTTCATATCTGAACTGCAAATGGAGATAGAGAATGCGCTTAATGATGGAATTGCTAAGTTATGCGAGATAAGGAGAGGAAAGATGCAGAGGGTGTCAGAAGTCTTGCTTGAGAGCTTTCGTAAGAACTACTTTATATTTTCGAACTTTGTGCTGCGCAACATTGTGTGTTTTCCTGATGGGTTTGAGATGGAACGAAAGGCGAGCGAAGATGTTGTAGTGGCTGATATGCAACAGATAACTGATGAGCTGATGCAAAGCTTTTTAGAAGAGGAGATGCTACGGGATGAGATGAATTGCCTGAGAGAGGATCTAGAGATTGAGGAGTATCGGAAAGAAATGTTTGAGAAGATACTGAAGTGCTCTGAACCAGTAAATGATCTTGTGGATAATGCTAGAGCAACTCGGGATGAGCTTGAAGGAATTAAGCAGTTACAAAGCAGACTTAGGGTGTTTGGTGCAGGAGAGGATGATGGATTTAGTCGATTGCTAGAATACAGAGAGATCAAAAGCAGCTTTGCAAAGAAGGAGCGAGATGATCTTTTGAAGATTGGAAATATCGATGTATTTGCCATGATTAATGAAAGCATAAATAAATGCGATGTTTGAATGAGTTTATTTCTTGAGATAATAAAATATGTGAAAGTGTGAACTTGCATGATTGCTGTACATTGAATGGGAGTGAAATACCCTGAAATGGCGATGATTCGGAAGCTGATGATAAGCGGAATAAGATCGTTCAGTCTGAGGGATTCAAACACCCTGGAGTTCTATTCGCCATTGACGTTGATTGTTGGAGCGAATGGGACTGGAAAGACGACGATTATTGAGTGTCTGAAGTATGCGACGACAGGGAGTCTTCCACCTAACAGCAGGGGAGGAGCATTTATCTATGACCCGAAGATGGCAGGAGAGGTTGAAGTGTGTGGGCAGGTGCGACTTCTTTTTACGAGTGTGTATGGAAAGCAGATGGTGTGTTCAAGGACGTTGCAGCTATCTGTACGAAGGGAGCGTGTGGAGCAGAAGACGGTTGAAAGTGTGCTGAGGGAGGATGGAGAGGGAGTAAGTGGAAAGTGTGGAGATATTGATGCGGAGATGCCTGTGCATCTTGGGGTGTCGAGTAGTGTGCTTGAGAATATAATATTCTGTCATCAGGAGGAAAGCACATGGCCATTAAGCGAGCCTGTGGTAGTGAAAAAGAAGCTTGATGAGATATTTGCATCTTCGAAGTATGGCAAGGCGCTTGACAGTCTGAAATCACAGCGAAAGGAGTGTATGTCTGAAATAAAGCTAAAGATGCAGGAGCTTGAGTTTCTGAGGAAAGTGAAAGATCGAAGGGATGTGCTTGTGACGAGTATAAGGAACAGCAGTACAGCGATTGAGAAGAATGAGATTAAACTTGAAGCTTATGAAGCGGAGATAGTGAAATGCAATCGAATTATTAACGAGATATGTGCGGAGATGATGAGAAATGAAGAGATGGATAGAAGGATGCATGCACTTGAGAATGAAAGGAATGAACTGAGAACGTTTTTAGATAGTTTTAAAGGACGGTTACTTAGTATTGAAGAAGCTAACGATGTATTTAAGGGAGAGTTGTTGATGGAAGTTGAGAATGAATATGCTAGAATTGAGAAAGAAACAGAAGAAGCTGATAAAAGATTTAAGATGATTGGAGAGGAACGGGGCGTGTATTTGAGAAGAAGAACGGAGCTTGATGGAGTGTTTTCTGAGATTTCAATCAAATCATCAAAACTAGAGGATGCAAGGGCATGGAGAGTTGAAGCGATTAGAAAGCTTGAAGGGGAGTTGAAAGTGAAAGAAGGATTTAGGGAGACAGCAATAAGTGTTTTTACAAAAGTTGAAAGTGAGATTGCGAATCGAAAGGAGAAGATCCGAGAATGTGAGATTATATTGCAGAAGCTGCGTGATGAAGAAGGAGAGAGGATGTGTATGGTTCGAGAGAAGAAGCGGATGATTGAGGAGTATGAAATGCTAGAAGACGAAGTAAATGTGGAAGTGGATGTGAATGTTTCGTATGATGAAGAGATTGAAGAATTAAGAGCAGAGATATGTAAAGATAAGGAGATTGAAGTATTGAATGAGAGACTAGAGGAATATCAGAAGAGATTGAACAAGGCATATAGTGTTGCAGAGTGCAATTTTGAGATGAATCGGTTAAGAAGTAGAAGAAGAGAGATTGAGAGTATGTTGAATGGTGTTGATGTGAGTGGATTACAAGATGTACTTTGCAGACAAGTTGAGGAAGTTGATAGGAAGCGTGAAAAGATCAAATTGGTTGAAAAGGAGTTAGGATACAGAAGTGCAATGAGGGATCAAGCAAGGAATGAATGCAAGCGGATGCAGAAGGAGATACTGGAGAAGATAGATGAATTACGAGCATTCGGAAGGAAAGAGAATGAAGAAGTATTGAATTTTGAGAAGATGTGTTTGAAGCCATGGATTGGTAATTACTCGATGGATGATGCCAGGATTACGGCTGATAGATGCAAAGAATGGATTATGAATGGAGATAATGAATTTATACTAAATGATCTTGAACCTGAATGTGTGTATGATGCTGAACAATTAGCCTTAGAGCTTGATGGAGTTAATGAAGAGGTTTGCAAGGGGTTTTGTATTAGTGTTTATGCAGAAGCACTAGAGATGGCCAAGATGCATCATGTATGCCGGATGTGCAATAAGAAGCTGAGTGAAGTTGAGGAGATCGTGCTGAAGACATCACTGGAATTGATGATGAGTGAGATGCAGATATCAAAGAATGATGCACTTGACAAGAAGGCGATGTTGAAGAATGTAGTACAGGGAATTGAGGAAAGGAACTGTAGAATTGTTGAGAGAAACATGGTAAGATGTGAGATTATTGATATGATGAGTAGATATGAGGATGTACCTGAATGTGAATCTTCAGGTGATTTAGAAGGGATGGAGCTTGATGTTCTTGATGCAATAGAGAACATGAAAAAGACTGAGGGCTTGATTGAGGCTGTGAATGAAATGTTTGTGATAAATGGAAAGCTGAAGGACGTGGAGGAAGGAGAATCAGTGCAGGAGTTGAAGGGGATGATTGATGGAATCAAGAGAATATATGAAGAGAAGAAGAGTGATAGAAGGAGGAAGAATGAACTGATGACGAGATTGTGTAAGAAGCAGGCACTTGTGGATGCAACGAAGGATATACGAGAGAAGATTAATTTCAGAGAGGAGGCAAAAGAAGCTATTAAGATGATTGAGAAGAGCAATGTGAAGGCAAAAATCAATGATGTGGAGGAAGAGATTGCGAGAAGAAGGATAAAGGTTGAAAGGATTCAAGAGGAGTACTCTAAGCGTAGAGTTGCACTTGAGATGGATATTGAGATGCTTGGACTAAGAAGTAAAGAGATTGATGCCTTAGAATGTGAGGTTGGGGTATTGAATGCAAAGGTTAAAGAGCTGCTTCAAGGAGAATGGAGTGAAGAAGCAAGAGATGAAGCAATGTTTGAGATGCTTAGAAACGAGCTTGTTGATATGAAAAGCAAGACGGTGAAATTGGGACAGACAATACGTGCGATTCATGAATCAAAAGCAGCAGCTGAAGAAAGCATAAAATACTATAATGCGACTATAAGGATTGAAGAGATTGGTAATGAGCTTGAAGCGATTGATTGTGAATACTTGAGTGTTATTAGAGAGAAGAAGATAAAGTTAGAGGAGAAGAAAATAAAACTAATTTCGCACAAGTCACTGATATTAGGAGAATGCAAGCAAATTGCATTAGGAATAAAGGGATGGAAACAGGAATTACAGAATGATCATGTGGACACGGTGGAGAAGTATAGCCGATGTTTTGTTGAGTTGAAAGCACTTGAAAAGTCATGCTCTGATCTTGAGACATGCATCCAGGTATTGGACAAGGCAATAGTTGATTTCCACTCGTTCAAGCTGGATGAGGTAAATACAACGCTTAAAGACCTGTGGAGAAGCACTTATGTTGGAGGAGACATTGACTGGATTGAGATCAAAACCGAAAGTGTAGGACAGAAGACATACAACTATAAGGTTGTGATGGTGAAGAATGGAGTTGAGCTTGACATGAGGGGAAGATCGAGTGCTGGACAGAGAATGATAGCCAGTATTCTTATTAGGCTTGCGCTGGCTGATTCGTTTGCTTTGAATTGCAACATTCTGGCACTTGATGAGCCAACAACCAATCTTGATAGAGGGAATATGGAGAGTCTTGCGCTTATGCTATCGAAGGTGATATCGACTCATAAGCACAATTCAAGCTTCCAACTGGTTGTTATTACGCATGATGAAGATTTTGTAGAGTTATTGAACAGAGACGGACCTGAGTATTTCTATAGATTGAAGAGGGATGAGGGAGGAAACTCGGCAATTATCAGACATTCAGTGTATGGTTTTAACCATTCATGACTTATATCAAGCATTCAGTGAATGATTTCAATTATTCATGATTTATTTAATGTTTTATATTATTTTCACTTGAGATATAAATATTTGAGACTCAGTGAGTATTTTATTTACTTTTAGAAACACTTATATAATCACTTATACAGCACTTAGGAACACTTATACAATTACTTATATAATCACTTCTAGCTTGGCTTTGACTGCTAATGTGGTTTTGGTTTGAATCCATCAACAGCCATGTTTCTTGTAGCCCTAGGAATGATGAATGTTGTCTGCTCAAGATCCTTTGATATCTGTACCTGGCACCCAAGCCTGGATGTACGTGTTGAGCCAAATGCCTGGTCAATAAGGTCATATTCTTTATCTGAAGGCTCCTTGAGCTTTTTATACACAGACTCTCCAAGAATCACATGACATGTTGAACACGCAAGGCTTCCTTCACAAGCACCTTCCAGCTCTATTCCATTCTTATGTGCCGTTTCCAGTACTGAATCACCAATAAATGCATTCACGGGAATGATATTTTTTGCTACTTCGTAGAACACACAAACCTTTTTGCCTGTGTCATCTGCATTCTTCATGCGGTGCCATGGGCCACAAAATCAAAACAACTTACTTACTGGATTTAATACTTTGTGGATGCTATTAGATTCAATGCCTCAATGTGTCTTGCACAGTCTTCTGCAAAGCCATGTAAAGGCTTTACTTCATGCAATATCAAGCTTTGGTTGATATGATCAAGTGTACCACACACCATCTTATCCAGGATCATCTTCCTCAGCTTCTTTTCAATCACATCTACATCAAAACACAACATCCTTGCTATGAAATCAATTCTAACCACAGAGTATGGCTCCACAATCTTCACAATGTTCTTCTCAAGCAGAGCATCGTACAGGTATTGCATGTGTGCATATATGAATGCATCTTGGCCGATCACATCTGAGTTTGTAACAAGAACATCGCTGTATGTCTTCAAGTCACGATCTTTGCATGCAATACTTATGTTCAGTAGTGTTTTGACTGTTCTGTCATCTAAATGATTCATTGTGCTTTTGTTCCTCAACACTACTGCAACTTCATCACACTTGTTTGCCATGATCTTTGATAGTATGAGGTATCTCAGTGCAACACATGCTTCCGCATCTAGCTTTCCTAATGTAAATCCTTCCAGTGCCTCAATAAAGTATGAAGAAGCCACTCCGTAGTTTCTTTCATCGCATATATACATTCCACTCAGTAAGTCTATTTGAGCCTGTAGGTGTGATGGGCAGTATGCTGAAACCGCAAGCACTCTTGCAGATGTCAAACATGCTCTTGACTTTGATATATTCTTGAGTTCATACAGTGCCTTACTTTCATACACATGTAGTGTGATCAAGTTTACTTTGTCATCGTATTTCTTCAGCTCACGCATCACTTCTCCGACCTGATCAATTGTGTCTACGTACTTTCCTGTCTTTAGCAAAGCATATATTCTCTTGCATTGTAAATCCAGTCTAAGCATCTTTTTACCTTCACTGTCAGCCCATGTAATCAATCTTTCAAGAAGGTTTAGGATTGCTTCAAAGCTTTCCTCGCAGTATGGAATCGTCTCAAAGAATGCCTTTATGATCTTTGTGACTCTTGCAGTTGTCAGGTCTTGCCACATGTCCTTCAATTCAACAATTGTATCTGCAACGCTAGTGTAGTCTCCTCTTGATACATATGCATTGAGGGTCGCAAAGACTGCGTTTTCCTTTTCTTCAAGAGCTGTGATTTTGCTTGCAAGCACCTTTCTGAGCTCTTCTGTCATCAGGGCTGTGTTTGTTTGTTTTTTGTGCGTACCCTGTTATGAAGACACTGGGTGAGAATTCTGATAATCTCTCTGCATATGCCATGCGCATGAATGCAATGGGAAACAGCAGATGTTGTGCATACACAAAGAGTCAGGCGCGACATCTTTATGAAGAGCATAGGAAATCAGTTGTTGCTCGTATCAATATCAAGGAGATTCAGCAGAGAGTGATTGGCAAGATCACAGGAAAGAATGATGTTGCTGATGTGATGCTGAGCAGCATAAGACACATGAGAAACTACGATGGGATCTTGAATATATGTGATGACAACATGTTGAATGATTCAGGTAATGATATCCTGAGCACGGTTAGTAGTTTATGTAATGATGAACAAGGACTTAGCTATCATGATGATGCGATTGAAGATGAATGCATGCTTGATGGGATGAATGAGAATGAAGAATGTAATGATGTGCAAAGAAAGAAGCGTGGGAAGAAAAGATTTGTAGATGATGAGGCAGATGTGTCTGGAGAGAATAGTGGAACAGATGAAGAGTGTGAGAGTAGTAGAGACGAGATTTCTGGACTGATTGTGTCTGATGATGAGGAATGCAGTGAATCACATGGTAATATTTATAATGAAGATGCATTGAGAATGGATGAAAGCATTCTTAAGGGATTGTATAACAGATTTTTCAAGAACACAACTGATAGAATGAAGATTGTATCCCATGATGTACAGAATGAATTAGAGACTTGTATATCGAAAGTTGAAGATCTGAATGTCGATGAGAGTGGTGAGTGTGAATATAATAGAGAGAGTGGAGATGAATATAATTATTTTGAGGAACTGAATGATGTTGATGATATTCTCGTGTTTCCAAATGAGCATGTTGAGTATTCTGAGGATGCATGTAGAAAGCAAACACATCATGAATATACTGAAATTGAGTTTACAGGAAATGCTGATATGATTGAGAAGAAATTAGGCAATAGAAAGGATGTATGGGAGTTTAGTGAGAAGCACGAATAGTGTATGGTATGTAAGTACCATTGTATTGTGTTTAGTTTTCATTCATGCATAGAGTATGTAAGTAGATGAGTAGTTAATGAATAAGTGTGAATATTTCATGTGTAATCAGATGAGTAGTTAGATGAATAATTCACGAGTAAATGGATGAATGGTTAAATAAGTAGTTAGATGAATAATTAGTAAGTAGTTCACGAGTAACTACATTAATGGTTAAATAGGTACTTCACACATAAAACTACACGAATGGTTAGATGAATAACCACATCAGTATTTACACCAATAATCCATAGGCAAATGCATCAACAAATAAAACGTAAATGGATGAATTACTTCATGATGTGTATAAAATACAAAATGTATTGATTTGATAATTTCTTTACTAATATTTTATATGAATAGATTCAAACACATTGTTGGCGATCTCATGGTGTATTGTGTAAATTCTATCCTGATTAAGTGATGCATTGAATGAAATCATGAATGCGTTACCTGATCTAGTTGTGTCACCCGTTCCTATGATATTCGATTGGAACTCATTTGTATTTGTGAGAATTATCTTTATATGTATATGCTCTTCATTGTTTGTGCCACGATACTCAATATTTTGGATTGACATTGTGCTTTTTCGTCGTATCCATATTACATTCAGGTCTATTGGAATACATGGACTTCCTGAGAATATCAAACCAATCAATTTGATTCTAAGCTCATCATAATCCTGACTTTGAGAATTTATATCTGGTTCATAAGGATAGATCACTGGCACAGTTGCACAATGCCCGTTGAGATGCACATGCACAGGAATTAAAGTGTTTTCTGATGTGTTTGCTTCTTTAACAATGACACCGTGTAGAATTGCTGATGTGTGTTCGTAAAATACAAGCTTAAGCTCAAATGCATCTGTGAAGTATATGTCTGTGCATTCTGCATTGTATACAACACTACTGTCAATGCATTTGTAAATTCTAGACTTTTGCAATTCAACTGTTTTTATGCTTAATGAAGGTTGATCTACAAAACGTAGCTTGTATGAATTCTCGCCGTATCTAAGTGAATCGCTCTTGTGTATTTTTGAAGCAACATCCTTCATGACTGATATCCAGTTTGGCTCGCTTATACACTTAAATGCTCTTGTCATCATTGATTGTTCAAGATCAAGATTTGCGCCTTGTTTTAAGAATCTTGATGCAGCAATAAGGTATAGAAATGCATATCGATGCTGTGATTCATTGAGTGCCTTTTGATGCAGTTTGTAATGTAAGAGAGTGGCATGATATCTTTCTGCCTTTCCAATAAACTTCATTACTTTTCTAGCTGTTCTAAGCGAAATGGAATCTAGGATGTCCAACATGAACATTATTCTAGACTCTGAATCGTTATAGGACAGTAGTGCTTGTATGATGCGATCCGTGCTATTATTTTTTATTTGCTGAGTAAATTCTTTCTGTATTTCTCTGATTATGCGTGCTTCATTTCTGAGTGCTTTTATTTCAGGTTGTTTAGTCTTTATGTGATAGTTGATTATGTTGCACTTCATGTAGAATGCATACTTCATATCACAAATGGATATGGATGTAATGTATTCGTTGAGCGTATCAGAGATGTATTTTACAAGCTGTTTTCTGTATGTGTCCCATGTAACCTGTGTATCTGAGGTCCATGGAATCGGAGATCGATTGAAGAACAAGACACCATCTTTACACACCGAGTATATGTCTATTGTATTGAAGATTGTGCTTCTGAATATGCTTTTTGTTACTGAAAATATTTCTATGGTTATAAACGGATGTATACGGTGCCACTTTCCTGACCTTCCTGGTGATAAGCACGTATCTGTTGTTAAATCAAGTTCTTCATGCTGGATATGACATATTCGAGGCAATGTGCTTGTGCCTGAGTGATGCACCTTGATTGACCTTTTCATGCAGTAAACAAACAAATCATAAATAAAATTACATATGCATGGATAGACAAACTATTTAATGCTCATTTACACAGGAATAATCTAGGTTTTGTAAGAAGTGCCGGTATTATCGGCAGAGATGCACGAAGCCCATGAATCCAGACAACAGCGAATGCGAGGTTGTTTGGAGAGACATGACAGTTGAACCAGCATACGGACAACCTGAGCAAAATGCCATAGTGAACAGAACTAATGGAAAGATCATGCCTTACACGATGGTTGCTCTTATTGGGCCAAGCGGAGCAGGAAAGACAACAATGCTGAATGCAATCACTGGAAAGTCAAGAGAAGGACTAAAGGTTTCTGGAGAGCTACTTTTGAATGGGAATTTTACAGATCCCAGGGTATGGGAACATGCTGTTGGATTTGTTGGTGAGCACCTTTATGAATATGAAACACAGACAGTTAAGGAGACATTGAGGTTTGCAACGATGATGATGCGTGGAGGTACATGTGATGAGATTGATACAGGAGTGTGTGAACTAGCACAGACCCTCGGTCTTATCAAAACACTAAACACACGCATTGGATTGATATCAACGGGAGAGAAAGCAAGACTGTCACTGGGAATAGCGCTTATCAAGAAACCGTCGATTCTTATCATAGACGAGATCATGAACGATCTTGATCAGTCTACAGCCATTCACATTCTTGAGATACTGCATGGAATAAAGCAACAAGGAAAAGGCATTATGATTGCATTCCAGAAGATTCCGTATGGTGCTCTTGATTTTTTTGATAGTATTATGATGATTTGCCAAGGAGAGATTGTGTTCAGTGGAGGTGTTTGTGAGTGCCTGAGGTTCTTTGCATCACAAAGATACCATCTTGAAGAGTCACAGAGTGTTTCTGAGTTTCTGACTAATGTTCTTACGGTTAACGTGTCTGGAGAGGTGTCTGAGCAGCGAAGGATTGATGCAATGAAGAGATGCTGGAAGCAAGTAGAACCTCCTGTTGTATCATCTATTATATCACAGATTGATTTTCCGGTTGTATTTGACAGGACGTTGCAAAAGTTCACGATGATATTCCGACGGAACATACTTGACTTTTTCAGAAAGACAGAGTTTTTGAAGATTGTATGTGTCCAGAAAATAACCACGCTTGTGATGCTTGTTTTTGTGTATTTCAGACTTGATTACACGCAGAAGGGCGTTCGAGATAGGTTTGGGATTCTGTCATTTATTGTTATCAACTGCTTTGAAAAGACTGTTACTGTGTCGATCATGGTGTTTGAGACTCATAGAAAGGTGATTAAGAGGGAGATATGCACAGGCATGTATGGAACCACAGTGTCATATTTTGCAATGCTTGTGTCTAGCTTTGTGACGTCTGGACTCTCAAACCTTGCGTATACGATTGTGGTTTACTGGATGGTTGGCCTGAATCCAAGGTTTGACAGGTTTGTGTTTTTTCTTGTGATTCTGATGGCTGCATTAGTGTTTTCGATATCATTTGCAATGCTTGTTGCACTGAACACCAAGACGCATGTACAAGCGCAGATCCTGGGTTCGACGATTATCACGTCGTTTGTAATCTTTGGCGGGACATTTGTGAATCAGGATACGATTCCTGGATTTATACGCTGGGCAATATGGCTATCTCCGATATATTATGCGTTTGAGGCAATGCTGCAGAACCAGTTCAAAGGGATGCTGTTTGAGTGTGACTTTTCTGAAAGGGATTGTATTTGTGATGGAGAAGAGGCGCTACAGTTCTATGGATTTAAGAGGATTGGTACAGGACTGTCTACAGGCATTGTATTATTGTCCACTACGCTGTGTGTTTTTCTTGGTGTTGTATCGATGAGGACTGTGATAAAGCCACGAATTGGAGAAAAAGATTTTGAGAACAGATCTGAGACAACAGGAAGGATTTAATTTAATGTCTTTTGTTTCTTTGAAAGCCTGATAGATCGTACAGACACTCTTGTTGGTTCGTTTTCTCGGTGTTCGGGGATGTCTTCCCAGTTTGGGCATACAGCCTTCGTTCTTTTTTTTCTTCTGATGCGGTATTTGTCGATATCTTGCTTGGTGAATCCGTAGTCGTACATTCCGCGTCTGATGATGAGGTTGTGGTTGAGAGTAGTTGTGTTATTTTCGGAACGTTTTTTTGCGCCAACTGCTTCGATCATTGAGAATGGCAGTGTGCCTCTTGAGATTGTGTATTCTCGTTCCTCTATAAATCTGTTTATGTTGAATTCTCTAGAGATGCCTGTATTTTGAATGAATTGAGGTGTATGTGAGTTATGAGCAGATTGAGGAATATACTCAATTATCTCATCATCAGATGTGTCTTCACCTGATTGATCGCTAATATCTATGCGACTGAGATGCAATGATGTGAGCAGGTCGTCAATGCTTAAGTTTGCACAACCAGTTTTATTGTCTTTTTTCATAGATTGAGGATGGGCTATGCTATTTTTGTCTTTGGGCCAGCAGGATCGGGAAAGAGTACGTTTTGCAGGAGCATGAAGGAGCATGGAGCTACGATAGGAAGGAACTACAAGGTGGTCAATCTTGATCCTGCACAGGTATCTACGGATGATGAGTATGAGATTGATATCAGGGAATTTGTTACTGTTGAGGAGATGATGGAGAGCTATGATTGTGGACCTAACGGAGGATTACTGGCGGTGCTTAAGGAGTTTTATGAGAGTATTGACGAGATGAGTTTTGGGGATCTTGAGGACTCATTTCTGGTATTTGACTGTCCTGGGCAGTTGGAGTTGTTTATGCATTCAGATGTGATGCTGAAGATAATTGAGCATGTGAAGCAATACTTTCGATGCGGAGTTGTTTATGTGATGGAATCGCAGTATTTTGTGGATATTCACAAGTATATCAGTGGGTGTTTCTGTGCACTTGTATCGATGGCTAGGCTGTCTGTGACATGCATGAATGTGATTTCGAAGATGGATCTTATTGCTGAGGATGAGTCTGAGATTTTCTACACGCCGACGAGTGAGATGTCACGAATGTTGGGAAATAGCAAGTACTCACAGATATCGAGAAAGATCCTGGAGTTTGTTGTTGAGAACAGTATGATTGACTTTATTCCGTTGGATTGGGGAAAGGAAGAGTCAGTGGAGCAGATGATGTATCAAATGGATAGTGCAGTGCAGTACTACGATGATGCAGAACCTAGAGCACGTGACATTGATGAATGAGAACATATGAAGTTTGGGTTTGTGAGATTGAATAAATGTGTTGATGAAAATATGTGTAAGTATGTTGTAAGGTATAGTTGAGTCATTTAGTGAATTCTATGGGTTGATGATGTGATTATAGGTATTTTGAATAAATCAAGCCAATTTATAGAAGAGATAGTATAAGTTAGTAGAATGAATTGCACAACTCAATATATAATATATTGATTTAAATCTGTGAGCTTATACAACTTATACACAATATAACACATTTAATCATTTACCTCACTATTATTGTATTACATAAACTCATTTTATTTCATATTATGATGTCTATTTTATTATACATGATATATTATGCATTGTATTTACATACTGCTCAGTCAATTTGTATCTCATGATGGCATGCAACATATGGAATATGATGCATGATATACTAAATTAAGAATAAATCGATGGATAGGGTAACAGATAAAATATAAGAGTAGATTCCCATGTGAAATGAACAATCAAAAGGAAAATTCACATGCAAGAAAGAATCTTATACAAAATTTTCTGAAAGAAATGAATTACGATACTATGAAATGTGTCTTTAATTGGAATCATGGTATTGAGCGAGAATTTAAACAATTTTGTGACAAAGAAATCGAATTTTTGCTTAATGTGTCAGAGAAGACTTTTAAAAAATATTTAAAAGAATGGTGGGATAAAAAACTAGAAAAAACGTATAACGAAAAGCGGGGAGATGATGGATGGAGGAAAAACTTATATAAAGATACATGGGACAAAGGATTTAGTAACTCGTGGAATGATATTAAAAATCGGATCGAAAATTATAAATCTTCGGGTATTAATATTATAAGTAAGGAAATCATAATCCAGTTTTTAACTAAAATGTCGTATGATATTATTGAACAAGAAACGCAAGGAAACCCAACCCAACAAAATTTAGAAGAAATACTTAAAAGTCAAGGGATAAGAACAATTAATGTTGTGGACTACAGTAATTTTAATACGAAAAACGGTAAAGTGAAATTGAATGATCCTCAAGATATTCTGTATCTTGGCGGGGATGAAAATGAATATAACCAATTAAAAAAACAAGATCAAGATACTAGGAAAGAATATGAAGAAAATTGCAAAAGTAGAACGCCTAGTAAAGAAGAGGAAAATGATTTCTATAATACAATACGAACCAAGACGATCATCTTAATGGGAGCGACTGGTTCCGGAAAAAGCTTGCTCATAAACGCAATGGCTAATTATTTACTTGGTGCTGAAGAGGACGGGACGGATAGAATACAAATTCTTAAGATTGATGGAGATGGTAATCAATCAAGTAGTCAAACAAGTAAAATAACCGCATATGTGCTTTTTTATTATGATCAATATAATAAACGAAAGGCAATTCAGATAATAGATACACCAGGTTTTGGAGATACAGGAGGACAAGATAGAAATAAACAGATCAGTAAACAAATACGTGACTTTATATTAAAAGATGAAATGGAAGAAATTGATGCTGTTTGTTTTGTAGATCCTAACTCGAATGTTAGGGCTACACCTACTGTAAAATACATCGCGAATTCTGTTTTATCTGTATTTGCCGATGATGTAAAAAATAACATTCATTTGTTAGTTACATTTGCAGATTCGGGATTTCCACCGGTAGTAAATGCACTTAAAGAAGTCCCCGATTTTCCTAAAAATCGCGATGGAAAGATCACGTATTATAAAATCAATAATAGTGGTTTGTATACTAATTATAATGACCAAGACAAATTATTGTCACAAAATTTTTGGATGATGAGACAAGAAACTTTCGATAATTTTTTCTCCATGTTAGCTAAAACGAATCCTGTAAGTCTAAAAAAAACTAAGGAAAATATAAGAATCCGGAAAAATAATGAAGAAGTAATAGAAAGTATAGAAGAACACATGAATTTTATGCTTAAACCATATGAAGAAGCTAAGACTGAAGTGAATAAGTTAATAAGTAATCAAACAAAGGACAGAATCTATAACAATTTTGATGATTTTTTCGAAATAAACATAATAGCAAATAGAGGGGAAGTTAATGATAGTACATTGGGTAATTTATATCCCGAGTGTGGTATTTTGAAAAATTTAAAAATCCTAAGAGACAATGTGAAGATAATATTTGAAAAGCTAGAAAACGTAAACGAGGAACCCTTAAATCAAACCCATCCAGATTCGAATGTATTTCAGCTACTTTCTGAAGTTAAAACGAAAATTAACGAGAAAAAACAAACAAAGGATTTAACAGAGAACCTGATTCTAATTCTAGATATGATTCAAGATGATTCGAATAAAAATAAACCCTCATGCGTACCAGTTGATTCAAGTGAATCATCAAAATATCCTAAACCCTCACGTGAGCAGAAAACAAAACCGGAACTATTAATGATAGCTGTAGCGGTGATATTGATGATTATTGAAGCAGTGTTTACAGGAATAATGATAAGAAATGTATTGAAGAATGGATATGGAATGAATGATATAGTGATGAACCTAGCCATGGCAATTATAACTGTAATGGTGATGCTGTGTGTTATTGGATATGTGATGAATAGAAACAGACCTTTCTGGCATGATGTAGCGATGGTAGGAGGAAGTGCAGGAATTGCATTTATGAGAATCTGTATGCTAGTGTTTTTGAGTAAGTATATGAATATAATGAACATAATTATAATGGCAATAGGTGTAGCAATGATAATAGCGAGTGGAGTAGCTATTGCGAATAAAAATAAGATTAAGAAGAATGTCGGTGGAAATGATAAAAGTGGAAATTATACAAATCGAATGACTAAGAATGTGATAGTGACACTGGGTTTATGTGTGATGGCTATAACAGTAGGATTTTAGGATGATATAAGGTAATGGTTGGATATATGAGATGAAATAAATTAATAATGAATAATTTGTGTTTAATGGATTGTGAAGTGATTAGTGATGGTGTTTATGAATAAGAATGACAAATGAGCTGTTGTACATGTATATATTGAGTTACAGAATGATTGAGTTCTAGATCGTGACTAATATGGATGTAAAATGAACCATCTCAAGTATATTGATGCAAGTATCGTATATTGGTTGCAAGTATTATAATGACTGTTGAGTGTACATGATGACAGAAATAATGTAGTTGCAGCATGCAATGCGTGTAGTGCAAGTTTTCTTGATGAGAATGGAATTATATGGATATGGCAAATTCTAGTGAATTGGGATTTAATACTAGGAATGAACGCCCGCTATAATGAGTAATAATGCAACAGTACCAAAAGATCCAATAACTGTGTGTTTAAATAAAATGCTTGATGCATATAAATCTAATAAAGATACTCCAAAGTGAAACTAAGAATTTTTTGACGGATTACTTACAAAAAAGTAAGTAAAGAATCGATGCAAGCTTTACTGGAGGGTAGTCTTAAAAACAAGACACTGAGATTTAATGATTTAAGAATCCTAGAAAAGTTAGTTGTAGATACCAATATGGATGGAGATATGTATAAGAAAGTGACGCAGAATAAGATAGATCCAGATGATTATAAGAAAGCAAAAGATATGGCATTGGAATCGTTCATAATTACGCAGTTTAATTCTGAATTGAAAGTAGTACAAGATGCAGCAAATATAAGATCGAGAATATACTCTACAATGAATATTATTGCTGATAATGGTTGTGATGCAGCCAGAATAGAAGCTGCATTGAAGAATTTTCCAAAACGTGATGATTCTCTAAGTTAATTGCGATAAAGGATGTTTTTGATTATATAAATCAACTTAATAACGCATATTAAAAAGGACTAGAGCTGTGTCGTATAGTATTGCTTGATTTTCTTAGTAAGAATATAAATGAAATAGATAAGATAATAGAATGCGCAGCAAAGTATTATCACAGGGAGAATCGGAATGAGTTTAGTGCGCATATTGATAAAGTGAAGAGTAGTAATTTGTATGAAAAGCTTTTGGAAAATCAGAGAGAGATTCGTGATATTATTAATAACGATGATATCACTGAAGTATATAATAAGATGTATATACTTGTTGGGAGGTGTGGGATTGAAGAAGATTCACGGATCAGAACTAGCATAATTGATAAGATAAAAGATGAAAACATTAAGCAAACAATACGAAATGTTTGGCTTCCAAAGTTTCAAGATACATTAAAAGAATTGAATGAATTAACATTCGCAACAGGTGATGCTTCCATTGATCTAAATGAAAAGATGTATTTTGAATTGTTACTTGAAATTTCTGATAGGGATGCTGCTTTTTTTAAACATGCAGGTAACTTATTATCGATAGTTAATTGTATGGCAGAGCCTAAAGGTAAAGATATAGCAGAATCAGTAGTGGAAAATATGGTTCGTAGTATGAAGAGATTATTAATTGCATATTCTGTTGAAGATAATAATGCAATGAAAACGTCAGCAGTGCGTATAGGTATTAACAAAAGAGATAAAGAAGCAACAATGAGGGAAGTAAAATGTGTAGCAAAAATTCTGTATTTGAGTGCTGATAAAAACGGAGTATCTAATGAAACTAAAGAATCTGTCAATGAAGATATTAAGAAGTTTATTTCGTGTTATGAAAAATTGATACAGAATAACATACAGGAATCAAAACTCTCAATAAATATAGCGAATGATAGAATGAAGAGTACAGAAGCAAATAATGAGATTGTTAATAGTAGTGTAGCAGGAATAATGATGAATGAGGATAGAAATATGTAACAGATAAAAAAGACACAATGATGAATGACCTGTATAGTTTAGTTGGAATGATGCTCTTGATGATTATTATAGTAGGTGCAATAGGATTGAGTAAATTGAATATTATTGAGATTTGACAGAGTGGAAGTGGAATAGTAAGGATTTTATGTACGACTATACCTGTAGTGATTGGAATATTTATTATATACAATGCGTATAATATGTATGAATTGACGAAAAAAGAGATTAAAGGTGATAAGAATGAGAGTGATAACAAGGATCATGAGAAGGGTGTAGTGAGTAGCATGAGAGATCAAATGATTGCAAAGATGGTATGTGTTGGATTATGTGTATTAGCAATGATAGTTGAGATGGCTATGATAATAATAAGTATAATGAATGGGAATGGGAATGATACGAGTACTGATGATATTAACAAGATGATTACTACAGCAGTAAGTATAGCAATAATACTGAATATGATGAGATATGTGATGAGTAAGAATCAAGCAGGTTGGTATCATGGAGTGATGATAGGAGGAAGTCTGATTATAGGATCTATGAGAGCTGTAATGCTTGCAAGTGCAATGATAAGAGAGTATATGAGTGTGATGAACATAGTGATGATGTGATAGGTCGGTCTGTTAATGACAATAGCAAGTGTAGTTGTATACATTAATAGAAAGAAGATTACGAATGGTCAAGTAGTAAATGATAAGAATAGAGAAGTAGTAAATGAGAAGAATAAGAAGGATGAGAATGTGATATTAGGTAAGTGGAAGAATGGTATGATTATGAATATTGTTGGAATATTTATTGCAGTTTTAGCAGTAGTAATTGGATGGATGATTCCTGACATGAATTTGTATGAGATTATCAATGGTGATATTGATGGAGTATTACAATAGTAAGGTAGTGAGATAATGATAAGGTAATATTAATGTATTATTGGAGTGTTAGTAAAGTGTTAGATATTACAATGTTTAAGATATTGATGATAGAATAAGATAATATTGAATAGTAAAGTAATAAGAATAAACGAATAGATTTGATATCTTTGTATTTGTGTGAAGTAAACGAGGTAGAATGTTAAGACTTAATAGATGTACTGTTCTAATGAATAATACTAAATATTTCAGTTTATGATACATCTGGTGATTTTCACATAGTTAGCGTTCCCTAAGATATTATCCATAATAAATTGATTTACAGAATAACACTTTATAGAAAACAACAAAACAATTAAAGAACCTGATTTATTGCACTGTCAACACATGTTTCTTTGCTGCCTCCTCAAAGCTTGTCCTCACTAGCTCTAGGTCATCCTCAGCAACTTCCTTCTTTGCATCAACATTCATCATCGGACTGAACTTATTCCTCAGCTTCTCAATAAATCCAATCTCACTCACATCCTTATTGTGTCCATTTGGATAAACACTCGACATTATCCTTGCAAATATGTTCGCCACATACTCCATCCTTGCTTCTCGGAACTCGTTGCTTTCCTTATCAGATCCCTTGAAATTAGGCACAGAAAACTCAAGCCCTGCTGTCAGAAAATTAAACATGTAATACATCCTCGAGTATGCATAAGTCTCATAAGGTGATGCACAAACTCGTCCATTATGCACAAAAAACTCATCAATCACCTTGTAAATCTGTTCATCACTCAGAATTTCTCCGGTCTCTTTACTTCTTGGCTCTTTCAACGCACTAAGTCCTGCTTTGATATCTGCTCTCAGTCCCTCTCCAACCTTAGCTCCATCAAACATGTACTTCACTCTCTTATCTGCATCTAATGATAGAATCCCAGACACCGCATTGATCAGTGCACATCCAACCTCATACCAAGGATCTGTCTTACTCTCAGGTAATGTGTTCATCATGTAGTCAATGCTCTTTCCCTTGTATCCAGAAAAAAACATCTCTCCTCCAACTGTCTTCTTACTCTTCATCATATCCTTCAGCTGCTCATTCGTCAAGCTCTCATCAACCTTCAGATTCTCACTCTCACATATAAACTTCTCTCTAAGCTTCAAAAAAGACCCATACTCATTGAAATTCAGACTCGACTGGTGATCAAACCCTCGTAGATAATGCTCAGGCCTATTGAATCGTATCAAATACGCATCTCCAACCTCCTTGCTCACTCCATCAATCGTTTCCACTCTTCCTTGTGCAAGTTCATAGAACTTCTGTCTCTCCTCAGTGCTTGGGTAGTCAAGCTCGTTAATCAACTTGTATCTCCCATGAGTCATTGGCTTGTCTGCATAGTTCACTCTCCATGCATACATATAGCTTCCGTAGTACTCTGGATCCAAAAACGCCACTCCAAACAAAAACAGAAGTACGTAGTATATCCCAACTCCAACTGCAATCCCAATAAACGCCATTCGAAGCATTCCATACATCGTTGTTGGTTTTCTTGCTCCTTCACCACTCATTATACCCCTCGGCTAAAACAAAATTTATATACACATGCATTTGAACTGTTTACCCATAAAGCACATGCATCATCATAATACAAAGCATAACTAATGAGTACAACATATAATAAATCAAATAATCACATTATCTTCATTCATATACAATGTTATACAAATTATAAAAGAACTATATATGTAAATGGATTGCCATATTGGAAACATACAAATCTCAAATAAAATAGCCAGCATAAACATTTGAAAACACAATTTATTTACTACAAGCTAAATAACTGAAGAAAAAACATACAATTGGAACATAAAGCATAATTCATTGAAATCCTTCAAATTGATTTCTTTTACCTGTATATGCTGCTTTTATATGTTTGTAAGGTCTAAAAACAATTCCTTCATCCTCACTACTATTTTCTTCTTGACTATCATTTGGATCTGCAGAGCCATTGTAGTATCTTGGAATAAAAGGTGGAACCATTCGTCTGTTTTCTGCATCATCCCAATTAATTCCTTCAAAAAACAGGTGATCAGTTATTTCATGTATGCCACGCGATCCTAGCCTAGTTATTCTGTTTTTGCTCAATAGTCCAGTTATCAAGCTCCTTGCTGATGAACTCACATAATGCGGAAATTCAACCTGAGCCTCAAGAATCTTGTGATAAATTATTTCTGCACTTTCATCATAAAACGGAGGATCTCCACAGATCATTTCGTATAGTATTATTCCTAATCCCCAATAATCACTTGCACGCCCGTCATCCTCGCTACCCAGCTTTTCTGGTGACATGTACTCTGGCGTTCCTGAAATCATGTATATTGCTTCGTGCTCATATGCAGCAAATCCAAAGTCAACAAGCTTTATGTGTCCGTTCGACGCTATAAGTATGTTCTCAGGCTTCAGATCACGGTACAGAATCCCTTTGTTGTGAATGTATCTCAATGCACAAATAATCTCTGCCGCATAAAATCTCGCCATCTTCTCATTGAACCTTCCACATTTCTTCAGCCAATAGAACAACTCGCCTCCACTCACATATTCCATGATCAGTCTGACCTTTCCATTGTGAAAATCTGTAGCAAACAGCTTTGCAATAAATACACAACCGCAGAGCTGTCTTAGAATCGACACCTCGCTTTCCAATTGGTCAACTAAACGCTGCTTAAGAAGTTTTCTGAAACCAAGTATTTTAACAGCAAACATCATTTCTGGATCGTCATCGATTGTTGCTAAATGTACTTTTCCAAATGCACCGACTCCCAAAACTCGTCCTATTCTAAAATCTTTTATCCTCAGCATCTTGGGTTGGAATTGAAAGACTATTCTATGCCTCGTGAATTACAGTGTTACAATTCAATGCTTGAATGCATCACATAGACAGTACTAAGCATATACATCAGTTGCATAACGACAATGCTTGTTTAAAGATAATAATCAGATTGATGCTCTGCTTATGTGATTTGTTCAGCATCCTCTTTGCCTGTGTATCACTTGAACATGTGATTGGTTCTAAAGTTAGAGAATAAAACATATTGGTGCCTCCATGGGACCTGGCATGATTGATGAAGCAGAGGAATCAGAAACGGATGACGATCTCGAAGAGGCACTGCTTCTTCTATCATGCTATATAAGAAAAATAGAGGACGTGCGGGTTGATTCAAGAAGATTTGTGTTTGCAGATCCTAGAATATACCACGACTCCACGCTCAGATATCTCACAGAAAGACAGACGATGCTTATACAAGTCATAATTGATAGATACATGGACAAAACAGCAATTGCACACTTAAATCATGCAACTCAATCAGAAGTTCATCTTTACATGGGGTTTTGCTACGAAAAAGGTCTTTTTGGCGCGAATATGTGCCATGCAACTGCATTCAACCATTACATCTTATCTGCACAACTAAACAATCCAATGGGAACATTCAGAGTCGCACGGTGCTATGAAAAAGGCATAGGAAAGCAAAAAAATACAAAGAAAGCACTTTACTTCTACAGATGCGCTGCAAAACTCGGGCATGTGGATTCTATGCACATATACGGAGCAACTATACTATTCGGAAACAATATATGCAGCAGAAAGATGGAGGCAGGATACTTCTATTTGAGCCTTGCGGCAAAAAAAGCAAGCAGCTTCTATCCATATGCATTATATGACTTTGCAAGGTGCTATGAGGAAGGAAGTAAAATCGATATTCTGCCAAAAGATCCTGAATATGCATTCAAGAATTATATGAAGGGTGCATGCCTTGACTGCCCAAACTGTCAGTTCAGAGTAGGACTGTGCTTTGAAAACGGTGAGCTTGGACAGGAAAGAGATGTGCTGAGAGCCGTTGAATGGTACTTCAAAGCTGCAGATCTTGGGCAATCAGATGCACAGTTGAGAATCTCTGCCTTATTCCTCAATGGATATAAAGACGTGCTTGACAAGAACCATGAGCTTGCATTCAGGTTTGGGATTCGAGCAGCCATCCAAGAACATGTTGTTGCTGCATATCTTGTTTCTGATTATTATATCCAGGGTATAGGAATCAAGAAAAGCCGAGTGCTTTCATCATGGTGGAGCTTAATAGCAGAGGAGTTAAGAGCAAACCAAAATATAGGACTGCCTGAGAGGATCAAGGTCGTTGTTATAGATAATGAGATAGATCATGCAGATTTTGAAGATGGGATGATCGGCGGATTGATAAGAGCGCAATAAAGCATAAGGTAAGGTATAAGGTAAGCAATTGCTGTATGGAAATGAGCATGAATTAAACGATGTTGTCATATATGAATGTTTTATTGAATATACTAACAAATGAATTAACACAATGCTATTAATGCACAGATGATCGTACTTACTACTAACACAGATGATCTGTAGAAGGAGAAAAAACACAAAACCATCAATAAAACATTATCTACATAGACATAAATGTTTATTCATACTTCTTCCATTGCACGCTCCTCTATCTTGATTTTTTCGCCACGGTCATCATACTCATCAGACTGAGACCTTCTGAACAGAATGGCAAGATAGTACAGAAACAGCCCTTCGAATCCAACAATCTTCAATGCATAGATCAATGCAAGAATAACAATGTACCAGTCACTAAGGTTCAGGAAAATTACAATGATCGATGCGATCAGGACCTTCGTCATAGACATTATTACAACGTATTTGTACAGTTCAAACATTTTTGTATAGAATGCAGCAAGACTAAGTCCTATAGATAGCATTGCAATGATAATAAAAATCGTGCCCATGATGTGAGTAAACGTACTTTTTCCATCTGCATGTGCCATCAAGTACACAGGAATAATCTCGAGTATTGTGAAAAACATCGAATACTCCGTCATTTCATAAAGCGATAGGTACTTCACTTCAAGAGGAATGTAATTACCAATGCTAGAGTTGCCTATTACATCTACTGCATAGTTTGTTTTTTCTTCAACTGCATCTACCGCTTTAAGAACACTATCTTGACTTGATTCCATTTACTAAGACTCTTGTTTTCTTTTATTTTATGCTTGAATCAATCAATCATTGATGAATACTCTCCTTTTCTCCTTTTCTTCTGAATCATTCAACCTCTGAAATATCATTGATAAGAGCTTTGATAGGCACATGCAGGAGTAATAAAAATATCATAGCTCGCATGATCATTGTGTAAATACTTGATGCAATAAGGGTTGTACACATTTGATGGAAGTTCAAAACGAAATTGATTTGATTCAGCTGTGCGAACGAAATCCAGAGCTTGCAAACAGCATCGCTGTTGATGTATCTGCACATCCTGATGTATACAGGAAGACTCTCAAGAACATTCCATGTGCATTATTTTCAAGTAGAGCATTGAATAGTAAAAACATCAATAAAATAGTTACTGTAGAAGGGACAGTAATCAAGGTTTATGAGGTTCTTATAAGAAATGTTTCTAATGAAATGGTTTGTCTGAAATGTAATTCAAAAACATATGCAAAGCTGTCTGGGAATAAAAAGCAAAAAACATCCTGTGATTCATGCGGATCCTCTGTTGTCAAAGACAAAAGAAGCTTTGGAGAGCCTATACCCAGTCAGAGAATAAGACTACAAGACATTGGAAACTCTGAGTCGATGTCTGAGACACTGGAGATCGTTCTTGAAAAGGAGCTCGCAGGTAAGTTTTATCCTGGAGACAAATTGTTAATAACTGGCGTGATACTTACAAAATGGAAAATATTTAGAGCAGGAGAGCAAATGCTTGGATCGATGTATATGCATGCATTAGACGTGTACAAGCATAAAGAAGAGTCTATGAATGATTTGTTCAGTAGAAACTGCATTCTAAAACTGGAGGAGCTCGATCGTTTTGAAAGACGACTTTTTTTAATAAGGTCATTTGCTGAGGAGATTGAGGGATTTGAGAATGTTAAACTAGGACTGCTTTTAGCATTGATCAGTGGCAGTGGAAAGCCTGATGGCAAATCTACACGCAGTAATACACATGTTCTTCTGGTTGGAGATGCAGGGATGGGCAAGTCTCACATGCTAAAGACATGCATTCGCCTTGTGTCGCCTGCTGTCCTTATTAATGGTACAGGAACAACTCAAGCAGGTCTTACTACGTGTGCAGTCAAACAAGGGAAGGAATGGACATTAGAAGCAGGTGCTCTGGTGCTTGCAGACACAGGCATATGCTGTATCGATGAATTCAACAAACTCAGGCTGAACGAGAAGAATGGATTACTTGAAGCAATGGAGCAGCAAACACTCAGTATAGCAAAAGCAGGAATGGTGTCATCCTTGAACACAAGGTGTTCTGTTATTGCATCGGCAGGCACGAAGTATCGCTACGATTTGAACAAAAGTGTTTCTGAAAACACGACAATCACAACACCGTTAATCAGTAGATTTGATCTGATTTTTGGAATGTTTGATGGCAAAAATGAAGAATTCGACACACTTGTTGCAGAAAAGATCTTGAGCAGAAAGTCAGGTATTGATAGTGTAGATAAAGGCGAAATGACTTATTGGATTGGAACAATGCTTCGGAATTACATATCAATGGTCAGAAAACAAAATAATGTGATTTCTGAGGATCTGAATGAAATCCTGCTTGGTTATTATCACTACAAAAGAAGAACCGATGGAATTAACGAATTCAACACAATTAGAATGTTGGAGAGTCTTGTTAGGCTTACTGAGGCACACTCAAAGCTTATGAACTCTGAGTGCACATCTGAGGACGATGCATATGCGGTAATTCTTCTGCTGGAGGCCTCATTAGGCTCAAAGCCTCTTGCAAACATCAATATAAAGAAAATGTTTTTAGACGAGACTTGCTACAATAATGCGATTTATGCAGTCAAAGAAGTGATAAAAATCAATGGTAAAACAAGACATTCAAAGTAAATCACCGTTTAATTATAACTACATCCATTTGCATTAAGCCTTTGGCTTTCTCTCTTGCACATCCAAGACACTCTGAAGCATGGCACATTTATCATCAGAGAAGAACTCCATGCATCTCTTGAGTATTCTTACACACAACTCATCGTTGCAAACATCCATAATACGTGACTCAAAGAATTCAAATATCAGGTCTGCATCAAACCGTATTATCTTTTGAATCGCATAGTTTCCTATCTCATGCGTTATCAAAAACCTTCCATATCTTTTAAAGCATCTTGAAATTAAACACTGTGTTTCCGGCAACTTGGCCATCGATATAAGCATCTGCACAACGTAAGCACCATGCTTATTTGCTGCTATTGGTGCAATATCATCACCTAGATTCTCAACTATTCTGAAAAGGTTCTCCTCTGAAAGATGTTCAATAACTTCCTGAAGAATTTTGTTTGACTTACATCCAACTGCTAGTTCCTTGGTGTTCCTAAATAAAAATTCAGTGTTACCTGCCTCAATCGCTTGTACCATGCTTTTTAAGTCTGCCCTTGAAAATAAATTCCTAATACTAAGAAAATATTCACATCTCTTTTCAAAAATAATCTCATTTAAAATCTTGCTATGGTCCACTATACTCTCTATTGTTGAATACATGCCTGTATACATTTTGGACGGATTAATATCTTGTAGCTCAGTATAGATTGTACCTGGAAAAAGCAGGTTCTTCATCTCATTGCTACTAAAATGCTTTGGACTGCATTGCTCTACTGGCACATAATTATCAAGTATACAATCATCATTAATGCACATTCCATCAGCAGTGCTTAGACTCAAGCTCGTCCACTCAGAAAAAGGCATGGAAAGGATTTGTTCAAATCCAGACAAATCTGAAAATGATAGCTCTGCATACATATTGAATTGCTCGTAGAATGATATGGAGTCATTTACAGTAAAAAAATATACAAATATTGCATCATTTGCAAACACTGTGCTCTTCACCCGTATGTCGTTCTTCAATGATGCCTCAATAAATTTTGTTCCGAATATCATCCTGTTGCGATTATACTGTGAACAATCTACATCTTCATACTCATTTGCAGAGCTTGCTTCTTCATTCAGCTCAAAAAAATCAATAGACATGCTATTCTTGTGATGCTTGGCATTCAGGTTCTGCATATCTAAAGGCACTTCATCGCTCACTGCACATTCATCAATGCAGGTTTCATATTCGGTTTTTCTTCGAAAACGATTCTCCTTATCTGCATAGCTAAGTTTATCACCGTCATTATCATTTGCAATGCAAATCTTTATCACTCTCGAAGGTCTTTCAATCACTAGATTCATCATCAACTGTTACGGAACAACTTATATACACTAGTCATCAGTTAATATACAAAGATTGGTCCACTGCCTTAAAATCAATAGAATACAACCTGCATCCAATCAATTCTATTCAAGGAACTGATAATTATTGAATTGATGTATCCTGTTCTTTTAGATCATCCAATCACTAAAATATCAAATCACAGGTTCTCACAGAATCAATAATTCTGACAAACATACCAAATACATTCATTCATTTATATCCATATCTCTCACACACCATCCGCTTCAACACATCTTGCTGAACAGGACATCTTTGTGCCAACACTTCAGGAACAGATATAATTTCCATCTCCTCAAACATCTCTAGAACCTCATCCACTACTTTATTCCACTCCACTGCATTCACATTGCAATTAATTAGCTTCTGGTATCCTGGATTTGGAGCAGTCCTCAGGAAAACATTTGGCAGCTGAAAGTTGGCCTCATTAGGCACTACACACACCTCATTATCATCAATCGTCTCAGTGTTAAAACTGTTTTCCAATGGAATAATCATTTTCAATGCATTCCAAATGTCCTCCTGGCAAATAGATAGCGTCTTTATCACCTTGTTATACTTTGATTTCATATTCATCATGGGCCATAAACTTCAAAAAAATTGGTTCCCTCATGATAGATGATGCATTGCTATATTCGTCAGTTTCAGATGAAAAAGCACAGAGCGTGCTCAAGCTGGTACAGAGCATGGCAAGCTCCAAGAACATCAAGAGGGGAATAAACGAATCAATCAAGTGCTTGAACAAGGGAACATCACTGCTGGTTGTAATCGCATGTGATACTGAGCCTCCAGAGCTCTCTGCATTTCTTCCAATAATATGTAACGACAAAGATGTTCCATTCATTCATGTCCCTTCAAAAAATGCATTGGGAGTGGCATGCGGCATACACAGGCCAATATCAGCATGTGCAGTATATTGTCCTAAAGGTGCGCAATCTCTACGCTTAGAAGAAAAAATAAGAGAGGTTCTTAAGTGATAAGCATGTGTAAAACAGCTCACCGCCTATTCTGAAAACAAATAAACATTTCTTTATTAGCTAGATTCTATCTTCAAAACCAGACCTGTGATTATGCTCCGCTGTTTATCTCCAATATTAAGTCTGTCAAGAGCCATATCAAGTCCTGATTTTCCATTCTTGAAAAAGTCCTTCTTTGCGCTGTAATATGCATTTATGGATATGCCTTCGTGCCCAAGAACGTCCTCCTCTTCAGGAGATAATATTAGAACGTGTCTGTCCTCTACTACAGTTGCCACCCAAGACTCTTTCATCTCCTGCGCCATTTCTTCAATCCTTATCGACTCCTCGGCCACAAACTTTATCCTCATGCACCCTTGATGCTGCTACAATTAAAAACAATTCAGTAATGCATCTCTGCTCTTCGGATATTAAGCTGCATGGCACTCTACTCCTTAACAAAGGTGGTTTACTGGTTCATAACAAAGACCTGCATTGCGATTGGTTATTACGACGATAAAATTTTCAATCCCTGAACAGTGATGGACGAAGAAACCTTTGATGGCGATATGTCCGTCCAGGATATTAAAAAGCCTCCCCTGTCAGGTGCTGACAACGCAATAGTATCGAACATTGTGTTCCAGGGCTTGATAACAGGAGCAATACTGCTTGTGTATCTTGTGTTTAGGAAGAGGACAAAGTGGCTATATACACCAAACATCAAGGACAGACCACACCATCCTTGCTATGGATACACTGGCTTTCTGAGTTGGATCATACCTGTGCTCACTGTGAGCGACACTGCATTGCTCACAATAATAGGTCTGGATGCATTTATGATGTTACAGACAATCATGCTGTTGTTCAGGATTCTTTTAATCCTGTCGATATTCATCATCCCATCACTAGGATATTTGTTCTGGAAAAGCGAGTGGAAAGGTGCTGAGCATGCAAACCAGTTCTTTGTGCGGCTTTCACTAGAAAACATCGATCCTATGTCAAAAGTATATGGCTGTATTGTTCCAGCAGTGTATTTGATTTCAGTGTTCATAATGTATTCAATATTTATATACTACAAGAGATACATTGTTCTGAGACAGGCTTACCTAAGAAACCCTGCAATTATGACATCGATAATAACTCTAAAGAAGCTTTCATATACACTCGGATCTGCTGAAAGATCCACAGAATATATGAATCTTCCAAACAGAACTCTTATTCTCTCGAGACTGCCGTTCTACATAAACAATGACACCGATCTCTTTGAATTCGTGGACTCCCTCGGCGTTGGTGAAGTCGACGATTGTGTGCTTGTGTATGACACCACAACTCTCCAGAAGTTTTACAATGAGAAGGATCAATACATACATAACATTGAGAAGGAAATAAATGAGAAGTTGTTCAGAATAAATGAATGGTCTGAAAAAAACGAGGAAATATGCATGAAATCCATAACTGGATTCAACAAGAATATTATCAATACAGTAAGAAATGCAGATATTATGGGAGTTTTTGAAGATGCACAGAAGCGGCAGCTGGTTGCGATGTTTCTGAACGGTGCGCAGCAGTTCTGCGATCTTCTTGAGGAAGGTAAGATTCCAAAAGTCGATTTCTATCTTGATATGCTCAATGATGTAAATAATAGAATTAACCTGGAAAAAGAAGTAATAAAGAGCGAAGAAGCAAAAGATAGAGAGGTTCGGATGATAGAGCTTGTGACTAAGAATCACTCTCTGTTCTTAAGGAGTGACATATCTAAGGATGCAGGATTCTTTTCTTTCCATCATGTGTTCAACTTTAAGAAGTTCAAGATGTACTTCACACTGGATCTTCCATCAAGGACTAAGCGAGGGTTTGTGACATTCAAGGATCAGAGAAGCGCCAACATTGTAAAGCAGTCCCAAATAGGGTCGAGAATATTCTCAGTTGCTGCTGAGGATGCTCCAGCGCCAAACAATGTGATGTGGGAAAACATCACAAGCAGTGAGGTTGAGAATTACATATATGGAATTTTCGGTACTGTTTTCTTCATTATGTTCATAGCACTGTTTTCATCGATGGTTGCATACATGGTCACGCTCTTGGTAAGCTCTGAGATGCTGCGAGAGAGCAAATTCGTCTCGATTTTTCTAGATGTCAGCAAGCATGAAACAATTACTGAGTCACTCAGAGGCATTTTATTTCCGTTGATATACAGTTCTATGCTGCTTTTTGTACCCACTGTGATAACTGCGCTTGTGAGCCTTGAAGGAATATATTCTTACTCTTCATTTCAACAGAAGCTGATGGGAAAGCTTTGTAACTTCCTATTCTTCAATGGTTTTGTGTCGGTGTTTTTTGCATCGAGCTTCTATCGCTTGTTTACTGACGTGTTGTTCAGAGATCAAAAGTTTACAAAAGTGATTGAGACATTCAGTGAAGAGTCCCTTGAGTCCTCTGTGTTTTTTGCAAACACAATAATCCAAAGGGCATTTTTTGGGACTGCTATGATACTGCTGAAACCTGGACCGCTGTTGATTAACTATCTATTGATTCCGTTTGTTGGGAGAAAGACCAGGAGAGAGAAGTGTGATGCAGAGTACTCTCCACCATTTGATTTTGGAGTGATGTTTCCGCCTTTACTCACTGTATTTTCGATGTCGATAGTTTATGCAACTATGTGTCCGCTTATTCTTTTTCTTGGTGCATTTTTCTATGCATGCAGTTACTTTGCATTTAAGACTGAATTTCTATATTGCTCTAGGAACGAGTATGAATCAGGAGGGGAGTACTGGGATGTTGCATGTCAGAACATAACATTTTCTCTGATTTTCTTCCAGATGGCCACATTTGCAAAGATGTGCTCTGATGGAAGGATGTATTTGGCAACGATGTTGTTTCCGATCATTCTAATGACTTTTATTTTCCGTAACAGCCTGAGGAAGATGTTCTACAAGTCATGCCACTACTATCCTTTGAATACCAAGGAAGAGGAGTACCTCGACTCGTTTACTGAGAAGATGCTTGCGTACAGGATTGAGCTTTTGGAGAGCTGGTCGGAGATGGGTGGTGGGCCTGATGCAGATGTGCTTCCGCTAATTGAGCTGGGTGTCAAGGATACTAAAGAGATAGAGAAGGTGTCATATTACAATGATCCAAACACTGAAGTAACGAAGTCTTTTCTGATTCTTCCTGAGGACTTTTTCAAGATTGTGTGGTTTTTAGCGAAGAATGACAAAGATAACATATTTGGATTGAGAATAGAATAAAGTATTGATTGTATTTGATGTAGAAGTTATTGAGCAACCCATTGAGATGGAGAAGGATTCTGAGGTTGACTTTGAGGACTTCTTCCGCAGTAGTATGGAGACAAACACAGAGGTTGATGCATCTTGGAACAGCTCGAGTTCCGAGGCTTTTGTGTTAGACTCTGATAGATATGATTATGCAACAAATGAATTTCTTGAGGATTTGGAAAGCAATCAAACAGATTGCGGAATTGGATCTGATTTTGAAGGCAGCGCTGATGTTTCTATGATGAATGTAAGTGAATCGGATGCTGAGGATGGGTTTTTAGAGGGTGATGAAAGTCAAGATGGCAATGAAAGTAATGAAAGGAATGCATGTGATGATAAAGAAGCAGTTATATGTGCTGATGAGTCTTTACACTTTAGTAGGATAGATCTGGATCGCAAGTGTGATGAGATGATGTTTTCTGGGTTTACGACTGGGTCCATGAAGAGAATTAATGTTAGAAAAGGAAGTGTGAATGCAGTACTTCAGGTTTTTAGCGAAGATGGTTGCAACGCTAATGAAGTAACGATGAATAAAATTGATTGTGGCATTCATGAGCAAGAAGAGGAGCAATGCGATGAATACAAAATGAAGGATGTCTATGAGGAGATCAAAACAAGGTTTATTAAGGAGGATGAGAATCGAGTTTTTATGCAGTTCAAGTGGTCTTGGATATATTTTTTCATGCAAGATAAGACAAAAGATTTTGCAGCATTAACTGATGCGATAGAAGAGCAGATGAGGATTCGACTTGACAATGAATATTCTGTTCTGAGGAGAATGGTTGAAGGAGATGAGCCATCATGGAGATACATGATTGTCATTGTGATAAGGATTGATGAGGAATGTATTGAAGTATTTGATGGATCATATAGCGTATATGTGCGGTGTGATGAAGTATTGAAGCAAAGGATATGCAGTGGGGAGATCTATGCCGGATCAAGGCTGCGGGTTTTTGGAACTGAGTTAGTATGTGAGCCGAAGTCAATTTTTGAGATTTCTGGTGCATCACTGATGTTTCATTCGAATGGAGTCCAAGTGACTTTTTTGAAGCGTAAGCTTGGATTTAAGAAGAAGAAGTGCTTCCGAGTCAGGATATGCGATGTTAATGCTAGTGGAGGAACTATTAGCTGTATTCAAGGATGTGTTACTAATGTGATTGAAACGAAGTATCGGGTGAAGGTAGAGAATTACAGTAACATTACGGATGATATTGAACCCGAGCTTGATAAGATACAGGAGTTGGCAATGAAAGCAGAGAGAGTGTTTTGCTCGAATGACTTGAAGATCAATGCATACACTAAGTTTGTTGTTAAGGATGAGAGTGGAGAGTGCATAGTGACATGGTGGAATCCTACGTTTGGTGTTGAAGAGGGCCAGGTTCTTAGAATGGTGTGTTTGACTCCGTCGATGAAGAGAATGACTAAGGAGAAACATTTTGTTAGCACAAGAAGAACTTACATGCGAGTAGTAAAAAGCAAAAGTGGGAAAAAACCTAGACTGGAAATTAAATAGTATAGCCATACAGGGATTGGTGTGATGAAGGAGAGTGACACACAAAAAGCAGCATGGAGTACTAATGAAGAAGATGTGCTGATAGATGAAGTTTTGAGAGTGAGTGCAGGAAAATGCGACTTTATGGATACGGATAGCTCTATTTCGATTCTGGATATTCCTAGTGTAATTGGGACTTGCATGAATGACGACAAGAAGCAGAGTGATATGACTATGAATGGAAATGCATCTGGAGACTTCACTTGGCCAGAACATTACTTTGTGTTTTGTGGGCTTCTTATAGGATTTGTGGATAGAACTGAAGAAGTGAAACTAAGGTACAGTATAACACATGAGAGAGTTATGAAAGTGATTAGATGTGATGATGAAACTGAGGAATGTGTTGTCGGTGTTGTTGAATTTGAAAGCGACTCTTTTGAAAGTTCAATATACAAGATGTCGATTGTGATCAATAGAAATAAATGCAGAGTAAAGTGCAAAGCAAAAGAAGACAGAGAATACAGAGAAGCTTTGAAGAATGGTACAAGGTATGTGAGACAAAGCTCTGTTTACAGTGAGCAGATGAGGAAGCTGTATCATTCACAGATTACAAATGGACAGAACTACATATTTGTAGATGGATCTTACGACATGACTGATTCATTGAGAGGCATCATGAGTCATCTGAGCAGCAAAAAGACGTATGTCCCAAAAACTAAGAGTTTTGGAATGGCACAGAAGACAATGCATCTACAGAATCTACTTCAGCACATACCTGGAATAGGTAAGAATGCATCAAGGTGTATATCAAAACAATACAAGAGTATAACTGGATTGCTGTCGTTCATAAAGAGAGATCATGGCAATAAATTGAAGGAGCTTCAGGTATGGGATGAGGAAAATAAGAACTTCAGGTTGCTGGGTGAGAAGCAATCCATCAATATCCGAAATGCATTTCTTGCGAATATACAAGCCATAGACAAGCACAGTAATTTGATGCAAGTAGAGATCGATGGCCAAGAGATGGATAATAAATAGTATAATAATTAAGCAAACTCATAATCAATAATTTATATAATACGGTGTTCTATATTTTAACTACTCGTGTGCAAATGCATGAATAGCAGCATCGTGCTATGCATTATGATTTAGCTCCTCTTTACTTCTTTTTTCAAGTAAGCTTAAGTATTTGGACATTTTTTGCTTTAGATCGTTATTCAAGGAAGTCTTATCATATAGGTCCATTATGAAACTGATTTCGCTTTCACTTTCTTCTGGAGAGTATTCAGAAAACCGGTTACTTGTGTGAGTTTTCGTAAGCATACAGTTGGTTTTGGTTGAAGATAATGCATTGTTACAGACAGTACCTATTTCTGACTCAATAGAGATGTTTTTTGATTTGCTTTCGTTTTGATATATCCTGGTCTTGTATTTTTCGAGTATTTGTGCCTTCTTGGCTGAAGCACTTGTTTCATTAGCTACGCCATTCTTGCCATGAAATGAATGCTCTTTTTTATGTCTCTGTGATTTTGAAGCATTCTTATTAACTATATGGCATCTGTGATTGTTAATATTGTTATCCGTTTCGTATTTATTACCTTTGTATTTGCTTTCGCTGAATGTGCAGTTCAACTCGGTTTGTTCAGATGCGCATTCAAACCCATCAATATCTTCTGCATCATACAAATCTTCTTCAGGATGCATATAAGTACTACAATGCTCATCATGTAAATCGTATGTGCTGTCATTAGCACTCTCGGTGTCGTTTTCATTAACCATGTGTTTCTCAACACGATTAGATCTCTTTACATCACAGTTACCGTGCCTCTTGCGTATCTTAGACATATCCATTTCATCCATACTGTGGTTTACACAGCTATCTTCATCATGTAAGGTTTCATATGTATTCAGGTACGAGCTTCTAATTATCTTCTGCTTATTGTGTCTGCCACACAACCACGGAAACATCCCCATTCTTCTCCCAATACAAAAAACCATTTTCATCACATGCACTCGCTTGTTTATGTGCTATAATACACCAATCATCTGCGTGTACGCACCTAATCGCAAACGAGCTGACGAACAAATCACATACATAAACCAAAACAACAAACAAATACTTGCATTAATTTAATCATCACGACCCAAGTGTATAAAAGACTATGTAAGGATTCGATCCACTATATGTCTTATACGCTTTGATCACTCTCTCGTCATCATACAAATTCCATGTGCCTGCCCTTTTAGCCTCTGCAACATAATGTCCCTCGTTCATTGTTCCACTCTGGCAAACAACACCAAAAAGACTGTATCTTCTTCCATTGAAGACCAGAGTATCATTAATATCAATATTTGCTGTGATCTTAGAGCCTTGTGCACTAAACCTCAATATATGAACCACAAGAACTTCTGGATGCACAATAACCTCCATCTTCTTACGAGACTTCTTCTTCATACCGCATCCATCGCATTGCCATGCATTTCCGCCTTGTAAAACCTCGTCCTTATAATACTCGTCTATGCCCTGCTGAATGTTCTTACATGGCACAACACCCACAGTGCTCTTCAAATCAGTTCGAGTAGATGAAAATCCACATAATTCACAAAGAACCATGTGTCTGTCTATTGAAAACAGCATATTTGCAATAACATTACTTTTTCTTGTCTCTTCAAACTCCTCTCTCGACTCAAATCTGCTTTTGTTATCATCGAACTCCTTGTACAACAAATCGATAAATTTGATAAAAAACTCATGCGAGTCTTGCTGTCTACCATTAAACAACTTGATCGTCTTACCAACCTTACTGATAAAAGCACCAGGATTGCATGTTCCAGACTTTTCATACTCCATAATAAATTGCTTAAATGCATTTGAAACTTCCTTTTCCTTTGGAAATTCGGTGTTCTTGTAGAATGTGTTAATCTCTCCTATCGACAGGATGCATTGCATAGCTGCATTAAAAAAACATGTGTTACCCCTGTTTCTCAGGCCGTTTGGCAACAGGTTGTCCTTTTTCTTTTGAACCACCATACGAAGGGCAATGTTTGGAAGCTGAATTTGATAGGCATTGTGCTCATGAAACAGATGCTTATAGACATGCTGTAGTTCTTGTTTCAGCACACGGATGTAAACAGTAGTACCTGATTGTTATATATGTAAATAAACATCAACCAGTGATCTCAAAACTGCAAAAATGCAATGTGCCGATGTGTTTTAGGATATAGGCAACGAATGGTGGATTGTAAAACAATGTGTAAGAGAAAAAGTATATAAAACACACTTTGCATCTTCCAAAGCAATGAAGAGCATTATATTCAAGATTGCCATGTACTATCTTTTAAAGGCTGCTTGCACCGATACTACGACTGGTCAAAACACAAACCCAAGCACAACTACAGATAATGAAGGCACTGAAGAAGTACCAAAGCCTGAGGAAGAAGTGAATTCCGAGACTAATAGCACAGAAGACCATCAGGTCAGTACACTTGAGAATACTAATGGGTTCAAGGCCTCAGAGACGAAGACTGAGATCAAGAAGATGAATCCCAACTTGTCGCCAGCACTATCAACAACTGTCTTTGTTGACCGTAATAGGATTGACCAAGCACCTGCTCCTATCATCAGTTTATTTAACCAACAAGTAAACATGACACCAGATTCAAACACAAACTACTTTGTTGTAAACGGAGAGAATCTAGTCGAGGATTATGGTCCAAATAGTGACAGTGTTAACCAACCAACCACAGAAGGTGAAGAGAACAGCACCACACCGTCTGAAAATGAAAGCACAGATAACAGCCAGTCTACAGGTCAAGAGAGTGGCAGCACTACGCCAAATACTGATCAAAAACAGAATGGTGAGACTCCAAGTACAGAAGCACCTGGAGCAGCACTCCGCTCTCGTGGTTTTTTAATTAAGAAGGCAGGCAAGGCTCGTTAATATTTTAGTAATAATCAACATTACACATGCCATTAAATCCTAGTTTTAACGATTGATCTTGCTATATGTAACGACTGTATCAGATTGTGATGCAGTTTCGAAGGTTTTTGGTGATAATTCAGATGGCCATAAAATGGATGATGCGAGATGCAGGAGATTGATTGTGTCAATTGAGCTTGTGCGGTTTATGTGCCATGATCATCTGTTGATTAAGTTTGAGAAGCCTTTGACTGTGATTTCTGGACGCAATGGTGCAGGAAAGAGTGCAGTAATGGCGGCAGTTGGAATAGTGCTTGGACAACGAGCACAGCATCTTGAGCGTGGAAACAGCATCAAAGAGCTGATAAAGAATAACGAAACGAATGCAATAGTGAGAATTGTGCTTGATAATACTAAAGGATTCAAAAAGGATTTTTTTGGACAGAGGATTAGGATTGAGAAGCGTATTGGGATTCGATCTACGTCTATGAGTATTATGAATGATGATCGTAAGGTCTGGTCTGTCAGGAGGGAAGATCTTGAGCTTTTGCTTGATTTTTTTTCATTAAGGTTTGAAAATCCATTGAGCTTCCTTACACAGGATCATGCAAAAAGGTTTTTGAATGTGATGCAGCCTGAATTATTGTATGAGCTTTTTATGAGAGGAACGGAGATTGATGAGGTCTGTAGATTGAATGAAGAGTCTACTACAAAGACTGACTCGATACGAAAAACTCTTGAAGATGCGAAGCGTGAGCTTGAAGAGATATCAAACAAGATCGATGAAGAGGAAAGATATTTGAGCATTGTCAAGAATTCAAGGGAAATAGAGAATTTAATTAAGACAATGGAGGATGAAATTGAATGGGCGCGAATAGCTCAAAAAAAGAAAGTCACTGAGGAGCTCTATCAAAAGGTTGTTGAGAAGCAACATGAGCTTGAAGAGTATGCAAATACTATTGGCGTACTTGAGCATTCTATTATGGAAGCACGGGCAATGATAGTTGAAATTGAAAATGAAGATGCAGAAAAGAAGAAACTGGCAGATAAAAGAAAGGAAGAGATTGCAGATGCTCTTGCAAGGCTCCGAGCAAAGGACAGAGAGATTTGTAACGATTACGAAGAGATGAATGCAGCAAAGGAGTTTAAAACCAAGATAGTTTCTGACTTTGAAAAGCAGAATGGAGTGGTTCAGAATGAATGTCCTCAGCTTGAATCTAAATATTCTGAACTTATGATTGAACAAAGGAATCTAGAAGACTCAATGGAAGCAATCCTGGAGAAGTATGAAGAATGCAAGAAGATAGCGGTTATTGAAGAAGATATGAAGAATGAAAGGAATGCAAAGATGTTTCAGCTACGAAAGCATATTGAATTTTATTCAAGAAGTGATCGAGAAAGTTTTTTTGGCCCAGGAACTAAGGAACTACTTGCTGAGATCTCCAGAACAAAATTTAATCAGAAAGTAATTGGGCCTATTGGATTAAGAATAAAACTTAAAGAGCCAATGTGGGCGAAAGCAGCCAGTATTATCCTCAACAATACCTTGACGACATTCATTACAACGGATAAGAAAGATAAGGAAATCTTGTTGAATATTTTCAGGAAGCATAGGGTTAGCTTTCCAATTTCTATGCCATCATCAAAAGTAGAAAAGGTTTTAGAATACAAATCGAATATGAAGTACAAGACACTGCTTGATGTTCTGAGGATAGATGAGCCATTGGTGATGAATCACCTAATAATAACACAGTCGGTCGAGCAAACGATTCTGATTGAGAGTCGAAAGAATGCATATGAGGTAATAAGATCAAGACCAATGTTTGTTGAGTGTGCATACACTAAGGAAGGAGATAAGATAAAGATGGTTGGGGGAGGGTTGTCTGACTTTGTTACAAGAGGAGTTGATAAGTTGTATTTTGAGAACACACAGGAACGACTTGAAAGATGTAAGGAAGAGCTTCGGAGACTAGAAATGCATAAGGAAGGAGAGGTCAAGGTGAAGTTAAAGATAGCTGAAGAAGAGGTGGCAAGAACAAGTGAGATGATAGAGATATGCAAAAGACGAGGAAATGCACTAAAGATTGAGATTGAAAATGCCAAGAGGATGTATGAGATACAACTGGAAGTTGTGCGTGAGGATGGACTTTATGAAGAAATAAGCTGTTTAGAAAATCAAATGAATCTACTTGAAAAAAAGCGGGATGGAATACGAAATGAGATTGAAAGTCTAATGAGAGAAGATGAGACTGTCCGTAAGTGGAAAAGGATGAACACAATGGAACTAAAACAGATGATAGACAAGCAAGTAAGTGAAGTGGATGCTACTAAGATGCGAAGAAATGCATGCAAAGAAGATGTGCATGTTCTGAATGAAAAGTACAAAAAAGAGAAAGAAGCGTATGAACAAGAAGTGATAATGCTGAAAAGCAATGGAACGAATGAAATCTTAACAGTAAGACCAGAAAGTGACATTATAGAACAAATATCTGGTTTAAAAGCACAAGTTGAGATGTGCGAAAGTTCAAGGGATGAGTGCGATGTACAAAAGTCACTTGAGAGTCTAAGAAAGATGAAGAAGAAGAAAGCCTGCTTGATTGATGAATGTGAAGAGAAGATTAATGGTATTATTAATGATATACAATCAAGAGTAGCCAAAAGGAATCTGATTAGAAGTACAATAGCAAAAAATGCATCTGAGGAATTCGCCAGAACAACCAAGAATCGAGGATATGAAGGGTGTCTTGAATTTGATCATGAGAAAAGAACCTTGGAAATCAGAATGAAAGTCCATGGAAACAAGGAATGTGGAGGAAGAAGCATGCTTTCTGGAGGAGAGAGATCATATGCAGGTGTTTGCCTGTTGCTATCATTATGGGTATCTTTGCCATGCCCGGTTAAGATACTTGATGAATTTGATGTATTCATGGATAATTTGAATAGAAAGCATATTATTAAGCTTCTATTGCAGTTTTTCAAGGATCAAGGGTTTCAAGGGATTCTTATTACGCCTTTAGGGACTGAAGACCTATTTGAGGAGTTTTGTGACGTAGTGGTGCTGGAGAAGCCAAGCGACCGTACGTGAATACGAATCAGATTATCTCAAACAGTTTATTCGAGATTTAAAAATGTACAAAAACATGCATAATGGATTAGAAGCTGATATATGTTTTACTGCCTATCTCATAGGTAAGCATCCATAGTATATCTTTTCGTTTTTTGTGGATGCTCATGCATCTTTCAATACCTTTACAATCTGCAGCAACCATACCAAGCACACCTTTTCCTACATCATCAGAGAGATCTTCTATATGCATATTGCAAATTCTTGCATTTATATCAATGCTTGGAGTTTGTGGATTTAAAAGTGTAAGGATGTGTTGGATCTTGATTGATAGGAGTTTAAGGCACGTGAGTGCGTCTACTGTGGAGTCGTGTGTACTGTTGTGAATTGATTTTTTAAGGTATTTTTTCGAAAGTTCATCTAATGATATTTTCCTTCCTTCTGGGCTTGAAAATAAATGTGCAGTGTCTATTATTTTGTCGTGATACAGCTGTAAGGACTCCAGATCGTTTTCGATCCCATGCCCAATAATAACCGTATTGGCTCCAATTAGTCTAAGCACCTCATCTTTGCATATTTCTGCATCTATGCCTTCATCCACTATCTCTTTTGTTAGTCCACTGTATTTTGTCAAATAGTCGATAACATCGCTCCTTGGTTTGATTATCTTGTCATACACCACTCTTCCATTGCTATCAACAAGTGAGACACGTCCGAGTTCTTTTCCTTGGCTTGTTTTGACCTTTTCTACATCCAGTGCAAGGATGTCATGCACAGAAATCTGCTGAGATTCGTTGTATTTGTTCATATCAACTTCTATTCGAGGTGTTTTGTTTGGTACAAATACTCCAGAGTACTGAACTGTTCTGAAGTCTGCCATTGGAACAAGATTCAGGTTCTCAACAGACACATAATCTAGAGAAGGGTTGATATTTTCATACCTACCATCTCTCAGCATGCACTCAAATAACATTTCAAAAGGAATCCTTTCATTGATCAGTACAGAACTCCTTATTCTAAGCTTCGATATAAGTTTTTCTATGCTTGTAGATGCGTCTTTCATCTTCACTATGATTGCTGCTGTAGGCTGTTCTGATGCTTTCAAGGGCATGAATGACGGTCTCTTGCATGAATTGAATATCCACAAAAGAATTCTTTGGATATCTTGAACCATTAATCTTCTGAGCACTTTCTTCTGTGCCATCCACCTCAGGGCTGTAAGAATGTTTTCAAATACTCAATAATGTTGGATATTTATGTATCAGATGCATCACATGAATCATACTCTCCAAACATTCAATACCAATAATGATTGCAAGCAGGCCCTGTATGGAAGAAATATCCACACGTAGGCGAGACCATGCACAAAGCACATCAGATCGCTGTAGTCTGGTGTTGTGCGAGCAATTGGTGATTCTTCTGAGAACAAGAAACGAAATAAAGTTTCTGTGCAATCGAGTTTCGCTGTCTCTCCGAGCATGCATAATAGTTGATCTTGCACTTAGAAAATCCATAGAGCTGGTTGAGGGCAAGGTTGTTGGAAAAGCCCAGCCAGTGGGTAATCCTCTTTTGCAGGAAGCCATGGGCAAGATATACATGGCACAGCTTCCTCCGGACGAGCTCATGTACAGACTGAATGGAGAAAAAAGGGGAGGAAGCATTCATATGAAGAATGTCCGACGAAGGGTTTATAAGAGCCTTGAGGAAAAGCGCATATGCAAAGTTGGAAGCAAAAACATGATATTTAACAAGATAACAATGTGTGATTACAATGTGAGAGTTGAGTTGATAAATTATATCAAGCTGTATTTGGTGAATGGAAATGAAGATGACTACAAGGCAGAAGCATTGGTGGTGTGTTTGATATTTTGTTGTGCACTGGATAGCATTCTCGTGTGCATGACAGAAAAAGAAGCAATTGCATCTGAAGTCAGTATCAAAAGGATCAGGGAGAAATATAGCATAAAGAGACCACCTACAGGTGCAATTATTCCAGTCGTTCTCAATGCGCTTCTGAATGCATAAATCTCAATACAAATATTTGAGTTTGGCAATCCCTTTAGGCGCCGTATGGTTGAGAATCAAACGCTAGATGACTTTGAAATAGGAAGACTGCTTGGACGTGGAAAGTTTGGACAGGTCTGGCTTGCAAGAGAAAAGACAAAAGGACACATTGTTGCATTGAAGATCATCCCGATTAGTGTAATACAAACGCCTGAGACAGCAAGACAAATCCGAAGAGAGATAGAGATACATTCAAATCTGAAACATCCCAACATTCTGAGGATGTACGGTCACTTCTATGATAAGGAAAACATATACTTGATTTTGGAGTATGCAGGAAAGGGAGAGTTTTTCAAGTTTCTAAGTGAAAAGGGAGGCAAGTTTGGAGAAAAAGAAACATCTATATATATCAAACAGGTTGTCCAGGCACTGATTTACATGAGAGAATGTAATGTAATACACAGAGACATCAAACCTGAAAACCTACTGCTTGGAGCAGACGATCAGCTGAAAATAGCAGACTTTGGATGGGCAGTTTACAATGCAGACAAACGCCGAATGACGTTCTGTGGCACCATGGAATACCTTGCACCTGAAATGGTTAACAATGATATACACAACTCAGGAATAGATTTATGGTGCCTGGGAATACTTACATACGAGTTTTTAACCGGAAAGACACCATTTGAAAGTAAAAATAGAAACATGAGAGAGGCATATAAAAGGATCAACTCATTGAAGTACATCATTCCTGAAACAATTAGCCCAAATGCTTCTGATTTCATAGCTAGGCTTCTTGTGTTGAATCCAAACGACAGAATGGAGCTAAACGAAGCATTGAATCATCCATTCATCATAAAACACTGTGGAAGACCAAACTGATAACCAAATTCTTTTTATTGAATAAATCCTGTTAATGATACATCTATATTTTGCTGTCTAGTGCCTATCTATTCAAATCTTGCTGATCTATTGTTGAGGATTTAAGTACGCCAATAAGTAGCTAACTACTGCAGACAAATTCTTCTATTGTTTCTATACATTCATCCAAGCCACTTATCACCACTAATTTGCTTGTTGTATTGCTTCCACATGTGATCTTTACTGAGCTTTTTGGAACCTTAAAAGATTTACTCATAAATGCAATCAACTCCTTGTTTGCTTTGTTATCTACTGCTGGTGCACTTATCTGAAATTATCCAAGTCTCCTTACATTTAAAATAAGCTCATCGTCTGTAACCTCTTTGACTCCTGTTACCTTTGCATTTGGCTTTACTTTAACTGTTAACTTCACACATGAATTCTCTACACGATACCAGTTCATTTCAGGATACAACAAAATACACAATACATCATCTAAGTAGCTGTCTTCTTGGCAGCCCATAAACAACAACGGAAGCACCATTCAAATACTTCATCTTAAACTCATCCCTGAACATCGATGCTAGCATCCCAAGGCACTCCTCACCTCTCATCAGTCTTTCAACAACCTTCATACTGAAAACATCTATGTCCTTATCAGTAACCTCCCACAAACATCCCATCACTGTTGAGTTTTTGCTCAAATGTTTCATTAGAAATCCACTTCTCTTGTAGTTCTTCATACACAGAAGTCTTGCACTGTTGCATCCAAATAAAAGCATGTTTTTACCATCTCCATGGATTCGTAAATGCTTTGATCCACTTCCATGGCCAAAATACAATAATGTGCTATACTCACTTACTGTCTTGCATTCTTTATTAGATAAGCTTCTTCCACACACTCCGTTTGTAATACCCAGTGCACTTAAACCTTTTGAAATGCGCTCTCGTGTCTTCTGTAGATTATTATCTGGATCCAACACATAAAACATAGATCTTTCGCTTGAATCTACAGTAGTTAGTTTCTTTGGATGCATCTCAAACCACTTCTCAAAGTATTCCAGAGAAGGAACTCGGTAAACAACCTTGGATTTGAAAATAGACATTGATTCAAATGGAAACTCTGTTGTTGTTTCATCTAGCACGAGAATCACCCTATCTCCAGTTTCAATCTCATTAAACCCTCTGCAAACATCAGATAAAACATCGCCAAGCTCTACATCCATCTTCATCCTTTCTGCCCACCATCTTCCTTTATCAACGGATCCATTCATATTTTCTTTTAAAATACACCTTGATCTACTAAGTATCTCATTAATCCTTTCATTAGCACTAGTAAAGTCATCAAAAACCTTGAAAATCTTTCTGAAGTCATTCGCATACAAATCTCGATCAATACAATAAAGTGAAATAACATAATATCCTGTAAATACTAATAATGCCTTTTCTATACTTCCTAAAAGCATGCTTGGCTTGAATGCTTCAAACTTTTCGATTGTTCTGAGCTCCCTTAAGCTGCTTATCTCATTTGAAAGAGCTACACTTGCACATATTCTATTACTTCTTACAAATCCTTCGTCCAGTATCACATCCTCAATCTTATGAACACCTCTCCATAAATCAAATCGAACCTTCGGTGCTGGCCCACTCATCCCTGCTATTCGTTCTGCGGCAAATCTGCAATTCAAAAAGTATGTTGCTATAAAGCCAACGCGGTGTCTATGTGCCAATTCAATCCCCTTACTCAGATAAAAAATACACTCAAAGTATTCTCCACAATACATATGCGATAGAGACAGAAAATCATACACATGGAAAAGAATCTCAGGCACACATGCCATCCCAAGCCTAACAATCACTTCCAGAACTTCTTTGAACTTTGCTTTTGCAATTAGGTGCTTTTGTCTTACAACATTTGCATATCCTTCCAGAAACATCCTCTCAAATGATACTGTCTTTACAATCACTTCATCTATCAGTTTTAGATCATATGTTCTTCTCATACACATTTCAAAGCACTGGGTTTTCAACAACGATACATCTTTGTTTCCATCAAGCCCAACAAGCTCATTATCTTGTACAAATCCATTCCAGCACTCAATGTATGCAAAACATTCAATCCGAAAGTTCTTTCTCAAATCATAATAAGGCACAGTAATTGTCTCTGGAATATCATAGAAGCATGAAACCAAAAGATAATTTTGCCTTACACATTCACACTCATCTTCAATAAATAAACGGTTCTTCTTTTGCATTAATACTGGTTTATGGCATTCATGCTTCAATGCATCTGCAAGCCTTTCCAATTCTGCTTCAAATCCGTGTATTGCTTCTATTTGAGCCAATCCGTCAAAACCCCTGATTGCTTTTGCTCTTAACCTTGGATTGACTCTATCAATCAAATCAATAACCTTCGTGTAAAAAACACCGTATTTCCTGTATTTGATGATGAAGTATCCAACAAGAACTTCATCAAACAGCATATCTCCATAGCACATCTCAGGAGTGATATCAATCTCGTTTCTCTGTTCTACATTGCCACTTTTTTCCATGTTTAAGATATGCATTTTAATCCTTCTTTCTATCTCCTCATATACTTCATTTACAAACACCTTATCGCAAAGACTTACCAATGCTTTATCCAGAGAATACTTCGGAGTCCCAAGCATTGGCTCATATACATACAGGCATTTAATTATTTCAAGTGCAAAGCATGCAGATTCTCGTGATGGAAATTTCAGGATCTGGTTGACAATTTTTATTCCTACTGAGCCTCGTTGCATGCACGTGCGCTTACATGGTAGACCGCTACCTTTATATCTAAGTTTCCTGATAAACTCTGTTCTATTCTCTACGGACTCCATGCAAAGGTATTCAATTACAATGAATTTATGTATTATGTGCATAAAGTAACAATTCGTTTATACTAACAATAGGTAATACTTTTAAAAAACATGTGCATGAAAATACAGAATATGAAACATATCTTGAATACACATGGGTAATGCAGAATTAATCATACCCCGATGATACAGTTTGTAGATGAACAACTTGTTAAATTGCTTGAAAGTATCGCTGATTCCAAGAAGCATGGCATACACTTAATGCACACGGTGTATTCTGAAGTATGTAAGTACAACAAATGGGTAATTAGTTCCGAAACAATGCACACAGAGTCGAGGTTCGATATGTCTTTGCTAAACAAGGTATACATAGGAAATGTAACATGCTCAAAAAGCACCATTATGGACATTTTGAATGTATTTGGACGATTTTTAATAAACTACATCAGCAGCAAGGAGTGTGTATTTGTAGACTTTGACAATCCACATGCAGCATACCTGTGCATGGAAGAGATGACTGGAATGATAGTTGATGGAAAAGTGCTCAAAGCTGGCAGAACTTCTTCTTTTCCGTCTGAAATTCCGCATGAAATAAGAAGTCCAGATAAACGCATTATATATGTATCGAATGTTAGCCAGGAAGTAGAGGAAGCGCATCTCGAGGAAATATTTTCAAAGATAGGGAAGGTTGATTCAGTCAGGTTTTTGTATGATTCATGGTTTGTGCATAAAGGATACGCATATGTCAAGTTTACGAATGCTGCAGATGCAAGAAAAGCTCTTGGATACACAAACAAGATTGGAATATATGGTATGAAGCTAAAGATTGGTCCAACAGTGATTAAGATGGAGATGCCTGAGTGTGTACATCACTCTGAAATTCCAAAAAGGGTGTTTGAAATCAAGACAAGGATCGAAAGTATGCTATTTAGTAGAGGACGAATGGTTATTTTAAGGAATTTGATAAATTATGAAGAAGCAGATGATGAGTTTGAACAGGAGATGCATGCAGAAATGAAGAAATATGGGAGTGTTGTCAAGTTTATGGTTGTTAAGATACCTGATGTGGCTGTTTATTGTTTGTATTCTTCTGAAGAAGAGGCGAGACATTCGTTTGAGATTCTGAATGGCAGGTTTTTTGGAGGAAGACGAATCCGTGCAGAGATGTCGTCTGAAGAGTTTCCAGTGTGAATTTATTAGTTTGAATAGCAGCATGAGTTATTTATGTTGTTTATGCATATTGTTTGGATGATTGATCATGTGCCTTAATTGGAGCATTTCCAGGCAATGCATCGATTTTCTAGATTTTTCGAGATGACAAATGAAATAAATGGAGTCTTGGTGCTGGCCCTATGGCAAGGAGAGAAGGGAACAACAATTTTATAGATATAATGAGATCAATGCTAAGATTTTTGGAAGGACGGATGGATTCTGTAGATGGAAGTTCTGTGCACAGCGGAGCTTTTGTTGATAGACTGAGAAGTAGATTATCTGATCTTATACGTGGTAGAGTGGAGAATAATTCAGAGAATAGAGCAAGTGCAAATGAGAGCGCTACTGCGAACACAGTAAGTTCCAGGAGGAATATACCCTTGAGTGGCAATGCACCAAATGCTGAGGAGCGTGAAATAATTAACAGATGCAACAGGATAATCAATGTAGCGGAAAGAGAGTTGGGCAGAGCAAGAGGGCGTAGACAAAATACACGATCTGCAGATAATGCAAATGCACAAGAATATTCAAATATTAGAAATCCATTTGTTCTGAGGACCTCTGTTGTTGTTACAGGTAATGGACGATCTCCATTAATCACTGGATCTGCTAATGAACAGAGTAATGATACAGAAGGAAGTACAGCAAATAATTTAGAGAATACTAACGAATTGTCATCAACACCTACTCATGAGGTTCATGTTCTGTTTCTCTCTCCGAATGAAATGCCTAGGGGAGGAGTTATTTATGAAATACAGATCAACTTTGACATACTTGATGGATCTTCAGAGATGCCTATGACAGCCACCAAGGAATCTCTCAATAAGAGTACGATTGTAAAGGCAAGAGCAATTGATGAAACACAAGAATGTACGATATGCATGTGTAACTTTGCAAGAAAGCAGAAGCTGCGAGAATTGCCATGCGAGCACAAGTTTCATATGAAGTGTGTTGACAAATGGCTCCTCAGTCATTCTAACAAGTGCCCTGTGTGCAGAACAGTTGTGTAGTTATATATTTATTCAATGAATGGTTTGTTGTTCTTGATATGATTTTGAAGGTTTATGAAGTATGTATTAAATGGTTAAAATGAATCATCGGATGTTTATGAGTTGTTGAATGTTTATGAATTGAATATGAGTAATGCCGAAATTTTATTTAATAACTGAATGTGATCATCCTAGTGTAAATGGGAGGGAATGCGAAGCAGAAATTTGATAATAAGTGTGTGGAGATGATAAGGCAGATTCTGGACGGAAAGATCGCGTTAAGAAAAGCAGTGTACAAAGAGAAAGACCCGAAGATGTATCACAGGCTTGTGCACATGGTTGTTGAGAACTACGAGTTGCTGCTTAAGATTGTCAAGAAAAGTAATTATATGAACGAGGATCTTGAGATGGCAGTGGTGAGATGCTACCAGATACTTGATGGGAAGTTGAAGAATGCAAGAATGAAAAGGAAGTTCATTGAGCTGATGGGAGGAGTTAAGCTGAAGTTTACAAGACAACCAGTGTTTGTACGAATTAATACGTTGAGAGGTGGTTGTGAAAATGACATGAGTGCGTTTGTATATGAAAAAACGCCTCTTGATGGTGTTTTCAAGGTTATGAATCCGGAAGTATTAAATGGAGATGAAGCATACAATCAAGGAAAGATAGTGATACAAAACATATCATCATGCTTACCAGCATTAATACTGAATCCAGATGAAGGATCTGTTGTGATAGACACATGTTCAGCACCTGGAAATAAGACATCTCATCTTTCAATGATCATGAAGAACACTGGCAAGATACATGCCTTTGAGAAAGATGAGTCGAGGGCAAAGATACTTAGAACACAGCTTGAAAAGCTTGGGGTTGGAAATACAGAAGTGATTGAAGGAGATTTTCTACAGTCTGTGCCTGATGACTTTAAGGATGTTGAGTATATTTTATGCGATCCAAGCTGTTCTGGATCTGGAATGCACTTGAACTACAAGATGGATTTAGAACGAGTTGGTAAACTGAAGCAATTCCAGATATACATGGTCAAGCATGCATTACAGTTCAATCCTAAGCGGCTTGTGTATTCAGTATGCTCTGAGCACAAGGAAGAGGGGGAAGATGTTGTAGAGGAAGCTCTCAAGGACTCAAAGTATCAACTAGAAGATATAAGCAAGTTTTGGCCACAGAATACAGTTTCTGAATCCCCAGTAAGCAAATACATTATAAGATGCAAGAAAGATACTGATGGCGCAACAGGGTTTTTCATAGCATCATTCATCAGAAGAGATTAAGATGAGTTTAATATTGCATAATTATTTATGTTTTATGCGAACACATATTTTTTCCAGATGCATGATGATGTGTTATTAATAAATACAAGAATATAATATGTATTATTCATAGCTTTGCTTTAATTATCCTGAATATAAAAAACAAGGTAATATCACATAAATAGTATAGATATTCAAAAAACGCTCTAACACCTAAAAACTTGTAGAATGAAAGAGAATCGCTGATTGCGTATCCAGACCACATAACAAGCAAGATATTGATACTGGAAAATGATATCACGACATTGACGAGATCTTCAAAAGTCGTATTATTATGATTTTCATTTGCTTTTTTGAGTCTTTCGTTATTCTTAATCAACAAGATCGCTCTAAGTCTTGGATACATGAAGTAATAAAATGCTATTATAACTGCTGGAATGGTGACAAATCTGTCAGAAAATGTAAAGAACACGCTGTAGTTAATGGATTGCAATAGTTTACACAATCCGGAAGAGAAGAATGCCATGTTTGTCAGTGAGAAGTATGTTTCAGGGTTGTTACATATATCAAGATTCCTAAGTATGTATATCAGGTACACCGATTCCATTGGTCTGAGAATCAATGCAAGTAGACTGTCAATACAGGGATACTGTATAAGTAAGCACAGTCTCCATTCTGCATTTTCTAGACTACCGTGTAAAAAGTACTTCATAAATGAGATGATTATCTGCGGGTGCTTATTAAATACCATTGTAACACTGTTATAAATGTATTCTAACGAAACTTCAAGATGCTTCTTATTATTAATCATTGCAAAAAGAAGTAGTTCAACAATAAATAGCCAATTTCCATTGAAGAACGGACAAAGCTTAACCCTCTCAACAACAAGTACATAAAATGCATTCATACTTGATCCTGGACGTGCAATCTGCAAGAACATCATCGTGCCAAGTAGATTCTTAATCGATGGATTAGAAATCAGAAACAATACTGCCCAGAGATAATCTTCATGAATGATCGAAAAAACAGAGTGTGCAGTCATCACAAGCACAAATGCTAATGCAATCTGGAGTTTACCAAACTTCGATTTTGACAACTTGAATAGCATAGCAATTGCAATCCCTATTGACAGGGCTACTGATAGACCTAGCCTTGTGTAATTTCTCCCTGCAAGCTTTTTTAGTACGCTTTCGCTAAGCATGTAATTCAAGTGCAAAAGCTCATCTCGGTCACTTGTGTCTACTTTGAATGGAATTCCAAGGAGATCATACTTCTGTTGTGCATATTTCCTGTATGCTTCAGTCTCAGAAACTAACTCATGAACAAAGTTGCCTCCAGAAAGACTTGGAATTGGAATTCCCATCAGATAACACATTGTTGGCAGAATATCGTCCTGATGTATTATTGGATATGAATCTGTGCTTTTAATAACATTCTGTTCATCATCATATGTCTTTGATATGCATCTTTTTCTAGCATCTTTAGCAACGCCTTCCAGAGGCAATGTGTTTGTAAACCTGTCATCTTTGGATATGAAGATCGCAACAGAAGCCATTTCCAATGTAGATACTCCTCCATGGGCACCATTGTCATCAACGCCATGATCACTACACACAACCAACAATGTGTCTGAAGACATTTTCTGATATATGTCATATATGAGCTTATCATATATTTCTATTTCATTCTGCATCCTCTCATGATGGATAGTTTCGTATATGTGCCCATAAGAGTCAAGGTTTATCAGGTGTGCAATCATAACATCATAGCTATTCACACTCTCCACAATCTTTTCAATTAGCATGTTTTCTTGTGCTCGTAATTCATGTCTACCATATGGGTCTATTGTAAAATGAGGCCACGACTTCAGTACTGGAAAATACTTTGTCCACTGACAATCTCCAAAGAACACGCATGATTTCCCGTCTCTAAGCAGCTGATCAACCATGTTGTCTTTGCTAATGGTTGTCCCTTGTATGGCAATAATGCTTGTCAAGAAGTTGCTAGGCGCACCTGTGGTTAATCCAATAACTCTAGCACTTGTTTCTGTCGGCATTCCACTAACACTCAGTGCATGATACTTTGTTTTGATTGAGTTCAAATGCTGCATCTTGTTGAATATGCATCCCTCCTTATTAACTTCAACTGTGGAATCAAACCTAAGTCCATCAAGCAATAAATATATCACCTTTGTGTATTTACTGTTCGAAACCGCTTCTGTTGATATCTGACTTGGTGGCTCAGATGCCTTGAACACACCAGTAAGAAACATGTATATGTTCAGAATACCTGCAAGACCATTTAATATCATGGGGACGCATGAAAAATTACATTTTGTTGAATTACACTGTCATTATTAATTACATAAGGTTAAAGCCATAATCAATTTGTACATGCTGAGAATAAATAAACAGACAAAGAGTATATGTATATTTCGAGTATATATTATGTAATGAAACATTTATTTTTTTGAATACGATCCGTTGTTTTGGCTGTTTTTCTTCCTCTCCTCATGAAGTATGTCCAATGCTCTGTTTATATCTCCCTTTGCCTTCTTCAATGCATCTGTTGCCTCTTCTTCCTCAAAACCCATTGATTTCAACTGTTCCAACGATACCAAGTATGCCTGTTCATCAATTTGCTGTGGTTGTTGCTCAGGTCGTGGCCCTCCATACACAGGCGATTGATATCCTCCATATCTCCAAGAGAATCTTGCACTGAGTTGTCTTGGATCATAACCACCCATTGGTGCAGGTGGATACGGCGGATGCATTCCTCCTTGCCCCATACCCATTGTATTCATTGCCATATTCACATTCTCAGGTGAAAATGCTTGCTGGAAAAGTCCTGGATTTGCTTTCATCATATTCAAAGCATCTTTCAATAGCTTCTTATGATTTTCCTTTTGTTCAGGGGTCATGTTTGGATTCTGAAGGCTCAGCACTTGATCTAAAAGCTCCGGGCTGTTTAACATTTGCTCCATTTGCTGCATCATGGCATTCGAAAATGCTTCGTTGTTGTATCCATCATTCTGTGGAGAGCCGTATCCATAAGGCATCTGTCCGTACATTGGCTGTGGTGATCCATAGCCGTAGGGAGGCATCTGTCCATACATTGGTTGTGGAGAGCCGTATCCATAAGGCATCTGTCCGTACATTGGCTGTGGTGATCCATAGCCATAGGGAGGCATCTGCTGTCCGTACATCGCATATGGATTACCCATTGGCTGATTACTGCTGAGATACGGATTTGGTGTCGACTGTGCTTGGTTATTGCTCTCTTGATTAGAACTTCCTACAGGCTTTGATATTGGATTGGTATTCCTTTGTTGCTTAATAACAAATAATTTGATCTCGTCTTTCACACCTTTGACATAATCCGAAAGCTTCTTGCCATCGTCCATCTTCTCGCGTTCAAATATCAATGCCTGATCAGCAGCAGGTATCCTGACTGATTCAGCCATCACACCCTCCAACTTCTTCTTCAAGTCTTCAATCGTAATATCTAGGTCATCAATCTCTACAACAAATTTATTCTTCAGGTGCTGAATGTTTACCTTCATTGAGGGTAAACAAATCAACTTTTTTATTCAACTATCCATCACAACATTTCCTTGTATCTTTCATGTCCAGATACGAGCATTAATTTCAACCAATTAATACATAAACTCTTGATATATTCAAACCTTAAACAATCAATAATCCAACCAACATCTCATATCTTCAAAAGAAAACCTCAACCAATTAATAATCCAACATTAATTTCAATCAATCAATGCTCTTTATATCTTCAAACTCAATCTTGTGGATCTTCTTGTCATAAAACGATGCAAATGCAACCATATCGTGAGATAATGCCAATCCGTATGCAATCGACTCTGTTGCATAATGCTTTAACAAACTAAAGTCATCTCCATAAACCTTTAATCCTTCATACATACATGCAACAAAGTACTTCCCATCAAAATAGCAAATCCTCCACACACCCCCTCCAACATACTTCCTCTCTATTATATCATATTTCCTCCTATCAACAATCTCAATATGCTCGTCATACGACCCCACATATGTATAATTCTCAGTATGATATATTGATGTTACACCTGACTTTCTTTTTATTTCCTGGTGTACGCTCCAGCTCCTGGTGTCAATAAATCTCAGCATTCCATCTTCAGATCCGCATGCAATGCTATCTCCATACGCTTCAACCACCCATATAGGCTCCTCACCTATTATAGTGTCTCTGGAATTGACTAGTCCATATCCTTCAAACTGCCTTATATGCCCCATAATATCACAAACAAAAACACTGCTAGAATTAACACAAACGTATGTATTAATCGCTGGAGTGCATATTTTATCAATAGCACTGTTTTTAAGACATATCGCTCCAAACTCCTCACATCCTGCAAAAAACACCATCTCTTCGTTCTTCTTACAATCAAGAATCCCTGTCGTTTCAAATTCGTTCTTGATTTGCATACTATATATATCATACAAGTATACTCCTCCAGATCTACTCGCCTCAGTAAACTGATATCCTCCTGCAATCAGTATATCATCTACAATGCATAGGCAATCAATAGGCATAATCGAATCAAAGCTTTTCATGCTTAAAGTTTTATATGGGCACTCCTTCTGATATTGAAACATCATAATTACAACAGCAAAAACTGTCCATCATATTTCATAGCATCGTCTTGGATATATAACACTGAATTATTCCGAGCATACTTCCAGAACCTTGTAAATAGAAAATGCTCGGTTATATGTGGAATCCTAAGATCATGCTCCTGAGTCTGTAGTCTTATTAGAATCTCTACAAGCCTGCAGAATCTCATCGATGCAACTTCACTGCCTCTATTCTTATTAGACTCTTCGATATCCTTGATATACACGTCAATTGGACATACAAGAAACATATCGTCTGCAGTAAGCTCGTCTAAAACCTGACGCATGTCGAAGTAGCTTAAGCTTGTTTTCACATATACAGAAAGCTTGCCTAGGCTCTTTAGATCAAGCTTCTGCATCTGAAATGCTCGTGTTATGCAATGAATCGAGTTGAAATTCCTGATCTTCTCGAGATGTTCCAAAACCTTAAAGAAGTAATTGTAATTTTTCCTTGTGGATAGCTCGTGCGCCACAAAGTTCATCAGTCCTTCATTCTTCAATCTGATTTGTTTTATGCTGCTTGACTCATTGCCATCATCTCCATCATATTCCACTAGGTCATTCGGCGTTATTTTTTTGAGAAACTGCAGATCAATCGATGTAAGCGCCTTTGAAAGTTTTTTCGGTGTAATATGATACACATCCATGCTCTCTGCATATGCCATTTTCTTAATATATTTACTTTTATTGACACTATCTACAAATCGCATCTGATACCATGTACGGGGTAGATCTTTTTCATCCCACATCACCGGCTCTTCAGATTCATCTTCATGAGCATGCCTTTCACTGAAAACAACCAAGCTTCCCAAAGAAACATCACCAGGTACTGCACATTCAAAATAACTCAAAAAATATTCAATGCTGTCTTTATAACTCTCCATTCAAACCTACTATACCTGTATAACGCCATTTATATCATTACATAACCAATAAACACTCTAACTACCGTTGAAATCATATTCTGCAACAAATGTTTTACTAGACAAACTTGTTGCAAAATATGTTTCACCAAGTGTTCATACGCTTAACTTTGCTTTCAACTTCATTCCACTGTCACATTTCTCTTCTCCCAAAACCACCCCGTCAATAAATTGTATTGCCTCCCTCATGCTGCCTTCTCCCTTAACCAAACATAATATCTCATCAAGTAGCTTAATTTTAGCTGCAAACGCTTTCAGGTCATCCATGCTTTTTACATTCAGTCTCTGGACATTATTCTTAATATAGAAGTTCAGACAATCAAAAACAAATTCAAAAACACCTTCCATATCTGTCTTAACAATACACTTGTTTATATCGTCTGCAACCTTAACTATCTTCTGGAAATAATAATCATCCTTACCTCTGTAGTTTCCCTCCCTGTAAAATAAATCAAAGAAATAAAGCATCTCAAGAACCATCTGGAATCGGATCGCCACTTCTATCTTATTCATAACACTTTTCAATTTGTCTCCATCAATCGAAGAAATTGCTTCTTTCATTGTATCTAATGCAAAAAGCATATTCTCATAATACTTTTTCTCAAAATACACTGAATTTATGTCCATTGCACGAACAAGAAGAAGTTTCTTGAATGTATCATCCATATCCGCCTCATTCTCATCTGTTTCTAAAAAACATGTGTTGATGATATCAGACCTGAATAATTTTCTGTAAAGCTCATCAAATTTCCTTTCAAAAAGACCATCTAGAAAGCCAAAGACATCTTTTATACTGCAAAGATCTGCATGAATACTGAATTCATCAATGCATTTCTTATAGTTTGAATAGAAACGTAATCTTCTGTTCAAATGATCATTTTCACACCAGTCTTCTTCTTCAAACAAATACGCAATCTTCTTTCTTATCTGCTTCTGCTTCTCTTTCACATACTTTTCATTAATTATCTCCCATAAATACCTCTTCATCGATTCAATAGTCACATACTTTTCAAGATAAATTACAATATCTATCCCAGATACAAAAACCTTAGTGAATCTCTCAGGTGACTTTGCTTCCATCTCTCCTTCCATAACCATCCTTTCATAGATCACATACTTCTTCTCAAACACCGCTTCATAGTCTATGTCGTCTGCAAAGTGCTCTGCCTCAAAAATTTCAGTATCAAAATACTTCTCAATTCCTTCAACACACTCACTCACAAACTTCTTCAAAACCTTAACAATCACCCCTTCCACAAATTCTTGCCAATCTGGTCCGTACATGCAAAGCATCGCATCCAAACCATTTTGATTACTTGCTGCATTCATATCCGCTTCGATTCTTCTGCTAATACTTGCCTTATCACGTATGTTCAATGTCTTTCCATTCAAGCCTTCAAACGATGCATCTGCCATCTCCCAAAGAACTCCAAGGTTGTGTATCACATTTGCTGTTCTGCTGCATATTGCTCTGGAAAGTCTCTCTGCCTTGTTATTTCCTCCATCTCCATCAATACTCCTGATAATCGACTCAACCATTCCAAAATACTCTTTCTCAAAGTTATTTGTTTGATATCTGTCCAAACTAAAAAGCATTCCAAGCATAACTACACACCTAAAATCTTCCTGATAATCGTATTCATTATAGAACACAAATCTGTCGAGTCTCTTATACACCATTGTCATGAACTCCTTCACTTCAATGCTTGCTTCGGCCTTGAACTTAGATACACACTCCATCTCCATCAATCCATTCTCTTCAATCAAATCATACAGCCTGCTTGCCTTTTTAGTTGCATCAAGAAACCTTTGGCTTGTGACATACATCCCATCGTGCTTCTTCACATCACATTGAATTTCGTCCTTAATCATACTAAATTCTTCAAAGCATCTCCTCATCTCAACAAGTACATTGCATATACTGTTATTACTTTCATACATCGCCATGCTTTCATACTCCTTGGTCATGTCCTTCACATCTATTTTCATTCCGAGAAGTCCTTGAACTGCCTTGGAGATCTCGGAGATGTTTTCAGAACATCGCTTGTTCAACTTGTACGATTCCATGTATGAAAGCACAGAATCGCTAAATCCCTTGTAATTCTTCTCTATTATGCCTTCCATTACCTTCTCGACCTTATGGAATAGGTTTCTGAAGTTTGATGCCTCAACCATGCTGTTTTTGTTCCTCAAGGCCTGCTTCAACGGATTAAAATCATCGGTAACAAGCGTTTCCCAATCGATCCTGAGCTCACCAAGCAATGCATCTGCCTCATCCATCAGGGTGCTCCAATGCCATTAGAAAACCAAAACAAACAAAATCAGTATTTGTGCCAAAATTTAATCCTGTGCTACTTCTGCAACCCTGGGTTCAATATTGAAAACACACCAGCATATGTTGCAAGTGCAGATGCTCGGAATACTGCAGACTCCTTCGTGTTATTACTTGGTCCCATCCCACCAGCAACAGCCCCACTGATGAAGCTATTGAAAGCAGACTCCTTAAATCCACATACATGCAAAACAGACTCGGTTGAGGAGTAGACCAGAGATATCCTGGCAAACGACTTTCCAGACCTATGAATGTTGCTCAATGTGGGGGGCTGCTCTGGAGAAAAAGCACCAACCATGCATCCAAACGCATATCCTTGTAGCGTATCAGACACGGTTTTTATTGCATAAGGCTTGATTTTATTGAGCTTTTCACGGATACACTTCAGGTTGACATTCATTGCAGGGTGATGGTTTTTGAGCAAAGACTATATTAAGTGTCATACTGGAATGTTTTTGTAAACGGATGGCTTGAACTGCACGTCAGTGTGGAGCAGTGTGCGGAAAATATTTCCGAGGTTCCATAGTGTAATGGCTAGCACCCTGGACTTTGAATCCAGTAATCCGAGTTCGAATCTCGGTGGAACCACTTTGCATTTTGTTAACAGTACAATAAACATGCATTGACCTGTCTCTTGAATTTTGGATATATACTTCTTGGACATATCATATCAGAAGTATCTTTAATCAATTCTGCTCTTAGATCAAGAATTTATATGTATATAATGTAATAACTTATTTTATTATGCATAACTGAAGATTTTCAATCTCTTCAAGTTCCGGCTCCTTGCAAAATAATACATTTTCATCACTAATTCGAATATCTGTATATCTACTGATATTGCATGAACAAAAAAGCTCACATATCTTCATAACAAGCCTGTCTTCTGATAAATCATACAGGTAAAGCGCCTCTTCAACACTCTTCATCACTTTCATCCTCATTCTTTTATCAAATCTCATCACCTGCACCATCAAATAATATGTTTTAATTGCACATGAGTCAAAAATCTCAATCAACTTCTCCACAAGCACTATTTTACTTGGCGAGCTCAAATATATTTCATATATCGTTTTGAACTCACTTATACATCCCTCATTCTTGAACCTGCAAACTTTATTATCAATAATGCTTCCAATCGTGCTTATCACACTTGTAAAATACATTTGCACGATCTCTGACGACACCGGCAACCACTGAAATACAACAGGAATACACACATCGGGAATAATCGCTCTTGCAATAATTCCTGCACTGAGAAGCATGCATGACTCCCTGCAAACATCTCGATTCGCATTATTCGCTCCACAGATCATTGTCTTGCAACTATTTGCCACAACATCAAATGCAAACTCAAAACACCTCCCTTCTTCCTCAATCGACTCCCTTAAGAACACAAGAAGCTCTATACACACTGCTGCTTCCTTTACTTCTACCTTATCGCATATCCTGGATAGTATCTCATCAATTTTCCATTTGTACATCACTCCTAGCTCAGGATCAAATCTTAGGCTGTACACAAGTCCAAGCTCCTTATTAATCGACCAGGTATAATCACAGAGATATTCTCTCAAAAAAACACTTCCGCATGCTCCAAGTATGGCAAGGAAATAATCCGTTCGTCGTTGAAACTCCATTCCTGCATATCCTAAAAAATTTATAAGCGTCCCTGAATTCTTTGTATATGGCCCATAGAACACCAACTTCCTCAAAAATAAAAAAACTCTGCGACGAAGCTCAAGCGCCATCTTGTAGTGTATGTTTATCAAAATCCTCAATATGTAGTTATAAAACACAACATTCCTGCTCTTGACTATGTCCTCGCCAGAATCAAGCAGAATCGATGACATATAAACAACATCAAACCTATCTGGACGCTCCTTTGAATACCAAACAGCCAACTCTGCAACATAAACATCTTTCACTTCATTCATGCTTATTTCAAGAAATTTACACACTCGTCTTCTACCTATTGCATGAAAAACTCGTGCAAAAATGTTTGAATCTTTGATTTCATAAGCAACATCATTTGCTGCTCCATTGTTTAGCAACTCAATATATGTTCTATAACTCTCCTCAGATTGCTTTCCATTCTTAGTCTTTTCAAACATCTTCCTTCTTGTCGGCATAGAATAAGGCCTTTGCATCTCTATCTGTAACGCATCTGGATCTATGCAATACAACACATTGATACATGCATCCACAATCTCCTCCTGCTTTCGTGCAATCTGTTGCTTCACGATCTTTATCATTTTGTTTTTTATCTTCTTTCCAGGCAAAATACCCAATCTATCTATTCTACTTAGAATCCTTGCTGCCTTCACCTGATTACCACACTTCTTGTCACTCATCTTTCTCAGCAGTAGTAGCACGAGTGACTGAAGCATCGTTCCAACTACTACGATTGGCTTTGTGCTTCCAAACAAACATCCAAAATACTCGTTTTCTTTAGCATCTGCTGCTATCTCTGTCATCCTTCGTATCAAAACACTCAAAACCTTTGCATTAAACTTGTCTTCGCTGCCATTAAATTTTTGGATAAAACACTTCACAAATGATACACACAGAATCACTGACTCAATAGACTTATATTCAAACAACCTGAGCCTTGTGTGATATCTGCCATCTTCTCCATAGCACATATATCGATCAAACAATCTCTCAACAACGCATTCATGCCTGTCTTTACAAAAAACACCTTCAATAAACGACTTTTTCCAATATATCTGTAGAATCACCATATCTCCATAGCTCATCTCCCCAACATCAAAGTCCTTCATCTCTTCAACCTTTAGAACAATGTCTCGAATATCAATTAGATCTGTAGTCATACTCATCTGCATACACAGGTTCAATGCAAAAACCCTCGTAGTGCCATTTGCTCCACACCTTCCAATACAAACCTTCCATAGAAACATCAAAATCGCTTCTCTGTTCCATCCTAAAATATCATTCTCTGCATAATTCTTCATTTCTTTCAATATCGACATCATGCATATCTCCTTCCATTTATTGATTTGCTTTTCAACAACACATAATCCATGCTTCAGCGCCAAGTCGACATTCTCAGCTGTTTTCATATCAAATCGGAACCTACGCATTCTGAGCCAAATTACAATATAGAAAAAAATATCATCCATATCCCACTCTCCAGAGTTCCATAATTCATTCATCCTCGCATAAATGCTTTCGTCACCCACAACGTTAATCACAATCTCTGAAATCCCTTCATCATCTCCAATCTCTAGCATCTTCCTCATACTCTCAAGCATATTTTTCACCTCTTCCATTCCATTTTTAGAATCACACAGAGAATCAATATAATCGTCACATATACATCGATCTTCTAATCCATGTGCATCCTCTGCAAATACCGTCTCGTCAGGATTACTGTGCATATAGGGATTCTCAGCTCTAACCAATATATTTACACAATTTAACCTTTATACTAAGCATCTGGCTCTTCATAATACTTAGAGTATATCTCATAATACTTTTCATATTCCTCCTCAGACATCTTCTCTTTGTCCTCTTCAGTTACATCAGAAAATCGCTTTCTAATTCCACTGACCATCACATATTCATTTATTTCCACACAGGCCTCATTCTGAATCACCACGCTATTATCTGCATAATGACTTTCAATTTCAGGCTCCTCAATGCTCGACTGATGTATCGGAACATGCTCCTCTTCCTTTTGCACATGCACATCCTTGCATTCTCTATCCTTCTTCATCTCAAGAACCTGGAAATAATCCATCGATGGTATACTGTACTTGTCGGTCTCCTTCAAAAGCATAACAATTCCATCCAGCTCAGACATTAAATTCGAATACATCTCGCAATCCTCACTTCTGTCTTTCCTGTTCTCAGCCAGATCTCCCTTACAATCCTCACACTTAAAAACATAATTCTCCATAAGTCCTTGTGCATCCAGTGAGCTATACTCCCTGTTACACTCTATGCATATATATCCCTCTGCTTGCCCCATTTTAATGCTATTTTCCAAATTCTTCGTCATCTTGTAGATCTTGTATTTGATGACATCTCGCACTTCTGCATAATTGATGTAGTACACTGTGCGTAGTATTTGCCCATTATTCTCTCTATTCTCAACCTTAGTCTCATACTTAATCATCTTATCTTCTTTTAGCTTGATAATCAACTTGTTTACTTCCTTTGAAAGCATCTTCATTCTTTCGCAAAGCTCATTGTCATATAGAAGCGTGGCCTTCAATAAAATCCCCATTATAACAACATGGTGGGGTTCGTAGAACTTCCGAACAACCTTGTTTATCAGCTCGTTCATCACCGGCTCATAATCCATCTTCTGTAGGGGTGCTTGTTGCGAAGCATGATCTCATTCACATGTAGTATAGCTCATACACTTAACACTACAAAGTAGTCAACATCAATTTAATCTCCAAAAAAATACTCCATCATCGATGTAAAAATACCTTTGTGTCTCACAAAAATATCCTTGTCTTCAACTACGCCTCCTCCCTGTCTGAACACTCCAATCATTTCGTCTCCAACAATCGATGTGTTCATGCGCAGGCATTTTTTGATGCCATCTTCGCCCCCAAATAGAACATTCACCCAATTCTTTCCATACTCAATCTCAAGAATGTCTCCGCAAGACCTGATCATGTCCAGAACAGTTTCCATATTCGCTGGAGTAAACCCATACACTGTTACATATCGCTTCTTAACTCTGTGCTGAGATACTAACGGCTCCTCATATAGCGTGTTTTGAGGAATAGGTGCTGGCTTTGTAGCCATATCAATTTCAGCTGGTCCCTCAGCCTTACACTTTCTTCTGAACAGGCTTGGATGGAACTCTGTCATTCCAGGGGACAATTTCGATCAATTTGAGTGTGTGTCTACACACTAAAGCATAAATATATGCATATAACACCGCCACAAATATATATACAATGCATCATGCGCATGAAAATATTTAATTATAAGCATATTTGTATAGTGTCATTATTTACTGTAACAAAGTGCAATGATTTTATAGAGATTGATAAACATGTTGATTTTGTCTGCGATACATATGCACATGCGTAAATGATGTTGTGCCAACCCCTTCGAATGTTTCAGGAAGAGAAAAACAAGCTTTATGATGAATATGCACAGGCACTTCTCAACAATGAAAAGTCATACAAGGCACTTAAAATGGAGCAGGAGGTATACAAGCAAACACTGAAACAGTTTGACAAGAGTGAAAGGGATATTAAAGCACTGCAGACTGTTGGACATATCATTGGAGAGGTTCTGGAAAATCTAAGTGATGAAAAGTTTATAGTTAAGAGTAGTCAAGGGCCAAGATATGTGGTTGGATGCATGAAAGCAATCGATAGGAAAGAAATAACAACAGGAACACGTGTAGCGCTTGATATAACAACGCTTACAATCATGGTTGTGTTACCCAGGGAGGTAGATCCGATGATATACTCTATGGGAGAAGAAACCCCAGGAGACATATCTTTTGAGTCTGTTGGAGGGCTTAGAGACCAGATCAGAGAGCTTAGAGAGGTGATTGAGCTTCCACTGAAAAACCCAGAGATATTCAGGAGGGTTGGAATTAAGGCGCCAAAAGGTGTTTTGCTGTATGGGCCTCCAGGAACAGGGAAGACACTGCTGGCAAGAATAGTTGCATCAACAATGGATGTGAACTTCTTGAAAGTAGTGTCATCTGCACTGATTGAAAAATACATCGGGGAGTCATCAAGAATGATAAGAGAAATGTTTGCATATGCAAGGAGAAAGGCGCCATGCATAATATTCATGGATGAGATTGATGCGATTGGAGGAAAGCGGTCTAAGGACTCAAGCTCATCAGATAGAGAGGTGCAGAGGACATTGATGGAGCTTCTGAACCAGCTTGATGGGTTCAATGAGCTTGACAATGTAAAGGTGATCATGGCAACAAATAGGCCTGATATTCTCGACCCGGCCCTTCTGAGACCTGGCAGGCTCGATAGGAAAATCGAGATACCTCTTCCAAACGAGCAAGGCAGAAAGGAAATACTGAAGATCCATTCGAAGAAGATGAACTCAATTGAGGAGATCGACTATGAAATGCTTATGAAACTGACAGCAGGGTTCAATGGCGCAGATCTTCGAAATGTGTGCACTGAGGCTGGAATGATTGCCCTGAAGGATGAAAGGGATTATGTAAAGCACGATGACTTTGTAAAGTCTGCCAGAAAAATAGCAAATACAAAGAAGCTAGAAACCAGGATGGATTATAAAAAGAAGTAAATGGATTTGTTTTATATGTGTTTGTATCACTACATGAGATCTAAATCTATATTTGACTTGGTAGATTATTGTATTGGCAATTTGAATGGTTTATAACTGTCTTGGATTCAAATAGTCTTGTGTTTTATGATATTGTGTGTTTTGTTGCCTGTATTTGGGTTTTCAGGTCCTTGTTTTTTGCCTATGGATGAAATGTCATTAAGAAAGCTTATGAACTCATTTATGGGAATGTAATCATCGGCAAATGTTCTTGGCTTGATCACCTTGTTGTTGAGTACCATTCTTATATACTGCTCGCCCATGTTGCACCATAGCTCAATAAACAGTGCAGATGCATACGATGGCCATTTCGATATGCCTGTGTCTAATCCTGACATGATCGATCCTAAAGAAGAGTCATGAGCTGAGTAAAGCACAATATACTTTTTCTCATCAATATCAGATAATAAATCCTTTGCAAAGTCCTTGAACACCGCTTGTCTGCTTGCCTTATCTTTCGATCCAGAGACTGCCATTCTTTCCCATACTTTGTTTGCAGCATCCATGTGATCCACTACACTGTTGATGTTACAATTCAGTTCTTTACAATCCAGCTCCACACCACTACAGAGGCTCGCATAGTAATTATCAGCTCTGTACTGTGGTTTTGGATGATATACATATTTTTCATTGTCTAGAAGTATGCTTGTCTTTTGGAACAGCTTTTTGGCCTCAGTTTTCTCATCAGGTGTCACACATCCAAACTTGTTCATCAATGAATCATCTGAATCAGGTATATACACATTACTAACTTGTTTACTTCCAGTAAGACCTTTAATGACTCCAGCAAGAGATGACTGCGTTCTAGGGATCTTCGTTGCTCTTGCCTTTATGTGTTCAAGTTCAATTTCTTTATCCACTAAGAAGCGCTTGTATGTTTTCTTTATAAACCTTCCAAGATCAGTCATCTGAAGAAACCCTCTTTCTGTCAATTCGCCATCTTCTGAACACTTCTTTGTCTTGCAGTTTGATATCGCTCCTTGTTCAGTCTCACATGCTACACAACTGTGATCCTTCCATGGTGCAGAGATATTTTTCAAAGGCGCTCTTGCGCCATGCCTGAATACCACCAACAGCTTCTCAAGATTGTAGTCGTCTATTTTCGGAATAAACTCATACTCCGTCTTGCAATGCTCAAGATATGGCCTTAACTCCTCTTTGCGAGAAATATACATCTTATCAGATAACTCACTTATCAAAAAACTTCCCATAAGCACAGAGCTGATGTTCATTCCCCAAACTGACATCATGCATGGTTTTAACATTCTAAATGTTTTAAATGTGATAGCAAAACACAAACGCCAGTTGAAACGGCCTATAGTGCATCCTTCACATCATCATTGGTTTTTTGTGTTTCAGTTGTAATTCGTAATCGTATCTTCTCAAGCATTCAATTCATGCATATGCCAATAAAGTTCCTTGAATACCTGCATTGATACATAGAGCCTTATTCTTTACAAGTATTATCTCCTAAGAACTAAACAGTGTTTGATTATAAGCTAATTCTAAACATCATTCTTTATTTATTATTGCATAGCAGGTACTCATAATAATCAATATCCGATCAATTCATTTTCAACACCTCAACCTTGTTTTCCCAATTCTTATTTATTGTCCATCGTCCAAGCCTTCCTTCTTTTCCTGTTATTATCACTATGAAGTCATTGCTTGAGCCAATCATATTCACTACTCCATTACAGCAATAGCTATCAATTATCTCTATAACTCCATGCTTCACACTCATTAGATACAAAAAACCTTCTGCTCCAACAATCAAGCGGCCGTTCTTAAAAAACAACGATGTCACAGCACTTGGAATGCTCAAACTTTTAATCACATTCAAACTGAGTTCATCCACTAAATAAACTACTCCTTTATCTGATCCAATCGCCAGGTATTGTCCTTCAAAACAAACTGCTTGTGGAAATCCACTTGGAATCTTGATGTTTCTCACATCAGAACTTTTCATGTCAAACACTCGAATAACAGAATCTATTTGGTATGCACATGCAATCATTCCCATACTTGATACAGACACACTCACAACCCCAGACTGTGACTCGTACATTCTCTTCGATACCTCAAGCCCATCCTTCATCACCAGAACCTTGCCTTTATTTGTCCCAGTTATTATGCTTTTCGTGCGTTTATCATAAACTGCTGAATTTACAATCATATTTCCCTTCTTAACTTCCTCTCTAGCATTTTCAATCATAACATTCAAAGAAGAAATACTTCCTTTCTCTGAAAAAATAAACAAATCATCTTCACATCCAACAATCGTCCTTGCATTCTCTTTCAAGCGGATATACCTGACTCTTAACATATCGTGCGTTGTCTCAACTAGGTGGTTTTTTTTCATGCTCACATACAATTTGCTCTCAGTAATCCACAAATCTGTTGGCACCGCCGTTAACTTCCTTTCTGCAATCTTTAAAAACCCCATGCAACTCATAATCGGAAAAATATTTGTATTGTTGCAAAAGCTGTTATATAAAATACACAAATAAACCAACCCATATTTATTGCAATCGATATTCCAGAAATCCAAAATCTCTTCTAAGCATAAAATAAATGAGCACATGAGGATTCTCAAATCTCTTTTAAGCATAAATCAGTATTTATCATTACGCAATATGCGATCAATCATCAATCCAAAAACACCCAAAGAATTCTGATACTTTTTATCCAGTGTCTTAAGACAAGTAATCACAGGCTCGCGTTTTTCATATGACAGATAGTTTCGTAGAAGGTGTCCACACACAGCAAAGATATCTCTAACATTCATATGTCCAATAACCTCATTCAGTCTTTCTAAGGCTTTTATACTATCTACTGTACACAGCACATCAACCAATTCCTGTAGTTCATTTACATTCTTATATGAAACACACAATAAATACTCTAGATACTGAGTTTTGATCAACGGTGTGAGATCCATATATTCAAGCGCATCAAATGCTCTCTTGAATAGATCAACAGCACTTCCATAGTCTTGTGCTCTCTCAAGGTTTCCATACAAAATAGACGTGTATATTGGCTTGTGTGCCAGCAAAAGCTGCTCCATTCTCTTGGATGGTTCAGAGCATCTCATAAGCTCTTTGATGTATTCTGCATTCTCATGCTCAGACTCAAATAGAAGCTCTGCAAGACTTGCCTTGTGAAAATTACTCAGAAACTTGAATAGAAACGTCTTCTTAGTCATTAAAAATAGGTCATGCACAAGCTGATCATTGCCTAGAAATAGCTGGCAAATGGCCGGGTCATCAATCCTTTCTCCAATCACATCAATCACTCTGCTTCTGTACTGAGAATTATTCAGCAATAGTTTAAATATGCCTATTGAACATTTACGAATACTAAACTCTAGTGCAAGATCAACACACTTTTGTGCCTTTACACATTCAATTAGTATTGCTTCAACAACTTCGCTTTCACTTACACTATTCAGCATATGCAGGTCTTCTCCAGTTCCCAATGGATTTGCTATATTATCATCAACACATCCTGATTCCATATGCTCTATAACATCTCTAACATACTTTTCAGCATACTTTGTATACTTTACAACTATATCAATCAATGCTCCTTCGATTGCATCATGAAATGATCCTGAGCACCCTTGGTATTTTAGGCATCCAAGAATAATCGTGTAGATATCTTTTAGCGCCAAATTTGTGTTAGATATTCTTGACTTCCATATCTCAAATGCTCGCTTTCTCAACGTAGAGTGTATGTCATTCCTAAGGATAAAAAGCATCGCCAACATCCGACTATCGGCAACTTCTTTCTTTTCAAAAAGTTCTATGCATTGTAATCGCGACTTCCACTGCCCTACAATACAACAATACAACAGAAAGTCTGTCACGTCCATCGTCTCAAATGCTTTGAATGCAATCTCTTGTTTTGTGTGGTCGCTATCTACAAAGAGTTTCTTGAGAAATGGCGTAAACACAGGAATGTACTTTTCAAAAACAGAAAGCTCGGGTGCATACGCAAGAAAGAACGGTTCTATGTAAAACTCGCATTCTTCCTGCTTATTTGATCCTCTTCTTATAATCTCACTGATTACCTCGTCAATCACTTCCTCCGAGCATGACCTTAAACTCTTCACAAGAAACTTATTAACTCTAAGAGACTGGCTTATACTATTCAATAAACTCTCAAATGATATGCGTGCTCCAAATCTCATCAGAGACGATACAACTTCACAGCACTCATCATTATAAAATGCATTTTCAATCACAAATAATGAAAGATGCTCAAATATAACCGGTATTACTGACTTCAAATCATTAGGATGAACAAAAAACCTCAAACTCTTCAGAATCGGAAACACATCCGTGCGAAACTCCTTCATATGCGTATTAAGTGCTTGTACAAGTAAATTCAGTCCATTAAAGCAGACATAATGATTGAACTGCTGAGTCTTAAATGCATCAAAAAATGACTTTGCATATATTCTGTCCATTATAGATTGAATCATTTGCGACTTCAAGCACTTCAGCTCAGGCGATGCAACTGGAATCTCCATAAGAAGCCTTCGGCTTTCATGGCATACCTGACCATTTGAATCGTGAATAAGAACAGTAACCATGCCAATAAAATCAACGAGATGTTGTGGAGTAACCACACTCGAATTCATGGCTTTCAGTATCAGCAGTCTAAAGCATTGTTCACCAGTGTATATTGCATTAATCAGGTCATCCATAGTCGCATAAACAAGATACTTGTCTTTTAAATGTGTTGAAAAAATATACTCAAGCATTCTATAAACAGGTATCGAGTACACCATTCTTAAGTCATCAAATCCAAGTACATCATGCACTCCTCCACTCAATGAATCATTCTCAGTCATCAACATGCAATTTGCATGAGAGCAGATCTCTTTGAAATATTCACAAAAATAGTATTTTGCGTCATCCGGGCGAATCAACGTCAGAAGATACACAAACTCAAGAGTATTTCCAATCTGTTTTGGATTAGCAAGTACACTGGCCATGTAGATCTCATTCCCTATATTTTCATCTCTATATACAAAACCTGCATATGAATTAACCATTGTATCACAATTATTCTTGGTGTTAAATTCTTCCTTCAGGATCTTGTGTATGAATATTGCTTCTTCAACAGTGCATTTCATCTTATCAACCCCATCAAAGTATCTTTTGCGCAGCTCAGGGTGCCTAAAGCAGTAATTAAACGCCATCTCGGGCCTATTACTGATTAAAACCTCATACATCCCAGGATCCATTGTTTTGAACATTTCATCCAAAGTCTTGTCAATCCATTCTGCATCTTCAATGCGCAGTACTCTTGCATCAAATTCTCCTAACAGTGACTTTCTGTATATACATTCCAATAGAACATCTCTTTCATCTTCTTGTGTATTCAAAACCATGTCTACTATTTCATTTAGTACAAACATGTCATTGATATACTGCACTGCTTCATTCCGATATATTCCTTCTCCATAGCTCATTGCCTTAGATATGGACACCCGCTTACTTTGATGAATACCCTTAGAGTGCATAAGAATGCTTGCAAGACTTTGATCTATAGGCACTTTGAATCTTTCAATGCATTCTAGAAACATTATTCGCTTGTCCTTCAGTACATTCCACACAATATCGCTAATTTCACGAGAATCACTCGCTTTCAACACTGAATATATAATTGGCCTGCACATTTCAACTTCATCCGCTCGGCATGCTATGTATCCTATCGTTCTACTAACAAACATTTCGCCTATACTGTCCTCAATAAATTTCACTGCATTATAATTTCTGAGTATTTTTTTGAACATTAGTTGATCATCTTTGCTTGTCTTTATGTATCGATACAGGCTCATAAACACATGATATTCTGCAGATTTTTCTGCTGTAACTCCATTATTGATATACTCATCAAGCACTTCTTTATACTTCACATCATTACATTCATCAGCCAATACATTCAGGTAATATTCAAAATCTTCTCGTTTCAGGTAGTTCACTATCAAATGTATTCTTTGATCTTCTGACATCTGCATCATATGCTTTGTAAAATACAACATCAGTCCTGGATATTTCATCATATTAGATATTGTGTCTTTGCTTATACTTTTGACAGCATAAGGATCATGCTCTTCAATTGCCAGTCTTTTCCTGGTTCTTTTCATACTCCCGTATATTCTCTGTAGTACCTTATCATAGTATTTGCATATACACTCGTTTTCAAAGAGAATCTCAACAAATCCAATCGGAAGAATACCTGATATACAAGTAAACACAGATGCAACATAATCATTCACCAACTCGTTTTTCTTCATAAACATACTTAAAGATTGTTTATGCAGGTATCTAGGCTCTGCATCATGATATATCTTCACATACTTAACAATGTCACTTTTAGATGTTTCAAAAACTTGCTCAAAGAACAAAATAAGCTTGTACTCAAATGCAATCTTTTCATCTCCACTAAAATCTTTGATGTTGTTCACCAGATCTCTGAATTCCTTGACTCGGTGCAGTTCATTTGTTTTGGTTTTTATGCTGCATGAATCCATAGCCATAGCTACAGCGTGAATAAAAAAATATTTTTGACTTGCACAGCCATGTAAATACTAAAAATTTACACCTTCTAAGTAGGATGAGTCACTTAAAGTTCAAAAGCATCGAGGTTGAGGAGACAGGAAAACGACTTGTTGATCCTCTCACTTTTAAGATTCAACTGGCATGCGCTGAGGAGATAAAAAGTGGAGTGGAGTTTACTGTCTTATACAACATGGATGTGCACTCAGACAAGAACGACCAAGTGCTTTCTGAGATTGAAGTTGCGCCTATTCCGAAGGGAAAGGTGGAGTTTACGATTGAGGCAGATGCACCCAACGTGGATCTTATTCCACTCAACAAACTGTTTGGCTTGACAAGTATTCTTATAGTCGGGAAGTATAAGGGACAACAATTTGTAAGGATCGGATATATAGTTGATGTGAGCTATCCGGGCATTCCCAGCAGCTTACTGGAGAATAACGAGCAAGGAGATGATTCTGAAGAAATTACGGAGGAGGAGGATGTTGATGAAGAAGACATTGATGAGGATGAAGATGATATAGAAGACGAAGGAGATGAAGATGAAGACGGATCAGAGGATTTGGAAGACAGTGAAGGCGACAAAAAGACAGAGGAAACAAAGACATTGATTGAAGAAGCAGAGCAACGAGCTATTGATGGAAATAAAAGATTATACGGATCTGAAGGTGAAGCAGAGGAGATGGAAGAAGCAGTTGGATCGGATTCTTATTCTGAAATAAACAGAGAACTGAATATGAGCGTTGGAGAGCATTCTAAAAAATCTAATGGTGAGTGTAGCGATGTGTTTGAGTATTGTGGATACTCAATTGATAAAAAGCTGATTGAAATGAAATTAATGATTCCACCGGTGATAAGCTCGTTTGAAATAAACTGGGAGGATGATGCTGGTGTTGATGATTATCAGGACGATGAATCTGACAAGGAGCATATCTCTAAGAAACACAAAGTTGAATAAATTTTAATTACTTCTTATTCAGATAGTTTTATATTGAATGCACAAGTTGGCTGTTTTATTGAAGTGATCATTTTACTTGTGGCTTTGATTCTGTACTTGATTTTCCTATACAAAGATGCTGTATATGCTTTAAGAGATCGTTTGGAGGCTTATCTAGATTGATTGGAACATTATATTGCCATTTCTTGCTGGAAATCATCAGGTATATATAATACAAATAACAGACTAGCTTTCCATATGATAAGTGCAATACTCCAGCTACAAGAACCAGCTTTGCAATCATTGAGATGCCAAGCGATCGTTTAATGCGGTACTCAATTAGAAATAACACAGGTATGCTGTAAACAATGCTATTCCGTACAAAATAGAGCAAGAATACACAAATAATAATGTGCAATACTGGGAACACTCTATCATGTGTTTTGTAGAGTATGAAGTTTCTGAAAAACACATTCTTAATGCATCTTTCATTTTTTTCTTTGCATTTCTTACAGAATGGAAGCTTCTTAAAATACTCCCGAAACGTCCTACAGCATACACATCTGCCACTTTCATGCCTTGGCTCACACTTCTTGCATAAACCACTTTTGACTGCAATCTGGTCGGTCTCTTCCATTGGAAAATTCGAGTATTCCTGTTTATTATTTCTATATGTGTAGTACACTTCACACTCTTCGCAGTAGTATTTTGAGTTCAGCGCAACAATCCTTCTAAAGCCGCAGTAGCTACATTGCTTCATCATAGGGATTACATGTGCAAATAAAATCATTGACTACCATTCATGGCTTTACATTCCAATACCTCATCAGCATTACAGCACATGAGTCAACACTTAAAAATACTTACTTACAAAACATTATCCAAGAAGAACATTTAATTAAAATGCACCAAAAATATCAAAGTCGGCGTCATCATCTTGTTCCTGGGTTGCAGCCGCTGCAGGTGCATCCTTCTTCTCCTCTGCCTTCGCGCTGGCAGGTGCTGAGGAAACAGCAAACGATTTCATCAGCTCGCTGCCGCTTGCCATCAACTCATCCATGCTCTTCCCAGACACTTTCGACAAGAAAAGGTCAAGAGTCTCGCTCTCAATAGGTGCATCTATCGACCTGAAAAGCATCTCCAGTGACTTTGCATCAACATCTCTTCCAACCTTGGTTAGCAAAATAGAGCCTGCTATGTATTCCATTTCAAGGGATAATTTTTTCAAAAAATATCTATCTTCTTTCTCAGCGTCTTCAAGGTATTCAATGCCATTACTAGCATAAACTCATGTCATCTCGGAACTCACATGATTGTCACCGGATCCATGTCCTTCTTTGAAATGTACACTTCATATTCTGGAAGCTCCGCTTTTAGCTTTGTGCTAATGTACTCCAGGCATATTCTTTCACTGTTGCTATGCTCCATAAGTATGACACTTGTCTCGTTTGCAATGCATGCAAGAAGGTCATGGTGCGACATCTCTCCGGTGATAATAATCGATTTCTTGATCACTGTGTGCCTGAATGTTGCACCAACACCAACATACATAGTCTCTGGTACTGTGTTCATCGTATGCGCTCTTGCCATGCACACTCTAAGGTTTTGTAATCTGCTCTTCTCTTTGAGAACTTGGATTGCGTTTTCTATTGATGATGTATTTGGTCCATGGTTTTTCTTGTGATAGAAAGCACCATAGTTCATCATCCTGTAGACATATTCATTCATCATTCTATCCAATGCCGAATGCGGACAAAACACATTAATGTTATTTTTAATACACTCAACAACAATCCTTTCCTTCAAATCCAGCTTCTTCAATGGCGTAAATATTATAGGATGGTATGCCAATATGTTCTTGATTCCCATTTCAATGCATTCATTCAACACAGGCTCTGTAAGGTCAATTGTCAAGAGAACTCTTGTATCCTCGCTTCCACAATCTATAAGAACACCAACATTGTCCCAACTTGTCTTGGCTTTTCTTAATGGCGCAAAGTTATCCACTGCCTTTGCAATTAGGTGTATAGACATCAGGGATCCTTACCTTAATCATAAATATAAGAGATTGTGAAACGTTGATTGTTAATCAAAAATAAGTTTTCGTTGCTAGTCAATGATCTTCTCATTATTAATTGTTGATTGTCTTATTGCTTTATTACTGACTATTGGTCAATTCATTACTAAAAACACAAATATAGATAAAAACTTGTTTAATACTTCTTCTCCTTCCAGTACAAATCCATAGATCCAGTACCTATGCTGATTGGAATCCCAAGAATAATTGACTCACTGACACCAGAAACCATATCAGATCGACTGTGAATCGCTGCTTCAAACAGATAATCGCTTGTCTGCTCAAAGGATGCCAGCATAAGCGTAGAACCAGACATCTTCGATATTCCAAACCTTGTTATTCCAAATACCTCTCCTCTGTATGTCATTGTGTCTGCCAGTAGCATAATATGTCTTGGATCAATCTTAATCCCATGATTGCCTATCGTATACTCAATCTCATGGATAATCTGTGCTCGTGCTGCCTCTATTCCCAGCACTGCCTCCACTTCAGACACACTGTTGCATGTGGTGTTCTCTCCCTTCACTCCATCAGTATTCATGATCTCCTGCAGGCCTCCTCCTTCAATCACCAGGCTGTACATCCCTCTGTTGTTGTTTATAACCACTCTACTTGCCTGAGAAACTCCACATACCTTAGTATTCAAGATCCTCTTCTTGATCTTCTGCATCCCAAAGTAACTCTGATCTGTAATCTTCTTGATTCCTATCCTGATCACATTCCCATCAATAATCTTTGTTGACTCCTGAATCCCTAGACATCTTTCTATCTTATTTATATCAAGGTTCAATTTCAGTCTGGATATACTATCTATATCAATACACACATCCAGTGCCATCTCGTCCTTCCCAATCACCTCAGTTACCGACGAACAGATGTCACGCAGAAATATCCTCCCAATGCTTCCTTTTATCACCTCCGCACGGAAAAGGTCTTGTGGAGAACTCAGCTCCGCATTTATTATTGGTGTGCATATATTGCACACTGCATTGATGATCTCCTTCAGTCTCGGAACTCCCAGTGTAATATTCATGCTGGCAACTCCTGCAAAATGAAACGTCTTCAGGGTCATCTGAGTCCCAGGCTCTCCAATACTCTGTCCTGCTATTGCTCCAACCGTTGTCCCAGGTTCAACAATCATGTGTACTATCTTCTTAGAAACTTCTAAAACAAGTATCTCCATAAATTCAACACACAGTAAAATATGCAGAGATTCAGTTCCAAATATAAAAGTTTCATGAGCCTTGGCTATCACACATTTGTACATTCCATCCAAAAACTTCTTATTAAGAAAATTGTTATGAGCATACTCTCGAGGTATACACTGCTTAAGCCTGCTGAATATTTCTTCCTCACTCAAAAACGCATTTAGCATTCTCGGCACTCCTCCACTCTCCAGAAACTTCCTGAACTGCGACTTCACATGCAAAAACATCCTCTCAAAGTTGATGACTTCGTCGCTTTCGGCCATCACAGGATCAATCTGGTCCTCTCCATATACAAACTGCACCACTTCCATGCCAGACGTACGTACTGTGCCATCATATTGTACACTCAGGTCCTCAAGCGCCTTCATTAGCCTCCGTTGCATATATCCCGTCTCTGCAGTCTTTACTGCCGTATCAACCAATCCTTCACGTCCACTCACTGCATGAAAAAAAAACTCAGGTGAGGTCAGTCCATCAAAAAACGAATTCAGTACAAATCCTTTGGATTCAGGCGTGTTAACTCCTTTTTTAAAGTGAGGCAGACATCTGCCATCCATTCCATTCGGAATCCTTGTTCCACTCACAATCTGTTGCCCCACACAAGCAACCATCTGCGACACATTGATTTTCGATCCTTTAGATCCACACGCTTGCATTATGTTCGGTGCATTTCTAACACTCAACTCCTTTATGCATATCGATCCACATTCTTCTCGTATATGACTCAAAATCGACGAAACCTCCATCTCAAGCACTTCATTATTACTTCCTGCCTTCCGCTGATATTCCTGAATCTTCGATTCATACTCCTCATATCCTTTATTCACCACCATGTTCTTCTTGCTCCTAAGATTTGGGCCTGGCTGTACATCATCCAACCCTATGCTGAATCCAACTTCTCCTAAGTATCTGGAACACAGTCTAGTCATTCCATTCATCATACGCACTGCAGACTCGTTGCTAATCTTCATCATAGCATATATCAGGCTATCTTTTTTATTCTCTCCTCCAACAATCGATTTGTCTAGTCGTCCAAAGTAGTATGTATTGTCCAGTATAACTACACTTCCATCATTTGGATCCTCAAATGATTTAAAGCCTCTGTTCTTGCCAATGATTGACACCGCATCCACCACTCTTCCCTTCTTATTCCACTTCTCATTCATAAGCAGCGAGTCTCTTATCAGAACCTCAATCAACTGCTTTCCAGTAAACAGTTCAACTGGCTTCTTTATTGCTGGCCTAACACAGACACGTGCTTCACAAAAGTAGCTTACAACCTGTCCAAACCTTTCTCTATCAAAAAACGTATCTTTTCCAGTTATCAAATACATTCCAGTAATAAAGTCCTGTGTAGCTGCTATTATTGGCTCTCCGTGTCTCGGTGTAACAATATTGTTGCAAATAGACATCAACACAGATGCCTCAGCCCTTGCCTTTTCTGTTTGTGGTACATGAACATTCATTTCATCTCCGTCAAAGTCTGCATTGTAAGGTGTGCACACACACTCATTGAACCGAAGCGTTCGATCTTTGTGTACTTTTACCCTGTGTGACATAATACTCATTCTATGTAGCGACGGCTGTCTGTTGAACAAAACAATGTCATCATCCATAAGGTGCCTCTCAACAATTTCTCCATTCTTTAGCGTTGTGTCTCGCTTTCCATACAACAAAAATCTTTTGAACTTCTCTCCAACTACATAATTTGCACCAGGATAATTCTCAGGTCCATTCATCACCAGTTCTTGTAGTCTTTTCTTATTAAATTCAGTCACCTTCTCAGGTATCGTCATTATTTTTGCCATTCTTACTGGAATACCAACTTCTTCAATCCCCAGATTAGGGTCTGGTGATATCACTGTTCTCCCACTGAAGTCAACTCTCTTTCCACTTAAATTGCACCTGAACCTGCCATTCTTTCCTTTCAAACGCTGAACCAATCCACGAATAGGCTGTCCAGGAATCCCTATTTGTGGAAGCTCCGAGTTTACTAGTAATGCACACTGCAGTTGTAATTGGTCCCAGTCGTCATTGATCAGATTCAACGAATTTCCTTTCTGTATCCCATCACTCAGAATCTTGTTTGTGTGAACTATCTCGCTGATCTTAATTGTTATGTCATCCTCATTGGTCCCCTCGTCTTCCATAGACACGCTTGGGCGAATACAGCATGGTGGAACAATAACACTCTGAACTATAAATCTCTCTGGAGATTCAGAAAGTCCAAAAAACTCATAATCATCTGGCTTAAGCATTCCAAAGAGATTAAGTGCCGTAAGAGGATTGATCTCTTCTGTATTGCACTCGGGCACACCTTCCTTCTTCTTTCTTCGTCCTGTCTCATCCACTTCATGCACTATCTTAAATCCAAATGTTTTTTTAACCTGTCCATTTCTTGCTAGACATATAGGACACGTATTGCATTTTTTGCATTCTGCAATAACTCTCCTCAACACAAGCACCAGACTGCTTCGTTCATTACTTTCTCTGATCTTCTTCTTAAAATACACTTTTTTCTTATCGCTAAGAAGCACCTCTCCGCAACTTTTGCAGATACAATTCAGCATTGAAATTGTTTGTTTTATCAGCCCAATGTTGAACACCGGAAGTGTGAGCTTCACCTCTCCAAAGTGTCCAATGCATGCAGCTAAGCCTTCTCCACACGTGTTACACTTGTCTTTCTTGTTTCCTACGCCCAATCTCAGATCCAATGGACCATCAGCCAAAGGTCTTCGGGTATGTATGTCATAAAGATCCTTGCTAGAAATCGAATGCACAGACAGTCTTTCAATCTCCTCAGGCGACAGTATTCCAAACGATATCCTTCGTATTCTGGCATCAAGATTTTCCTCTTCTGCTTTCCTAAGCATCCAGGGTAGAATCAAGCCGGCGAATTGTCAAAAAGCAAATAGATCTAAAAACTAATGCATGAAAGCGCCCATGGCAGAAAGAATACAGTTGAGCATGGAAAGAATGATATTGGAGCTCGAGGACTACAAAAACAGAGGAATATTTTCTTCACACGAGCTTAGAAAAATCGTAGAAACACGAAAGAAGCACGAGCTTCGGCTCCAACGGTCAGAAAAAAAATTGCTTGATTTTGTGCGATACATAAAAAGTGAATGCATGCTAGAGAAGATAAGAGATAAGAGAATGAGTGAAAAGAATGCAAACGCATCACTTTATGACACAAGCATTTCAAAGAAAATCGTGGAACTGTACAGAAGTGCATTGTACAGATTCAACGATCCAAAGATCATCTCGCAGTTTACTGCATACGTAATCGAGAAGAAGATGCACTGTGAAATGAAGAATGTGTTTGCAGAGTGTTGTTCAAGAACTCCTCTAGATGCAGAGCTCTGGATATACTGCGCAATGAAGCTGTTTAGCGTGGGTGATCTCGAAGGTTCAAGGGCAATGCTTCTGAAAGCAATCAGGATGAACAACAAGAACTCAAGAATCAGAATAGAGTTTTTCAGAATGGAGGTGACTAACATAGCAAAAATCCAAACAGCAAACAAAGAAATAGGATTCGAGGATGATGAAAAAGACGATGTTGAAAGAGATGAACTGGCACTTGCAGTCTTTCAGGATTGTGTGGATAGTGCATTTTTCACTGCCAACGAACTCCAAGAATTGCTAAATATATCACAAAATGTTGAAGGTCTTCATCACAAAGCACAAAAACTCATCACGCAATGCGAATGACGAAACAGTAAATAAACATATTTATTATTCAATATTACACATATTAAATATGAGTTATCTTGTTATTTATAACTTCTAGGCGATCCAATCCATAGATATGACGATTTTTCAAAGCAATAAAAGTTGTAGCAACACTAAAAGTAAATATAAATGCAAATAGTTTTGATATTCTGATGATAAACTCACTGTTTTTAAATAATTCGTTACATTCAGTACTGATTTTATCTTTTTGATTTGAATTAAGAACATACTTATCATTTAGGTCATTTATATTACATCAAAATCAAGGATGGAGTCAGATACGGCACTCTCAATCTGAAATCTCTGATACGCAAGTGCTTTCATTTTAGATATATATTTTTAAAATATACATAATAATTATATCTATCATATAAAAAACTTATTTCCATCATCATTTTTATACTGTTCAAGCAAATCCTTTAGTATACCATCTTTATGATCATTTATACATTTCAATACACGGTTAACAATTTTTTCATTGCCAATCCATTCTCCTTTATAGTTTTTATATTTGCTATTGTCATCAGTCATTGCAAATATATCTATTAATAACATATTTCTAACAACACGTAGAATATCTATCTTGAGTTTCAGTTTATCTTCTGTGTCTTGATTTTTTGTTACATCTAATCGAATATCTTTATATTTATCTCTTAATTCTTCGATACTATCATCAATTTTGCCAGACAATCGTAAACATTTGTTATGATCTAGGTAATACTTTTGTTCTGAATAGTTTTTATATAGACTTACAATATGTGCATGATGGGTTTCCCTAAATATCAAAACTCTATTATAATTAATCCTTTGCCCATTTTCATCTTCATTAATCTTTTTAACATTACATCAAGAGCTTCATATCTATGTTGTTCCTCCAATTCAGGTTTTAGATTTTTTATCTCAGAATATAAATCAATATTTTCATTGATGTATATTTGATCCTGAATAATACCATTAAATAAATATTTTTTTATTTCAAAATGGTGTTTAAGTTTTATATTAGTAGACGTTTCGAACTTTCCTAGTGTACAACAATGCAATATTTTTGGATAATTCTATTCTTAACTATCTTTTGACTCTTAAGTATATCAATCCAATATTCAACAGGATCCTGATTATCAGGTATAGATTCATTTTCTTTACTACGTTTTAAACCATTATGCAGTGCAAATACAATTGCCATCAATTTAATATTTCGTCTGATTCAATCATGTATTTCATCCAACAAGGGTTTTACACCGATTATTTGCACTTTTCTATTTCTTTATCGATTATGCATTGTAGTTCTTCTGATATTCCTTGCTTATTTTTATATTTATTAATTTCTCTTTGTATATAAATCATTTTTTCTTGAAATTTTACCACATAAAAACTTATAATGCGTTTCTTTCCGTTTATGCCGTCTAAATTCTTTAATATTGTATTAAATTTATTTTCTATTTGTTTAACATCCTCAGGTGTCATTTCTTGTTTGTTGTTGTGAAACCTATTTAAAAGTTCCTCGAAGTTTGTTTGAATTTCGCCTTTTTCTTTATTATACTTCTCTATTTCTTTATTTAAAAAATCAGTAGCAACTTGATTTAAACCATTCATGATTGTATAGCAATTCCCCAGTACATTTATTTCCTTTTCGTATTATTCATGTAAAGGATATGAATAAAACCAGTATATTACACATTTCATCATACTTAAATGCATACTTTTAATTCATTATATGCCATAGATATACCTCTATCCTGCCGTAACATGAATCATATTCTCATTTTCATTGTTATTCAAATACAAATTATATCATTCATTAAGCATCCATCTCACACAGGTACTCATCATCGTCATTGCATTATTAAGGTTAAATAGAACTTTTCGCATCTAAATAGTTTCAATGCTGCACATTCTATCAAGCATATATCCAATGCTCATTGGAAACATCTATTACAGAATATTTCTCATAAACTTACCTTTTTTCTTTACTCTGTCATTCACGCAATATCACATATTAACTAATAAGTTTATTGATCATTGCCATTCTAGATCAACACCAATTATCAATCGAATGCACATTTGATATTCTTTATTATTCTCACATAATTGCTACTTTATTTACTCCCTCACAACGCAATCAAAAAAATCATGATTCTTCAATCAATCAATCCTGTTCCTATTCCCACCCAAACTGCTACAGAAACAATACTCATGGTTATAAACGCTATCAATGGTATAAATTTGCTACTTTCCGCCATCATTGAATATCCCAGTCGAAACATGCTCTCAACTGTAAGCACAAACATAGTTAGCAACGATATCTTCTCATCAATCTTTTTTTTAAACGCCATAATGCATGCAATAGACAAATACATAAATATTATCACATTAAACAGCATATAAACCCATCTAAATATAATTCCAGGCTTATTATGCTTGCTTTCTTCTCTGCTAACGTTATATTCATGCTTGCGATTAGCATTCTGTTTTTTATCATTATTTTTATTTTTGTTCTTATCCTTATTCTGATCTTCTTCTGGATTCATATTGTCGTTATCTGTTTTTTCTGGAGTTGCATTTTCATCCTGATTTCCGTTGTAATAATTGCGCATACGATTAATATATCCAATATCTGCGCTTTGATCATCTTTTTGTTCTATTTCATGCTCATTATCTCCTTTATCTCCATCACTATCACTATCATGCCATGCCTTGATTTCAATAACTGATGGTGTTGCAAATAGTATCATAATCACAATTTCAATCCACATGTTCGAACTCGTAAATAGTATGGTGTATATCCCATACACTATCCACACTACCACTATTGCCGATGTCCATATCTTGTATTTACTACTAACATTGGGCGTGTTATCTTGATAATCATCGTTCACATCCACAACATTTGTTGATGCACGCATGCTCTAACTTCACACAATCATTCGCATTATACATATCTAAATGTGTATTTGTTTCATTCATGTTTCATCCATTGCATAGTATGGCGTGTATTAAAGGTTTTGATGATTCTGTGTTGCAGCCTTGTTCAACACCCAATCAAATTGTATGAGTATGACTTTATCATACATATACCATGGATATCTAGATGCGCATATTATACATTGTAGATACATATTTGTCAATTGTTGCAAATATATAAAATAATTATCTACACGGCTACATAATGGTACAGATAACTAAAGGAGTTTACAAGGATATATCTTCAATAAAACAGGATTTATCAAATGAAACCGAGCTTATACTTTATGATTGTAAGATAAATTCACTAAATGGTTTAGAAAAGTACAAAAAATTACGAAGTTTTGAGATTCAGTACTCTACAGAGCTTTATCCCA